CCGATTATTGAATATTGATTATTGAATTGGTGAATAATCACTCTTGATAATGTTACTTATTCATATTGCATGCAAATCAACCTGATTCAATCTACAAAGGTTGGTAGTTGCACCACTTCGTGGCGAAACTATCCATCCACGATGAATCAACATATGATTCACTTCCATTCAACTCAATTTGACCGTTATAATCAATAAATCAATGAAATGTTTCTTTATTAGCAATACCTGTTCAATCTAACGAGTAGATTCACGTCCCAAACATTTGGCTTCTCAAAGTCCATATTTCAAAAGTTGATACTGACCTGACCTTTAAATATCTATCAATATAAGAAATGAAACCATCATATTTACATCATTAATAGATGATAAGAAATATAATCAATGATATGAATCTTCACTAAGTAATCTCTTAAATAACCCAAATAAATCAACTCTGAATCCTAACCAAACCCCAAAACCAGAAACAACTCCAATTTCACTGAAATTGATATCATGATATGTAGACACTCTAATTAGCATATGGTATCAATTTCATGAATATTGGTGCAGTAGATATCGACATGTCAACTCTATCAATTTATTGACATGATATCATAGATTATACTCCAACTCATTCATTTTACATATAATCAGCCTAGAGTTGATACCACATAGTCTGTACATCTATTAAATACATCTAGTGTAGTTTGGAAACAGTTCAAACTACTTTTATAAAATTAATCAGTAAATGTTCAATGTCAACAGTATATATATCCTAGTGAACACTCTATCTCAATGAAAGTACATTCAATCATCCTGTAACTTTACCAGATATGTTAAATTACACTATTACACATCTGGTATCAATTTCATAGTGTTAGAATTGAATTCAATATGATAATAATAAAAATTTTTCAAAAAGTCAACTTTCAGTACAAAGATTACACTCCATCTCAGTCAATTTACAAAATATCATACAAGTACCAAATATTAATACACTTCCCTTAATAAAGAGAACAATCTGAGAAAGTTGCATATTCATGGCTCAATATCTTCAAGTCAACTAAGGAACGTATAAGGTAATCAATAGGGAAGAATCTTATTTTCAAAATTAAATTTTACTATGATACTATATTCACTGAATAATGAAATACTTATACAAGAATCACATGTTCAATTGTTATATTCATGTCAGTAATCAGTGAAGGTGACACTTCTTCAACCTTAGTGTACACATCTCAATATGCATACTGTCAATTCCACTGAAACTTGAAATATTACCTATCTAGATGATATAATGATGACTCTCCATAGTAACATGTATGTGAAAACAAATATTGACACTTTTCTTCTTGTTATACTTATAGAGATGGTATCCAACAGAGTCAGATCACAATGTCAAATATTAAAACTAGTTCTATATGATATATATGATGTATAGAAGTGTATCTGATGATGTCAATTCAGTATGATATACTTTAGTCACAATTACAGGACTTTGTCACTATAGTTTACATTCTATACCAGTCATTTCAACGAGTTATTGATCAGTTTTACAACCATTATGTTTCTCACACACTCTAGTACATTTTATATTTCAAGAGTGATTTCTGTGAAAGTTATTATCCAAATACCATATATAGTAATATCAATAGTCGTTATATACTCAATTCAAGAGTTCTTCTTTTTTTCATATAGATTATTGAATATAGAACACGTCTAGCCTGTTTTCAGACAATAAAAGTCCAGATCCCAAATATGGCAAAATGAATTCTTGGCGAGAGGGCAAGTTTTTCTGACAATTACTAAACTTTATTGATTATCTCAATAAATATAGAATATTACACCTTCGTGTTTTTACCACATGTAGATCAGACTATTATACATCACATTGATAAGTTATAAGATCTGAGCATGTGCGGATCCCAAACCAGAGAGATAATGACAGGTACCAAACCCACCTATTGGAAAGTGGATCATCCTTTAGTGATTTTAATAATGGAATTTTCACACCAGATGAATCAGAAGATTTGGAATTATTGGAAATTATCATCAAATATTGTTATGGAATTTCATTCGACAATGAAAAAATTTCTGGATTGTTAGACATGGCAATGAAACATGAAATTAAATATTTAGTCGATTATTATTGTAAGATTAATTTCACGCTCTCCATTCAAAATTACTTTTCCATTGTATCAACATGTGAACAGTATTTGGTTTTCCTGTATTTGAAGGATTTTTCAAAGAAATTATTAGATTTGGAGTTCCAACAAGAAGCAACTCTTTACTGATTTGAGTGTTCTTTCTAATTTACCTGAAAAAGTTTGTAATTAAGGTTGGCTTTATGTAAAGTGGAATGAAATTACAATTTATTACGTTACAAATTTCACTTCAACACTTTTCGATCATCCACAATTTTCTGATTTTCAAATTGTTTTTACAAAATTACAACAAAATCTTCATGTTTACAAAGTAAACTCTGAATTCTTTCAAACTCTCTTCTCCTCCAACAATTTCTCTGTGGTCAACTGATACTTGATGATTTATTTGAAGAAACTGCAGTTTACAAAATTGTAAAAAGCTTTTATACAGGTAGTTTGGAATATTCTCTAGATGATGAAGCCTTCTCACTCTTGATTTTCTCACAAATACATGATTCAAGGTTCTCTATCTTCACATTTAAAACATGAAATTCAAATATTTCATCTGATAATTGTTTTAAACTTTTTGGACAATAACATTCTGAAGAATCATGGCTCTCCACAGTGGTGGACTTTCCTCCGAAAACATCTCTTGTTCTGCTGATAACTTTTTTGATAACTATTACCAACACGTCTATTTGCCAAATTTTCAGTTCATGACCAAACATTGATAGAAATGGAATACGAACAATTTGTAAAAAATAAATCAATCTTAATACTCACAGGTTGTCTCCAAAAATTATTTGATGAATTTGATGATGGTGATGGTGACAAATTTGAAAAGTTTACAAAAAAAATGACATCACAACCTATCACCGCACCTCTTGATCAACTTCCCGATGAATTGTTACTTTGTATTGTTACCTTCTCCACCAACAATCCTATTGACATCATTAAATTCTCCCACATTAACAAACGAATGGAGAGAGTATTAAATTCATATCCGAACATCTTCCCCCAATTAATTACCTATGATCCTTTGGATCCACTTGACAGAAGTACCTCAAAGCTGATGAATGGATATTTATTTGGTAAATTTTGGGAAAATCCACTGAAAAATGGTTTTGCAGTTTTGAAGGAGTTTACTAAGAGAGTGTTTGGACCCAGATCTAAAACATTAAGTAAAAAGAGTACAACTGGGATTAGGCAACCAGAAAAGTATCTGGGAGTGATATCTGAAATGAAACAGCAGGTAGATTCAGAGCAGAAGCTTGTTGATTGTTTGAAATGGTCAAGAAGAGACCCCATTGGTATAATTAAGGCCATTGAATCTCGGGGACGAGCTGTTGAAAGAGCTAACACCTCAAGAATAACACATTTATCGTGTATATTATTCAGTGTAATTGTACAGTTTACAATTGGAAAGTTAGCAAGTGTTCCCTCAAATGAAAGATCACTTGAAATGGGTTTATGGTGGCTCCCATATATATTTTGGCCATTAGAAATTATACCTATTGTAACAAGTTTGGCGTGTATTGGAGCATCATGTACCAGTGTTGTTCGTGCTTTAAGAATGTTAATTATCAATCCTCAAAAACAGTGGAATGCTAACTTATATGATGGTATTGTTGTACTTCCATTATTTTATATTGCAACCATCACTGTATTGAGACTTTCAATCATATCGATAAGGACTCTGGTTTATGGATCAATTGGCTTGGAGCTATCCTATTTTGAATCAGTGGTGAGTATAGCACTTACTAACAGATACTCGCAATATTTTGGCCTTTCAATGCTGGGATTGGCCTCTTTTCACAATCTATCTAGTTTGACAGGTACCTATAAACTGTCTGATCCTATCACTGCTTCATTCCTTAGTCTTTCTCTATTCAAATATAGTGGGAGTTTACTGAGCTTTATTCCACTTTCTCTAATTTCATGTATCATATCTGTTAAGGAGGTTATTTCCAATATCAAATCATCAGACAAGTTGGTATACTCGATACCTATGGGATTGGGATTGAGCCTGGGCCTACTAAGTTTCGGCCATTTCTCTTACTTGACATTTGCTCCAGCAACCTCTATATTTATGACCCTGTTTATTTCAACATTGAAAAGAGAGAAAAAGGAAGCAATTTTGCTAAAGTGTTATTAAAATTTAAATAACATGCATCACGATTACAATTATATCTGTGGCTAATCTTGTAAATAAATGGTAAAAATATTTTACTGCCCTAGTAGAGACAAGTGGACAATTTTCTTTACATTAATCCATCAGTTCCACAGAGAAATAACTCTATAATGATGATATCAACGAGTAGATTCTCGTCCGAAAAATTTGACTTCTCAAAGTCCATATTTCAAAAGTTGATACGACCTGACCTTTAAATATCTATCAAAATAAGAAATTAAACCTTCAAATTTACATCATTAATAGATCATAAAAATGCAATCAATGATAATCAATCTTCACAAAGTAATACCTTAAATAACCCAAAAAAGTCAACTCGAATTCCAAACCAAACCTTTTGAGGTGTTCATTTTTTTTTGACCATTCAAATATTTTCTAGCTCTCTAATTTCAATCTATAACTACTTTACTATTCAAAAAGATTCAAACATGTGCCCACCAAACAAACCAAGGAGATTCCTAAAATCAAGTCTTTTTTTAAAAATTCATTTAAATTACAGATTTATTTTTACAGAGCTCGACAGTTGACTATACAAAGTGCCATCATTTAGAAACACTTTCTGTGAACGATACCTGGACCGGCATCCTCATATTCTTCCTTCGTTATCCACATCTGTTGGAAAGTTGAAAGTGAAGCGAGGATGGATCCACCAATCCAGACTGAGTACTTTCTTTCTGGTGGAGCAACAACCTTAATCTTCATTGAGGCAGGAGCCATAGCAGTCAATTCCTTGGTCATTCTTTCAGCAATACCTTCGAACATAGTAGTACCACCAGACAAGACAACGTTACCATACAAGTCCTTTCTGATATCAATATCACATTTACCAATTGAATTGAAAGTAGTTTCATGAACACCAGCAGCTTCCATACCAATGAAGTTTGGTTGGAACAAAACTTCTGGACATCTGAATCTTTCATTACCAACAGTGATAACATTACCGTCTGGCAATTCGTATGACTTTTCAACTGAGGATGATTCAGCAGCAACCTTCATTTCAGCTTCAAAGTCCAAAGCAATATAACAGAGCTTTTCCTTAATATCTCTGACAATTTCTCTTTCAGCAGTTGTGTTGAATGAGTAACCTCTTTCCATCAAAATCTTCATCAAGTAATCAGTCAAGTCACGACCAGCCAAATCCAATCTCAAAATGGCATGTGGCAAGGCATAACCTTCATAAATTGGAACAGTGTGTGAAACACCATCACCAGAGTCCAAAACAATACCAGTAGTTCTACCAGAAGCATACAAGGACAAGACAGCTTGAATGGCAACATACATTGCTGGAACTGAGAAGGTTTCAAACATAATTTGAGTCATCTTTTCTCTATTGGCCTTTGGATTCAAAGGAGCTTCAGTCAACAAGACTGGATGTTCTTCTGGAGCAACTCTCAATTCATTGTAGAAAGTGTGATGCCAGATCTTTTCCATATCGTCCCAATTGGTAACAATACCATGTTCAATTGGATACTTCAAAGTCAAGATACCTCTCTTTGATTGAGCTTCATCACCAACATAGGCATCCTTGTTACCCATACCAACCATGATGGACTTTTGCTTTGGTCTACCAATAATTGAAGGGAAGACAGCTCTAGGAGCATCATCACCAGCAAAACCAGCTTTACACATACCAGAACCGTTGTCAACAACGAGGGCTTGAACGTCTTCACAGAAGGACATCTTGAATTATTATTTGTTTTTTTTTGTGTTTGTGAATTATGTCACAAGTGATGGTTAAATAATAGTTGTGATGACAGGTTAAATGATTTGTTCAAGTACATCATTCACCCATCAATCCTCATCACTTGACTTCAATTTATAATATATAAACTGATAGAGCAAAGTTTCATTCTCAGAGTGGCCTCTGTAAATTTGTTAGTAAATACCTTAATTCCATTCTTGTAGGTATCTTGTAGGAATTCCAGTTAGCCCTTCAAATAATTTCTCCTCAATCAAACTCAATAAATGGAATAAACACAGCAATCAATACGCAACAACATAATGACCCATTTAGTTAATAGGCCTAGTTGAAATAGGATGGATATTATCTACAACACTGAAAATAATCTTCTACAACACAATAAATATCTGGCATGAGCTTCACACTAAGGAAAAAGTCAAAGCAATAATAATGCGAACCAAAAGACCGCCAAAAAAATATCCAACAAAAAATAGAAAACAAATAAAAAAAAGCCTCTTGAAGTAAATGCACTTGTTTGATGAGGATGTGCTCTTCGGAAAGGATATTAGGACATTATGAAAAAGTGATAGTAGCAAACAGTAATAGTAATTCGAAAAAATCACAAAATACTGATTGTATGGAGAGTGATGAATCGGAACCGTCACAATCAACACAATCCAGCTTTCAAATTGATGAATATATTTGTCCTGATTGTGGAAAAGGATTTATCAATTCAGAGAATAATACAATTCAAGAATTTCTACATAGTAATATGATAGCTTGTGATATTTGTAATAGATATTATCATTTATATTGTTGCTCTGAAATTTATAATGAAAAACAAACAGGAAACTTTTGTGTAATGGTGGAAAATATATTTTTAAATTCTTTAAATAATGTAAATAACAATGTAAATAATAATTTAGACTCGGAATTGAAAAATATTGAAAACAAACTCAAATTAATTCCATTTTTTATTTGTAATCATTGTACAGAAACAAGACAATTAAATTCTATAACTAAATGTTTAAATTCAAGTTTAAATGAAAAAATTATATATTACCAAGATGATATACAAGATCCTTTCCTATTTTATGAAAGGTATGAAATTAATGAATGTAATGATGATTCTTATTACATAATATGTAAAGTAAATAACGAAAATAATTTAAACAAATTTTCATATTCAAATTATTTAGCAACTAGGGAAGATTCACGTTTTTTACCTGTATCAAAAGTAACACTTCAAACAATTATTGAATATTCAATGGATTTATTAGAAGTTTCAATTGAAAATACATTTAATAGATTTAATTTATCTGAAAATCAATTTTTAAATAGACAATTTATTTTTAAAAATAATTATAATAATATTGGAATTAATTTAATTAAAAATACAATTGAAAATTCTAATATTAGACCTGAAATTGAAGTTTTTACATTACTTAAAATTAATAATACCAAAAATCAGTCTGAATGTATTGGTTACTTTACATGCTCATTCAATTTAACTTGTAATCAATCAAAGAAGAGAGAAATAGCAACATGTAATTCTATATTAAGACAATTATTCATAGCTGAAAAGTTTAGAAAGAAGGGACATGCACAGAAAATGATTAACTTTTTTTTCAATTTGTCAAATTTATTACAAAATATTTCACATTCCGAAAATTATAGATTTTTTTCAAAAAGTACTTGTGTAGAATATCCTAATTATTCAATGTGTTGCCTACTTTCAAAATTAAATAATATTTCTAAAATAACTATTCAATTTGATTGGGATGACATTTTGCAAATTAAAGCAAAAGCTAACCAAAAAAAGAGGAAAATAGAAACAATTAATTCAGAATTAAATAATAGTTCAATTCCATCCAATAATATAGAAAAAAGAAAGTTCCAAATTCAAAATTTAATCAAAGATAGATTAAATAATTTACATATCGAATATGAATCAAAAAAGCTAATGGTATTCATCTTTAGAGTAACAAATTCAAATTGGAGAGCTGAAGTTTTCATTCCATTAGGTATATTAGATTTTGATATTATTGATGACAAGGAAATGAAAATTGAATTTGAATGGTAAAAAGACCAAAGAGAGGAATTATTTAAATAATTTCAAAATAAAAAACCTAAAAAAAAATGTCATCTAATCTCATCTTTAACGGGTTAATACTTCTTCTAATCATTTATTCACCTATTATTGTTGTTGGTAATAATAAAATTACTACCACAAATGTTTTTCAAACATCTTCGGAACGGTATTTTGGTGGTTATTATCATTTATCATTTTCTTCAGATATTCCCATTTCTGTTGCAACCTCGGAATCAACTTCTAGTGATTTTACAATTATTAAAGAAAATATTACGAATTTATCAATAGATTTAAATATTGGAAAAACATCACAATCAGGAGATTTAATAATATTTTATAGTAGCAGTAATTTTAAATTATTACACTTTTCTATGGAAGAAAAATTTGAAGCTTTTACCAAGCTAGGTCCTTATAATATTCCATCAAGAGGTGTTCAACGTTTATTTGCAAGTGATAAAATATCTATCACATCATATGATACTAAATTAGAGATTGCATCCAATAGATATCAACAAGTTAAAGTAGCATTTACATTCTTCGAAAAAGAGACACCAATATATACCTCCTATTCTATTTATTCATCATCACCAAAATATATTCCAATAGATTTCCATACAAGTATTGCTGTAAATGATAGTATTCCAATTTTTATTCATGTAATGTGTGATTCTGATACTGATTGTTTCATTTCAAATATTGTTATTACTCATGGATCAATTATTGGAATAATATTTGGTGTATTGATTGGAATTGGATTAGTTGTAGTAATTGTTATTTTATTAAAAGTACCATCACTAATTAGAAGATTCAAGAATAGAAACTCTTCTAATAATAATCTACAATTAATTCAAGATGAAAATTTACAAGTCCAACTCAAAGAAGAAATTTCACGAGAAAGAAGTGGAATAATTTCAAATGATGCTAATGATCAAAATACATTCCAAAGTACCACCTATAATCGTAGTCAGGATGATGAATCATTCTCATCTCACATTTAATCTATATAAATTTGCAATAAACAATCTCACAATAATTTATTTAATTGAATTGATTATTATTTTCTAAAATAATGGAATCAAGTAACATGTCAAGCTCATCACGTGATTCTTCAACCGGATTACTTTCAAGAAATTCAAGTTCAAATTGTTCTTGTTGAATATTCTTCTTCTTGTATTGAGGAGAGGAAGACTTTTTCTTTACCTCATTGGTAACAACTGCAAGCAAATTGTCACCATTATTATTAAGGGTATTTGGTGAATTGGAATTACTATTTTGTACACTACTCTCTGAAGATGAAACACCACTACTACTACTTGAAGAACTGCTGCTGTTAAAGAGGAAAGACTTTCTCTGTCGTTTCTTATTAATAGTAGGTTTAAGTGTTTTATCTTCAAGCCAAATTGCTGTATCCTCTTCATTTGGAGACTGATCTGTTACTTTCTCAAAAACAATAGTGGGAGCTGACATGGCTCTATTAACAGTATTGGAACTATTCATTTCAATAGGTGAAATTGTGAATGAATTGGATCTGGTTACAAATGACTTTCTAGAATTGAATTCATCAACAGGAATATTTTGATTGATGAATTGATTAGTATCCCCATAATCTTGTTCATGGTATTCTTCTTCCTCAGGGAGAAAATACGATTGATTATTGATTTGTTGATTGAATTCTTGAGGTATTGATTGATGTGATGAATTATGCATTAAGTCAATCAAGGAAGGATCTGAATTATTAGCATGTTGATATGATTGATTAAATGAAGAACCCATTAACATCATTAATTGAGCATTAGAATTGAGTAAATTAAAAGTCTCTGAATTTGTAATATATGGAGGAATATGAGTAGGAGTAGTTGTAACACTTGTAGTATTGGTTCTTTTAGCATATCTACCTCTAACTCTATATTGATTATTTGTTGTTGAATTATTACTACTTTCTGTTAGTGGATTGGTTGATGTAGAATGTACAGCACCAATATACTGTTGTTGTTGGTTATTCTCATCCATCATATTAGCAAGATTCATTCCTGTTACTGCTTGATTACTGTCAAATGCTTGATGATAATAGTAATTTGGAATACTCAAATCATGACTGAATTGATTAATTGGATCATTACTTGAATTATTTGGTTGCTGACCTGTTTTGAATATGAAAAAATTATTTTGAAAACGTTTGTTATACCTAAATTGCTTATTCACCTTCAATGATTTGTCTCCCTTATTTCTTGTTTTGAATTCTACATCTTTTGTCATGTCAACAAAATTAAATTTTGAACTATCAGAGTTGAATTGATTTGAAGAGGTACTTCCAGGAGTGCTATTACCAGTACTATTAACATTAGAAGGAGGTGGTTGTGACATTTTTTTTAAATCTATTGTTACTAGAAAGTGAATTAAGGATTTTTGATATATTAAAGGAAAGACTGATACTGCACAATGTCCTTAAATGGCTATAAAAAGTGACGAGAAGATGAGAAATAAATGTTGGAATTTTGAACCTTTGAAACAGATCCATTAAAAAATGGTAATGATATTTTAGAGTAAACAGTACTATTAAAGAGTAGCAATTTTTAAATCAAATAACTTTTCCGGAAATGGATAGTTCCTAGAATATATTTTTTAGCATTTGTATTATTTCTTAAAAAGCACATAAAGTACGTTCTCATAAAATTCAAAATATTGTCGTTAAAATATTTCTTGGATTCAGTTTTAGATTGGTTGGATCAAAAAATTAAACAAGAGGGGCCAGCGGAGAATTGAACCCCGGACCTCGTGCACCCTAAGCACGCATCATACCACTAGACTACTGGCCCTTTCACAGAGCCGATGGGAAAATTTGAATCCCTATCAAGTATATACAGCAAATATTCCACAAAAGATGCGTCACGTAGCTTGTTAAGAGCAACGTTTGTTTGTGGCGTGATGGTTCATCTGATATTTTGGTCCAAATGTAATCCAAAACTTGTGTTGGAGCCTTTTAATCAGCTCAGAACAAGTTTGCTTGGAAGATAATATGTTTGAGATATTTTTTTTTCAATAATTTTGATGAGTTGGCCATCAATAAGTCATCACACAATAATAATAATACAGTATTAAATTTACTTGGATGAAAGACTTTCCTTCAAAATGATTGTCTTTAAATTTTCCAATACTTTCCTAATATTATTGGTATCAATAGCACAAGTTACTTCGGTAAAAACATCAGCATCCTTGTTTTCACGGAGTGATTTGAATTTTTGTTCTATGAATTTGATGGCATCAGGAGCAGAATTCTTCTTACCACTATAATCTTTGAAGCAAGTCTCGGAAATATCAACCTTCTTGATCAATTCATTGAAGGAATCAACCTTGTTAAGGAAGAGCATCACTGGTTTATCATAAAAAACACTACAATTCACCAATTCTTCGAATAATAACATTGATTCATTCATTCTAATGGTACTTGGATCTTCTTCCAATACTTGATTGTACTCAACTAGTGATACAACAAAAATCAAGGCTGTTACATTATCGAAAACGTGAATCCACTTCTTTCTCTGATTTCTACAATAATTTTTTTGTTAACATTCATTACGAATATCATCATCATATGGCAGATTCATTAAATTAGTATTATTATTATTATTATTTGTATTATTATTATCAAATTATTGTGTTCATAAATTATTATAAATTAATATTAAATACAAAAATAATTTCTTACCTTTGTCCACCTACATCAACTAAACGCATACCCAAACCACCAAATTCAAATTTAGTTTCATGAACACCAGTAGTTCTCAATCTACAATGAAGAATATCATCAATAGTTGGTACATATTGACTAGAACCAATACGATCCAAATCATCTAAAAAGTAATTCAAGTTGTCAATAATTTGATAGGTAGAATGTCTTTGATGATAAGCTTGTTGGATCTTTTCATGTTTCCAAACGTATTGAATAGATACCAATTTTGTAGAGTCAAAAGCGAGTGTATCAGCAGAAGATGATCGTTTTAAAATTGTTGCAATATGTTCATACAATGCAGAATCTTCCGTTGTTGTTGTTGTTGTTGTTGTTGTAGATCCTTGTTGTGTTATTGTTTGTGGAGAAATGAAATTCAATTGTTGTGCAGCATCAATAAGAGCTGCCATACCTAAAACTAAATTATTTTGAATGGTAATTTTGAAACTCATTAATTCTTCCTTGGAATAACCATTTTGATGAAGAATTTTAACTTGTTTAAATAATGTACTTTTACCTGACTCTGAAATACCTAAGAGAAGAAGATTTACAGTATTATCAACAGCAAGTGTATTTTGATGGTGATGGTGAGACATTTTTTTTGATGGCTGTCTGTCATGTGTTGATGTTTTTGGTGCTGATGGTTTATCTCTTTCTTCCTATGATGCTCTTTACTTTGAACTTCTTCACTCATTACCTTGTTGTAAATTTCAAACTTTTTTTGTTATCTTTGTTTAAATAATAATATTAAAATTTATTTATTGGCAATTACTGAATATCACAAGAAGAATTAGAATTTGTTTTGTAATTATTCAAAGAACTGAGTGGAAAAACAAGCTTTGGTGGCTGTTTTCCACTTGATCTAATAGATTTTCTAAAGTCTTCTAATTGAGCATTATCAAATGGTGACCAATCCAGAATTATTCTCTTCAAACTTGACATGGATAAAATTAATTTCTTAATTGCATAACTAATTTTGTCATTCTTCTGATAGGTTGATTTAATGTTGAGTCTGTCTGATAGGACAATATTCAATTTTTCCAAATTGTTTACATCATGGCATATCCTTTCTAATACATCAACTAAAATGTCTATAGATTCAATATTAATAGTCAACACTTTTAAATTATTCAGCTTTCTAATGAATAGGAAATATTCATCCAATTTTGAGGGTTTCACTTCAAACCTAGGCAAACTAAAACTTGTTATTTTCGAAAGATTATAATCTGGTATCTGTGAAAGTAATTGTAAACCATCCATGGTAATAGGTCCAACACTACAAACTTCCACTTGAGTTAAATTTGGTGATGGAAGAACTTTTTGAAATAATTCACACAAATAATGATCTCCAAGTTGAGCCTCTTTGAGCTTGAATTCCTTTAAAGAGTGTAATGGTATAGAAGATTCTGAAATAAATTTGATGAGTGTTTCCGGTTCCGTTTGATACAAATCAGTTATCTCTAAAATTTCTAACAAAGGTGCTTTAAACCTTAAATTTTCCATTAAGAAATATACAGGATATACTGAACATAACCTAAATTCCTTCAATTTTGTAAAAGTTAATGATTTTGTACTTGTTACTATACTATTATAAAATTCACATCTAGACATTATCAAAGTGCTCAGTGTTTCTCTCGCACTGGAAAGTGCGTTTAACAAATCATCTATATAGAGATGAGAAGAGCCATCAATAATCAAGCTTTGAAGATTTTCAAATTGCTTTCCATGACTATATGAAAAATTGGAATTGGTAATTTTGAAACAAGTATTCGTAAAAACCTTATCTATACCAACTTTTTTATCATCCTTAAATCTAGAACCAATAAATAATTTTGAATAACACAAATCAATCATTTCAAACGAAGTATCTTTCCAAATGTATAATGTATCTATTGAAATCTTAGAAAACAAACTCAAAGGAAATGAGGATGACAGCAAAGCTAAGTTCAATCTATCTACAGAGGGAACGAAAAACCTGGAACTTGCCTTACCAATTGGAAGAAAAATATACTGACAAACTTGCAAGTGATTGAAAAATAATTTAGAATGTGTTAATGTATCTTCAATAATATTAATTGATGGTGCTATAAGAGTAAGCTGTTGAATTTTTGTTGAACTCACAGATTTCTCAACCTTTGAATCTATTTTCAGTTCTAAAGCAACTTCAGATATCAACTCTAAAACTTGTAAATCATATAATTCCCCTAAACATGAGAAAATAATGTAAAGAGTCTCCTTTGGTATTTCACTACTATTAAAATTAGTAAGACATAAGTGAGTGAGTTTTTTCATACTCATAATGGTTTGTAAGGAATCTTTGTAAAATACATTATTTTGAGATAGGCTTAATATTCTACAATTTGTTAGATGATGTAATGCACCTATAGGATTTCCAACAGATCCAGAAATGTGTAAAACATGTAAATTATTAAGAGACTCAATGGAAAAGTATTTTTCCCAATTACTCCATTCAAATGAAATATCTTTTTCACCGAAAAAGTCCAAATAGATACTTCTCAATCCACATTCATCCACTAATCTATTAATAATATTATTAGATGGATTTTTCATAATTAAATTTGTTAGTTGTTTGAATCTTGTAAGGTTAAGAATAGACATGAATACACGCTCTGATAAAATCTCGTTCATTCTACTCATTAAATAATTATTTGAAAATGAAAAACTAATTTTCCTATTATTATTTTGAAAATTTTCAGATGAGAGTAAACAACTTGATTTTAAACTACTATAGAAATCTCCATCATTTCCAAAAGCATAATAACCTTTACTTTTCATCTCTGAAAATATTCCATTAAATATTTCTGAATTATATTTAAAACATGAAGAAAAACCATCCACATAATTACTCACAGAAGGAGCATAGTGAAAATGTGAAAGTAAATACTGAAAAGCCCAAATTCTAAAACTTCTATTAACACTCATAAAATCAACCAATTCACGATGATCAAGAAAGGATATAATAACAAAAAATAGTTCCGATGGAAGATCAGAAAAGCTCATCATGATATCATTTTCTTCAGAATTACAAGTAAAATGATGATCTTTTTCTAGATACGAAACTGGAGTGGTATTTTGCATTTTGAAAAACACAATTTTTTTTAATAATTTAAAAGCCCTCTTTACAATATGAGTTTCAATTTGAAACCATTTCTGGCCTATATTTATTGAGAGATGAACTTTCGGGTAGAATCCCTCCTCAACACAATACCTGATCGGTTAAAAGCAACAAACAAAAAATGTCTAGCATTGAATTACCAGTCTATGACTGGTTATTATTCAGAAATGATGAGTTTTTGAATCAGGGCAGTACTGTTGTTTCCACAAAATTATCTCATAATCAAACTTTTATTAGTAGAGGGGTTTGTTTTTCAAATTATCTATAGTTTTAGGTATTAATTGCTTCTGTATTTTAAATAGGATCAACTTTATGCAAGATATGAATTTGCAGAATTAAATTATGATGTTGCTATTCCATTCTTTGTAATTTTGATATTGGCCGAGATTATTTCTCAATTTATTACTAAAAAACAATTGTACAGAATGAATGATAGTTTTTCAAGTTTGGCATGTGGTGTTACCCAACAATTGATTGGCAAATTACTCACCAATTATTTGTTTCGAACCATTCCTTATGCTTTTTTCTTTCATTTATTTCATGGTGGCAGTGAGAGAGCTCTTGTTTCTTCCTTCACTGATATTGGAATGAGTTCTTGGTACTGGTGGATGGTTTTGATATTTTATGATCATCAATACTATTGGTCTCATAGATATGCTCATGAAGTAAGTGTGAATTATCTTTTTTTCAAATCATAATTAATATTGTTCACAAAATAGTGGAATATCGGATGGGCAGGTCACAATGTACATCACTCATCGGAGGAATATAATTTAACTTCAGCCCTCAGACAAGGAGCTTATCAAGATTGTACAACTTTTTTATTTTACATTCCAATGGCAATAGCTGGAATTCATCCTTACTTTTTCTCAATTCACTCAAATATTAATTTGGTTGGTCAATTTTGGTTTCACACCAGAGCTATTAGAAAACTACCATCTCCATTAGAATGGATTTTGAACACTCCTTCTCATCATCGTGTACATCATGGTAGAAATGAATATTGTCTAGATAAGAATTATGGTGGTGTTCTCATAATTTTTGATAGAATTTATGGTACTTTTGAACCTGAACAAGAAATGGAAACTGAAGACCCAATCAGAAAAGAAAAATCAAATGTTGTTTATGGTCTTACCACTCCACTAACTACATTTGATCCAATTCAAACACAAAATCATTTGATAGTATCAATCTTGCAAACCTGCATGGAAATATCATCCAAATCTACACATTCAGTGTTTAAAGGAAAATCTCAATTATTCATTTGGTGGAATAGATTACAAGTTATTTTCAGAGGACCAGGTTGGAATTGTTTCACTCAAGGTATTTATTGAAATATTTAATTTATTAATACTTTCAAAGGTTGGTATGAATGTCCAAAAGTTTTAACACCTCCAAGTAAGAATCAAATGTACGATCCTCAAACTAATCCACCATTTGAGAAACATTTGGCAACTATACATTTTGCTATTACATTTGTATTGTACTTGTTGCATATGGAGACAAACTTTGACAGTCTAATCAATCAATTATCCCAACTCTTATTCATTTACCTCTCACTTTCTAGTATTTCAAGCATTTATGAGGACAGTTCTTCAAAGAAACTACATGAACTGATTAGACTCTCTTTCTCAAATTTATTCTTACTCTTTAAATATTATGGTGATAATAATTGGATTGGTAGAATGTTACCAGGTTCTCAGACCACAATGTTTTTCAACCCAATTCTATTCAACACTAGTCTATCTGTAGGCACTGTACTCTTTTGTATTAACTCTATTTCCTTAGTGTATTGGTGTATATTTTCAATCAAAATCTCAATCAAAAACAAACAAGAATAAAAATGCAGAAAGCAAACATGGATAATACTGACTCGGAAAGTACAAGTGGAAATTTTAACAATAATAACAATATTGGAGGAGTAACATCAGAGCAACAAAAGAAACAACAACAGGAAGTTAAATTTACCAATTCAAGGGATTATTATAATTACAAGTATAGTGATACTCTTGCTCATGATAATCATTTATCGGGTGCAACTGCTATCAACTCTAAATATTCATCCAATCTTCCTCTCATAGTAAAATATTGTTCCAAAGAATGGAAAGCACTTCAACAAAAGAAGGGACAATTAGAAACAACAGCAGAGGAAAGACATCGAAATTGGTTTAATTTCATCAATTGTATTGGTTCAAATTTTTGCTCTAACACCGAATACCCTCACTTTAAAGAATGTATGAAGGATTTTAGTGATAATACTACTAGTAGAAATGTACAAGGTATTTCATCCAATAATGATCCAATAATGGCTCATCAACAATTAGTATCAATTGAATCCCTCACCAAAAATACTCAAGATCATGCAAAACATTTAACTTCAAAAGAAAAGAGAATTGAATGTTTACAAATGATGAAAGCTTGTATTTCTAGAATATTTCCATCATCAATTACGCTTGATTAATCAAATTTATTTGGCTGATAATGGTTGCAAAATATTTTAGAGATCTAAACCGAAAGATCAATTGATTTCATGCATATTGTAATATTTACAAGTTAAATACGTTAGAAAGAGTATTGCTACAAAGAATTAGTAGAGAAATTAGAAAGAGGAAATGATAATAATCAATCATCTTCTTCCTCACCTGGCCTTTGGAATAATGTAATTTGCTTTTCTCTTCTGTATGTCTTCTCCTTTTCTCTGATCTTTTGCCACAATTCCCCAGGCTGTTTAATTTTGTCTGAGCATTTATCTACAATTCTCTCAATATCATATGTTTTATACAAAAACACACCAGTGCTGACACCTAACACAATTGTTGGTAACATTTTGTTTTGTTTTTTTTGATTTTACTTTTTGCGACAATTAATAGGAGATTTTTGAGTGGTGGCAGATGGTTGTTTCTTTTTTAGAAATTTTTAGTTTTGGCTAAATTTTACTAGATTTAAATGGTGAAAAAAACTAATTTCCTTTTGGCAGTCATCTCATTAGAATTTTACAATAAATGTTTCGTACATTTTTTTTTAGGAAATAATTTGACAGGATTTACTTTGTACAAAATTGAAAATTAATCAGCAAGTTGTTAAATAAGCATGATTCAAAATCATCCTCAATAAAGCTTCTCTTAATGAGTACAGTGGTGCCATTATCCAAACAACAATGTACCAATGAGTTAAGAAATTACACCAAAAGGACAGCATTAATACATCCATCATTTTCTGGATTATTTGTAACTTGAGCATATTTACCCCACACAACTTTACCATTTGGAGCTACTAATCCCAAGTCAGAAACGTTGACTTCAAGAACTGTACCCTTAGTAATTACACCTAAAGTTGTATACATGTATGATTGTGGATTCTTTTTAACACCCAAAATTGGTAATTGGAAAGTTGCCTTCAATTCAGGATGTGTGACGTTTGCCTTTGTAAATCTGAGAGCCATAGGTCTAATAAATCTTTCAAATTTAGGTGGTTTTCTGGTAAAATCTTCACCTACATAACTGACCTTATTGATCATTCTCTTATACATTTGTCTCTTTCTCTTACCACTACGAACAATCTTGAACATTTCATCTTCATTCAAAGCTCTAACCTTTGGTACAGGAACAGCCCATTTACCAGCCTTTTCCTTTCTCTTTTGTTTAAGAGTATTTGAGAGAATCTTTGCATGTGAAACACCTTCACGATCCATCAAATAAGATGGAACAGCTCCACCATGAACAATATCTTCACTTGGTGTACGTTCTTCCTTATTCTTTTGTTCATGTTCTCTAATTTGTTTTTGCATTTGAACCTTTTCGGCGTGACGTTTCTTGGAGAAGAGTTTAGCCTTGATACCTCTCAACTTGGTTGCCATCTTTGAGGTCTTGTTATGTAAACGAGCCTCCTTCTTTCGTTTAGTTTCAAAATAATCCAATCTGTGACCATGTTTTTTCTGGTGCTCTTCAATATAATTTCCTTGTGGCTGTTGTTTTCAAAATATATATATTGTTATTATTTTTGTGATGACGATGAAGAGTCGGAATAGTGTAAATCCACAATATTGTCAAATCCGTAATTAGAATAGTAGATGCATCAATCCATCAAGAATTTGTTATTGGAATATTAAAATTTTGCCGTTAAATTTGTTAGACAGGTTTTCACGTAATAATATAAATCATCATTTAAAATAAAAGTTACCAGCAAAGCAACCTACCATTGTGTTTGAATATTTTTTTTTGAACAAAAAAACTCAAATATTTTGAAGAAGCGTCTGATACAAATCTTTAAGAACACAAAAGAAATTATTCCACTATTATATCGGGTAGAGTAGGATCCTAATATTTTAATAACAACAATAAGATTCATTCAAATGTATTAATTGCCAATGGTTGTAGATTTAAGTAATCCGATATTGAACATACATCAAAAAAAAATTAAAAGTAAATTTATTCAACTAATACCAAACCATGGCAATACCACCACGGCTGTTCGTCAACAATATTAGTCGATTGGTATCTAATAGTAATAATAATAACAATGTTAATAATAATAATAATAACAATAATGAATCTGCTACGACTCTGGGAAGAACACATCAAGCAATTAATACACCTAGGAATGAAACATCATCGTCTGTTGTACAGAATAATAATAACATTTCTAATATCACCACCCCACAACCTACTCATGTTTTAACACCAAATGTCCATAAACATCTTCCTCCACAAACTATGGGGAGTGTTCCTGTTGGAATATCGGAAATTGTTTCACAATTAGTTGGAAAGTTTCTGCCCCCTGATGATGATTTTGAAGATGATGATGATTTTCTTTCAAATATAGAAAAGCAAACCAATGCTTTAAATATGATATCATCAATAGTTGAACATTATGAAGACATGTATCAAGACTTGACAGATCATCCATTACTAGATTTGAGAGGAGATTTTGGAATTGGTACTCTTCTTCAAATTACTGGAGAGGAATTTATCGAAGAAATTATTCAATATTTAATGCATTACATTTCAGGAGAATATAATTCTGAAGAGGAACAAGTTAAAAAAAACTTTTTACTTTCAATTTTACGTACTTTACACATGATTTATCCTGCTGGATTTGAAAAAACTTTTCTAATGGATGAAATAATGACATTCTTTTCAAAGGAAGTGAAAGAATTTATTAATACTTCCAATAGACCAACGAGTGACAATGAATTTTTATTTAATTATTCTAAATATGTATACTGTCTTGGATTATTAGGAAGTATTAGTAGGAATTCATCTGATGCAACAACATTTTATATTCAAGATGAAATTCCACAACTTTTGTGCAATAGATTCAAACAAAAATTAGAACATATTCCAAAAAGACAAAAGAAAAAGTTGGATATTAAAAATTTCAATATAGACTGTAGAACTTTCTCTGGAGAATTTCCAACTATAATTGAACTAGAATATCAGGAATTACGTAACTTGGTTTCTTGTCTCAGTTTTCTTGGAGAATACATTGAAGTCATTCAATTTATTATGCAAGCTGGTGGTGCTTCTATAATTTTACCATTACTCAAATCCAAAGACAAATACTTAATGTCAGATGGTCTTAAAATGTCAGACTCTCTACTTGCACATGTATCATTTGCTCAAAATTTTGTTGAAAAAGGATGTCTAGGATCTCTACTCAAATTACCAGCTATTAATTATTTATCGGGTGGTCTTTCCTTATGCCTATCAAGTATTGCAAGCTATCCAGATATCATGGATAAAGTGTTTAAAAATGAAACTATTACTGACAAATTAACAGAGATGGGAATAGGATTTTTACAATCTAATCATAGTGAATTGAGAAAATATGGTTGTCAATTCTTTCAAAATGCTTTTGCCTATGTTTCTGTTGTAACTAAGTTTGATAAGGAATCAGGGTTGAGTATTTTACTTTGTAAGTGTTTTTTTATATTGTTTTAATTCTTACAATATTTAGCAATTCTAAAGGTTGTTTTGAATGAAAATTCAAAAGAGGACCAAACTTTAACAAGACAATTAATAACAACATGTTGCCAAACTATTAGATCTTACTTTCAATTTCATGTATTACATTTTGGATTTAATTTACAAAAGAAAATATCTAAAAAGAAAAAACTCAAATATATGGACTTTCAAAATAAGGAATTTACCAATAGAATTGCCCTTGAGCCTTTCAAAAAGAATATTTCTGCACTAATGAATGCATTTCAAGAGCAAATTTTTGCTCCAGTTGTAAAAATTGTAAATAGTCAAGATATAATGATATCACTGATGGAAATTTTAAATAAGAGTAGCTATCTTTGGATGGATGGCATTATTTCCTTTACAGTTTTGGAGATTTTTGAATTAATATCACTCTCTCCATTTTCACACATACCTTTAGTGGAATGTGAAGTACCAAGTGGTAGAACTGGTATTTCTTTATTGTTGGGTTGTTCTACAGTAGAGAGGGAACCTTTTGTTGTAGAAGCAGCACTGAGGACTATACATAACATGTTCTTCCCACACTCTAAACCAATGTCATATCTAATTCCTATTAGAAAAAATTTATGTGAAGTTTTCCGTAATAATGATGGTATTAGAGTATTGTTAGATAATTTATATAATTATGATGACCCAAGTAATTTAAATATTTTGAGAAAATTATGTTGTGACATTTTGATAGAACTTACAAATGATTCAGCAATTAATCAAATTCTTATCAAAATTGAAATTGGTGGATTATTAACAGATTTACTAAAAGAGAAGCAAAATGAAGAACAATATGAATCTTTTAATCAACTAAAAGAATCTGCTCTTAAACTATTAGAAAAAGTAACAGGTAGAAAGTCAAAAACTGTCATAAGAGAAGCCAAGGATGATACTCTTGTCAGATTAGAAAAAGCAACTATTGCATCAAATACCCATATTACTTATAGACAAGATGAACTTTTACAATTAATTCATGAATATTTGGATAATAAGGGATTGGTTGAATCTGCCAAATGCCTAATGAAAGAAGCGAAAATCCCCAAATCTAGTTTGAACTTTCAAATCCCTTCTTTACCAAAACCAAAACCTTTACTAGATAGAATTGTAGTTAATTATCTTCGTCAACAACACAGAGAATGTGAAGAACCTATTGCTGTTCTCCCAGAATTTTCATTATTTCACAAACATTGTTGTCCTAAACAAGGAAATTCTCTAAAAAGTTCTAAATGTTTAGTAAGAAGATTAAATTCCAGGAAAATTTCAATACATCCACGTGATATAGGATATGATTTTCAAAGAAAGAATAGAAAATTCCTATACTCTAGATTGAAATATTCTAATACTGTTATTGGTGAATCTGAAATTATTTCTTCAATTGCATTTGCTCCTGATTCTTCTAAAATTTACTGTTCTTCTGATGAAGGAGATTTATTTATATATGATAGAAATGGAGGAGATTTAGTAGATCAAGTTAAAATATTCGAAGATTCTCCACTGAGAGGTATTCAATTCTCAACGGATAGATTAATAGAACCTCGTTTCCTAGCTTGGGGAGAGAATTCCTCCTTTTTATATGGTATTAATTCATTAAGACAGCCATTATTTGAATATAAGGATTGTTTCTCTGCTACTTTTAGTAATGGTAATGATCTAGTTGCTGCAAGTAGTTTTGATACAACAAAGATTTACAATATTGCACACGGTGAAATTATTGCAACATTCAATGATTTATCTAGTGAGAATGAAACTATTGCATGTTTTAGTCCCTATGATGACTTGGTACTAGCAAATGCATGTTTATGGGATATAAGAATTCCTAGATCAATTCACAGATTTGATCGTTTGAGCCAAATTAGATTTAATCATTTCAATTCTAACGGTCTTGAAGTTATTATTAATAGTGAAATTTGGGATTTAAGAACATTGAAATTATTAAATACATGTTCTTCACTCAAAGATGCCACCTATGTTAGATTTAATAATGATAAGTCTGTCATGTTTGCAGGTTATAACAATGCTTCACAAGATATGATTCATGAAACATTATCCAATACCTTCAAAGTAATAGATACATCTTCATATCAATTATTGTCTTCCCACACTTTTGAAAGACATGAAATTCACGATATTTCTATTGATCCAGTTTATAATTATGTTTCCTTACTATCCCATAATTCACCATTCAGCTCGGTTAAAATTTATGAGATTGGGCAAACAAAAGGTGATGTTCCATATGAAGATGATGATGATGGAGATGAACATATGGAAAGTGATCAAGATTCAGATAGTGAGGACGATGATGAAGATGATGAGGATGATGAAGAAGATTTGTTTGGAAATCATCCAATATTTGATGATGGAGATGAAGATTTCATGTCAGATGATGAAAGTATAATAATAGTAGATGATGAAGATGAAGAAGATTTTGATGAAGAAGGTGACAATCATACAGAAATAGTCTACGACTTGGATGATGATGAAGAATTACAATAAATTTAATCATCAAGACTAAAGATTTAACCCTTTTATCTCTGTAGAAAATGAAACAAGAACTTTTTAGTTCTATTGGTTGTTGGAGAGTGGTCTAAATAAATTCAAGACTTTGAAAAGAGTACAAATCAGACCTCCTTCCATAATTGATTTAAGTTTGAGAAGAATGGTGTTATAAAAACTTCAAACATAAAAAAATGGTGAAACAATCATCATCATCAGCATCACACTGCTGGCAACATCATTCTCTTGTGGTTTCAATAGCAGTTGCATTGTTAATCATCATATCAAGTCATCACTCAATTCTAGCAACAACAGTAACTTTGGATAATTCTGGTGGTATTGACACAACTATTACTACTATGGATACTAATCCTATTGTAAATATTCATAATGACGCATCATCATCATCATCATCTCCAATATTGCATAAAGAACAAACATTAAATGAAATATTCGGAGTTATTCAAAATGATGAATCAAGTATTGGGGTGAATTTTCTTAAATTTATGAACTTTTTTCAAAGAACTGAACAATTTCATCCTCTCTCCGATCAAGAAAAACACTCTGGTAAATTTAAAAAGATTGCACTTTCAATTATTTATCACATTCTTGATAGAGAATTAATTTATTCTACAAATCAATCACCAATTCTTAAATTATTTGATTTATCACCATCTGAAATATTGAGAATGAATAATTTAATGAATACTACAAGAGAAATAGTTTTAAAATTATCTGATTCAATTATTTCACAACATTTAATTAGAATTGAACCATTAGAGGATGATAATGATGAATTTTCACTTCCACTTAAACAATTTGTTGAAAAACAAATGTTAAGATTGAAAGATTTTCTCATTCAAATTGTTAAAATTTACAAAACTAGAAAATATAATTTGAAAGAATTAGGGTATGATAAAGAAGGTAACAAGCAACCACTCAAATATATTGTAATTGGTTCTGGTCCAATTGGTTTATTAAGTGCCATAGAAGCATCTTTACTCTTACCTAAATTATATATTATTGAAAAGAGAACAAATTATTCAAGAGATGTTTGGTTTGATTTGTATCCTAAACCATTTAGTCAATCAGTTGAATTATTGGACGAATTAGCTTTTTCAACAGAATTTCCAAACTTGGAAATTAAAATTAGTTCAGTTGCAGATTCTGATGGAGATGAAAGAAGAACCTATACTGTCAGATGCCAAATTACTCAAAGATTTTTATCAAAGGTTATTTATTTATTAGATAATGTAGAATTTATATTTGGATCTCAATATATTAGTCAATGTAAAGTGAAAATACCAAAAGTAACCAATCCAAATTCATACTCTCATAATTCAATTCTTGAGAACAGATGGAAGGATATCGGATTTAAACTGAACTCAGAAAGTGAATATCAAGTTGCTCTATTTTATCATGGTAAATCAAAAGAATGTTACTCCCATATTGATTATATGAGTTTCAATGAAACACAAGATTTATGTTCTCAATTTGGACAAGAATCATTCTTAAATTCTAAATGTAAAGTTGAGAGAATACCATTTGATATTCTTATTGGAAGTGATGGTTTATATAGTACTGTAAGAAGTTCACTCAATATTACTACCAGAGATATTCATTCTTTTGATGTTTCGAATACGCTTTATGCTCAAACTTTATCAAGGGATCAAATTCCAAAAATTACTGTAAAACCAAGACTTGAACAAGTTGCTCTCATAATTAATTTTAAGAGAACTGCTGATAATGACTGTCCAGATACTGCCATTGATGAAGATACAGGTGAATTTATTGGTAAGTTATATTGAAAATTTCAAGTTTATTTTAACGAATTTTTAATATTTCAAAAGATCCTTGGAAACCAAGTTTGTTATTAGACAATGTTTGTAGTGTTTTCAAGAGATTTTATGCTGGCCATTGTCACATGCAAATTCTATTTGATAATAATTATGGTCAAAAGGCAATTGAAAAATACATGCATGCAAGAAGAAATGCACTGAAACAATTATTGGACAAGAATAAGGAAGGATCAGTAGTCAATTCTGTTATTTTAGAAACTGAGGCCAAGGAAATTAGAAGTGCTGCTTTTGCAGATGCTTCAAGAGATTCATCTTATGATGACTCCTCTAATGGTGATACAAAGAGAGTGATTCCAAATTGGGAGGAAGATGCTTTTGATTGGATCAAGATTATGTCAATTGTTAATACTGTTCTTGCTGAACCTTACAAGAATGTGAATGATTTTAGAGAGGCAATTGTTAATTCTGATACATTTACTGGGGATAAACAATTGGAGAAAAAGTATGATATGGTTCTATTGAGAGTTGTATTACAAAAAGCAGAGAATTTGACAAGAGTAATTCAATTGGACAATCCAACCAATCCGTATGCAATTAATATTCTCAAAGGTGATTCAGTTGCAAGTGCTCATTTTCGTCTTGGTGTTGGTGTTAATAATGCCTTTCTAGCTTTTGGTGAAATTACAACCTTAATTCGTAATTTGGTTTTACTTGGACAAGATCAAAATGTTGCTACTTCATCTATCACAAAGGACAATCTTGAGAAGAGTATGGAAATTTATGAAGAAAAAGCACAATTCAGATGGAATCGCCTTATTAACTATATGGCTACAGCAATGTATTTTGAATCGTTTTGTAATACTGTGGTGTTCATTGACCCTGGAGAATATTTCGGAATTCAAACCATTCAACAGAAGGATTATGATTCTCTCGACTACATTCCTTTTGAAAATTTATATCAGGTCAAAAGATTTTGTCAAGCACAAGATAAACAATCATTGTGGTGGAATTAATTATGGAGAGGACAACATGATGGTCGGGAAAACATTACCTGCTTATTTCACCTCCTTCATTGTCGCCGACAGAATGTTTCCCCATAAGACATTTCATCATAATATAATAAGGACAGTGATACTATCAGACACTACCAAATAAACAACAATAATTTAGTTAGAGATTAGAGTTTTATTATATTAATAAATAGGGTACAAAATTGTTGTGGTGTGATAATTTATTCTCTCTTAGAAACCATGTGGTAAACATTTGGTGAGTAGTCGGTGAAGAGATAATCGTTTTGACCACCAGGAAGAGCACAGTGCTTAGAACTTTAGAGTGTTGATTTAGTTAGAATATAATGTTGGGTAATAAGAGGAATACTTACTAGAAAAGATTGCTTTCTTGGGAAACTCTGAAATCTTGGAAGACACCTCCTTGGGAAGATTTCAATGTTGAGGAGACAAGGAAAGCAGTAGCAGCACAACCTCCAAAAATTGCAAGTTGGAGACCACCTCTTCTAATGAAGTAGGAAGAAGTAAGAGGATTAAATTTTTGCATTCTAGTTGTTTTTTTGTATTTGTTGTTGAAGTGACAATGGCACAACATCAGCTAGTGTTAAATAATAACGCGGAGTGTGTACCAGCTTTACAAAAACATGTCGATTCTTTGAGCATCTAAGTCAACTGATTATTTTTGGGCAAAAACTTGCCAGAAAATGTGCGGCAATACTGTAAAAATTACCTTATTTATTCCAAGGACCAAAAGAATCTACAAATAATTATTGAAAAATGTATTGGGCTGATTTTATTATTAATAATTATCTAACATTAATGTCAAATTAATGAATAGATGGAATTTTAATACTACAGCCAATGAACCATTTGGGAAAGGAAAATACTAAAATCCCAACAATTTTTGGAAATGCTAGTAACTGAGGAAACACTTGTCTGTAAAATATTATCATTAATAGAAATGTTAAAAAATTAATTAATTCAAAAGGAGGAAGGAAGAGATTGGATAAGCTTAAATTCCAATCAGTTACAAAATCAATAAAAATAACACAAAATAGCGCCAGTGTAAACGAATTACGAATCGTTGTAATATTAAATGATCTGAAACATTCTATCAAGGCAGACCACAAAGACAATCCTGCTGTTAAATACCCTATAAATAATCCAATTGATGTTATTAGTTTCATAACAAAATGCTTTTCTGATTGGATAGGAATTGAAAACATATTTCTTGTGTGACTGAAAATGGGTATTCCAGTATAGATCCAAATAATCCACCAATAAATAATATAAATACAAAGAGCAACAGCTTCTATTATGAAAGGAATAGATCCAATAAATAATTGTTTAGGTTTCATAAAATAATTATAAGAAAATGGAACAGTTTGTATGTGTAATTGACAGGGAAAATCTGATATTGACTGAGATAAATTATTTTCTGGTAAAATATCTATTACTATATTCCTCTTAGGTAAAACAAATTCAAGCTCAATAATTGCATCGATTATTTGGCTTTCTTTTTGTAAATTGTTTCCCAATAACTGTATCAATACTCTCTTCATTATGCTTGTTAGTGTAACATGGCTAGATGTTAGATGGGAATCAATATGTTCAGGCAATTTAAGTGAACTAAAGTTGGATTCTAGTCTCTTGGATGGCTTTATCCCTTCCAAGGAATATATTTGAACACATCGACCATCAGATTGCAAACCATGAACTAGGAGAATTCCTTCCTTGGGTAATTTACGATTAAAATCTACCTTAATTTTCTCAAATATACAATTTAATTTCCGTAAATATTTTGGAACAGATGAACTATTTGTACAATAACCCTTTCGAATGTAAATAAGAAACTCAAAGTTCTCTTGTGATGAATTGAAAAACATCAAGTAATTAAATCTGATTGATAATCTCAAACAAATTTTAAAATCCAACCTATTTTCGAAAAATATTTTCCTAGTTGATGATTTTAAGAGAAATTCCTTTTCTCTAATTGTACAGTAATTAGATCCAATATATTCATTACTGTGTACTTGTTTGATGAATTTTTCTTGTATTAATTTTATCAAACAATGATCACGATTGAATCGTTGATTATCCTCATATTTATAATTATTGAAAATAGCCTGATATAAACAAATAAATGCTTGAATAATCCTATATATATCGGATACATTTAGAAAGGAACAAATTTCAAACCACTCATCTTCCGAAAGTCTTTTAATCATGATTTTCGATAATAATTTTTTTGATCAAAAAAATCTTTTAATCGAGATCCCTAACAGAATTTAATTCAATTAATTTTATTAATAGAGCATGATAATTATTTAAAAAAATGGGAGCAGATGGCGGAACATTATGTGACCGAAGGGATATCATAGTCAAGACCAAAAAACAAGATAAAAAACCAGACAAGGAGGCAGTTAATTTTACAATTTGGAATTTATGTCGGTTAACAAAAGAACCCTTACATGATCCGATTGTAATGGACAAAGTTGGATTTTTATACAATAAGACAAGTCTTTTGGAATGTTTAATTGATAAAAAGAAAAAGAAGAAACATAAGGAAATAATTGGACACATTGGTAAATTGAGTGATATTAATGATGTAATTTTAGAGAAAAATCCCGATTTCTCTGAAGAGGACAAGGCAGAAACAATGGATAAAACAGCAGTTTCTTTGATTAGAAAATCCAGGTTCATTTGTCCTGTATTGAGGGAAGAAATTAGAGGACAATTCTCTGTTTATTGTATTTCGAGTTGTGGACATGTAATGAGTGAGAAGGCAATTGGTTTAGCAAAAAAAGATGGATGTTGCATGCTTTGTGAAAAACCTTTTCAAGAAAGTGACATTATCAAAGTTAATCCTGAATCAACAGCAGCCAAGGAAATTATTGAACAGATTATTTCTGAAAAGTCAAATGAAAAAAAGAGGAAAAAAACTACAAAAGAAGAAACTAACAAAAAATCCAAAACCTCATCCATTGCCAACGAAGAACATATTTGTAAAGAAAGTACTGAATAATAAATTGAATAATAATTTTAACACTCATTAAATTCACGTACAAATAATACATGTGAGCTTATCACACAACACAAACATTCCATAAAAAAACAGAAAAAAATGAGTGAAGAACAAATTCATCACCTTGCTCAATTTTATAAATTCATCAGCAACAATAATAACCAACTGGTCGGAGTTGAAAATAATGCAACAACAAATGACAATAATTTTATACAATATAATATTGCTATTTTAGATTCAATAGTTCAATCGATCGCCTCGAATTCTAACATGTATCAAGCCTATGATTGGAATCAACTGTATTTATACTTGTCATACAAGATTCATCACATAAGACAAATCTATCCTAATAATCAAGAAAATTTTGATAATCTAATGCAATCAATTGACAGTAATTTACGTAAATTTAATAGGTAGGTGTTTTATTCTAAAATATAGAATTTTAAAATTAATTTCTTCAAAGTAATCCACCCTTCACATTACAACGTCTTTGTGAATTGTTAATTGAGCCAAATAGACAATATAAAAAGCTTGGACATTTACTTAGCTCAATAGAGAAATGTCTAATTGTAAATTCATACATAACAGATTTTTCCGAAGAAGCAATGCTACGCACTATGGAACCATCACAAGAAGAAATTATCAATCATAATGCTCAACAAATTCTTGAAGAAGAAGACGATGTAACAATGCAAGATGTGTAAAATAACATGATTATTTTTATTCATCAATCATTTTGTTGTCGAGATTAATTATTTTGAGTTTATCCCTCTCATCCAAGAGCATCTTGTATCTTTCTTGAAGTTCTTTTTCTTTTTTACATAGAAGGGTTACTTCTTCTTCGAGATGAGCTAGTCTTAATGGCCCAACAGTTCTTTCTTGAGTTTGGATAAGTTTGAAATTATCTAGCTCTGATTTTGACTTTTTGATTTCTTCACTTATTCTCTTGAAATAGGTAAGCAATAATTCTTGCTTGGTTTTGAAAGTAGAGAGACCATTCTCGACTTGTTCCATTTCTTGTTTTAAAGTAGAGTAAGGTTTCTCTAGCATGTTTACAATATCTACCTTATTCGAAATAATAGGACTTTGATAGAGTTTGCGTAATTCCTCAAGCGATAAATTTTGATTTTGTTGATTCAATTCAATAGCCAACTCAATATTTGCCCTCAATAGTAAACTGGAAGGTATGCTTAGGTTTTTTTGAGAAAATTCATGGGAAATGTCATTGTTAATCAATTGTTTCATCTCTAGTGAGATCATTTCGCTGGCTATTTTGTTATTTACATCTAGTTCCTGAGTCATTTCTTTTGATGGCACAAATACAGACATATCTTGACATGGGGTGTGAGGTTTAGGGTAATTTCGTCTTGATACGCTAGTTCTCTGAATTAATTCATTTTGTTTTGCAACTAATTTTTCTTTTGATTTAGCCTTTTCATTTTCTCCAGCGTCTTTTTCTAAGGATTTCTTTTTAAATTCGGATTTTTCTTCATTGTTGGACTGTTTGAAAACCACAAAATCTCCACCAGTTGGTGTTGGAAGTTTGCTAAATCCCTCTTTCAAGCTTTGCTTGTGGAAATTTAAATCATCAGTCAACTCTGTTGGAGCATATGATGGAGTATTGATTTGTAATTGATCTCTGAAAGGTGTTTGGTGAATTATTGGTGTTGATTTTACAGATGAACTTTGAATAGGAGTTGCAGAAATTGGTGTTGGATTTACAAAGATATCACTCTCCTTGGTTCTTGAAAGTTGAATAGGTGTTGGTGTACTTGAAAGTTGTTGCAATTCTCTTAATTTTTCTCCTGTATTATCACCTTTGAGAGGTGTTCTAGTTGGTTGAATAAGAGGTGTTGCATTTGGTTTGTAATCTCCCATTAATTGTCTAGTTGCTTGATTATTTGAAAGAGAAGATGATGGTAAACTATTCATTTTCTTTCCCATTTTCACAATTTGATCCAATTCTTCATCTGTTATTTGAGGTGGTGGAAGTGATAATTTCACTTTTTTCAAGTTAACTCTTGATTCTGATATTTCATCCACTCTCTTTATAATTTCTGGAAGATTTTTATCCATTAAAATTTGGACCTTATCCTTCTTTTTCTTTTCATTATTTTCATTTTGCTCATTTTGAATTTGAGCTAGAGCTTGAACAGAGTTACCTTCAAATGATAATAATGTTGTTTTCGTATCTTCCTCTGTAGTATCATAGAATCCAGGAGCTGGTTTTTTGTAGAAGGGAATTTCCTTATTATAATCCACAGTTGTAGATTGATTTTTTAACTTTCTCTTTTTCTTTGTGGATGGAGCAACTGTTAAACCAGCAGCTTTTAATTCTCTTTTCTTTTGCAGAGCAGCAATACGACGACCTTCTTCTAATTGTTTTTCTCTCAAATGTCGTTTAGCCTTTTTACCCTTTGTATTGGATAAACGAGCTCTAGCTTCATTTAATGTTTCCAATTCATCCTCATCCATATTAATAGGATCTGGTCTAGCTGCTTTAGTTTCTGGATTCGGATCAATTTCACCAACACGTAATTTTCTTGGATCATCACTCGAAGAGGATGACTCTCCACCTTCTTGTTTTCTTTGTTCCTCATCCAACATTTGTTCGTAATGTTCCAAACATTGACTTGCTGTTCTTCCTACAATCGGAGCTATTGATTTCCATTGACTTGGCATAATTTTTGCAAGATGCAATAGTTTTTCCTCCTCTTCTCTTGTCCATTCGGTTTTCTTTATGCTCGGATCAAGCCATTCATACCAACGAGCTTTACATTGTTTAGCAGATTTTCTATTTAACAATGAAGCCACACGAGCCCATTGGTTTTTACCATACTTCATAACGGCAGCTTTTAAAATTTCATCCTCACTATTTTTCCAAGGACCTCCTCTTACAAATTGTTTCGGCATGATGATCGTCCAATTTTTGTAGAGGGTTTGATTGTATTAATATTTTTTTTATTATTTTTAAAATAGTTTGTTTAATTGAACTGGAAGGAATTTTCCTATTAATTTGATAATAAAAGAAATTAAAATATTTGATACAAATTATTTATTACATGGTATTATTCTAGTTTAAAATTTACAAATCATCTTCCATAGTAGTTGGTCCATGTAATAATTCAATATCTTTTTCTCTAGAGAGTATTTCCTCTTGTTTCTTCATCAAGAATGAGAAAATGTCACTAATTGAAACAATGCCGACAACTCTTGAATATTCATCAACACATACCAATCTGTGAATACGAGTTGTTGACAAGTGTCGTAATACTTTTTCAAATGATTCAGCTTTTGTACAAGTAAAGACTGGAATTCTTGGTCTAGTTCTTAAAGCATCTCCCAAAGTCATTTCAAGTCTATAATCACCATCTCTAACAAAGTAGACGATATCATATCTTGAAAATACATCAACTACGCATCCATCTTCATTTACAACAGGAATAGCAGAAACCTTATATTTAGCAAACATGCATACAGCTGCAAAAAGTTGCATTTCCATTTTAGCAGTAACAACATTGGTATATGTACCAATTCCTAAATCTTCTAAACTGTATTGGAAAATTGGAGATTCAAATTTGAGCTAATAATAACCTTAATAATCACCAAATTCAAATTTTCATAAAAACCTACATTTTGAACTAGATAGGCAAGAAGATGTGAATGTGTAATAATATGTAATAAAGCTCCCTTTGGTGACAAAACTGGCAAACGATGGATTGAGTACTTGCTAAGAGTATGAATTGCTGTAAGTAAAGTATCTTCAGGTGTTACAAAAATAAGCTTATCAGGTCTTGTACGTTTTTGCATTGCTCTCCATTCTCTAATTGTCTTGTGAGTTACAAGGTCTTGAATAACATCCATTTGATTGTGGAACAATAATAAAATATCAATCAAATCGGTAACAGTTAACATTCCGACAAGACAACTCTTTTCACTATCCCAAAGAGAAGCAAATGAAATGTCTAAATAATCAATTTTGAATACTATAAATCCTTAATTATTAATAACATACCATTATTAGCAGCAACTTGGAAAGCTTCTCTAACTGGCAGATCAATATCAAAAACTATTACTTTACCAGAATAAGGCATTAAATCATAGTTAGTATTTTGTTTGAAAAAATCGAAAATAGGATCCAAAATTTCCTCTTGAATCTGTCCGTTAGAGACTCTTGGTTTTGTTGTTGGTGATGAACTAATAATAACTCCATCTTCATCACTCATAATTTTAATATTACTTGGTGGTTTTGTAATGGCATGAATACCTCCTTCAGAGAGACTAGACTCATCCATGGAAAAGTCATCTTCACTAGTGTTTTTCTTTGGAATGTTCATGATAGTAGAAGATTTAATGTTGTTGATTTTTTGTTGTATTGATGATGTTTCGGACTTTCCAATAACACTCAAATTATTATTCTTGTTGTTGTATGAGTGGTCTTTAATATTATTATCCAATGACCGTGTAATACTTGGAAGTGAGAGTGATCGGGTAGGAGTAAAATATTTTTTTTGTTTCTTTTGGAAATTTGTGCAACCCATCTGTTTGTTGCTGTTTGGAAAATTAGTGGTTGCTGGAGTTTGATTTGCAGAATTGGAAGCTTTGAATGCAACAGAAATCACTTCATCATTGATTCTTCCCAATTTTTCATACCTTGATTCGAGTTCTTGTTGTCTTGCAGCATAGGATGTTGGAGATTGTAATTGGTCATAAACAATTGACTTGTTGTAGAGAGATGAATCAGAGGAAAATGGTGTTTCGAATTGTCCTGTCTCCTTCCTTCCTCCTGTTTCTTCCATCAGTGATTCATCATCATCAGCTTGAGGGTTTGTAATGAGTTGTTTAAACAGTTGTTTTTCATCTTGTTTTTTGAAAAGCAAATTGTGAACTTTAGATAGAATTCTCCTCAATTTCTGATTCTTCTTAATAAAGATATTGTTATGGTCAGTTTGTTTGAATTGAACATTATTGGAATCTCCGTTGTTATGGGCTGTTTTAAATTGATGATTTGAATCACTTCCTCCACTTGTTGACTTTCTAAAGAATTTACCAAACAATGAATTTCTTCTTTCTTTGAGTATTTGAGGAGAGTAGGAGTCTCTCCTCAATTCAACGGTTTTACTTCTTGAATGATTAACATCCAAAGATTTGGTAATTGTTGATTGTGTGGTTGTTTCCATGTTTTTTTTGCCTGTAATGGTTGAGAAGTTTAATAAATCTTAAAAGTACATTTTCCAAACTGGTTTTAAACTAGGTGTCACTTCGATAATATATGAACTTTGTCATATGAACACCTCCAAATTCAAAGTAATTGTTATTTTAATGCATATAATAAATAAATTATAAAATTTCTATTTAATTTTATTTTTGTAAATTAAAAAAAATGAAACGAGTCATTCAAAATTACCTCGCTGTGGCACCATCCACTTTAAAGAAGGTGCAAACTTCAGGTGTTGCATCATCTCTTCTTCAAAGAATGTCTTTCTGTACAACTTCTCGCATCATGAATAATGACAATAACACAACAATAACACCTCAACAACAATATGAACGTTTTAGACAAACAATCAAACCTCTCAAAAAGAAGGAAGCCTACAAACAATTTATCGAAGTTGAAAATACAAAAGTTGAAGATATATCCTTGACGAACTTGAAACTTCCAATGCCACTCAAAAAGAAGAGAAGAGTTGGTAGAGGTACTGGTTCTGGAAGAGGAAAGACTTGCGGTAGAGGTAGAGGTGGTCTTTACTCTCGTAATGGTATTAATCTTCCTGTTGGTTTTGAAGGTGGTCAAACTCCATTGTGGCGTCGTGTTCCAAAATATGGTTTCCGTAATGGTAAATTCAAACTCAACTATCAAGAAGTTAACTTGGAACAAATACAATTCCTCATCGATTCTGGACGTATTGACATTAGTCAAGGTGCCACAATAACTATGAGAACATTGAAGGAAGCAGGATTGATTAAAAATCCAAAGTATCCTGGAATTAAATTACTCGCTAAAGGAAAGGAATTTTTACGTTCAAAGATTGATATTGAAGTACCAAGAGCATCTAAGGAAGCTATCAAGGCCATTGAAAGTGTAGGCGGTTCTGTTCGTTCGATTTACTACAATAAGAAGAGTATTCAAGTAATGTTGAACTTTGAAAAGTTTATCCAACAAAAAGGCCATTTATTATCGGATGAAGAAAAGAGTAATCCACAATTGATTTATAAGAAATATATGGGTTTACCACCTCCAAAACTTTTGAGTTTCTATATGGAAGAAGCTAATAGGGGATATCTTGCACCTTTTGCCAAGGCTTCTTCGTTTGAATTTTATAATGACGAACAAAAACAACAATAAATGTTAAATAGAATAAATTGTTGGATAAAAACAAATTAAAACCTTAATGAAACAAGTTGAATTAATTGTGGATAGATCTGAATTAAATAATTGAAAGAGAATGGGCCAAATAATATTTTTAAAAAATATTTAATTTAAAAAAAAATGGTTTACACTAGCATTTTGTTCCACAGCGACAGATGGAAGGAATTTGTTCCAGCTGAGATGCACCAAGAAGTAGAATCTAAAATCAGCAGTATGTACATCAAGAATAGTATGAAACAATAACATTGTGTTAACGTTTTTATGAATTTAATAATAATTGTTGGAATTTGTGATTAAATTGTTCGGATGATGTATAGAATTGAAGCCTCTTGTTTCTGAAGAAGAAATGGACAAAAACAATGTTCCTTTGTATTTGAGAGATGCCTGTGTTCACCGTGTTATCCCTCTCAACAATTGCAGACACGAAAATTATTATAATCCTTTCAAATGTGATGATGAAAGAATTAGATATGAAAGATGCCAATACAAGAGATACATGAAGTGGGTGCAAAAATCACAAGACTTATGGCGAAGAGAAGAAAAATTGAGAATTATCAAAGAAAAGTTAGAAAAAGCCAAGATGAACGCTCCAGCTGATGAATAATGTAGTAATATTCTAATTCCCTTTTAACCACCATATCTTATCTTCCACAAACTCATCATGACTTTCCGTAATATTAAATCATCATTAGGAAAATAATCATAGGTGAAACACCAATTCCTATTTCCAATAATAAAAACTATCTGCCACAAAACATTGGGTATTTTTGAAAGAAGGAATTTACTCTTGTTTTTCATTTAAAGTTGTACCAATCTCACCCCTTCTGAACATTGTAAATTGTCTGATGAATGGTTTTTCAAATTTGTAGAGGCAAACAATAAAAAGCATTAAAAACAAACTTCCAACACCTATATGAACGAATCTGACAATGCAAAACAGTTTTGTTTTAGAAATATCAAAATAGAGTTCTGTAGCCTTGGTAATAACAAGGCAACTGGAAAGTACTATTAGTACTACTTTGGATGGAATGATCTGTTGTAGAATTTCACTTGGTTTCATTCTCAAATTATTCTTGTGTTTCTTAAAGAATAAAACTATAAAATAGGTGCTATAGGATATTCTCATTAACATATTAAAACAGTTGGCAATAATCATACTCTTAGTTCCCAAATTGAATAACCACAAACATGTAATACAAACAGACATGTACACAATAGAGAATAGAATCATAATGTAATTCAGTTTGATAATTTCCTTTCTATCTGAAAGTGCATGAATAAAAGCTTCACTTATTCCATTTAAAGCCATAAAGAAAATATAAAAACAGTAAATAGATAATATCTGAGGAGCTTCAGTATTATTGGCCCATTGGTCACCATATAAGAGATAAATGAGAGTGTGAGAGTAAGCAGGTCCAAAGAAGGCAAATACACAACCAATTAAAATGGATGCTTTCAAAAACAGAATTAAAACTGTGGCGCTTGTTGTAACTGATTCAGTAATTTCGTCATTGGAAGGTTTCCTTTCAGTACAATTTACAATATTGCTCAATTTACTCCAAATAGAGAAACTGGTTTCTTCCAAATATTGAAATATTAAACGAGCTGCCAAAGATCCAAGATTAAAGACAATATCATAAACTCCCTGGTCATACTGAGTACGAAATAGAATTAATATATGTTTTTCACCTTCTGTGAGTATGTATTTAATTACGGATTGATAGAGAAAACTTTGCGAGAGTTCAAACAAGTTCCAATCCCATGAAATTGTAAATTTTTCCAATAATTTGTTACCATTATTCCATTTAAAATTATAAATTAGATATCCAATAAATATTGTCAAACTATAACATATTTGACTATATCCAAAGTAGAGTAAAACATTTTCTGTTTTGCAAATATTTACAATAAAAAAACTAGAAATAATCTTGATAAATAAAGCACTAGCTTCTATTGTAACTCTAACACCAAATGCCAATTGAGCAAGAGAAAGAATATACATTGGTTGAGCAAAAATTTCAATAAATGTTGCAAAGCTATAAATCAATAATGGAGATATTGTAGAATCTACCTTTGGTAAATAAAATGTTCCCCAAATAAAGTAACAAAAAATCATTGTCAACAATCCATATGGAATTGACAATAAAGAAATGGTTCTGATTTTCTGATATTGGTTTTCATTATTACTTTCATTCAAATTTGTTCTTAAACAAGCTCTTCTAAAACATTCTGAGGACAGAAATATTACAGTAGTTGCAAATAGTTCAGATTTAAAGATAAACTATTCAAAGTCATAAAAATTATTAATCTCAAAACTTACACCCTTAGTTCCTGGATCTAATTGTCTTATTATATATGTATTTGCAACAAATGTTACAATTTTAGAGAGGAAGGACAAAGCTTGATAAATTTTAATAATTTGTTAATTTTTCAAAACATACATAATAAGTAGGATAAACCCTTTCCTGCAGATGTTAATGTATCCTGAATATGACTTTTTGTTGGTTGGTTGTTTCCGATTTGTTTTTCAATCAAGCTCTCTCTTGCTGTACCATCTGTGATTGTATTACTGATGCGTATTTTGGTCATTTTTTTTTGATTGATATGAAATATGAACAATACACGTTTTTTAACTTCGTGTTTGTAGATATTTTCTTCTTCTTTCCTCTGTTTTATATTATTGAGAACCATCAATTAATTGATGAGAAGAAAATTATTAGTTTGGTAAAGGGGAATTAATAGTTGCATTAAATCCGACAATGGAGAGAAAGTGATAGTGGAGTTTCTCTTTCAAAATCACAAACTAGCGAAAAAAAGCGACAACAACAATGACAAACTGTGGAAATGCACTCATCAGTGGAACAACATCATCTAATCGAACGAAAATTGAAAATTCAAATGGTGGAACGATAAATACTACTAACATGACTCAAATTAAAAACCAACATATTTATAATCTATTAAACGACCAAATAGATGAAATTGATATTTTTGAAGCAATAGCAGATATCAGGGATCCCGAGCATCCCTACTCTTTAGAGGAATTAAATATTATTAATGAAGATTCAATTCAAATAATTAATGGATCTATTGTGAAAATTAATTTTACACCAACTGTAAAACATTGTTCATTAGTGTCTCATATTAGTTTATGTATTAGGGAACGTTTAAAAAATAGATTTGGAAAAAAGTTGTTCGTGACAAAGTATAAATTAGAAATATTTGTATCGGAAGGGTCTCATAATGAAGAACAACAGGTTAATAAACAGATTAATGATAAAGAGAGAGTTACAGCAGCTATGGAAAATCCGTTAATTATGGAATTAATAAAGCAATGTATTGGAAATGAAGATGAATAAATTTAAAGGTCTTCAATTTTAACAGTAAATTCCTTCTTTTCTGGATCTTCTTCTCTCAACATTTTGATTTTAACTTGACCATTATTCCATTCGGCTGGAGCAACAAAAATAGCTCTAGTAGCACCAATCTTATCAGCATATTCGAAACAGGCACCAACCTTCTTTGGATTCTTAAGATATAAATCAGCAACTCTACCCTTCTTTCTCAAAATTGAAACAATCTTAGCAGCTTGAGGTCTCAAAGAAAGATCGAATGGAATAACAAAGTCTTCAACTTGTTGAGAAGTGATATATTCTGGAATCAATTTCAAATCTCTGAGAATTTCCAAAATGACAACATCTCCAAAACCAAAACCACAAGCAGGAATTTGATCCTTAGCTCCATAAGTTCCTAAAATCTTATCATATCTACCGCCACCACAAATTGCACGTTGAATATCACCAACAGTTGCAAAAGCTTCAAAAACAACACCTGTATAATATGACAAACCACGAACAATACTTGGATCAAATTCAATCCAATCTTCAATATCATAACCATTCTTTCCTACCATGGCAAAAATTTCTTCAACTTCCTTGAAAACGGTACTATCCTTGAAAGCTTGATTTGTCAACATTCCCTTGAAAGCTTCCAAAGCTTTAGATCCAGAATAATCTTCATTTGGATTCAATTTCTTAAAGTTCATCAATTTGATAATCTTGAGAGCAACTTCATCAGAAATTTCAGGAACTTTATCAACAAGAATCTTTTTAACATCTTCAGCTTCCATCTTATCCATCTTGTCAATAATGATACAGGTTTCCTTGAACTTGTCATCAGATAAATTAAGTCCAAATTCTAATTTGATCAAATCTTCAATAATTTTACGAGAACTGAATCTAATTGTAACTTTTTCACTTGATAAGGAAACCAATTTAAAGAAATTTACAATAGTAGCAAACAATTCACATTCACCTGTAACATCTTGAACACCCCAGATATCACAGTTCCATTGATAGTGTTCTCTCTTTCTACCACGAGTAGTAGTTTCATATCTCCAACATTGTGGAATACTGTACCACTTTAATGGGAACTTTAAAGTCTTTTTGTTCTTCAAGATAAGTCTGGCAAGAGATGGTGTCATTTCTGGACGCAAAGCAACGTTCAATTCACTCTTGTCAATAAAGTTATACATTTGTTGAACAATTTCTTCACCTCCCTTTCTCTTGTAAAGTTCTTCCATTTCAAGGATTGGTGCATCGTATGGTTCAAAACCAAAGAGTTTACTTGTTTCGTGGAATTTACTGAAGAGCCATTCCCTTTCTCTCATTTCTTCAGGAAGGAAATCCCGAGTACCAGCTACAGGTTCAACCTCAATGGCATTACCCTTTCTGTATTTTTGTTGTTGTTTACGTTTGCCCTCTTCTTCAGAGACAGGGTTCTTCTTTTGTTTTGTTTCAACTGGTGTTGTAGCAGTGGTTGGTTCACTCATTTTTTTTTATTGGTTTTTGCAAATTATTTTTTTTAAACTTTATTCAATTTTCAATTGATAATAATAGATTTCTGCACTTTTGTAATAATGAAAGGTTTTTAAACTTGCACATCATACAATTTGATTTATTGATATGGTGTATCACTTAAAATGTCCAAATGTCTTGTAACAATTTTCACAAATTGTTCTTTTGATATTCTGGCTGCCTTGTCAACACCCTGAAGAGCTGTTTCGGCGTTGATGTTAGAAACTTTAAGATTAACCATTGTTTTCAAAGTTTGTTCATATGTCACAAATCCCTTATTATTAATATCTATCATTGTAAACATTGTCTCAAAATCTGTTGGTGTTAGAATTTTAAGTGAAGATTTTTTCTTAATTTGTTGTAAATTTTCAATTAAAAATTTTCTTGGATCCTCTGGCATATTAATAAGTGTTTGTTGGAGAAGATACTGTAAGAGTTCACTAATTTTATGCTTCTTCATATAATCTCTAGCAGTTTGTTTTGATTCATAGAAAGGTTCATATTCTTCCTCTGTTTTTCCTTCCAAACTATTTATCATTCTTCTCAAATCAGCTTGAACATTATTCGTAATATCAACAAAAACTATTGGAATATTTCCATTATAGTGAAGATACTTTCGTAGAGTGTTAACTGTTTGATCTTTTTCAATAAATTCATGGTGAACAAGCAAAGTATCAATTTCATCCTTTTTGTAACATCCTTTTTCAATAAGAGAATGTACTATCGTCTCTCTTGGAGCTCTTATAAATACAATTTTTAGATTATGAGTATCTTTGTATAATTTGATTGCAGTCATAAGGGGATTAAAAATTGATCCTTCCTCAGCTGCTGTGCTATTTGAGAGTGAAATAATTATTTTTTGAGACTCTGGATTTTTCTCTATTTCTCTCTCAATATTTGGAATTGCTTTGTATACATAGTCATTACAAATTTCCTCTCCATTATATTTGTATTGCTTATCAAGAAATTCTTTCCAACATAAATCATAATTTCTAGATCTAAATTGGTCTAGAAATTCATTTCCTTCAACAACTTCAAACAAATCGGAAGTCTTCTTCAGATCATATCTAACATCAACAGGTGCACAAGTTATTGTTGGGACAAAATGATATGAGGTTAATTTTTCAAATCCAATTAAATCACGATCCTTAGAAGCTCCACTAATTACACCATTCTTCTTTTGAATTAACTCTTGCATTAGAAATTCCTTCCTACAACCTTCAGCACCGAAAATCAAGACCAATGTAGGACGAGTAGAGAACATTTTTTCTGTTTGGAAATCGTAAAAATTATTGGCGCCAAACAATATCGGTTCCCGACTTGAATGGATATTAATAAAACACAATCAAAAAAAAGGCCAAAAACACACCATCCCTTCTCTATCGGATTTCTTTCAGGACATATGTTGTGATTGAAATTATATTAAATAGATATCTTTGAATCAAAATGATCCATACCTATATTGCATATTACATTACAATACTTGCAAAAATTGTGCATCAAGTACCTCTACCATTTCTTACAATTACTATCCTTTCGAATGCTGTTGCTTTTTTTATTGAATTATATTTGGATTATAGACAAAGTAAACTTTTGAAAACTTCAAACATTCCCTCAAAATTACAAAAATACTTGGATAAGGATGAATTTGATGATATGAGAAATTATGTAGGTAATAATTTAACAATTGATTTTATAATGTGTGAAAGAGCATTTTGAGATTGGGATTTTCAAGATTGGAAAATGCATACGGGTTTATAACTGAGGTTGTGATATTATTATCTGGGGTTCTAACATGGATTTTTGACTTATCTTTGAAAATTAATATTTTACTCTTTAGTTTAGGGGAAGAATATGCCATTACAAGAGGTGTGACATTCCTCTTCCTTGTTTCTTTACTGAGCACTTTGGTGAGAGCTCCATTTGAGGTTTATAGAATTTTTGTGATTGATGGAAAATTCTTTGAAACCAAGCAAGAAAGAAAAGATCTTCAAAACTCTACACTAACCAATGAAGATGTTGCTATATTTTCACATCAACAATTATTGGAAAGTAGTAGATCCAAATTAATGCAAATCAATAATGCAAAAATGTTTTTTGGAGATGAGCAAGGTGATAATTCTGTAAAAAGTGATGAAGAAGAAACAACATCCCAATACAATGAAATATCAAATTTTAAAGAAGATATTACAAGTGATAATGATAGTGATGGAAGTGAGGGAGGAGTTCAGGATATAATGACAGTTTTTCGTAATTGGATAATGGATCAAATCAAAATGGGAATTATTTCAGTAGTTATAGGCACTCCACTTTTATTCTTAATTTTGTGGTTGCTTACAACTGGAAGTCCAATTCACTGGGTTTATATGTGGGTTGGAAGTGTTGCCCTAGCTGTGGGTATATATGAATTATATCCAATAATATTAGCTCCAATGTTCAATACTTTTTATGGTAAGTATTTTAATTTTTATATTAAATATAATCATTTTTAAAGAAATGCCAGAAGGGCCTCTCAGAAAAAGTATTGAAGAGTTGACAATTAAAGTAGGAATTCCAGTTAAAGATATTGTCTACGTAGATGGATCAAAAAGACATGAGAATGCAAATGCATTCATGATTGGATCAGGAGAAAATAAGAAAATTGTTCTATACGATAATTTGATAAGTAAAGATGGTTTGAATTTGACAAATGATGAAATACTTGCAATATTGGCACATGAAATTCACCACTATAAGATGAATCACAGCATCAAAATATTAACTTCACAAGTTTTTTCTTTAGGGATATTTTTATTTATCCTCTCATTCACTATCTACAATGAATATTTTTACAATAGTTTTGGATTTACAGAAATTGATGTAAGTTTACAAAATTCAATTCCATTATCTTACAGATTTTTTTCAGCCAAGTGTTGGATTATGCTTATTCTCATATCTTTTTCAACCACTGGGAAATTTTGCCATGGTAATTCTCAATCATATTCAAAGAAAATACGAATATTCCAGTGATGAGTACAGCATGAGTCTTGGATATAATATTGAGGAACCTCTCATCAAAATGCATGTCAATAATGTTTATAATTTAATTGTAGATAGATTATACTCTAGCTATTACAATGCACATCCTTCCTTATTGGAAAGAGTTGATAATTTGAAAAAGTGGATTGAAAGAAATGCCCAACGACAACGTTTGAATGAAAAGTTGATAAAACAAGAATAAATCAATTTTTAATGTTTCATCTTCTTCCAAAATATAATAATTTCAATATTTTTAAAAAAGATTCTCCACATTTAACTGTTACTTTAAAAAGAATCCCGCATCTTTGAAATGCCAAAAGCTTCATAAAAATTTCATCCTTTGACACTGTCCATCAAATTATTATTAATAGATAAATCAATAAGAAAATGCTCAATAATATTAGTGGATCCAATACCCAGAGAAGAGTATCCCGCTATTCCTTTCTCTCTAAAGGAAATCATAATACTGATCACCATTATCAACAACAAGTAATAGAATTGAATCCATCAACACAAGTTGAATCTAAATGCTATTATTTTGATGATCCTCATCAGCAAGAAATCAACCGATATATTAGAAATAATTATAATTATTGTGTTGTTGTGGAATTTGAATTTAAATCCGAAAATTATAACATCAATAATTTTTCTCCAAAATACACCATCAAATCAGTCTGTTTTAATATTATTCCTCTATTCCAGCCAAACAATTCCTCACATCATCATGATATGAATATATCCTACTTTTATGAAAGAAATAGAGGAATTATTATTAATAGTGAAGAATTTCAACCTGATGAACAGTTAACAATGGATATTTCCTACCCAATTCATATTGTTTCTGATTTGAAAGAAGCAATACAAATGGTAAGTAGTGGTATTATTTTTCTCTTAGGTATTCAATACTAATATGACTCTTTATCATTGTAATGACACTTTCTTTATATCTAACAATACATTTTTCCATTGTGCTCGTTGATTTGCCTAATTTTAATTTTCCCCGATTTTATTGCAAATTGATTGAATTCATTATTGTCCTACAACCCCTACAATTGTTTTATTAACTGTTCAACTTGTCGCCTCATCATTACCACTGGTGATTGTTTTTTATTATCAATGATGATTCTTTACCACCATTTTGATTGACCCTTCATTGAAAAAATTGCTCCAATTGAATGTGTTGAATAGTTGGATCAACATATTATTAGTCACACTCAATCATTATTATCATCTCATTCAAATAATAGTAAGAAGAGCTTTTGTTTCCTATCAACTACAACATCAATTTCAAACAATACTGATATTAGTTTACCTCATATTTTACAAAATATTCTAGACTCTATTCAAATAGAAAATCATTATCTTATAGAGAAGACATACTTTATCAATACATCTATAGGATTGCATCAACAACATTTATTGGAAAACCAATCCTCCCTACAGAGTAATAATTTTCCCGACCTTTACCAAGCATTCCCGACAAACAATTTATTGTCACCACCACTCCAATCAACAAATAGTAGTGATAATTGTCAATACTATCCACTCAATTATTCTCCAACACAAAATTATTCTACTAGTTTTCATACTAACAAGAATTTATTGCTAACAGCATCAAACATAACAAATACCAAACATAACTTTGAAGGGAAAATTTTGCTTGAAACAATTACTCATTTTACGATTTGTGAAAAAATGGCTCAATCAGTAGATACCCAACAAGACTCATCCGACAATACTCCAACAAACAATTGCAGTACAAGTACTGCAAATAATCAACAAACCGAGCAAGATGGTCAACATTCTATTCAGAATTCTATTTCCGAATGTTTAAAAAAACCACTTTCTATCCATTCACCTTCCTTTGAACCACCTCTTCATGTTTTACAACAAACAATTAGACAAGAGAGAGTACTTTTTCAACAAGTGAACTCTCCTCTAACAGATGAATTTAAAACTTGTGTTGTAAGATTGAGAGGATTACCTTGGACAAGCACAGTCCAGGATATTGCAGAATTCTTTTCTGAATTCAAACTTGCTAAAAAGGAACAATCCAAAGATGATACCGACTTGTCATCATCTGAAATTCAACCAACAATAGAACAGCCAAGTACTTGCATAGTAGATTCAAGCTCTCCATCACAGTTAACCTATGCAGCTATAGTATCTATGGGCGTTTCAAGTAATGAGCAAATAACTGATATTGAACAAGTAATCCAACAACCAATTAAGCAATACAAAATTTCAGTAGATACAGCAAAGGATATGGATATTATACTAATGTTAAACTATTTTGGAAAATCAACTGGTGAAGCCTATGTCAGATTTGAATCTGAAGAAGAGCTCGAAAAAGCAAGAAAAACTATGGATAAGAAGAATTTAGGTAGCAGATATATTGAAATTTTTAAATCTACCATTGAAGAAATGGAACATTCTAGAAGAGTATTAGAAAGAAACTTGAAGAATTTGAATAATTCTAAAATTTTAAAGATGCGTAATGTACCATTTTCTGCAACTGAAGATGAAATTGAAACATTCTTCTCTGGACTCACTATTGCAACTGTTCAATCAAGAAATCAAGCTGAACAATCAAATGAGACTAGAAGAAGAAAAGTGTACTTTGTTTTAAACCCAATGAATGGTAAAAGAACTGGTGAAGTTTTCGTTGAGTTTACTTGTCATGACCAAATGTTACAAGCCGCCAAGAGAAACAAGGAAAAAATTAGAAATAGATATATTGAATTATTCCATAGTAGTATTTCAGAATTGAGAGCATCTCAATACTATATTCAACAACAACAACAACAAAATTACTTTCCATACCAACATATTACAAGACCTAGAATATCAGGTGTACAAAATAGAAAGTCCAATTTCATTGTAAAAATTGAAGGTTTACCAACTAGTTTTGAAGAAAATGAAATTGCTGAGCTCTTTAATGGTTTATCTTTATCCGAAGCAGGAATTCATCTCATTTTTGGTGAAGATGAATGTTCTACAGGTGAAGCTTTTGTTGAATTTGTAAATGAAGAAAGTTTTGCCAAAGCTCTAGAACAAAATGATACTACTATTTCTTCAGTGGATGAAAATAATGTAGAACAACAAAATACCATCAAAGTAATAGCATCTGATCGAGCTGAAATGTTGTCAGTATGTGGCATTGAGGAGGAGGAGGAGGAACAAGATGAAGAGGAAGAACCATCTAACAATACTACACTTGAAACAACACTCGATCAAACCAACCATAACGATTACTCAAAGAGAAGATTTAATTATAACAATAACTTTGCTTATCCAATGGTGTATTATGTTCCTTCCTATACTCCATATTATGTCAATCCTTATTTTCAACAACAAGGACAATCATTTAGAAATAATTTAGATCCAAACACAGATTCAACAATTGTTAAACAACCATTCAAATATAAGTTATTCGAACATCCAGAAAGAACTCTAAAGATGCGTGGATTACCATTCTCTTCAACTGAAAAGGAAATTGCAGAATTCTTTGCAGGATATGATTTTGAGGAGGATTCAATAAGATTCAAGATGGATTTCAAAAGAAATCGTCAAACAGGAATTTGCTACATTAGGTTCAGAACCAAGACTGAGGCTGAAAGGGCAGCCAATGAAAGAAATAGATGTAATATTGGCGATCGTTACATTGAACTTTTTACAATCACTCCAAAAACGTAATTAAAATTTACTTTGATTTATGTTTTGTTTCTGCATTTTCTATCATATCATCACAAGTTGAATACCAATAACTCTTTGGATAAAATTCAAGTTTAGAAAGTGTACCATTGAATTTACCAATAAGAATATGTAAATGGAGATGGTCAATTGAATTGAATGGGGGTAAATGAAATCCCATTCTGTTTTGTACAATTTCATTTGAACACATTTCACTCCATAATTCGTGGTGTCTTCTTTTTGCAAATTGCTCTCCAACTCTTTTCATGTGTTTAACTTTGGATATTAATGAAAGCTAAGAGATGCACCAACTTACCCAAATGCAAATCATCTCTATTACTGATTGTTCTCATTGTTGGGGTGTGTTTAAATGGGACGACAAGATAATGAAATTCAGCCTCCGGACGAATATCCTCTACAATGTAACACACTTCATCTCTAAATAAAACAATTGTATGTAAATCATCATCTTGTTTATGAAGATGACAAAATTTGCATTCGTGCTCTTTTCCTGTAAAAATTCTTTTTAGAAACCTAAAGCTAAACACTATTGTTTTGATAATAATAGTTTTGATGATAACTCCTATGAATACAAGTATCATTAAAAAACTTTTAAAAGATGACATTTCCGATTCATTGAAATCCAAAGAAGTCGCTGAGGCCGAGTGTTGTAGTCTTTTGGATGAAGGCATTTTTTACAATGTTGTATTGATAATGTGCAATAAAATACAATGTAATCTCTTTATTATTATGAAAAATCAGCAAAAAGAGTTGAAAGGAGTAAGAACGTTTTTTTGTACATTCAAGATATTTATTTGGATAATCCTTCTCTAGGGTAAAAATTGAGGCATATACTCCCTTAATGACCTCAGCAAATTCAGTTGTTATCTTATATATAAGATACATTAAATGCATGACAATTGGGTTATCTTGTAACATTTCGTGATGTATGTTGTAGTTCTATGTTGAACAAAGATGAACGCATACAAAAAACCCGCCAAAATTGTAATCACACCAAACAAAGACAATGTAAATGCCCACATCTCTTATTGCCTCACACAATACAAAAAAAATAGCTTGATACTTGTTATTTAATCCTTTACGGAAATGAGTGATAAAAAATATACACCACAAGACGTTTTAAAGTACAACAAACCAACTGAGGGTAAGTGTTCATACAATAGGAAGTTTGGAAAATAATATTTGATGATGGTTGTAAAACAAAATAATTATTTTAATTATTAATAACGAATAGCCTTCTTATGTCCCCTTAACGCTAATACTGTTGGAATCCAATTCCTTGAATTCAAGATCCGAAACTGTGATTCAGGTGAAGTTCTCTTCCACACCTCTGCTGAAGAAACAGCCAAGGAACTTTTAAAACAAGGAACTACGATAGATGAAGACTCTCTTCGTTCAATCAACTACAAATTCGATAAAGCCATGCTCAGATCTAAAGGAATTGGTACTACGTAGGTATTTGATTTTTCAGATTGATCTAAAAAAACAAGTTTGACTTTCAAGGTTGGTCCAAAGCCAGTTAAAAACTTTAGAATGATCGAAAGACACTACTTTAAGGAAAAACTGCTTAAGGGTTTTGATTTCAATTTCAAGTTCTGCATTCCTAACAGTCAAAATACTTGGGAATGTATTTATTCGATGCCAGAACTGACCGAAGAAGAAAGTAAGTATCACCATGTCAATTCATATTAACAAAAACCCTCAGTCATTGAAATTGAAAACAGTCCATATCAAGTTAAATCTGATTCATTCTACTTTGTAAATGATGACGAAATGATTATGCACAATAAGGCTGCCTACGCTTATGTTGATGCAAAAAAGGATTAAATCCATCAATTAAGCAAACATTTGTATAATTAAAATTGTTGTTGTATCAAAGAAAACAAATCTACAATAAAAAATAACTATCCCGCCTAAATTTACAGGTTTTTAAAACTCAAAAAAAATGGCTGAAGAAGATTTTATACAATCACTTTCTGTTGGAATTAGAAGAGCAAAATCAGATGAAGCACCCAACATACAAAAATATATTAGTGAGAACAGCTTTCTTCTAACAAAACGTTTCGGAAATTACAATCTAAAAACAATAATTGAGACTGGCTACATTTCTATTGTGGCTGAAGGTGATCAAGGACAATATCAAGGATTTGCATCATTCGAATTTGAGCCATCAGATACATTAGATGTGGAGAAGTACTTTTCCTATCTTCCTCTGAATGTTCGGAATACAATTTGGATTAGACTTGTTCATTTTGAACCCCTCTTTGGAGAGACAGTTTTAATTGAAATGCTAAATTCAATTTTTATTACTTTCTCTGAAGTTGACAATATTTGTTTTCAACCAGTAAGATCAAACGTTCAAAGTGGTATTGATTTCTTCTCTCAATTCTCCTTCTTCAAACAAGAAATTGGATCAGATGTCCTTGTCAAGTCTGACACTGAAAAATGTATTTTTGTTTGCCACAGAGACAATCTAGGTCGTGGAGTTAAGCGTTTGTCAATAAGACAAGCAGTTGTTGAGGATAATGACGATATAATTCCTCTATTATCAAGTTGTGAGAATGTAACCTCCTACAAAACAGAGGGCGAGTACTTTTTGGCTAATCTCTTGTTTGAACAAAATGATTCTAAAAAGATTCTTCTAGCTACTGATACAGAGAGTGGAGACATAGTAGGTGTCATGTACATTACAACTGAGTTGGATATTAGGCAAATTCTCTCGGATTACAAGACTTATAATGAAGGAGAACCAATATATGAGGATTTTATAGTTGAAAAACAAATTGGTGACAATATGGTCTACCATTCAAATGCCTTTGAAATTAAGCTCTTCTACATTCAAGAGGAGTACAAGTTTAGAAGTATTGATTTATTGAGAGCTGCATTCAAGGCATTCCAAGAATCTAAATATTGCATTGTGGGAATCAAATTTGAGGACCATTCCAAATCTGAACATCCTCTTTTAAAACAATTCATCTATATTGAACCAACTCAAGAATGTTCTAGCCATTCACTTCATATTCTTTCTCAAGTATCCATGGTTGCAGACTTTTTCGTTGTAAAGGCCACAGAAACAACACTGGACAAAAATTCATCACCACAAGAGACTATTCTGAGCTTATTGAGACAGGCAGAATTTCATGAAGAGTTTATTGGTGCAGTAGCCAAAAGTTTTAAAGGAACAAGATATGTAACCATGTTACTGTTTGATAGTAACTCAGCAGTGGAAGGAAGAAATGAAATTATTGGTATTGCAGTGGTGGACACCCAAGTTAATGAATTTCTGCTTCGTAGACACTTTGATTTTACAGAATACATTGATTATTCAGCATATAGCTCAAGAGGAACATGTCAAGCAATGATAACACATTTTTATATTGAGCAAAAGTTTTACAGATACTCCAAATTGTTTTTGAAGGAAGTTATGAGAAAATTAGAAAAACATATTCTCTACTATGGCTGCTACAGAGGTGAAATTCCAAACGATAGTCTTAACAAGGAACTCATTTACTTGAAATCGACCAGACAAATAGAGTTTCCAGGAGCCTTAAATGAGAGTAGTAGTGGAAGAAATTCTTCATTATCTGACAATGATTCCGTTATCTCTGGAGCTACTGTTTCTAGCGGAGGTGGATCGAGAGTTTTAACGAATGTACAATACGATTCTCTCTACTTTATTAATAGAAGATATTTGAGTGAAGAAAAAACTGAAATATTTTCCAGAATTGTGGTTATAGGTGGTTCAAAAACTGCACTGAGTTTTATTAAGGAACTTTCTGCCAACTCTTCTCTTTTCTTTAACAATATTATTGTCGTATCTCCTGAAGGTGATGTTACCAAGAGCCCTGAATTTTATGCCGATGATACGGATGAAGAATTCAACAACAGAGAATTGCTTAATATGATCTCTCTACCAAACATTTACTTTGTGAAAGATAAACTTGAAGATATAGAAAGAGTCAACAAGAGTGTCCTCTTATACGAAAATCAATCCAGCTTCATTACGTATGATATTTTATTATTATGTACAAGCAGACAGTACAAGATGAAACCAAAATATTTAGAACTGGTTGGATATCCCAAGAAAGGCATTCTCAATTTGAACCCAAGAGTACCTGTAAATGAAACAGGAGAAGAAATTGATCTAACCGAATATTTTGAAATGTATTTACATGAAAATGATAGTGAAGAAAGAAGTGATAGTTCTTATATTGTAGTATATGGTTCCTCCTTAGATGCATTGTGTACCGTTAATACTTTATTGAACAGATTTAATGTTGAGCCATCAAAATTATTACTCATTTTCCCTGATGGAAAGAAATGTATTTTTAACGAGAATGAAGAAATTGAAGATAGATTGGACCATATTTTAGAAGTGGCCGGCCTAAAATACTTTTCTCAATATACATTGGAAGATTTTGCCTCTGATGAAGAGGGAAATCTAGTGAGAATTTACCTCTCACCAAATGAGGAAAAGGAAGAGAAGAAAAAACATGCCAAGATGGTTGAAATTGATTGCTCCTTATTTATAAATTGCCACAGTAAGGATGTTGATGACGGTATTTTATCAACTGTAAACAGACAGTCCCTAGTGTTTGACGGTAGATTAATTGTGGATACACAATTCAGAACTACTGATACAAGTATTTACTCTGCAGGGCCTATGGCCAAGTTTTCAAGAAGGTTTGGAGAATCGAGAATGATGGAAGCTTTCAACTCGTCTGAAGTTGGATCAAAAGTAGCACAGTCGGTACTTTCAGCTCTTGGAGTAGCTGAAGATCCATTAACAGGATCTATGCCAACATTTGTAAAGAACACATCAATTAGGTGTGTTCTTCCAGGGGGTGTAAGATTTTTCAGATGTATGAATTCTCAATTCGATGTTGAAAAATGTGTTAAATATCAAACAAATAACGTTTTAGGACCTCGTACAATTAATGACATCATAGAGCCTTTTAGATATACAGGATTGTATGTCAACAAACAAACAAATTGTATTGACTGTATTTGTTATCTTGGTCAGGAGCAAGTTGAAGAAGGAAACTTGGCAAGCTTGGTAGGTTTGCCATTATCCTATTTCAATGATTTAGTGCCAAGGTACAAGGATGGATTTATTTATGATTTCATAGCATTTTTGAGAGAAAATTGGGTTATGGCCATTCTTTGTCATAAGTTTATTTCTTTCAAGAATGAAACTAAAAAGAAACTTTTAAATGAGGAGGATAATATTGGTAATATTAATGAAGTTTGTAATGAAATTGCAGAGCTAATATTGCATGGTGAATCAGAAATTTTCACTGTTGATCCAACCAAAACTATTAAAGTTGAGAAGGAAGTTACCAGAGATGCCAAAATATTTGTCCAATCTGAGCTGATAGATTTCCTTACTGTACACCAAGAAGTTTTACACTCAATACCAGGAGTTTATTTTGTACCAAAAAAACAATAGATTTGTCATTTTTCAATTTATTATTCTACTGTCAGAAAATCAAGTCCATAAAGCATTCATATATAGCTTGCTCTGCTGATCCAAAAGTGATGAAAACTATTCTCCAATTTATGGAATGAATAGGTGAATTTTCATCTTCATACTCTTTAATAATAAAATCTCTAGTTTGAATTCTCATTTACATATTATGAAACAAAAAACTCACCTTACAGTACCAAGAGCAATAGCACTTGCTTCTATTTTGGGATAACCGAACTTGCCTGTTGAGATACACGGTAGAATTAGTGTGGATGCTTTAGTATTACGTGCATTATCAATGAAAAATCTCAAACTATTTCTATAACAATTTGCAAGAAGTAAGCTATTGGTAGCATCACCATATTTCTGTGATCCTCTAGGTCCAGAGGTGTGAATTATATAGTTAAAGCCATTTGATTCCTGCATTTTGAAAGAGCTTGTAACAAGTATTTCTCCCACAGGACAATGAATTTCCTTTTCATTTACTTCAAATGATTTATATTTCCATTGAGAGGGATCAGCAAGACTATTTTCCATTTCACACCTTCCACAACATTGAAATATTACTGAAGCTAAACCTCCTCCAATAACCAGGGCTTCGTTTGATGGATTTACAAGGCTAACTACCATTTCTTTTGTATAGTTTTTTAAATGTGTAATATTTCCTGAATAGAGAATTAAATTACAACTCCAAAGATCATTCCAATTTATATTACCAATTGTTGTTGAGTATTGTTTACAATAATCCAAATTTAATGAGGACAACAATTCTTCAAGTGATGATCCATGCTCCGAAGTGAAATTAGAATCAAAAGCAATTTCTAATCGTGAGTTATACATTTGTGGTTGAATGGTTTTTAAAACTTGGACAAGCTTTTTACGATCACTCCATGATTCTAATTGCATCAAATCTTGGTACCAACTTTCATCCATTTTTTTAAATTAAAAATAGATTTAAAACTTTGGAAAATTTCTAAAAAGAAAAAATGTTAAACTTCCATCCTGATTTTCCTCCCCAGAACATTTGTTGTGACTGTGGTTGCCACACTTGTGATAATGATGGATCGTGTAATAATCCTTCAGTGCCATTAATATTTGAAACTTGTAATCAAAATTTAAATCAATTGTGGAAATCTTCTCATTTGAATATTTATTCTCCCTCTGATGTTTGTTTTGGAGCATACAACCCTGTCATGGATCTCTTTAGACTTCTCCAAAAATTTAATCCAAACTTTCCAAAGAAATTTTGTTTTGATGAGCAGGAATGTAAATCAATTATTGAAGCCTTCTATTCCACTCCTGATGATTTAGACTCATCTTTTTTATATGATGTTCTGATTGGTGAAAGATCAAAAACATCATCACCAATCCCGATACTTTACACTGCATACAGTAATGGTCCTCAGTGTGATAATGTCGATCAGTTTGAAACCTATTGCTTTAGGACAAAAGAGGATTTCAAAGCTGCAGTAAAGGCTCATAAAATTTATGAAGATGATCAAATGGATATTCAAAGTAGAAATTCCAAAACAGCCATTGATAAACAATTACAAAAGAAATTAATTCAACAAGCAGAGAAAGTATTAGAAATTTCTCCAAATTGTTTGGAAGCCTATAATGCCTTGGCACTTTATAAAGCAACAAGTTTTGAGGAAGCTTTGGAGTATTACAAAACTGCACAGAGTAAACTGCAACAACATTATAGTGATACGGCCCATGAAAATAGAGAAAAATTTGAAAAATCAAACAAACATCAATTGTACTACATTTTGGAATGGAGACAATACATGAGAGCATTGGTAGGGGAAGCAAACTGTCTTCGAAAGCTTGGAAGGTATGAGGAAGCCCTAAAGTGCTATCGAAAATGTGAACAATTAGATTCAGAGCCTCATGAAATTCGGCATGACTCTATCTCATATGTAAATTATTTATACCATATTCCAGAGTGTTTGATTAGGTTGGGTAAATTCAAAGAAGCACTAGATTTTTTAAAAAGTAATAGAGAATTATTAGCTCTTCCATCATCAAAAATCTTACTATGGAGTTTTGCTTTATGTGAGTTTGTAGTATCTAAATTACCAAGAGATTTTAATAGTATTGAGAAGTATGTCATTCCAGAATGTTATGATGAAGAACATGTATACTCAAATGCAATAGTTCCTGCTGCACTAGTTTCACCTCTTTTTTACGAATATCTGATAGGAATTAGAAAATTGTCTAACATTAGGCTTTCAAAAACGTTTAGAAAGAATAGTAATGACAAGCTAGTTTCAGAAAATTCACAAATTCAATACTGTGTCGATTATTTAGATATATGGTTAAATATTCCAGGAGCTCTAGATTGGGCCATCACAAATTGTAACACAATTTATGCACAAATGTGCCTCTCTAAAACAGAAAAAGAATTGAGTCGAAAATATTACTATCCTAATGATCCATACAAGAATTTGGCGTTATATTCGAATGGATTTTTTGTAAACTCTACACAGCCAATGACGGGTAGGCAACTCATTCACACAGCAATAGATAATAACGATAGAGAAACTATTAGCTTTTTGATTTCTAAAAAAGCGGTTATTGTCTCCAAAGAAATCAACTCTAGTCTCAATCCTCTCTATTATGTATGTGAAAGAGATAAGGAACAGATTTTACAATTTTTACTTTCTAGTAGTTCTTTCATTAGGATTGAATTGTATCCAAAGGCTTTTGAAATCTGTTCCTATCTTGGTCATTGGAAATGTTTAAAGATTTTATTTTGCGAAATTTTGAAAAGAAAAACTATTGATAATCTTTTGCTGGAAACATGTGTAGAGGCTATTGTAAACTCTACCTCGTTTGGTTGTATTGGTAATTCATGTAAATATTGTAAATCTGTGAAGGGATTCCAACATTCTCTTAACACCAATTATGTCAATTGCTTGGATATAATATTAATGTTTGGATGTAAAATTGAAAAAGAATGTATTCAAAAATTAGAGGATAAAAAGAAGAAGACTCTCTCAGATCGAGTTAACCAAATTCAAAAAAGACAAGTAGTTTTAAATCCTACAAAATATGGAATTACTGATACAAAAGTTCTTAATTCTTTGAAAGAGATTAACCCATATCAAAAGCTTACTTTAGTCAACCAGCATTCGGCTCAAACAGCAGAAGAACTTAAAGATGTTGGAAACCAAGAATTTCAAAAAGGAAAATTTATGGAAGCACTCAAATACTACAAACAAGCCCTTGAAAAGAGTGATCATGTCAAGATTACACATATACTACACTCCAATATAGCTCAATGTTATATTAATTTAAGGCAATTTGAATTAGCTTTGGAACATTCAGAGAAGGGAATTTCTGTTGATCCAACTTTTGTAAAATGTTTTTATAGAAAAGCATTAGCTCTAGATGGTCTTTCTAGAAAGAATGAAGCCTTAGAAGCAATAGAGGTAAGTTATGTTTATTGAATGGCAGACTCGATAATACTTTTATTGCACAGATGGCACTAACTAAAGAACCAACTAATGAATCATTCCAAAAATTGAAAGAAAAAATCAAGAAGGATCTTGTTAATCAAGATAAAGAGGAAAGACTCTGCAAACATTGTGGAGGAAAACGAATTCCACGTGTCTGTGCATACTGTGGTAAGGAGGCCAAGAAGAAGTGTTTTGGATGTAAAGAAGTAAGATATTGTGACCTGGGTTGTCAAAAACATGATTGGGAAAATCATAAATCTGCTTGTAAATGGGCAGAAATGCATAAGAATGCCAAAAAGTAAATCCTCTTGATTGTTGACGGGAATGCTATCAAATGTGATACATTTTTAAAAAAAATCTAAACAATTAAAAACAATATCTGGATATTTTTTATGAGCTTTTTTCATCATAAAACATGAATTATTCCGTTCGTTTGTTATTCTCGAAATCCATCAATTTTATTCGGAATAGACACTACTCTGTTTTGGCTTTTTTAATTTTTACCATCCTACAGACGATCACAATAATTGCTGTGATGATTGCAAATATGATTTATAATTCTCTTGATGAGGAGCCTTCAGTAGCAGTTTATTTTCTATCCGTTATTGCAATATTGGCCATGCTGTGTATGTGTTATTTTGCTGTGGATGCAATTGTAAATGAAAACAAAATGATGATATATTCGTATATTTTAATAAGCTTATTTCTAATGGGAAGACTCTTATATGGATTAGCGTTTGGGGGAGAAGCAGAAGAATTATTAACCCTTGTCCCTAGCTTGTTAATTTGTTTTTTTGAAGGTAGGTCATTATTATTAAGGGTATATCCACATTAACCCATTACTATAAGTTTGTCAAGTTGTTTTATCAGTGCCAGTTGTAAAAAGTTTTGGATGGAAATTATATAGAAAAATTGGATCTGGAAAACTGTTGCATGAATTATATAACACTTACCATATTTTTGTTGCAATACTGAAAATTGATTTTGTCTTTACACTTATTGTTGGATTATTGGGATTTTTCTTCGTAGTTTTTGATTATTGGTGGGTTTACTTATTATTTGCCACCGGAATATTGTGCTCTCTTTGTAAGTTTTCACAATTTTTCAATAGGTGTGATAATTGAAATTGAAAGTGAGTTCACCACTTGTTATTTATTTTGGAATTCGAAGAGAAAATAAGCTCATTTGCTCCATATTTGTCTGTATTTGTTTGTTGGTACCATTATTCTTAATTTACAAAATTACCATCCTGTGGCTGCCTTCCTCACATGAAATTGTGGCTGAATGGGGAGGATCTTCGATGTCTCAATTTGAAATCAAGATTGGCTTGACCTTACTCTCTTCCCTTGCCTTTATTGTAAAAATAATTTTGATTTGTGTAACTGTGGTGTGTATGAAAAATTTTGGCAAAGGTCTTGCAGAAACATTTAGAAATACCCAATCACTTGTTTTGCAAAAATCAACCATACAACCCACCTCAGCTCCATACTATAGTGATACTATTTCAGTAACTTCTAATGCTCTTTTTGCAGTAACATCTTCTGGTGATATTGTTATTAATGATGGCAGAAAGCAAATGGTTTCAGTTTCATTGACAAGATCAATTTCAGACGATTCTGGGTTTTTGGGCTCGTCTAGCCATAACTATTCATCTGGAGACGAAGAAGAAATAATTCCAATTAATAGACCAAAGCAATCTAAATATTAATTATTGAACCCAATGCACATCAGTATTGTAACACCACCATTCTTCTATTAGGTTATTTTGCATCTTGCATTACAATTTATCTGTTATTTGATTATTGCCGAGAATGAAATAACAGACTAAAACAAAATGTACATTCAAAATATACAAACAAGCACAAACAATCCTCTAAGACTAGTCAACAGAGAAACGATCAGAAGGATTCAGTGTTTTTGCCACACGACCAGTAGGGAAGAATTTCGAAAATAGCGGCAAACAGGAATCAGAACACAACCATTCGAAAAGGTTCTTTAATGCCCATCTCCAACACGTTATGGAAATACTGTTAGCTCAAAAAAATCAAATTGTACAAAGGATACTACATATGCAAAACCATCAGCAAGAATTCACAAATTTAATTTACAATAACAAATCATTTTTAAAAATAACCATACAATTTGCACATCAACACATTTCTACCGCCAAAATTGTTTACGATTTCGGTTTTTAAATTTAAAAAAAATGCCATTATCATCAACATCAGACTCCAGTCCCACTCCTGTGGCAGAACACGATGATGAAGAATTGAACACTGATTCTCTTAAGAAGACTCAAAAGAAGAATGTAAATACAGTAAAGAAGGTTAAAAATATGTCGGATGGTGCTCTTTCAAAACAACGATTCACTATTGACAAAATTAAAAAGGACAATGATCTCTTGAGAGAAACAATTGCCAACCTTACACGTAATGTGAATACTAGTGAGAGTGTAGCTCTAGGAAAGAAAATTAACAAACTCAACGATGTTATTTATAATATTACTTTAAAAATTCAGGAAGAAAAACGAAAGGTTGAAAATCTAGAGGAGCACTTTAAGGACACTTCAAACAGAATTGAAGAAGCGAGAATAGAAAGATCTGGAGTAAATGTCTCTAAAGAAAGTAATAGATTAGTTGAAAAACAAATCAAAGTCCTAGAAAATAGACTTGATAAAGCCCTTGTAAAGTTTAATGAGTCACTAACTGAGAATAAGGTATTACGTGATCAAATTGAAAACTTAAGAAAAGAAAGAGTAGTATTCGATAGTATTTATAAAAAGATGGAAAAGGAACTCCAAGAGAAAAAGAAGGAAATGGCTAAAATCATTGAATTATCTAATTCAGCATATGAAGAAAGAGGGCAAGCACTCGAGGAGCAAAAGCAAGTCAAGGATGAACACCAAAAAGAAATTGAGAAAATTGAGGAAGAACGAGAACAACTTGATAGACTTTTGAAAGAAGCAGAAAAAGTTACAGAAAAGCTTCAACAAAGAGAATTGGAAAGAAGAGAGAGGGAAATTCAAGAAGCTGCTGATCTTGACAGAAAGAGAATGCTCAAATCTAGTTGGTCTAATTCAGGAGTCAAGGCCAGAGCAACTGATATGAATGAAAAAAGAAAGCAATACGAAGAAAGATTTTCCAAAATTGAAGAAGCAACAGGGAAAAATATCGATGAACTTATTGAACACTTCTCTCAATCTGAAGATCAAAACTTCTCCCTCTTTACCTATGTAAATGAACTTAACAGTGAAATTGAAAAACTTGAGGAAAATATTGTTGAGATTGAAGAAGAAATTAAGAAATTCAAAGGAGAGGGAGTCAATTCAGAATCTCAAAGAAAGAAGGTTCTTTCAGATATTCAAGAAAAAATCAATGAAACAAACAGCAAAACTGATCTGTACCAAAGAAAGTACGAAAATTCTCTCAAAACATTGGAAATTATTTCAAGAGGTATTGAAACAATATTCAACAAATTGGGATGTGACCCATCGTCTATTTCAGACATGCTTGGTACAACTGGTGTAACTGAATCAAACATGATGATTTACTTGGGCTTTATTGAACAACGTACTAATGAAATTGTTCAAATGAGTGTCACAACAAAGAAAAGTGAAGGTAAGAAGGATGACAATGCTGTTTCAGGACCAAAACATCCGGTTGGATTTACTGAAACCCTCTCCATAGAACCTCCTTCGACAGCTAATGACGGTCTTTCAGATGATGATGATGATGATGAAGAAGAAAGACCATTTACAAGAGAAGAATTGATGCAAAAGGCAAAGAAAAGTACCCTCAGCAAGAAACCTAAGAAGAAGAAATAAACCCATTGTAAATTATTTTATCAATTTCAAAACTGCCACAAAGTGTTCCATTCTTATTTCCTTATTTTCAATATTTTCTCGCAGTGACTCTAAGGCAGCCTCTCTGCACCATCCGCTAATAGATGCTCCTGTCCAGCTTCTTTCCTGTATCAATGAAACCAAATGCTCAATGTTGATATTAGATGAAAACGGCATTTTTGCTGTGTTAAAAGATATTGAGCTACTTGTAGGAAACAATTCAAAAACTTACCCTTGTATACTTTGAAAATTTCCACCAAGTCCTCCTCTTCTGGCATGTGCATGTAAAGTATTTGGTCAAGTCTACCAGGTCTCAAAATAGCTTGATCTATTAATTCTATTCTATTGGTACAGCCCACAATAAATACTTGTTTTCTATTGGAAATTCCGTCCATTTCATTTAGTAATTGAGATAGAGCTCTGGCAGATGAGCCACTATCTGTAACTGTAGCATTGTTTTGTAACTCTCTCCTAGGAGCCAAAGCATCAATTTCATCAAAAACTAGAACACATGGTGACAATTGTTTGGCTCTTTTAAAAATGTACCTTATCAATTTTTCTGTTTCACCAACATATTGACTGAATACTTCAGGACTGATCAAGTTAGAAAATGTTTGCTCAGTTCACTTACCATTTAATCGAAATGTAATTCATTTTTCCCATTGAAGCTAGACTCTTCACTAGAAGCGTTTTTCCAACTCCACTAGGTCCATGCAATAATATTCCGCAACATGGTGGAAGACCAAACCTAGAGAAAGACTCTGGATGATCTAGTGGCCAATATAACAATTCTTTACATTTTTGCTTGATTTCAAAGTATCCACCAATCTCTGAAAATGCAGAGTCAGTCTCTTTGTCACTAGCCTTGAGGATGGTAAAGAGATTTTCTGTATGTAATTGACTAGGCTTAACAACTCGTAATGCATAGTCAAAATCATTCCAACATGGTTCGGTAGTTGAAGAAATATCTTTTCGTATGGAAATCATGTGATATTGTGCCATTTTAAATATTCTCTCAATATCTCTACCAACATATCCAGATACAAATCTCTGTAAATTACTTAAAAACTCTCTTCTCTTCTCCAAACTCAATAAAGGAAAATATCTATTGAAGTGAACGCTTAAAACCTCTCGTTTGCTCTTTAAGGAAGATGGAATAGGAATGTAGAAATCTCTCTCAAAATGTCCACTCTGACGAATAGACTCATCCATTTCTTCTACATTCTTGTTTGAAACTGCAATCACTGCACACTTTCCGCTTGTAAATACAATGTTTTGAAGAGCTGAGAACAAGTTACCAATGTTTTTTCCTAAATTTTCCATATCATCCAAACAAATAAGAGTACCTTTAGTCAAGTTCAAGTTATGAAACATGTCCATACTGAACGAAGATCCGTTCCCAAACCTCACAACAACTCCCCTCCTTTCAAACTCCTTTCCAATATATCTAAAATATTGCAAAAATATTAATATTATGAAATAAAAGTGTTATACACAAAAAGAAATAATCTTACCTGAGTATTGTTGATTTTCCAGTTCCTTGCAACCCCCACAAGAGAATAGTTTTAGGTAGGTGAGTGTAATTTTCACTAGCTCTGAAAAATAAAGTATCCAGAATTGTTAAAATTCCTTCCAATTGGTCATTCAATCCTCCCAAAGTATTGTTCGATAATTCCTCAATAAAATTAAAAGTATCAATATGGTTTGTGGAGCGTGTTGTTGGTTTACTATTTTTAAAATCTTCTGTAATTGAAAAATTAAACTCATTTGTTACTCTGTAATATACTGATTTTTCATTTCCAACAGTTTCTTCAATATTTAAAAGTATTGGATACTGAACACCCATGCACTCTATAAGGATTCTTTCACCATTCATGATATATTTACCAATCAATTTGGACTTTATCAGATGGGAAAAGAAATTTTCCTTCTTTTTAAATATTGACTTGCTTTCAAATAATTTAATTCTATCAATAAACTTCAAAACATCGTCTGAATCAATAAATTTGATTTGAACGTTAATATTATTTGGTGGTGAATTATTAATATTTGTTAAACATTGATAATTAATATATTTTTCATTGTTATTCAATAATTTTTCCACGACTACATCTTGTCCATGCAATAACTTATCCAATCCCAACAATGAAACAATTCTCGAATTGGCAATACAAATACTTTCTTGATTATTGCTCAGAAATCCTCCAAACTCTAAAATTGTGAAACTGAACGAGTTTTTCAAAATTATTGGTTCAAAGAGGGAACTTATATTTATACTGTTATCATCGGAAGGAGAGGAAATTAGTATTGACTGCAAATCACAATTAAATTTATCATCACCAATAAGTTTCATTTTTTATTTGTATGAAATCTTTGTGATTCAAATTTAATGAAGAGTGGTACATTTAATGTTAATAAATACATACACAACAACAAGGCAATTAACGGAATTCATTCGGAATCTTCTCAATGTGCCAATTCCTCATAATGATACTAAATTTTCCAATTGAACCACTCAACTGTTACCCACTACGTCATTTAAATTTTATTTAAAAATAATTTTATTTTTTTAAATTTAAAAGCGCAAACGCTTTAGCGAAGAATACTGAATCCTAAAATAAATCAACAATAAAAAATGGTCTTAGCAGAATTGGGCTCACGTATCACAACAGCCCTCCGAACCATCAACTCACAAGCTGTTATTGATGATGCTGCGATCAGTGAATTATTAAAAGAAATTGGTAATTCACTTATGGCTGCGGATGTAAATATTCAACAAGTGATTCAACTTCGTAATGGTATAAAAGCAGGATTGGATTTTGAAAAACTACCAAAAGGTATCAATAGAAGAAATCACATTAAAGCTGTAGTTTATCAAGAATTATGTAAATTGTTGGATCCAGGAGTTAAACCATTCCAACCAGTTAAAGGAAAACAAAATATCATCATGTTTGTTGGTTAGTATTATTTCTATTTAAAAATTCTTAGTTTTTGAAATAGGTTTGCAAGGTGCTGGTAAAACAACAACTTGTACCAAGTATGCAAGATATTATCAAAAGAAGGGATTCCGTTCAGCACTTGTTTGTGCCGATACATTCCGTGCTGGTGCTCTTGAACAATTGAGACAAAACGCAGCTAAGGTTCAAATTGCCTTCTATGGTGACGAATATGAAACCAATCCAGTTAAAATTGCAAAGGATGGTGTGGAACAATTCAAAAATGAAAAATATGAAGTCATTATTGTAGATACTTCAGGAAGACACATGCAAGAAGAATCTCTGTTTGAAGAAATGGAACAAGTTTCTCAAGCAGTTAATCCAGATGAAGTCATTTTCGTCATGGACAGTAGTATTGGTCAAAGTGTTAAAGAACAAGCAGCTGCTTTCAAATCTAGAGTATCTGTAGGAAGTGTGATTGTTACCAAATTGGACGGTCATGCCAAAGGTGGTGGTGCTTTGAGTGCTGTTGCAGCTACCAAATCACCAATTACATTTATTGGTACCGGTGAAGATTTTGATAATTTCCAACAATTTAATGCTGAAAGCTTTGTTTCTAGACTTTTAGGACAAGGTGATCTCAAAACACTTTTAACTACAGTTCAAGAAGCTGTAGATCCAACAAAACAACCACAAATGTTTGATAATATTGCTAAAGGTATTTACACAATCAGAGATATGAGAGAACACTTTACATCAATAATGAAGATGGGTCCTCTGTCACAAGTAATGTCAATGATACCTGGATTCAGTGAACAATTATTACCAAAAGGATCAGAACAAGAAAGTAATGCAAGATTAAAGAAATACTTAACAATAATGGACTCTATGAATGATACTGAAATGGATTGTACAGATATAACTAAATTACCGAACATGCAATCAAGAATAATGCGTATTGCTAGAGGAAGTGGTAGAACACCAAAAGATGTTCAAGAATTATTGGAACAATTTAAAGTATTCCAATCCATGATTGGAAGAGTGAAGGATCTCAACTTAGCTAACATGAAATCGCCTAAAGATTTACAAAAACTTTCTAAAAATTTACCAAATACTCTCAAAGGTATGCCAGGAATGGGAAATGTTGATATGAATGCCATGATGAAACAAATGCAAAAAGGTGGTATGCCAAATCTTGGAGGTATGAACTTGGGAGGTTTGATGAATGGATTGTCAAACATGCTTGGAAGTGGTGGTCTTGGAAATTTAGGTGATTTAGGCAGTATGTTTGGAGGTGCTGCAGGAGGTGCTGCAGGTCTTCCACAACAACCCAAGACAAAAACAGTCGTAAGAAAGAGATAAAATTGTATATTTATTATAAATCAAATGTTTATTAACAAGTTTGATAGTGGAATGAATGGTACTCTTTCAACTTTGTTTTGAATTAAAAAAGTATCTGCATTAATTTTGATGAAGAAAATATTCAAATTATTAAAAAAAAAATGCCAAGTGTAAAAGCCAACAATAGTTTTAAATTGAACGATACTGCTCGGAAGATCATTGATTCCTACCAAGAGAGTAGTGATGAAGAAGATGCCGGAATGGTAACAAAAAGACAAGCTAGACAAGATTTGACATTTACTAAATCTAAAACACAAAAGGATGTAAATCAAGAAATTATTGATAAATTCTTAAAGGCAAATCCTGATGTTAATGTTGCTACTAAAAAACCAAAGGATGAAATTGAAGAATCTGTCAAGAGTATTGAGAAGAAAATTAAAAAACTCAAGAAGAAACTTTTAATTGTGGAAAAGGAGGAAGAAAATGCCGATAGTATGGATACTGCATTCGGACAAGAAGATGAACACAAATCAAAGAAAAAGAGAATTTTAAAGGAAATAGCATTCCTCAAGGAATCTCTTATTGTTAAAAGTTCACAATTAAAGAGAAAGAAAAATCAAGAATTCAGAGAAGGAAAGGAAGAGGAAGAAAAAGGAAAAAACCTTGTTGTTAAAACAATTGTAGATGTTGAACAAAAACCAGAAACAGAAGAAGAAAATAATATTTCACTTACTGGAACAGAAATTCCAAATGAAGACGAAGATGAAGTTGAATCATCAGCAACAAATGAACCACCTTCAAAGAAATCTAAGGAATCATCCGAAAAGAATCTCACAAAGAAAAGAGTTATTGTTGAATATGTTCCACCATACACTAGAAAGAATTACAGTGTCGCTGTTGCCATCCCTGGATGTGTACTTGATTCAAACATGTCAGAAGAACAAAAGACATTATTGTGCATTTCTATAGCTCGTGCTTGTACTTGTTTAAAGGTTAATGAAATTATTATTTACAACGAAAAGGGAGAATCTATGGAAACTTCAAACTTTTTACCAAATATCGAGCCACCAATGGTTACAGAAATGAAGACTGGCAAAAAGAATAAGAAGAAGGATGATTTTATTTCATTGGCCATTGATAGAAATGTTTATTTGGCAAATATGTTATACTATCTCGAAACACCTCCATACTTGAGAGAAAAACTCATTCCAAATCTTAAAATGTTGAAATTTGCAATGTCTTTACCACAAGACGTACTCGATAGTGCTCACCATTTGAATGCCATGGATATGGCTCATCCTTTCAGGGAAGGTTTGGTTTTAGAAGAGGGTGATTTGGTCTATGTTGGTCATTCAAAATTAGTCAAGCTCAAGAAGAAGGTTCCACCAGGATTGAGAGTAACTGTTGAAATTTACAATACTCTTCAAGGATATCATGAAGGCAGAATTGTTAGCTCCGAGGCACCAAAACAAAAGAAGGGATTATATTGGGGATATAATGTTCGTTTAGTTTCCTCTTTCAGTCAAATCTTTAACGAATGTTCTTACAAGGAGGGTTATGATACTGTCATAACTCATGCAGAATTTGGTAAAAGTATTGACTCTAAAGATTATGATTTGCCAAGCTTTAAACACTTGTTAATTGTTTTGGGAGGTATGCACAACATTTCAGGCGCAATTCAAAGCGATGTGAATATTGTAAAGAATTACAATTCTAGAAATTTATTTGATCAGATAATTAACTTATGCCCAAATAACGGATTGAAGTCTATGAGAATTGATGATGTTTTGACTCTTGGAATGGGTGCTCTTCGTAAACGTATTGATTTTAACATGCCACCTGCAGAAGTCAAAATCAAAGACCTTTCCTCATTCCTTTTACCAAATAATAATAATTAAATGCTTTCTAAATTCATTTGGTTGTCAGTAAAGGGTTTACCTTTTTTATCACATTATTGCCTCTTATTTAATTGGTTACATTAAGCTTCATATTACACTTTATTTCTTCATTAGGAAATAAGAACATGGTTTAACTGAGCCAAACCAAGCATCTCCAAATCTACAGGTAGCATCGGCGTGATTAGCTTCAGTAATATAGTGTTGAGAAAGGTGGCTTGAGCTGAATTGGGATGAATTACCAATCATACATGAACTGATACCAACCAACCCGTCATTCGGCTCTCCAAAGTTGACCATATTACTCAAAAATCCTAAGGCCGGAGAATAATAAGAATTCAAGCCAGTACTACTTGTTCCACACATTTGACCTTTGATGTAGGGCTGAGCAATAGATTCCAACTCTGAAATTCCCTCAAATGTAGTTTGTAATGTTTCATAGGTTGGATAGACTTTAGTTGACTTGTCAAGACAATATCCAGCTTTTGAAGCAACAAATTTAGCAACTGATGGTGTAATAATTGACACCTTATTTTCACAAACTTCCTTTAACACGCTTACTGCCTTAGTTCCCTTCATTGGACCCATCAAATTGTACCAAGATACAGTTTCTTTATCTATTTTACATAGATTATTCTTTAAAGCACCTGCAATTATTAAATTACCCATTGAATGAGCAAAAACAATTACATTTCTAACAGTATTATCAGTTGCATTGAGTTGATTGGCATATTTAGGAATGTGTTTCAATAACATGAAATCACAAAAACTTTGTTGTAGCTCCATATTATCCCATCCTCTATTCTTTGTCTCTTCACGAATGAACCATCTTTCCGAACACTGAGGTGTGTAATCGGCAACTGGTCCCCAATAGAGCTCATATTCTTCTTTAAGAGGAGGTCCTAAGTAGTTTGAATATGTAAATGAGACATTGGAAATTGACATATCTACATACCTTTTCTCTCCTCTAATTCTCCACAACCATGTACGAAGAGGCAAATCTTTTTCTCTTCTGATTGTTCCACTTGTTGTTGACACTTGTCATTATTTCTAAGATATGGAACCTTACAGGCAACAGAATTGAAAAAGTATGCCTTGGCTGGTGAAATGAAACTCTTTAGTGAAATAACAGCCCTTGCCTTCTCTTTTGGAAACAGATCTTTCAGAACTCTGCTGTTTGATACTTGTTGTTCTTTGTTAACAAGTGAAAGTTCTTCCTGAATTGTTTTTGAAGTTGCAAATAATTGTTCAAAAGTAGGTTCAACATTTGTTTGATTTACATAATTATTTCCTCCCCTCATCTTTACATTCTGGTTAGTGAGTTGCTCTACAGAGGTGATTTGAATAGTAAATTCCTGTCCTATAATGTATCTTAAATGAAGAAGATTTGAAACCATCTTTTCGACCGTTATTGTATGTGGATCTTTCTTTAAAACACAAAATATGTAATGCTGATCTTCAAAGTAAACGACATGCCTACTCAACAAACTACTAGGACACAACCTATCAACAGCCTCATCAAAAATAGGAACGCTCTCAGGAATGAAATGTGAATATGCAATATTTGACATCATTTCATCATGTAAGGCAGTGAAGAAGTTGTGAAATTGGAAAGACTGAGTTGATGTAATAATATCTTCCTCGCTTTCATTGTGAAAATGTTGAGTGAACGCCAATTTCTCTGAATCATAATAAATACTCTTTTTGAGGAGACTTGAAGTTGAAACAAGTCTTAATCTAGTGTTTTTCTTTTGCTTGCTATCATAGCTCAAAACAGCTCTCCCTCTAAAGAGTGGAAGTTGATTGTGGTTAGTTTGATAGGTAATGATTCTAGATCTGGCATGTAATTTAAAGTCTACCAATAAATTTGAAATGCTAAAATTCTCTGGGAATTTTAACCATCCTTTTGTTTTCAATAAGGAGTCATTTAGTGATGATGGTGTTCCACTATTACTTATTCCGTTGGTAGAGAGAGAAAAATGTAATATTGTAAGAAGAAGTAAGTAAAATCCTCCCCTTGAAAAGCCCCAACTGCAAACCATTGATGTGGAACTTTTTCTTTTGAAAAAGAAACGCTTGCCATTCAGAGTTGTTATATTAAGTGAATGTTCAAACAAGAAACATCACAATTGGATGGAAAAAAAGGGAGCACAAACTACAAAATATCAAAAAATATTTAACGTTTATAAACTAGCTCAACAGAATCATCGAGATGTGAATCATCCCCTCTGTAGGGGGTAATAGAGAATTGAGGCAACCCAGTTCTTATCCGTTTGTCATTTGGTCCAATTGAAAAATCCGAGCTGGTTGACTGATCATCACAAAAACTATCCTCATGATTATGTCTCTCTCTGTTGATGTTGAACATTCTAGAACTTTTTGGCTCTTGTATCATTCTCTCCAAACCGGTGCCAGGGTGTGTAGGTGAAGTTTTCTTTTGTAATCTTGACAGTTTTGAATTTTGTTGAATTAATTTAGAGAGAGCATAGTCTACTTCATCTCCATCTGATCTTCTAGGAGAGGAGCTTGAGGAGGATATGGAGCTAGAATTTAAATCTATTTTTTTTGAATCTATAGTTTGAAATGTTTGCTTTACATGTCTATTTACATTTGGTTGACTTGGAAACAATCTTTGTTTGGTTGGAGGAATACCTTTTTGTATCCTATCAATTTCATCTTGGGCTTTGTTTGGCTCCATGTGGAGAATTGGTTTTTGGTAAATGTCGCTAGTATCTGATTGCAATTTTCTTTCGTTGGCCATGTCTTTCCTCCTCTCTCTCACATTCTCATTCCTTAATCGGTGAATGATAGAGTACAAGAGTGGAACTGAGTCACCATCCTCATCCATCTCGTCATATGTTTTTCTAATGTTCAACTCATGAGCAAGAAATCGCTTATCTAGTCTTTCCTGTGGTTGATTGCATTCCTTTAGGAAAACAGATTTTGTATAGTCCATATTATTGTATTCCAAATACTCTATGAATAGTTCATTAATAAGAAATTGAATATCGGAGGGCTTGGGTTTTGAACTTTGTTTTTTTAACCAATACTCTGTGGTCTCATCATGATCTTGCTCCTCAAATGTTTTAAAAATTTCTGCTCTTAAATTTGCTCTAATTTTGTTGAGCACTCCTCTTTTCTCTAGATTGTCTTTCAATATGTCCTTGATTTCCTCTAAAGACATTTTTTATTGATTTTTGTACTTGGTTTTGGAGGGAATTTTTAATTCTACAACTCGAGAGAAAAGAACGATTAAAACTTTTAAATTATAGGGAGCAAACCAAACACAACATGTCAGGTAAAAAGTAAACCTTGATGAATTAAAATACTCTGTTAAAATCAAATTAAATGCAATAAAAAAAACTTAATTTTTAATTTGTTATTCAAAAAAAATGCTTGCTAATATGAAAATTTTGGCCCGACCAAAAATAAAGGCCACTCCTTCCATCATTTCCTTGCTTCCTCTCAATCAACAAAGACATTTGAGCAATTGGACTCATAGACCAACAAAGGACTTTGAAAAGGAAAATATTATTGGAAAGGCTTCACATGCCAGAAGACAAAAGGAAAAGAAATTCTACAAGTGGACCGTCAATCCTAGTGTTACAAGAAAAGAAATTCAAGAACACAACGCTAAAGTCAATGCTCCAGGTACTAAAAAAGAACAAGTTGTATCAACAAGAAACAAGCAATATATTGATGAAATATACGCAGCCGCCAAACAACATAATCCAAAGGCTGCTATTGAAGCATATCACAGATGTTCTCACGGACTTGACATTCGTGTATATTCAGCCATCATCAAATCCGTACGTACACTATTGTGTTAAAAAGTAATAATTAATATCGATGATTATTTTGGAAATAGATGGAAAACGATGCCAACCACATTGGTGATGCCTTCCAAGTCTATAATGATATGAAGAAGGGAGGTAAGAAGGGTAACGTTGCTACTTTTACTCACCTTTTGAATGTGTGTATTACTGCTAACCATTTGACTCGTGCCTTGTATGTGATGAAGGAAATGATGCTTTATGCAACTATTGGTCAAAAAAGTATCTCCCAAGCAACCAGTTTCTTCAAGAAACTCATCAGGTTTGTACTCCTATAATTATATATCATTTAAATGATAACCATTTTCATTCACAAAGACTTTGTTACATTAACAATGAACCAGGAAGAGCTGTTGCTGTTTATGACTGTATGAGAAATGCTAAAGCTGGTGAATTTAAACCTGAAGAACAAGTAACAAACGAAATATCATTTGAATATATTAGACGAGTAATTTCGGAAGAAATTAAAATTCCAAAAGAATCGGAAGAACTTAAAGAATTTTGGATTGCTATGAACAAAGCTAAACGTCCAAGTTTCACTACTCAAGCCTCTCCAATGCTCCCATCATCTTCAAACAAATCTTTTGGTATTGCTGGTAAATCAGAACAAAGAGCCACTTTTGAAGCTGAGCTCAGAAAATTGAAGAGATTGACAGAAGTTGACGAAGAAGTTTCAAGAGAAAATAAGGCATTAGATTTTGATGAATATGGTTTAAGTACTCGTGATCATCTTGAACTTCGTTCAATAACATTGAATACACCAATGCTTGCCAATGATCAATCTGATGTTGATCAATCACTCAGACAATCATATAAGACAGCAGCCTTTGAATTCTCACATGTTTTCTACTCTACACTTTTCAATGATAACAATTATACCCCAGTAGATGTTTATAGTACTCATACAGAAACATTGGCTGAACAATATGGTACTCTTTTAAAGAATAATGGACTTTCAGAAAAGGAAATTAAATTGGAAGTTGACTCATTCAAGGCTTTTGCTGAAGCTCACTATGAAGTCATTGAACAACACTTGTCTGAAGATGGTACCATTACTTTCACAAATGAATATTTGAATGCTTTGATTGATGCTATGGAAAATAATTGGACTCCAGCCTACAAACATGACCACCAAATTATGTCTATGATTCCAACTGTTGCAGGTGCTTCAGCTAATGACTCTGCCATTCTTTTATCTCAACCAATGAAGACTTTAATGGATAAATTTGTTGAAGCAGAATCTTTGCAAGAACTGGACCCTGTTTTGGATGAATACAAATCAGAAATGAACAAGATTACAAGATATGTCAATCGTAAAGTTGATTGGCAACCAGTTGTTTTGGGTGTTGATGGTAGACCATTCTTCCCATCTGAAGATATCATTTCAATCGATGAAGTCACAACTGAAACAATTGAAAGAGCCAAACAAGCCTATATTGATAGCATCAAAGATGAAGAAGTCAAGAAACAAATTAAGGAAGAATTCTATGATTATATTCACTTGGTTTGGATTGATGGTAAGGGTAGAGTTGTTGAAGGTATCAGTTACTAAGGTAAAAATAATAAATATTGGAATAAACTTTAAATAATTAAGCAATAATTTATATTTAATTTATTAATATTTAACAAAAATAATTAAAAAATGAGAAAAAACCTAATAACTTTTTGTCGTACTTTCCAACAACAACACCGAAATCACACCAATACTACCACGTCCCAAAATAACTACAGACTATTTTCAACATGTGTTAAAACTACAACCTCTTCTCAACAAGATGTTCACTTCCGAAAGAGGTAATTTTATAATTCATTTACTAATTTTTCATTTAAATTTAGCATTAAAATAGGAGATTCTGCTTCAATGCAAAGATCTTTCAATTCTCAAGATGTTTCTGATTTTGCAAAATTATCAGGTGATTACAATCCTTTGCATTTCGATGCTGATTTTGCTAAAATACACGGCATGTTCAAGGATCGTATTGTTCATGGAGTTTTAGTATCATCATTAATCAGCAATTTGGCAGGCACTGTTTTACCTGGTGCTGGATCAATTTACATGTCACAAGAGTTGAAATTTCTCAAACCAGTTTATATAGACCAAGAAATAACAGTTTCAGTTCAAATTAAAGAAGCCTTGTCAACTAAAAAAAGTGGAAACAAGAAAGTTATTTTCATTCTTGATACTGAAATAAGAGATTCAAGTAATAAGGATTTGTTAGCGAGTGGTGTTTCCCGACTTTATCACCCCAACTTACAAGTTGAAGAATAAAATTATTATTTTTGGATTTTTAAAAAAAATATTTAATAACAAAAACCATGTCAGACTTGTCCTGGGAAGACGCTGAAATTGATGATAAACCATTCTCATCTACACAAACAACAGCAGGTGATGATGATTGGGAAGACTTTGACCTTGATGCTGTTGAAAAGAAGCAACAAGAAGAGTTGAAGAAAAAGCAAGAACAACTTGCTGAAGCAGAAAGACAAGAAAAGTTGAAAAAACAACAACAAAAAGAACAAAAGTCAAACAAGAAGGCTGAAACTAGAACAACCTCTTCAGGAAACGCACCAACAGGTGATAAGAAGGTAGAAGGCATGTATTTGGATTATATGGAAAAGAAAACATCATATGACGAAGCTGAGGCTTTAATTGGAGGTGCTGGATCTGAATTTGCTAAACCAAAAATTGACTTGTTATCTCCTAAAACAGAGAAGGAATTTAACGAGTTTGGTGTTCTTGTTGCTGATAAGTTATTGGAATTTGAAGTAAGTTTTATGACGGGATAATGTTTAACAACTTGATAATGTTTAGGATAGTAAATTCTACTTGGATTTGGTCAAGAGAATTGTAGAAGAAGCCACTATTAATTGGGATAGTGCTCAACTTAGAGAATTGACTAAACACGTCACCAATGTTTCAAATAAGAGAATGGAAGAAGAAAAGGAAAGAAAGGCAGGTGGTAAGAAAAAGAAAAAGACTGTGAACATTGAGAGAGATCTCAGTGCTAGTGCTGATCCATTTTCTGATTTAGGTGATGGAACAGGTGGACGTACTAAGTATGATGATGATGATTTTATGTAAACGTGTAAAGTTATTGAGTTTTGAGTTCTTTGAAAAAGTTGAGTTATTATTTTTCCGAGTTAAATAACGAAGAAGATGAACCAATAAAAAAGTAGATTAAAACTTTTACCGCCAATTAAATTTAAAAAAAAATGAGAAGAAGAATTAACAAGAACCAACAACAACCCCGAACAAACAAGAAGAGGGAATTATCGGAAAGTGAATCAGAGACTTCTGATGACGATTCTTCAAATTATGATCAATTGGAATCACTGTTGAAAAAACAAAAAAATATTAATGAAAATTTCAATGATACAAACGAAGTTGACAATATCATAAAGAGAGAGAAGGGAAATTTTCTTGTTAAAGTTAGATCCAAATCATATTGGGACACTGTATGGATGTCAAGAGAGGAGTTGAATAGAAAGGCTACCTTTAAATTGCTCTGGTTTGAAAATAATTATGGAACTAATAGTAGCGTTAATCTTTTAAATAATGATTGGACCAAGATTGACTATCTTCTCGATGAACCAAAACCAGGTCAATATCTTGTCAAGTGGAGAGGGTTGCCAATATCAGAGAGCACTTTGGAAACTAAATCTAAGATTATTTCAAATACATCAAACATTGAGTTTGAAAAACACTATTCACACTTTAAGAATAGAAAGAGCTTTAAATGTCCTACAAATGATGAAATTGAAAAAATTAGAATTGGGTTTCAATATGATTCCATGACTCTCACTAATCCTCATACTGAATTGATGAGTTACCAAAAACAAGCTGTAGAATGGTTGATTTCGTCTTGGAAGAAACATGATAATTGTGTTCTTTCGGGTAAGTAGTCGATGTATTAAGATTATTTATTTAACTTGTTATTAGATGAGCCTGGTCTTGGAAAAACCGTACAGACCATTTCATTTCTTTCCATTATGAAAAGATATCTCAGTGGCCCATTTCTTATTGTTACCCCTCCTCAAAGATTACCGTTTTGGAATTCTCAATTAGAAGTTTGGGCACCAGAATTAGTAACAGCTACATTTATTGGATCTAATCAAGATAAGCAAATGATCAAAAGACATTTAATCCAAGATAAGAATAATTTTTATTCGAATGTAATACTTACAACATTTGATTCCATGATATTGGATGAGAGTTGGTTCAAATTACATAATTGGCCCATTATTGTATTGGACCAAGCTCACAAAATTAGAAATTCAAAAACCAAATCCTTTTCTCTTATGAAAAGGCTTCAATATAATTTTCTCTTACTAGTCAGTGAAAACATTTACACTGGTACAACACATGATGAATACAAAGAAATACTTGATTTAGCAAGGATATCACCAAATTCAATATTGAGAAGAGAGAAGAACAATCTTAAAGATGTATTTAAACCAAAATCTGATTTAATAATTGAAATACCTCTATCACCTTTACAAAAAAATTATTTGGCAAAGATTTTCAGACAAAATTCTTCAGTTTTATGTCAAGTATTTGATGAGAAAAACTATTCAAAAGAGAATAAGGACAGATTAATAAGAGCATATCAACAATTATCTAATGCTTGCAATCATCCATATTTGAATATTGCGAGTGAAGATGAGCCTCAAAGACATGATCCAGTAGCATACTTTAATACTTATTTACAGGCATCTCCAAAATTATTGGTTTTGGAACGTTTGTTGGAAAAATTCTCCCAACAAAATGTGATTATTTTCAGTTCTTTTCCATGTATTATTGAGGAAATGCTAATACAACAAAAGAAAAATTACTCAATTATTACCAGTGAAAATGTAAATAATGTAACAACTGAAAAAATTGTTCTCATCTACCACAAAACAAGGCTTATTCCTGTCAAGTTTAACCACTTTGATTATATTATCATGTTTGATTCAGATTGGAATCCTACTCTTGACAATAGTCAAATTGAACGGTTCTTCACAATAGGTAAGGATACCAAAGTAATTAGATTGATGTGTGCAAAGGAATTGGAGAGGTTTCAACTCGAATTATCAGAAAAGGATAACTTGAAAGGATTTTTTAATAAGAGAATTAATGATCTCGATAAAGCCTTTAGGTCTATTGCTAAGGAACTTTTACTAGGTGAGCAAGACCAATTAAATGCTCTTAATGATGCTTCTAGACTGGAATTGTCCAATCAAGATATTGAAAATATGCTTTCTAAAGGGTTACAATCAGTGGAAAAAGATTCAACAGTAACAACAAATATTACTACTTCCAATAGATATTGGTGTCATGTTTTTGGTATCCCAAGTACAAATCAAATTGTAGATATTAGCACTCAAAATGATGTTTTGTATATTCCTACCATGAATTCTTTCTTGAATTATGATATTCATTTAGAAGAAAAAAAGGATGACTTTGAAGAATATTCGAGTGAATATCAAAGTATGAATATTGCATTAGAACTTTCCAATACAGTCGAATCCCTTGTGGTTGATGTTGAAAATATCAAAAAAGCACTTGAAAAAACAGCCGACAAGGAAAAGAGAAGGAATCTAGTTGATGTTTTGCGAAAGAAAGAATTCAAGATTGAAGAAGAATCTATTCGTTTAAGAATTTATAGTCGGCAAATGAAAAATTCAAACATTAGAATAATATCTCCAACTAATGTGCTTGTAAAGGGGTTTACAAGAAAAGAAAGGTTAGTATTTTATCAAACCATACTTAGATATGGTTTAGGAATAGGATCCACCCAAGATGGAAAATGGCAACAGTTTTACTCTATCATTAATCCAAAATTGAGAGGAAAGTCGATTCAGGAAATTAAGGAATTTGGTGCTTTTATTTTGGATCACTTATCAGAGCAAGTAGATCAAAATTATTCACACTACTCAGATGGAACACCTACAGATTCTATCAATGGCACCAAGATTTTACAACGAATTGGTTCTATGTTTTTAGTACATTCCATTGTTGAAAAGTATTCCCAATTTCCTATTGAAACTAATTTTGATATTAGTTTTGTAGAGTCAGTTTTGGAACTCAACGAAAGAAGTACTGATTTTTTTGAGATGGAGAAACCAACTACTGATTGGAAATTGGTTCATGATTTGATAGTGTTGAGAGGATGTACCAAGTACGGATTTGCTAGGTGGGATCAAATTCTTCAAGATGATACTTTTGAATTTACAACATTGAAAACCATAATTTCAAGTTTATTCCAAAACTCTAAAAAGATGAAAATAGATTTTCTAAATAATAGATTAATCAAATTGTTAGAATGCTTGAGCGCAGAGTTTGCAAAACAGAAAAATAAACTTTCAATAATAGATTAAACAAATTTTTTGAACAAGCTCAATAAATTTCCAATTAACATGCTTGCTACAGGTTAAAACAATTTTAGAAAAAATGTCATCGGTAGGTGCTCTTCTTTTTATTTTATATTAAATATTGGTGATCATCAATTTTACTTTGTTGTGCGAATAGTTTTTAGAAAGACTTATTAATCCAAAACCTTTTCTCAATGACAACATCGGAAAAGCTGTAGTAGTTAAACTTAAATGGGGAATGGAATATAAAGGTTTATTAAAATCTGTTGATGATTACATGAATTTCCAATTGGCAAATACTGAAGAGTGGATAGAAGGAAAATTTAAAGGAAATTTAGGAGATGTATTGATACGATGCAATAATGTAATGTATCTTCGTCAAGTTGATGAAGAAATAGAAAAAGAATATACACAAAGTGGGGCTTCTACTGAAGATGTAAAAATGGAACAATAATGAAGAGAATACAAATTTTGGAGTTTTATTTTGGAGTTTAATGTTTGTCTAAGTAGAAAGCTTTGATCACAAAAACACCTAGGAAAAAGTTTTAGAATAAAGACTAATTGTTTGCTCTCTAATAACAGGGTTAATTTCCGGTAGAAACATTGATGGTATTCAAAAAGTCAAACAATATTCAAATGTCATCAATCCATAAAAAAATCAGATCAAAACAATGCCAAGTAACGAGACAGAAATCAAATGTGTTGTTGTTGGAGACGGAGCTGTTGGTAGGTTTTGTTGAACTGCTTTTTGCAAATAGATGATCATCTAAAATATTAAATTAACCGATATCAAGGTAAAACATGTCTTGTAGGTTTAACTTTTAGAAAATATGCATGGATTTGAGCAATATTGTTTAATTATTGATCCGAAGGTTAAAGTTTATGTCGACAATAAATTTCCAGAAGGATATGTTCCAACTGTATTCGAAAATACATACCTCATTAAGGAGTATAGAGGACTGAGAGTAAATTTAGGAATTTGGGATACAGGTAAGTGTTTTAATTAATCAATAGAGTGAGAAATAATGACATATCCTACAGCTGGACAAGAAGATTAGTATGTTTTTATTTGAAATTGAATCTCTTACCATTTTCTTTGTAGTGGTAGGTTTCTAAATTTACAAACAATTAATCTTCAAATCAGATCGATTGAGACCTCTATCGTATCCAGGAGCTAATATAATTGTATTATGTTTGAGTATAGTTGGTATCAAACCATTCGATAATATCAATTACAAGTACGTAAATTTCTTTTTAAAATGAATTTTTAATGAAAATTACAGATGGTTACCTGAAGTTCGTCATCATTGCCCAAATATTCCATATGTTATAGCAGCAACAAAATCAGATCTTCGAGAAGACCCACAATCTTTAAAGGAATTATCAAATAAGGGTTTACAACCAGTTACAACAGAGCAAGTTAAGGAATTTTCAGATGAAATTAAGGCGTTTGGATACCAAGAATGCTCAAGCAGATTGAATAAGGGTGTAAATGAACTCTTTGAATTAGTAATGAAAGCTGTACTATTTCCAAATGAAGGGGCCAACTCAAAAGCTTCATCTTCAGCTTCATCTGCAGACGCAAAGAAGAAGAATTGTCTTTTAATGTAAAAAGTTGTAGTTTATGTTATAACAAATTTCTTATTTGAATGTGCTTGTACAAAATTATTTAATATGAAATTAATAATTTAAAATTTGTAAAAATTACGATATTATCACATTATAATTTCTCTCAAAAGGAGATATGAATTTGTTGAAAGAGATACACTCTGGCTGCTAGACAATAAGCTCTCCTTATCACCAAAGAAGTAATCGCCATGCCTTTAATTAATTAAAAAAAATTGAATGAAGGCAACCCTGTGGAAGGTTGATTGTTTTTTATTGTAGATTTAAAATCGTAGATTATCAAGGGCGGGCACTATAGTGAACAATAAAAACACATCCAACAAAGTAGTAATATAATACTTTAAGAGAGGATTTGAGGAAACAACTAAAATATTGAATTTAAAATGTCTGATACAGGATTAAATGTAGATTTGGCTCAAAGTATGATGATTTCTCCCCAATCAATAGTTGTTGCGAACAATAATCATCACGGAAGCATTGTTAGTGGAGCAGGGAGAAGTTATAACACAAGGAGAATTCCTCAAACAATTGCAGGAGGAAACCCTAGCAATAATGGAGGTGGAAACACCTTTTTGACAGAAGTTGCAACCAACGACCATTACGACACTAGAATAGTATACCCAAATGTTGCAGAGACACCTCATCCTGCTATTACTAAGGGAAAGTCATACCATGCACCGGTTCAAGAGCTTGGATCCCAACTTTACGCTCTTCATAAGAAACAACAACAAATTTTACGTAAAATTAACGATCAGAGGCAAACAATACATCAACCAATAGTTGTTCATGGTTATAAGGACTCTCAATTTAATAATGGAATTAGAAAATTACCTCCACCACAAAAAAAGGATGCCTACTATCCTCTTAAAAAATTGAATAAGAGGAAACAGATTGAGGAGTTGGCAGCAGAACTATCTAAAAAAGATAATTTTGGTCACTCCTTTTCCAAACACTCTGTTGATGATGACACACTCTCTGTAAGATCAAGGAGATCTACAAAGTCAAGAAGTCTACCACCAATATCAACAAGATCAGAGAACAGTGATGCCATAAGCCAGGCATTCAGTGATCTCAATCCTGATAGGGATTATCACGATGACAAAATTTCTCAATTTTCCTCAACATCTAAGAATTCAAGAAAAAGTAGAAAGGGTGAGTCAGAGGTTTCATTTTCTATTGGAAGTGATGCAGAGAGTGATCGTATTAGACAATTAGAGGAGAGTTTGAAACAGGAGGAGAGCTCAAGACAAACCTTCCTCAAGGTTCTCGATGACATTCAGAAAAAGCAGGAATATTTATTGAGCAAACTTTCTCCAGATGACAGAAAACAATTTGAAAACCTCTATGGCGCGTCATCTCTTGTTGCAAGCTTAATGCCTTCCAAGGATACTGATTCAGTTTCACATCTTTCTACTAAAGATGTAGATGCACTCTCAACTAGGGAGCACTTACCAAAACTCGACAATCAACCCCCTTCTCAAAAGGGGCCCAAAAGTGTCTTCTCTGCCGCTCCTTCACAACACTCCCAAGTATCGAGACACTCCTACCATTCACAACAATCTCAACAATCAAACATATCAAAATCAGCTAGTCAATACTCCTATCAATCCAGAAATTCAAATACTTCTCACACCTCTGGAAAAACCACAACATCTCAAATATCGACCATTAAGAAAATGATTAAGGAAATGTTCCATACTATTGTTAGTACAGAATCAATTGTGACTCTGGATCAGTCAACTCAGTTAGCTAAACTCTTAGAAAAATATCCTGATGTTTTGAATGAAGAAGACAAACAGAGGTTTTATGCAAAGCACAATGACCCAAGATTTAATGGCGCCAGCTATAGGTCATTAAACACTAAGGATCATTTTGGAAGGGTTGTGTTTTATTAAAATTACTAATAAACTTGTAAATGTTAAAATACATGACAAGGACTTAATTATTAGAATGTTGAAATTGTTGATTGAATTCTTCTTCTTGTAAATCAATGTTAGTGGGAGAATTACTACTAATTGCCAGGTCAGATAGGGCAGAAAAAGAAGATGACTCAGAAACTCTAAATTCCTTATTATCTGCAAGTGTGGACTGTTCTTTGATTTCTGGTGGTGCTTTCTTTTTGATGGCAAGATCCATCTCTTTTTTGATTTCGTTTAGAATGAAATTCTTTTCTTCCACAACATACTTGTCCTCTGAATATTTGATTGAGAAGAAGGGATCATTTAGTATTTGAGCAGCTGTTGGTCTCTTGGATGGATTCAAGTTAAAACAATGTCGAATGATTAATTTTAACTCTTCTCTACATTCTGGAATATAATTTACAAGAGAATTGGCATTCTCCAACATGTATTCAACTTGTTCTCGTGTTGATTTTTTCACCAATCCTCCACTTAATTCCCAAGGATTGTATCCAGTAATCATCTCACAAAGGGTACACCCAAAGCTCCAAATATCTGAAGCTGCAGCATTTCTTTTTGCCTTGTAAGGTTTTGATGAGCTAGGATTTGCGTAGTAGTGATTGATAATTTCAGGTGCCCTTAATATATTCAATTAAAACGTTTAATACTTATTTCAATATAATAACTCAAATTTGAACTTACATGAACATTAGTGTTCCACCAATAGGTTCATCAGTATCCTCTGGAATATTTGAGGATGGTAATTCATCTTTCAATTGAATACTTTCCCCAAAATCACTCAATACTACATTATCCTCATCTTTGAGTAGAATATTTGAACATTTAATGTCTCTGTGAATAATAGCTTTTCTCTGATGATTAGATTCATGCAAATATGCCAATGCAGACAAAATTTGAACAGAGTATTTTTGAATGAGGAAATAACTCAACTTTGGATACTTAAAACCAAAATAACTTCTCTCAGATTTCATTATTTTCTGAAGCATACTCTTAACACTTCCCCCTCCCATGTACTCCATTTTTATATAGTAATTGGATCCAGAATAACTCGTTGATAAATACTTGATAATGTGAGGATGATCTAATTTTTGAACCAAGTCAACTTCTTGTTCAATCTTTTTGATGGGAATCTTTTTGAGGTCAAGTTGTTTGATAGCAACAAAATTATATGGTGCCACTCTGTCAATTCTATTCAAATATATTTGAATACATTATTGTAAAATGTAATCAAAATGAATGAGATAGTGAGAATACTTACGCTAATTGAACAACACCAAAAGTTCCCTCTCCCAAACCATGAACATACATCCAGTCTGTCTCATTATAAATCAATTCTACTTCAAATTCATCTTTTTGAACAGCATTTGAGAAGAAGTAATTTAACATTTTTTCCATATCCTCTGAGGTATGTACATTGATTTTCTGATCACCCATTTCATATATTAAACTTAATTCATTATTGTGAATCATTCTGTTAGTATTGCTGAAAAAATTTTCTTTCAATCCATTCAATAAGGTTTCAAATCGTGTGGTGTTTGTAATATCCATCTTGATTAATTTAGAGCTATGTTTAACAATTAATTGTCTCTTGTTAATATTCTTTAGTAATTTATCACAATAATCGTAGAGTGGTGATACTAGATCAATCTTATCAGGAAATTCCTGATGTAGGTCGAGTGGATTAAGATTAAATTGTTGAATTAATAATTTCAAGAATGGCTTGCATGATAATTCAAAAAATTTTACCCCTAAAAAAAGTATAAATTTTCTGAAATGACTTTCCAAATGGTGTACACTTATTTCTTCTTTCAATTCAGTCCTTTTAAAATGTATATATGCTGTTAGATCCATCATGTCATATTCTGAAGGTTCAATAGAAGGATCAGATATTATAGTGATCAGTTTTTCGAATTTCTCTTTGAAAATTGCTTTCAGTTTCTTATAGATGAGTGTGTCTTTTTTAGAGAACTTTTTGATAAAATCTTCCACTTCCTTCTTTTTTGCAAGACTAGCCGGGGTTTTACCATCAGAATCTTTTTTACCTTTATCTGCACAGTGTGTTAGGAGACTTTTGACAATTTCTAAATCTCCCTTCTCAGAAGATATGTGAAGTGGTGTTCTGCCCTTCTAAAGATGAAATTTAATAATTTTTACAATAAAATCAACTAAAACTTACGCTGTCAATAACATCTGCCTTGGCACTATGTTTCAGCAATAGTTCCACAATGTGTGTAAAAGAATTCCGACAGGCTATCAATAGTGGTGTGGTTCTATCTTTTCCATTTGACATTATGTTAACGGAAGACTTGGCTTCAAGGAGAATTTTAACAATTAGCTCATTACCATTTAAACAGGCAATATGGAGACACGTCTTGTTTCAAATTAAAGTTTGTGCAAAAGAGATGAAAACATACCAGTCCTTTCTATTTTGAAGGTTGAATACTAAGAGATTATTAACAAACCTACATAATTCGTTTGATTGGTATTTGCTCCTCTTTCAATTAAATATTGACTAATGGAAACATCATTTCTAGAAACTGCTTCAAAGAGAGGAGTTTCATGATACTTTAATTGTAAAAATATAAAGAGAAATTAACCACATACATATCTATTTGGCTGTTGAATATTTGAATTGTAATCTTCAACAAGTAGTTTTACAATTTTCAAATTTCTTCCTCTAACTGATAAATGAAGAGGTGTTCCATCATACTGAGGAGTCAAATTCCAAAAGATGTTATCAATTCCAATATGAATGAATACTCACTGCTGATTCCATATCTACCCTAGCTCCATTTTCCAATAAGAATTTAGCAATTTTATAATATCCTAATCTACATGCCAACATCAGTGGTGTCTGTTAATTGTCAGGCTATTTAGCTGATCCAAAACATTCCGAAAACCTACATAAAATTCCTATTGTAGAAGAATATTATTGATCAAATTATAGTGCCACTCACATACATATTCATCCTTTTTTATAAAAGTATTATCATCATATTAGAATTAATTTTGTGATGACTTACATCATCTTCATCTATGTAATTTACATCATGTGTTGCCAATCCCATATTTATAATATCATGATAGAGAGGTGATGAAGTATAAATTGTTGATGATTGTTGAGTTAAAGAAATTTCCGTCACATTGGGTTTTAATATTTCCCTTTTTAATGATTTTAAGTCATTGTCCCGAATGTATTTCATAATCAATGATTTCTATCCTAAAGTAAATTATTTCCATTAATCGGAATCAACCTACACTTTTCCCCATTTTTTTAAAATGAAAGTTTGAGAAGTGGTTGATCTTCCTTCTTTATTAGGATCACTTTTGAAAGAATCAAGAGAATCAAAGAACAATTCCTTTTAAACAAAAATTAAAATCTATTAAAAAGAAAACGGACAGTAAAAATTAATAAGGAAATTGAAAATATTTACGACCGTTTAAAACAACATTAAAAAAAAAATGTCTTTAGAGCCAAGACCAATCCTCGCAAAAGAGGTTGATTATATGAAGAAAGTTGCTAGTGTTGTTGGGGCTGTGGACAGATCATTAAGTAAAGCAGGTAATTCGAGTTCAACGACGCTTACTGGAGTAAGGAAGGAATTACATAAACACTTTGATGAGGAAGAACGGAATATAGCCGAACGACAAATGAAATCGGCTCAAATCAGTAGAAGATTAAAACAAAGAGAAGCTATTGAAAATGCTTTGGAAAAGAAAGTAGTTAGGCCACAAACTAGTACCTCAAGTTTCAAGACTATTGAAAGAGATAATGCTCCGATATATAAGGGAGACAAACATAATCAAACAACACCTGGTCAATATGATGTCAATTATTCTCTAGTTGACAGGAAGGATTTTACTTTGAAATGGGTCCCTCCTAAAGTTGAAACAGACATAATAGACGAAAATTACAAATACTATCTGGAAGGAGAGAAACTGTCAACGAATGATGGAAAGGGAACTACAAATGGTTTCTTATCAAAAACTGGAAGAACCGAAAATAAGGTCAATTTCAAATATGAAAACGAATTTTTAGATACATTGGATAAATACAACAAGTTTAAATTTAAGGAAGACAGATCTACAATAGTGTTGGAGAAAGGAGTTGATAGAAACAAAGCCTTAGAACTCTACAAGAACAAGAATGAAGCTCAAACAGTAGATCTACTATATGAAGTGGTGAATCCAGACACTTACAAACCAAAATTGGCAAATGGAATATTACCATTTGATAGTTATAGCGACAGAAAAACAGCTAGAAAGGGATCTAAAATAGGTACAGCTCTCATCCAAACTGACATAGAAAATAATACACAATCCAAGCTTCCAAATTGGAGTGTTCTCCAACATTCAGAACCAAACGCAATTCAACAATTGTCAATATCAAAAGGCACAGAAAAGCCAATGTATGAGAGAGTGGTGGCATTGGATAAGCAAACAGGAAGAGACAATATGCCTGAGTACAAGAAAATGTTGTGGACTCCAATAGCCTACTATAACAAACTCAATGCCTCAGAATACCAAAAGAAACGAGATGCAGAGCAAGAGGTGGAGAGGTTTAAAAAAGACAAGAAGAATGGAGGAGAGTCACTGAGCCTCAATAGTGAAATGCATGCCTATTCAAAAACACATCACAATATTCCATTCACAACCTATATGGATAAACAATTATCGAGACCTAAATTTATTGTGAAACCTCAACCATGGAATGATCTCGATTTTTATGATACTAATCAAATCGAAACTTCAAAGAATGAGAGAATTAAGAATATTTCGTGTATGCCTCGAAAGAGAAAAGGTGAAGCACAAGAGGAAGCGATTAAAATGGATGACTCCTATAAATTTTATCAAGTAGATCCAAGGTGGGGAAAACCAACACACGGTTTCGAAAAGGATACTGGTAGAGACAACTGTAAAGCACCAATCATTATGCGTTATACTAAGGAATCAACGGATGTTTTCTATGATGCTAATCGAAGTCAAGTTGAGGATAGAATTAAGGGTGATCCACAAATTAAGAATCAATTACCAAGAGACCAGAATAGGTCTAAACTATTCAAAGCTCAGCATAATTTTCAAATGGAACCAAATCAAAACTATGAAACTGCAAGACCTGGATACAACTTGAAGAAGGGTTTTGTTGAATATAATAGATCAAATACCAGCCGAACCGTCACTTCAAGAATAGCTGTAAATAGACCACCCAACCATTTGGCAGATGACGGAAAGAATGAGTATCCTACAGTGGGTACCTATGAACCAACATTCTCAGTAACAGAAAAAGTTCCAGTAGCTTTCTCATTCTCAAAGAGTGGAATGTAAGAAGTGAATTTAGTTTTCGAGTTTTTGTGTAAATATGTGACATTTACTTTTGAAACATAACAATTCAATCAATAAAATTTTGATAGAATTGAAAATAAATTCTTTTAATTTTATAATTAAAAAATGAGACCAAAAAGCTATAATCCTCTCGATCCTATCATTCAAACACAACCTGATGCCGGAAGAGAAAATCTTCAATTGAAGGAAATTTTTGTTCGTGGAGTGGAAGCAACAAGCGAATCTAAAATTACAGCTGCTTTCCAAGAAGCTAAAAAAGCTACAACTTTGAACGAATTGAACGAAGCTATTAGTATTGGTCTTGAACGTGTTGGAAAATTGGATGTTTTAAATAATGTTAATGTGATCCTTGATGCTGATGATAGTAAAAATGTTGCTCTTGTTTTGGACTGTAAGGAAAAACAATCAACTCGTCTTTCTGCTGGTACAACTGTTAATGACAAGGGTCAAGTTAAAGGAGAAATCTCCTTCGGATATAGAAATCTTTTAGGACAAGCTGATAGATGGGATGTTGATGCTAATATTGATAAGACTGGTTTGACACTTGTAGGACGTACTTTCCTTCCACAAAGCTTTAATAATGATGGTGCTCTCTATGTTAGTGGATTTTTAAATGGAGGTAGAGTTTTAACAAATCTCTTACAAGAAAAGTCAAATGGTGTTTCTGTCAGAGCTGAAATTAATGATAGACATTCAATTTCCTATGATTTTGAAATGAGAAGAAATGAAGATGTTGGTTCCATGTTTAAGAAGGCCTCATCTTCTGGATCTTTCTCTAGATTCTTCTCTAGATTCTATAATGCCAAGACTCAAGATTCTGAGCCAGTTCTTGATAAGGATGATTCTGTTGTAAAGAGTCAAGTTTGGACTGAAGTTAAGGAACAAAGTGTTAAATCTTCCTTGTCTCATACTTATCGTTTTGATACTAGAAACAGCTCATTTGCTCCATCTAGTGGCGCATTTTTCAAATTAGTTCATAGATTAGCAGGATTGGGAGGTGATGTCAAACACTACTCTGTTGATATGAATGGTGAAGTGTTTGTTCCTCTCATTTCAGATTCTTTAGTTGCTGCTTTAAAGCTTAATGTTGGTACAATTATACCATTGGACAGACAAAATGATACATTCATTTCATTGAATGATAGATTTATCGAAAAGGTACGTGGTTTCCCAGCTGTGGGTACTGTTCATCCACGTTCTGAAGAAGTTTATGGAGGTAATATTAAGGCTGTAGCCACTGGTAGACTTGTATTCCCATTCCCAGTGTCGTTCATTCATCAATTACTTGGATTACACTGTCAAGCATTTTGTGACATTGGCAATGTTTCAAATATTAATGATTACAGTGAAAATGGAGTTCAACAATTTAGAGAAAAATTCTGTAAGGGACTTCATACCAGTTATGGCTTTGGTCTTGCCATGATGTTAAGCTTTGGTAGAATTGAATTTAATTTTGCTAAGCCATCAACCTTATTCAATGATCAAACAAATCTTCCACCAACTCTTAATAGTTTCAAACAATTTTCAATTCACTACGTATTTAATGAATAATTTTAAAAAAGTAAATGGTTATATTTATTATTGTAAATTTATTCTCTCTATTTTGTTACAATATTTTAAAAAAAATGAAAAGATTTATCATCAAGTTGGGAAAAGAAGGAAATGCATCAACCAAATCCGAAGGAATTTATCTATCACACATTTCCGATTTACACACCTGGCAACCTGAAAAGTTTGAATATCCTATCACAATAGCAAATCTAATGAAAAACAACAAATTAAAAGATTTAAAACAAATTCAAGGATTTTTAAATGTAAAATACAATAGAGGGCCAAATTTGTATCAAGTACAGGTGTTACAAGAAACATTGCAAAAGATTTCAACATCAATCGTCACTCAACAAAATCATCACTTGCTTGTCAGTGGGGACATTACAAACATTTCTCATTTGGAGGAATTCAAACTGGCAAAAGAAATACTTGTGGACAAATTTAAACAATTAATTGAATTAGAAAATGAAGAGGATTTATTTAAATATTGTACTCTAGTACCAGGTAAATTATCAAATATTTATAATTTAAAAGCATAATTCAGGAAATCATGATACATACACACCATCCAGTGTTTCAGATAATTATTTTGGAAATTTCTTCAAAAATACATTGGGTCAACATTACTATCCCGAGCTATTAGAGAATAATTACTTTTTAAAATCAAAAAATTCACAACTCACACAAGAAATGTCAAATCGATTCGTTTCCTCTCTTTATGATTTATTTCCTAATGTAAAGCTTTTACATAACACAGATGGAACTAAGGTTTTAATAATTTCCTTATTGTCATGTGTACCAACCAAACCATTTGTTGCAGCTGGAAATATTAAAGAACAAGCACTTGTGAATGCCTCAATTTTAATCGAGAATATGAAACAGACAATGAAAGAGGAAGGTATTGATGCAGATGCACTCTTCAAGGTTGTACTCATGCATCATCCACCAATTGAACGAGCCAAAAATTCATTTAGAGAGAAACTGGATGGTCTAGATACGGCATCCAAAAAGAGAGTTCAAGATTTTTGCGAGAGGGAACGAATCGATTTGCTACTTCATGGACATACTCATATTCCATTCAGAGGGACCATAGGAGATTCCTATAAGACACTCATAGTTGATAATGGATCTTCCACATATGTCAACATGGAAAAGCCAAACAAAATGGCCAGATTTAATACCTATCATATTAAGGGTACTCGTCTTCAAACAATAGAACAACATGTTTGGGATCCAATTTCTCAATCATTTAATGAAAGTACAATCCTAAATACCTCCTCCGTCAATTAAATCAATTTGGCCAGTGCTCTCGAATAAAACTCTGAAACATTCTTCATCATTATCAACGCCAGCAGTAATTTCTTCTGTATAGGTTTCTTGCTTAGTTTGTTGAGTGGTAGTGGCCTTTTTCTTTTTTCTGAGCTTGTTGAAAGTAGGTTTTGTCTGTTCTTCATCATCACTTGAATCTATGCCAATTAATTTAAGTTTAGATCTCAAATATTTGAGTTCTTGTTCCAATCTCTTCTCTCTAATGTAAAGAGCACGAATAGCTTGAGCATCAATATCATCATATTGATAGACTGTAGAGGAGTTGTTACCTTGCTGTTGTGGTTTTTTAGATAAAGAATTTAAAGCCATTGTAATAATAGAGGAAGGAGAAAGAACAGACTCATCATTAACACTTTCTGAATTAGGTGGCACAGTTGTATCAACCACCAATTTTTTAGGTTTTTCAGATGATTGGTTATTATTAACAAGTTTCACAATATTGTTGTCAATTAGTTTTGTGCCATTATCAGCAATAGCTTCAGAGGAGGCTCCAGTGTTGGTATCAGCATAACCTGCAGTTGAACTCTTCTTATCCTTGATGCATCTTGCAGGAATACCAACAAGGGTGCAATCACTTGGGGCATCCTTAACAACTACTGAGCCAGCTCCAATTTTAACATTTGATCCAATAATTATATTTCCCAACACTTTTGATCCAGCTCCAACAAGTACATTATCCCCAAGAGTAGGGTGTCGTTTGCCAGTTTCCTTACCAGTACCTCCAAGTGTCACTAAATACAGAATATTATAGAAATCATGATGAATATCACATACCTCCTTGATAGAGAGTACAATAATTTCCAAGAATTGCTGTTTCTCCAATTACAACTCCACAACCATGATCAATGAAAAATCCCTTACCAATTCTTGCACCTGGATGAATTTCAATACCAGTCCAAGATCTTGAAATAATACACATCAATTTGGCTACAAATCTAAGAATTTTACAAGCCAAAAGCAGAAAATTACTATTCGAATTTTGAGGGTCAATAATATAGTAGAGTAAATGAGCTATTCTATAAGTGAGTATTGCCCATAATCCAGGATAGAGTATTAATTCAAGATAATTATCAAATGCAGGATCATTATCAATAATCACAGAAACGTCAGATTTGAGTTGAGACCATATAGGTTCGGAACAAACACAAACTGATTCAGTATGTTCCTCAATGGTATGTGGTTTTTGTTTTGTTGTACTGAGCTTTGAAAGAGAGTGTAACAATTGTTCTCCTTCCAAAGCTATAACTGATGGTTTTTCAGTAGGTTGATTAACAATGGGATGACTATTCTTTGAAAACGATTCGTCTTCGGAAGAATTTCCAACAGATCCCAACACAACTAAATCAGCATATGAAGCTTTTATCTTGTTTAAAGGAGAAGAAGATGATGAACCCGAATGATGATGGAGATGCTTGGAAGAGGAGTTATCATCAGGAACAACAACTTTGTTTAGAGTGGTGCTCATTGTGAGGTCTTTTTTTTGATTTTAGTGATGGATGCATTAACTCAAAAGGCTATGAATAAACACTTCATTTCCATGGAACTTGAGAAGTGATTTTTCATTCCAGATTTTTTAATTTCCGTAAATCAAAACACAAATTTGCATTACAAAAAGCTTTAAAACTGATAATTTGACTCTAATTCAAAATGGGAATGGGACCAATGTAAGGCAGCATCTATTAGTTTTTCCCAACTCTATTGAGAGAATGCTTGAAATACTATTCTTCAATTCTTCCCAAAGATGACTACTGATGAGAAGAAAATTTACAATATGGTGCTTTTTAATAATTTCAAAGAACCATTGAGTTGCTAGAATAAGGCTTTTTCTGATTTATTAATAAATTCGAGATAAAAAGTTATTGTACATTTTCAAGCGCCAACCATAACGATAAAAAATACCTCGATCCATCATCACTAAGGTTGTTTGAGAAAAGTTTAGCGCGCTATCAGACAACAGAAACTATTTCATACTACAAATATATATTTTCTAGGACAATGGGATCAGGATTATCAAATAACCGAGCTAAAAACTCAACAGATGAACCTAAAAATCCACCAAAGAAATCATCCACTGATACAAAAGATACTAAAGCTGTAGAACAAGCAGACCAAGTTAAACGATCATCAACAGAACCGACTAAGAATGAAACAAAACCGGAAAAGAAACCAGAAAAAAAGAAAGCATACGTTCCAGAATTTGTTTTCCACTCCGATAAGGGTAAGATTATTTTGAACAATTCTTTTTACTAACAGTTGTATTAGATCTTTTATATGGTGATGTAGCTCTTCCATGGCAGGAATCTTACGCACTTGGATTTCATATAATAGACGAACAACATAAAATGCTTGTAAAATTGATTAATGAACTTGCTGAGGCAGTTAGAGATGGGCATATGAGATATGAAATTGGGAGTGTGTTTGACAACTTGGTTGAGTACACTGACTTCCACTTTAAGAAGGAAGAAGAATTGATGGTAAAATATCAATACACAGAAGATGAAGAAGCTGCTCACAAGGAAAAGCATGAACTTTTTATTAAAAAAGTCTTTGACCTTAGAACAGATTTCATTAACATGACAGTGAACAATATTGGCCAAGGTATGTATTCTTGAATCAAATATTTATGGAGCAATTTAATTCCACTTGTTAGATCTTCTTGATTTCTTAACAGATTGGTTATTGACACACATTTGTCAAACTGACAAGAAGTTATGCGATTTCCTTATTAAAAGGAATATTGTTGAAGAGTAAATTGATAATAATATTATGTAAATAAACATTACTATTTCATTTAAATTTTTAAATGAAATTAATTTTTCAGATGTGGTTTGCCATACTCTGTCACAGACGGGCCATGATTCTTTGTGTGCTTCATATCGATTAATAGTTATTAGAAAAAAAATGTCTGCAAGTACTCTTATGGAAAGTAGCTTCTTCAGCTCTGCAAAGTATCCCATGAAACCATATTCAAACGATACCATTACCCAAATTTTCGGATCAGTTGCCTTTCATACAGTTCTTTTCTTTGTATTCTATGCGTTATCTAGTGTAATCTTTTCAACATTTAAAACACTTGATTTTTCCAAAAAGATGGATTGGGTTTCTAGATTGGTCTCCAATTTTCATGCCATTGTATCATTTTGTGGTGCTTTGTATGCCATTCTTACCTATCCATGTTATTTGACTTGGAATTTTTCTTGTTATGATAATGGAATTGGAGAACTCACAATGAGATACACTATTGGTTATTTCTGTAGGTATTTCATATTATTATTGTTCATCATCGGGATTCAATCTGATTGAATGTATTTTTAAATAATTATTATTTAAACAATGAATTATTTAACAATGATAGGTTATGATCTATTATTGATTCTTGCCTTCTATAAAAAGCTTGGTAGTATTGGCATGGTGCTTCATCATGTTTTTGGAATTCTAGGTATGTATTGTGGAATATTTATATTGGACCAACAACAATACAAGGTTGGGGTTTGATTCTTTCCTATGGTAGTTTTAGTTTTGTTGCTTTGATGTTTACTTTGACTGAAGCTACAACTCCATTCGTCAAGTAAGTTGTTAATCCCAAATTAAACATTTAATGTACATTCGAACAGTCAAAGATGGTTCTTGTACGAATGTAAAATGAAGGAAACTTCTTTGTATGCAGCATTTGGTTTCTTACTTTGGTTGGCTTGGTCAATTGTGAGAGTTCCACTTGTACCTCTTTGCGGTTATTACTTGTACTTGAATTATGAAGGTGAGTAGTTCTCATTCAATGATCGGGAAGTTTTTTTAATAATACGAAATTTTCCTTTCCATAAGAATTTAAACTGGTTCCTCCAGCAGTAGTTGTTGTTTGCATTTTCAATTATCTTTTGATTAGTTGTTTGAATTCCTACTGGTATTATTTAATTTCCAAAGGTTTGATTTCAGTATTGTTTGGATCAAACAAGAAAAAGGATATTAAAAAGAATGATTAATGATGAGGAATAAATTTTAATATAATTATTATGTACATGTATGAATTAATGATGAGCACTATGGGTACTATGGAAATACAAGAAGAGCATTCCGAGAGGGGAATCTGGATCGTCAACAGCTTGAACAAATTCGTCAAATTCTATAGTACCATTTTGATCTAGATCTGTTGAAGTAAATGTTCTACTGAGATAATCCTCCAAGGTCTTCCATCTTTGAGAGGTTAATTTGTAGCCATTCATCTTTGCTTGACCAACTTTTTGGGTTAGAATTTAAATAAATACAACAAACATACCGAAAAACTTTCTAAAGAAATCGATCATTTCTTCTTGTTGGACAGATCCGTCACCATTTACATCAATTAAACCGAATACAACTGAAAAAAAGTCAAATGCTTAATAATCGTTTTTTCATAAAAACACTTACATCTTAAAATATCTTTTTCTTCTCCATACAATAATGTACTCAAACCTGTTGCAAGCTCTACAAAGTCAATAGCTCCATTTCCGTCAAGATCAAAAGCTTCATAAATTCTATGGAAAGCAGGCATTGAGTTTTGAATATCAAATTTTTGGGAGAGAGTATTCTTAATAACATCAAAGAAGTTGTCCTTCTCCAACAAACCTTCTTCGTTACTTGCGTTTCTGAATTCTTCCAATAGAATTTTTAACTCGATTTCTCCCACTAATTAGTTCATGTCTTGTAGATAACATACTTTGAAAACTTACTTTTGAGACTTTTTGTGAGGTCCTTGGTTAAACTAGTTGTAGAAGCGGAACAAGTTGAACCACATTCGCTCATTGTATCTCCAGAGTCATCTAATGTATTTGTAGCTTGGAGTGTTGAAAGTTTAGGTTTGGCTCTTCTTTTACTATTCATAAGATCGGCCAACAACATCTCTGAGGAGATTTCCTCACCTGGTGCTCTCTGAGGTACTTCATGTACCGATGATGCGCGAGAGGAACGAGAAGCATTGGATCTTGGCATTTTTTAATGTAGTTTTCTGGAGATGGTGTAAGCGCCAATTCTTTGACTTCTTCCCCAATCATTTGTGAGAGACATTTGTTATTTTCCATCACCACAAGTTAATTGTATTCTTTTAATACACTTCCAACAAGACTTTCCAAACAACAACACCTTTCATTATTAGAGAGGGGTTATGATTGTTCTTCTTCTTCTTTCTTTTGTCTAAGGTCATCAAAACTACAACAATAACATTTTTGGGCGGGCAATAGGTGATTTATCACATGTTCCTTAATCAATTTAATATTTACAAACTGAAAACACAAAAATGAAACGAAATAAAAATTTTAAATATCAATATATCTAGATTATTCAAGAGGAGAAAACTCTCACAAAATGAGTACATCTTTTATTTCATCAAGTTTTAAAAAGGTCCATAATTCTTCTAGCACTGCAACTCTATTGAGGCTCAAAGTAATTGGAAGGAAAGTTTGCTAAAGGAACAATCAATTAATTAATGGATGTCTACCTAAACAAGAAGAAAACAAATCTCAAGTCATTGTCTATTATTGTTTTAAACGGATAACTCATAAAAAAAAATGTCAGTTGCCAAAAGCCCCACTAAAAAATTAAAATTTATTTGCTCTACTTCGTGTTCGGGACAAGAGCAAGAACGTGAACTTCTTGGACACTATGAAAATGTAGAAACAAATGATAGAAGATTATTAAAAAAGAAGAGACAAGTTGATGAAACAATGGTACAACCATTGGAAGCTTCTCTACATCAACAACAAACAGAAATAATTCTTGATGCTACATCAGCTGATCATCAAAATAATCAAACCGATACAATAATAGGAAATGATATTGGAAAGCCAACAAATTTCAAAAGAGGTATTCACATTGCCATTGATCATGAAAATGGAATTTTAAAAGGTTTGTTTAAAATAATAATCATCTCTCTTACACTTTCACCTCTTTGAAACCCTACTCTCTATATATACACACACAAACTAATCATATATTTCTATTTTATATATACACACTCTGTGCTCATATATAGGTGTTCCTGAACAATGGAGAGCCAAAGTTGGTGATGCACACTCATATGACAATTATCGTAAAATGACTGAAGATGAACCAATTGCACCTTATTTAATTCCCGATTTAGATCTAAATGCCGATTCCAAGAAGAAGAAGAATGATACAACAAGAACAACAACAACAGCACTTATTATTTCTGAACCACGTGAATTTACACATCACATTCATGTTGATTATAACCCTGAAACTGGGTTTACTGGTTTACCAGATACTTGGAAAGAGATTTTAACTTCTGGTGTTAATGCAGGTCAAATTACAGTTGACGATGTTATGAATAATAAGGAAGATGCATTAAGAATTGCAGAGGTAAGTTTAATTTCAACACGTAATTATATTATCATTTTTCAATGAATAATAATTTATTACACATATTTATTACAGTTTATTGACAGTGGAATGACATTAGCACCTCTTAAAATTGATAAATTTCAAGGAGTCAAACAAAAAAGATTACCTGATTTTATTTCAATTGAAGATCCAACAAAGATTTTTGAAAACATGATGCCAATAGATGAAGGATCAACAGGTGTTGTCATGATTGGAACTCACATCAAAACAGGATTGAAATGTGCATTGAAAAAAATTGAAATTCAACAAACAACGAAATTGGAAGCTCTAGAAAATGAATTAACAATGATGGAATCATGTAAACATAATAATATTGTAGCATATATGGGAGCTTATCAACACAATAGTCATTTGTGGATTTCAATGGAACTTATGGACTGTGGGAAATTAACTGATCTCATCTATAAAACTATTCTAAGAGAGGATGAGATTGCATACGTTTTGAGAGAGACACTCAAAGCTTTGAAATATTTACACGACAATAACAAAATGCATAGAGATATTAAGAGTGATAACATTCTTGTTAACTCAAAAGGTGAAATTAAATTAGCAGATTTTGGATTTTGTGTCGAGTTGAGTACCAAGAAGGAAAAACACAAGAGTACCGTAGGTACACCATTTTGGATGGTAAGTTATTCTCTTTTTTTTTCAAAATTCATACAAGTATCTATTAGGCTCCAGAAGGTTAGTTTCTTATTATTTATAACACTGTATCAAATTTCAAAAAAATAGTAATAAGAGCCATCGAGTATGGTCCTAATGTTGATATTTGGAGCTTGGGTATTATGGCTTTAGAAATGGCAGAAGGTGAGCCTCCTCTTATTGAACTTCCTGTTCTTAGGGCACTGTTTATAATTGCAACCCAAGGCCCACCAACATTAAAGGAACCACACAAATGGTCAGCCAATTTTAGTGACTTTTTATCAAGATGTTTGGTTAAGGATCCTATGGAGAGAGCATCATCCTCAGAATTATTGGAACACCCATTTTTAAAGATTGCTTGTGAACCACAAAAGATGGCCGACTTGATGAAAAAGTATCACTTGTCAAAACACTAATGTATTTTTAATGTAAATTATGTCAGAAAACTATCCAACAAGTTCATTTTACAAAAGTTTTACATATTTGCTTTCTTTGAGGACACCAATCTTCCCTCTGACCAAACTTCGTCAAAGGACATGGAAAGTGTTTTTGAGTTTGGTGTTGCCAACCTTTTTTCTACATTATCTTTTGTTTCTAATATTCCTACCCCGTGCTTTTTTCCTTTAAACCACTCCCCTCTATATTTAACTCCTGATGATAGCCCTTCAAAGAAGTAAATTCCCTTTCCTTGCTTTTGGTCGTTCACCCATTCACCATCATAAATATCACCATTGGCATAGGTAAAAGTTCCATGGCCTTGTCTCTTTCCGTCAACCACTTCTCCTTCATAGACACCTTCGAGATAAGTAATGATAGCCTTACCAGTTTGTTTATCCTTAGCCCACTCTCCTTCATACTTTGTAACACCATCTCCATAAGTTAAGGTACCTTCACCATGTCTACATCCTTTTTCGAATTCACCACAATATACAGAACCATCCCTAAAAGTAAATGTTCCCTTGCCATCTGGGAAATTATCAACAAAGTTGCCTTCATACTTGTCACCAAGAGAAGTGTATTCAATTATTGCTTGTCCATTTTTTTTATCTTTCTCCCAATCACCAACGTGTGTGTAATTTGGAGTAAAATAATAGCCTTGCCCATGCCTATTATCGTCCAAGAGTTCCCCAGTATAGACAGATCCATCTGGATACTCTATTCTACCATAACCTGATTTTTTACCATTTACCCAAGAACCGTCATATGTTAGATCCGAACCTTTGTAAAAACCTTTACCATTAGGTTGACCTTTTCTGTCTAGTTCTCCACTATATTGTCCTTTTGCAAAATTAATATCTCCTCTAATAGGAGAGCTTGGTTCCTCCGCTATCTCATTTATCTGTGCTGCACTTTGATTGCCTTCTGTTGCACTATCATTTTCCTTATTAGCATCTGCTAATATTTCTGCTTTTGGGGATTCTTTTTTTTCTGGTGTAATTGACTCAAGTTGATTAGTTTCATCATTAGAGGAGTTAGTTTGCAATGGTGTTAAATCTGTTGAGGCAGAAGGGGATAATGATTTTGGATATGTTATTTTTAAATTTGAATATTCTGGAGGAGGAGATAGTTGAGATTTTCTATTACTCTCCTCTTCGTCATCATCCTTAATTAAAAGATTCCACTTTTTTGGAGATTCAAACGCTTTAAGAGTATCCTTGTTTTGTTTAAATCCGAGTTTGTGTTTTTTCTTTTTTTCTTGATTAAGTGATTTAAGTCTGGATGCAATAGGGGATTCGCTCCTTGAAAAATCTTCCTTAGTTAGTTTAGGGCTCTCATAAACAGGCATTTCAAGCCTGGTATTAAGCATCTTTTCAAATGTGGTCTCCTCTTCGCTCTCTTCTGTTATTGGTGTATCTATAATATCACTACCATCAATATTATCAAAAGAAGTATCTGCAATAATTTGTACAACGTCCTTAGGTCTTTCAGAAAAGACTGTTTGTGAAATATCATCTACTACATCATTTTCTTCCCCGTAACTAGATTCTGAAGAATCGGAATCATCCCCCGATGAGTTTGATGAAGACAAAATTGCTTTTGATGATTCCGAGTCTACTTCTTTTGCAACATTGGGTTTGCTTTCCTCTTGATTGGCATAATGTGGAGGCTCATCAAATTCCTTAAGCGTTTTTTTGGAGGCTTCCATAGATGGTTCTTTTGCAGAGCGTTGTGCAGCACTATCAATGCCATTTGTTTTTTCTAGCTCAGTTGTGATTGGATAGAACGGTTCCTTTTTAGTTGCAGCATTAGAGATGTTTTGGATTTCGTTAGAGTGCAAGTTTTCATCATAGGTTTTGAGTTCCTCATCATCTGAAGAGGAGGAATCATTACTTGGTCCCTCATTGCTAAAGACAGAGTTTGAAATTTCGTCTTTTGGAGACTCATTCTTTGCTTCATTAGGATGTGTAAATTGTTCAATTGGAATAGACTTGGGAATGATTAAATCTTCATTCATTTTAGCATTTCTAGAATCACTTACATCCTTTACTTTTTCTAAATAAATTGTTGGCTCTTCTTTATGTTCCTTGCTTGGCACATATGTAGGGCAATTTTCTGTTAATAAGGGTTTGTTTTCAATACTTGAGCGGTCTGAATTGACATCTTCTTGTGTCTGGTTATTTTGTTCCTGAACAACTTGTTTGGCAGGGTTAGGAGTCCTAGGACTGGAAGCTTCTCCCTTCTCAATTTCAGTAATATCTTGCTGAGAAATAGAAGTAACTTTTTGTTTAGACTGATCAGGATTAATTACTGAGTGAGATTGAATCTCTTCCGTAGCTGATTGGTTCTCCATAGAGCTTGGTTGTTGTGTTTCATCAGTTTGTTCCGAATGTTGTTTAACATCCATCAGATGGTTATGTTCATTAATTGATGTGTTTTTGGTTGAAAGGTATGTTTCTTGGGCTTGGGTTGAATTAATTACTGGATCTTGTCTTGATTCCTTTCTTGGTTTTGAGTCATCGAACGACATGGAGGCAACTTCGTGGTGAATGATTTGTTTTTCATCCTCAGATAGGTCGCTTGGTAACTCTGACAATGAATCAAGATCTAAATTTTGCGGTATATGGTTTTCTGAGCTTGAAGACTTACTCTCAGGTTCTTGCAATGAAACTTCCACTACTGTGGAAACTTTGTTCTTCTCTTGCAGATGTTCATCTTCGTTAATTGATACAGGAGGATCTTGTTTGACTTGAGGAGAGGAAGAATGGCTTTTAGCCTCAACAATTTTTAAAGTCTTTTCTTTTAACTTTTCAAAATTAGTTTTTGGTTTTGGTTGTGGAATTTCAGGTTCTGAAACAATAGGATGTCCTACCCTTTCAGTATCTTGAGCTAGTGGTTCGTTGCATATATTCTCTTCCTCTGTTGAATAATCGCTCTCAGATGTAGATTCGCCATTGATAGCATCTTCATCTGTGATAGATTCCGAAGAATCAGAGATGATATTTTTCTTTGAATCTGTTTGAACAACAGGAGCAGACTGAGTTCCAGAGGAGACTTTAGATGAGTTTTGTTTTTCAACTGGTGGATCAGATTGTTCTGTAGGCGATCTAGATGTTGGTTTCGAATGGAGAGGGATTGGTTTCGTTTCCTCCTCAATCTCTTCTATTTTACATACAGTTTCCTCCTCTCTAACAGGTTCCTCATAAATAATCTCAATACCCTTATATTGTTCAGATCTTGATTTTCTAGGTTCTTCAATGGTAATTTCATCTTGGTTTTCGAAATAGGTTTCATCAATATATTTGGACATGTCATCACTTTGAGATTTTACTGTCTTTTCCTTGTGAGTTGGTTTTTTGGGAATGGATTCCTTCTTTTTTGATTTTTTAGGTTCCTTCTTATTCTTGTTATATTTCTTTTTGTTTTGAGCTTCAGCAATGCTAATTGTGCTTCTGTTGCTGGTGGTAGGCTCTACTTGAGCTGAAGTTTGTAAATCACTATTTTTCTTTCTATTCTTTTTCTTTTTTGGTTTTTCAAGAGATTCTGAAGCTACTCTCATTGGAAGGTTTGGGACATATTCATATCGTTGATTTATCCATTCATCATCAAGTTTTTCTTCGTCTTTTTTTGAGATAACTTCAACAATGATTTCGTCTTCATCAGTGCTTGTCAATGTTTCTTCAGCAATAGTAACTGTTCCCTTATCTCTTATTTTTACAATTCTCCTGGGATACATATCATCAGATTCCACATTTGGTATGTAAGATTCTGGTTCAACAGGATCTGTTTGAGTGCTTGCATCGATTTCAAAATCTGGAGTTTGAGTTTGAACCTCTCTTTCATTCAAAGTTTGTCTAACAAGAAAAACTTCTTGCGAGGTTCTGTCGTAAACTACATCTACACTTGGCGATTTGAATCCTTGTTTGATCGCCTCTTTCATCAATTCAACTTCCTTAGCATCCCCATGAATACGCTTCCCAAACATATTATCAATGACAGGAGGAATTTCTGTTCCTCTGGAATAAAGCTTAGTTTTGGAATAAATGAGACTCGGGTTAATATCTATTGATGTTTTCACCATTGCGTTTTTTCCTTGTTCAGCAACTTGCTGTTTCTTTTTCCTTTCTTCATCTTCCTCTCTCTGTGATATATAACTCATATATTCTTGGGAGTGAAAAGTTGGTTTATCGGTAGGGTGATGAGAATCTACAAGTGGTTTGTAGGAAGAACCAGAAGAGAAAAACTTTTCTTTTAGTGGTGACGAAATGGAAGGAAGTGTAAGGGAGAGCTCGGCTTGTCTCGATCTTAACGACTCATCAAAGGTGCTCACGTTTGAGTTTGGTGTATTCAAAGAACTCTTTGGCAAACTTGTTTTTGAGCCAGTAGTACTAAAACTAGAAAAGGGAGAATTTAAAATCGAAGAAAATGAAGGTGATAAATCCAATCTAGGTGGAGCAAAATAAGATGATTCCTTCTTTCTTAAAATGTCATCCCTATTGTTCGTTGACGAGGAAAACGTTGAAAAGGGGGACGAAAAAGAAGGAGAGGAGAACTGATAGTCTCTGCTCATTTTTTTGGATAATATTAAGGTTAGTGGTGCTCCTTGTACGGCTACTATTGGCGCAAAATTGAAACTTAAAATTATTAATACAAATTATTAAAAAAAATATTACGTTAAAAAAGTCACAACAAGATTAAATTGATTCTAATGGATAATTATTAATCATCAAATATTAATTATTAATTATCTATCAACAGTCATTTAAAATTATGATAAACTCAGCCACTGAAGAAGAGGAGGAGGAATACATTTTAGCCAACTCGGACACACCCACAAATGTTAGGAGGAGAAGACTATGGGCTATTCCAAGTCCTTCCTTAGGTATTTCACCATCTGCACGTTGGGGTCACTGCTCTGTGTTATTGCACCATCACAATATAAATTCTTTCCATCCAACTTTAATGATATTTGGAGGATTTGATGGTTCGAACATGTTGAATGACATACACCTCTTTGATTCTGTTACCAACACTTGGAGTCAACCATCTAAAACGTTTGGAACAATACCATCAGCAAGATCTGGACATTCCACAACACTATTGACAAAAGAGAAAGGGAAAATATTATTGATTGGAGGAGGTAATGGCGTCCATTATTTAGCAGATTTAGTTCTACTTGAAGTTGTTAGCGAGGAAGATGAAGAATGGAAGAAGGAATCACAATTATTAGGTAATAATTCAGGAATTAAATGTATGAATATGTTTAGATGGTCTCGACCTAAAGTATCAAGTCGTGTTAGAGTTTACATTTCTGATGATGACATTATTCTAACAGAGGAACAGTTTCAAAAGTTACAAGAGGAAATTAACAATAGTAAGAATAACCCTTCTGAAATATCGGAAGATGATCAAAACCCACTTGTTTCATCGAAGGTTGTTGAACAGTATATTAAAGCAAATCAATCTGGAACAACAGAAGATTTGATTGGTTTTGGAAATCCATCACATCACGAACAATTAGATTCTCTAAATTTTACTATGAAAGAAATATATCCAGCTCCTAGAAGCAGACATACAGCCGTTGCTACTGAAGATGGCAGCAAAGTTATTGTATTTGGTGGTGGTGGTAAAAATCGAATTTTTGATGATGTATGGGTATTTCATGTACAGGAAATGGAATGGAGTCAACCTCAAGATTCTACAAATAAGCCTTGCCCAAGATGGGGTCACTCTGCTTGTATACATTCAGGTAAAATGTTTGTGTATGGTGGAGTTTTCAAGTCAAGCATGTTGAATGATTTATATTCTCTAGATTTGAATACCTTTGTTTGGACTAAAATTGAATTACCAACTTCAGATCCCATTCCTTCTCCAAGAGCAGCTCATACTGCCAACTTGGTTCTCGGTAGATATTTGTTAATTTTATGGGGAGGTGATGATATGAAATATTTGGATGATATATATATTTTTGATCTAAAAACTAATAGTGGAAAGAGAATATCATTTAAAAGTCCAAAAGCAAGATGTGCACATACATCTTGTCTTGTTGATGATAATTATCTATTTGTATTTGGAGGAGGAGGAAGCCATCAAAGATTTAAAGAGCTTTATTTGTTCGATATCAAGGCAGCACTTGAAAAGGTTGGAATTTATGAAAATTTTGGATATGAATCTGATGATGAGTTTGAAGAAAATTTCAGTACCGATTTTTCAGATTATCTATGCCTTTCTCAATATTTGGATAAAGCCTCTCAATCATTCTTGGAGGTGAGGAGCGATATAAAAGTAGAAGGAAATGTTAATAATTTGGAGGAGAGATCCGAAAACACTCCTAACGTAACTGGAGACCCTAATATACCCTCGAGTGCAACATCTGTCTCTTCTGGAAAATCATCAAAAACAAGAAGAAAGAGATCCAGTTCAAAGAAAAAAACTTTGAGTAATATTTCAAATGGTAGTATTTCTAATGATATGATGGCTTTCAGTAGTAAGGATATTAAGGAAGTAACCAATTGGTTAGTTAACTTGGGTCTAGGTAGATATGCAAATATGTTTGTACAAGAGGAAATAGATTTAGAGTGTATACCACTTCTTACTGACACAGACTTATTCAAACTTGGAATTTCTAAATTCGGTCCAAGAAAGAAAATTCTAGACGCTGCAAAGAAAATTACAAAATCATCTGAATCCGAGTCGGCTAACCACCACATTCATTCTAGGTCAACAAGTAATTTAAGTGAGACGTTACATTTGGAAAATAACTCTCATGCCATTATTCAAAGTATGAGCTCTCTGAATATTACCTGTGACGGTATTAAGGATACTCTAAAATCACTTTCCTCAAACATATCAAATCTCACACTCATTCTGTCTAACCCATTCTATGGTTTTAGACATCCAACAGCTGTTGCTATTTCAATGCATAACAATACTAATACCTCATTTTCAAATGGAATTCCTACAAATGTTCCACCCCAGCCTTCAACCCCTTCTACATCTACAAACAGTCAACCACCACTTTCACCTAGACAATCCAATTACTCTGTATCAATGTTTAATCAAAATATTCCACCTCCACCACCTAATCTTAGTCCAGTGTTTATTTCAAGACCCAGAAACACATCAGCTGTTGTGACTCCAATAGCTACATCCACTAGTACACCATTCAAAAGAAGTAATCCTAATTCTACTAGTAATAGTATCCTCATTCCAACCAAAGAATACCCAAATAGTTCAGCCATAAAATCTGATTCCAATTCTTCTTCTTTTGGAGGAAATATGGTTGAACCACAATATTCCCCAATATCACCCCCTCTTACTGGTATTGTTCCAATACCCCCACCTCCAACTAATGTACCAATTCTGAAAAAGAAACGTAAACGAAAACCAAGGAAAAATGGAACATTCTCACAACAATCAAAAGATTTTGAAAACACCAATGATGAATCTCCTGAATTACCGTCTTTCTCAGCAGGAGAAAGTTGGTTTGATGTGACAGAAAAAGATTTAGAACAAGATTCAGAAAATGAAAATTAAAGATATTGTCATCATTTAATTTTTTTTAAATTAAAATTTTATTTATATTTTTAAAAAAATGGGTCAAACGACAAGTAGCGGACAAAATACAACCCTACTCACAGCTGGTCACAATCATGCCGGACAACTTGTGAGCGAAGATTTTGTTGATCACTATCAGCTGCACAAAGTAAAACTTCCCTTCCCTGATTGGCTTGAAACTGGTAATGCTCTAACAAGAAAAATCAAAAAACCAATCACCATCAAAAGAGCCAGTTGTGGTGCTGCTCATATGATACTAAGAACAAACCGATTGAATGATCTTTATGTAGTTGGTAAAAATAGTGAATTTCAATTGGGTCTTTCTAACAACAAACCTGTAAAAGAATTAACCAAAATCGATACCAACAAATTCTTGTTAAAGAATGAAAAGATCACAGATGTATTTGCTGGAACTCTAGTTTCCTATATTATTGCCAGAAAGATTAATCCATCATCCGAAGAGGGTGATTCGATATATTGGTGTGGTTCTCCACCACTACAAAATTTATATGTTCATAATGGAACATCCTTAGGACAAGAATCTAACTCTCCTACGGGAGCTTCATCATCTAATAATTCTCAACCAATTTCTAATTTTTCTTTTATTCGTTGGACACCTGAAGAAGGATGGAAGAAAAACTTTAGAGTTAAATGTTTTGATTGTTCACGTATTGGAGATGATCACTGTATAGTTGTAAATCAATATAATCAAATTTTCGGAAGAGGCTCTAATGCCTATCATCAGTAGGTTTTATTTACTATTTGATTTTTTGATAACATTAATAATATTTTAGATACGGAAGAAATTTTGATGGTCAAAACTTTGAAAGATTGACAGAAATAAAATTAAAGGGATATGAGAAACAACCACCAAATGTAAAATTAGTTGCCTGTGGAGGATTTCACAGTGTTATAGTATTGCAGAATAATGAGTTTTACTGCTCTGGATTGTAAGTTTAATTTATAGATTTCTCTAATAATTTTTGATAGAAATTGTCACGGACAATTGGGTTATGATGTAGAAAAAACTCAGTACGATTTTATTGAACCTCCTAATTTACCATTTAAAGGTAAAGAAATTACCAATGTAGCTCTAGGCTTATATCATACTGTAGTAGTAGTAGAGCATTCAACGATATATGTATGTGGTGATGGACGATATGGACAATTAGGAAATGGAGAAAACAAATCTATTAATCCAGTGTTTAGTCGTCTTAAATTAGAAGCTGTTTCACCAGTCACAGGTAATTTTATTAGACATATGAATACATTTATAATTGGTGTTTCATGTGGTCTAACTCATACCGTGATTGTTACAAGTGACAGAAAAGTCTGGAGATGTGGAGGAAATGACTTTGGTCAAATATTTTTAAAGAATGAACTTCAAACCTGCAGTTTTAGTGTAACATTTGAACCGAGATGTGAAATTAATCAAGTTTCGTGTGGTGGTAAATTTACTGCATTATATTTGAGAAAAAGAGTACCAATTTATGCATTTAATATTGAAAGACATTTGAATATTTGGGAAGATAAGGAGAATATGAAATCTTATAGTGATATTGTTGTAAAATGTTTGCATTAAATTGAAAAAAGTCCTTTTTTGTTCTTGCTAATTTTTTAAAGCTGTTTTTCGTATCCAATGCATATCCATCAGTGAACCTCTCACAATCACAATTAAAAAAAATGTTGCTCACGGTTGTCTTTTTATCGGCAGCAGCATATCTTGGCTACCAAGCTTTTTTGACATTTGTTGGAAGTAGGTATTTAATAATACAACAATATAAAATTAAAACTGGCAGGCAAAAGAACATCAGTGTATGACTTGATCAAAAATCCAAAGTATAACTTGAAGACAGTAGAAGCACCAAAGCTAGCAGGCAAATTATTCTTATTTTTTGTAAATTTAGTTGAATTTTCACCAGTTGGCGATTTTTTGGTGCCAATAATTCTCAAATCATCTGGTTTTTCAATCCTTGAAGAAATTTCTGTCTATAACGCTCCTGCTTTGGATCCCATTCCAATGAGAAACGAAGAAGAACATTTTAATGATTTAAAGCATTTCGAAGAAAATGGTAAATTATCCTGCATGGAAATCCAAAAGAAAGAAATTGCTAGAATCATTGATGAATACTTTGCTTCTGACATGTCAAAGGAAAATTATGTTTACAATACCATTGCTTATATTCACAAGTTATATAAGGAAAAGAAAACAACTCCTCTCCAAGTTGCTAAAAATATTCTAAAGGCAATTAAAGAGATTGATGAACAAAATCCATCCTTAAAAGCTGTTATCAAATATGATGAAAGTTTACTTTTGAAACAAGCTGAAGAATCCACTAAAAGATATGAAGAAGGAAAGGAAATTTCTGTATTTGATGGTGTTCCTGTAACAATCAAGGATGAACTTGACCTTGCAGGTTTCACTTCAACCAAAGGAATGAAAGTTACAGAATACACAGAACATGTAATTACTGAAGACGAAGAATCCAATGTTTCAAAATCTTTACGTGCACTTGGTGTCATGTTCGTTGGTAAGGCCAACCAAAATGAAATTGGTATTTGTGGTAAGTAGTTATATCATTTGATTTAGTCTTTAAAATTCTAAAATAATTAATATAATTTTGATTTATAATTGTAAAATTTTATCTAGCTCGTGGTATCAATGTAAACTTTGGCTCAGCAAGAAATCCGTACAACCTCCAATGTGATACTGGTGGTAGCAGTAGTGGTTCAGGTGCTGGTGTTGGTAGTGGTTTGATTCCATTGAGTATTGGTACGGATGGTGGTGGTAGTGTTAGAATGTAAGTATGATGAGATCTATTATATTTGAATTAACATCTGGATTTGGTGAACTATTGTCACTAGCCCTTCTTCTTTGTGTGGCGTTTATGGATTAAAGCCAACTCATTACAGAATTTCAACCAAGCAAAAGAGTGCCCCTGTTGCTTTTAGTACTTGTGTCGCTGGACCAATGACTGGATCTGCTATTGATTTGACATTGAGTTTTGCTGCAGTTGCTGGCAGAAGAAGCAATGATTTGAAATCTCTTACTCAACCAAGGGATTTAAGATTGAACGAGATTAGACTTATGGATCCAGATTATTATAATCTAAATGAAAGAAAAATTGGAATTCATAACGACTATTTTAATGACGTAAAAGATAATAGAATTCCAAAACTTTGTAGAGACTTTATTGAGAAGGTATTTTGTAAGATTTATAATGCTCAAATAGATGACTCTATTGTAATCCCATTATTGGAGCCTTCGAGGGTATCCCACTTGGTTACTATTGCCGGTGAAATGAGAAATGGTATGAAAGATTATGGATATTATGAATATGATAAGAGATCCAAGCTTTGTCCAGAAACTAGAATGTCTCTTTTATCTCAAAAATACGCCTCCTCATCCGATTACATTACAGCTCAAAGAGTTAGATCTCACCAAATGGACGAATTTGCAAAACTCTTCGAAAAGGTTGATGTTATTGCATTGCCCACAGTTGGATGTGTTGCACCTGAATTTGATGAAAGTCAAGTTAAGAAAGGAGGATTGGGTGTCAGCGATTATGATGTACTCTCAAGTATCATGAAATTCATTTTCACTTCCAATTTTTGTGGATTCCCTTCAGTTTCAATTCCTATTGGTTTTATTGATAACAAACCAGTTGGCTTGCAACTCATGGCCAAATGGTGGGATGAAGTCACCCTTTTGAAATTTTGTTTACTCGCTGAAAAATACACTGAGAAGAAGAAACCACAAAAATTTATTGATATCACATCCCAATAAAAATAAAAAAGTTCCCTCATTTGTGTGAATTATTGAATTTTATTTACACCTCTACCACAGGCATTATACCTACTTTTACACTAATTGTCATCCCATCAACAATTTAACCAAAACACGTGGTTATTTATACCATATACTAATCAATTAAAACACGTAAGAAAACTTTAATGTTCACCAAAAGTTTTTTACACAAAGTTCCCACAATTGTTCATCCAAGAATAACTCCAACATTTTGAAACAAAAAAATGTTCAACAATGCTCCACCAAAAAACCTACTATCGATAACAACAAATACTAACCAGCAACTTCAACAACAACTCATACCAACATTTAACATGTCCACAAATAATCAACCAACACACGCATCTTCTTTGACACCAAGTTTGAATAATATAGAAGTAGTTGGGAATGACAACATTCCCTCATCTGGAACAAATATAGATTTAATTAAGCAATTGCTCAATTCTAATCCACAACTACAAATGTACCTACATCAACTTGCCAATCAAACAGAAAACAGTAACTCCATGTTGACAACATCCAATAATAATGTTAAAGTAGCAACAATTTCAGACCAAACAAATTCAACAATCGACAATATTCTTTCACTATTCAATCAAAGCAATGAATCAAACAACATGTTACAACATCCTGGCAACTATGTATTAAATCACATGCCACAACTCCAAGAGCATAATATTACCTCCAATGCACAACCAATGATGCATGGAGATTCTCAACATATTCTATCCCTCTATCTTTCATCAGAGGAAGTACAACAGTTGTTATTGTTGGATCAAGAAGCAACAAACAATACTACCACCTTAAATCAACCCCAAATTACATCTCAAAGTTTTGTCAATCCATCAATTTTAAACAATAATTCACTAATAGTAGCAAACGAACAACCACCACTCTTTACATGCTCTAATTCTGGTACCAGAATCAATACGTGTGCATCTATTGAAGATCATAACAACGCATCCACACATTCTGACCATTTCCTTCATGATGTTTCTCCTTCGCTTCTTGCATCGCAACAAAATTTGCCTCACCATCAAAAACAAAATACTGCAAACATTGTTCGAAAGCATTCAATCCCCGATCTTCAACTTCATCAACATCAACCTATCGTCAATCTCTTATATTCAACATCAACAACAATTAACCAAAATAATCATCACATGATTCAGCCACAAACAACAAATACACAATTTAATATGGAAATTTCTCCCTCTCCTTCACTTTCATTGCAAATTAATGAAATGGATTTTTATGATTTGCAATATATGAATCAGCCTTTAACGGATTTAGCTCCCCAACAATATAACAGATATATTTTTGATGGCTGTGAATTCATTCTACCCATCAGGTATTCACCAATAATGAGAGGTTCACAAGTAGTTTTTCTAGGAAGAGGAGCATACGGGCATGTAATTGCAGCAAATGACACTCAATCAGGAACAACAGTAGCTATTAAGAAAGTACAAAACGTATTTGATAAAGCTGCTTATAGAATGTTGAGAGGTTTGTGATTTTTATTTCAATAATTTTATTTATTATTTTTATTATTTAAAATAATAATTAATAATTATTTATTTTTATAATTTAATATTTTAGAGGTGAAAATAATGAGACATTTGAGAGGTCATCCAAATGTAAGTTTAAATTTAATTTTCCAAATTTTATCAATGTTTCAACTGTTATTTGAAAACATTCATTATTTTGGATATAGATTGTGACATTAATTGATATTTTTATTCCTGGAAATACGTTAAATGAGTTTAAGGATTTGTATATAGTTTCAGAGTGTATGAATGGTGATTTAGGAAGAGTGATGACCAATCTATGCAATCAAAAGCAATGTTTATCAATAGATAATATTCGCGATATTATGGGGCAATTATTGAGTGCCATGTACTATTTACAGAGTGCAGGAGTACTCCATAGAGATATGAAACCGAGCAATATTTTACTGTCACATAAATTCCAAGTTAAATTGAGCGATTTTGGAATGAGTAGAAATGAGGCAACCAATCAACAAGTAACCAATCCTCAAAGTTTTGCTGTTGTAACTGAAATTTATCGACCTGTATGTACTTTACATTCTTTCCTTTATTGGAATTCGAAATGATCAATATTATACTTCAGCCTGAAGTTGTTTTGAATTATGAGATACAAACTTCTGCAATAGATTCGTGGTCTGTTGGATGTATTTTTGCAGAGCTGTTATACATGTTACCGCCATCCTCAAAGAGAAGACCATTATTTGTAATTCTAAAGGATAGTGAAATTAGAGCGCCAAACCACTATGAACATTTAAACTTGATGGCTTCTTTATTGGGAAAACCAAAGACAAATGAATTGAAAGGAAATCCACAATATGTACAAGAATTATTGGAATTATTGGAAAATTTCCCATCTCAAGGATATGATTTTTCTCTAATTTTCCCAGCAGCACCTCCGGAAGCCATTGATCTAATGAAAAGGTTTTTAACATGGAATCCAGAATCAAGGATATCCTTTGAGGAGGCTCTTAATCATCCCTTCATAAGGAGTAGTAATATGATAAACAGAATTAGGGCTGGCGAAAAAATTGGATCATTGGATGACGATGTCAATGTGAGTTCGGAAAAGATAAAATTCCTCTTTTACAAGGAGATAGTGAGCTGGAAATTGGAAAATAAAAACTAATGGATTATTTTAGTGTACAATATTCCACCAATTATTTTTCGGTTAAGGCTAATGAATAATCTTGCTTGTTGTTTTGCTAAATGGGCAACCCTTTTTCTAAGATCAACATTGTATCTAACAGTCGAATAATCCTTAGCTTCTCTAACACTGGCTGAATCTTTCCACATGCTATTCAATTCAAAAATATTACCAATGCAATCAAGAACCTCTTGATACTTTTTGTCACACAAACAATCTCTCACTCCCCATCAACATTGTAAACTTCGGTTGACTTTGATTTTCCTTTCGGTTTTTCTACAAAATACAAGCATAACTCTTAACAATCTCATACATATTATTGCCTATTAGGAAGTCTGTTTCATACCTCTAGTTTAGCATTTCTAAACGCCCTGCTGTGTTGACAGTGTCACCAATGGCAGTATTGCACCTACCTTCATTAGATCCAATATTTCCAATAAGACAATTGCCAGTATTAATACCAGTTCTCACCAATGGAAGGTTTTCTTTTTGACAACTGGTCTTATATTGCTCAATTCGGAATTAGCAAGCCATTGCTCTGGTGGCCTTTAAAGCATGATCAGGTTTTTAAAGGATGTGAAAAAAAACCATTTGACTCTATTGAGTATTCAGTATTGATTAAAATAATCAATGTTATCTATTACAACATACCGCCACCAATATATTTATCGAGCACTCCATCATTTTTCTCTACACTCTCTGTAACTATGTTGAAATATTCAGTTAAAATCTTGAGAAGAATGGACAAACTGCAAGATTCAGAGCAAAGATCAGAATCAAATTTCATTTTATCAATTAATTACTAAAAGAACCCAATCTAAACCGTGTGAATCATTAATAATATGAACTGAGTATTCCATAAAATAGAAGTTTGAAATGTCAGGATCTTCAGTATTAACATAGGAACAAGTCCAATGACACAGAAGAGGTATTCTTGAGAGCTGATTCTGGCATTGGATAAATTATCCTTCTTTCCAATACTTTAGCAGTCTGTAAAATAAAAACAACAAACAATATATTTTGAAGACTTAAACATTGTGATATTTGAACTGTTGTCATCATTTGTTGATGAGGGATGAATCTTATTATCAGGTTGCTTATATAACTTGAACTTCTTTGAGAGAAGTGGTTTGCAGTGATTGAGCTACCATCTTGAGAATTTTATTCTGTAAGTTTTTTGAAACTATTCGTGCTTGTTTCTATATTTATTTGAACAATACACAAAATACACAAGGTAAACAGAATTAACTCCGCTAACAATTATCAAAAGTTGAGTAGAGTTTTAATATCACCTTACTCACTTTTGTACCATATTGTTTCTAACTTATTATAATACTCACAGGAAAGAAAATAACAACCTTTCCTTTAACACCAGATTAAACTTCAACAAAAATTTGTGCATCAAGTAAATCTAGAACATTTTGTGCTGCAAGCGAGCAAAAAAAATGCCAAAAACTCCAACCTCTAAAAAGTCAAGCAGCAATAACGTGGCAACACCAAACAACAATGGTAAACCATCAACAACAACAGGAAACCATGCCACTATAAGTAAAAAAATTACTTTCAAGGACCGATTATTTCAACATATTGAAAAATCTTTTACTCAACAACCACAACTCACACAAACACTCATCACTGAACTTCAACAACTTTTAACTTTGCCAAGTGTTACCAAAGAAGAAATTTTACACTTTTTCCTTTCCTTGTTTGATCAATGTGCTGAACAAACTCATTCAAAAAATCCAAGAAACAATTTTGCCGATTCAACCTTTTTTTCATCACTTTCAATAACATTACTTGGTAGTGTTGTTCCATCATCCATTCAACAAAATGTTAATTTATTCTCCCTTGATGAGTTGTACAAATTATTGAAACAAACACAACAACAATCTTCTTCCGGAGATTTTTATGAACAAGTTAAAGTGAGACTCGTTTTCATTACAGGTTGTTTCTTTACAGGCTCTGTGTTTATGGGTCAAACTCAAAATGGGAAAAAACAAAAGTCTAATACTTTACTTTCAAAATTTGTTGAAGAAGTACAACAAGACTATCGTAGATTGTTAAAGAAAAAGAAGGAACAAGGAGAAAATGTTGAAGAAAAGAAGCAACAAGCAATCTTGTCTGTACTCTTTGCTGAAGCAATTGGTGCAATTTTAACCTGTATGAAACAAGCTTCTTTAAAGAAGAATTCATCAGTTACAAAGAAGGAATTGGACACTTTGTGTATGGAATTAGAAACCAGTTTCCTCCCAGAAATTGTGGACCGAACACCATCTCTTCCTGAATCTGATGACGATGACGAAGAAATGCAAGAAGGTGAGAAGAAAAAGACATTGAAAGATAGAGAAGTAGTTATGGATGGACCATTTTCGAGAAATATGCTCCAAAGCACATATACAGAACTTTCACTCTATCTTCTTCATTACTACATTCAAGAAAATAGTCCTTCCACTATGGTTGAACGTAATACTATTCTTACTGGTGGAAGATTTAGCTCTGAAGATGAATCATCCCAATTTTCTGTGCTCCTTACCCGTTCCTTCATGGCATCTCTCATTGAACACATGAATGAATATCGCCATTTACCTATTCATTGCTTTACTACACATTTCCTCAAACAATTGATTGAACCAATCATTCTCACTCATTTAAAGAAGAAGTCTAAAAAGACTAGCAATGTTGAGGATCAATTTGAACTTGCAAAGGAATTATTAGAATCATTCTTTATTCAACTCATTTCCCAAATGCAAGCACCTCCTTCACTTTTACAACAACCAAAGACTGGTAGCACAAGCGACATTATTGCTCAAATATCTTCTAGAAAAGCTTATTGGTGGGAAATTCAAGTCTTCCAATCTGTATTGGAATCATTGGATAAGGGATCCGATAAGACTGTTATGAATTTCATTCTTGATAATATTTTACCTTTGGGTGATATTGAAGGTGTTGTTAATCCATTCCTTGTTATGTGGGGAGCTGTTTTGAATGAATGTAAACAATTCCTCAAGAATGTTCCAACGAGCGGTTCATCAAGTCCAACAACAGGTAATACCCTTCTCAATTCTCTCTTAATGTTAGTTGTTAAAAAACAAGAGCAAAAGAAGAGAAAGAGAATTGCTGAAGCTGAAGAAAACAACACTGTCCCAAATGTGGAAACTGAAGCATTGAAGAATGAATACAAGATGAAACAAGTAAGAGAAGAGTTTTTCCAATATCAAATATGGTTAGGTACTCAATTGAGACCTAGAATAATGAGTTTAACATCATTAACTCCATCTCTTTCAAAGTACTTACTTTCCAGAGAATCTGTTTTGTGCAAGGTTTCAAATACTTTGGGAACTTACACAGCTGAAAAACTCTCAACCTTTACTATTGAAGCAGATAAAAAGAAGAGAAAAGCTCAAGAAGACGATGAGGATATTATTTCTTTATCTCGTAGAACCTCTCGTTCACTTTTAAGAGGTCTGTCCTCATGGTTGAGAGACTCTATCAAACATAGAGTGGGTACAATTACTAGATCAATTCTTTTAATCTTGTCTCAATATGACGAGCAAATGGAACGATTCATCGCCAAGAAAAATCAGATGGATTTGGTACATGATACCTTACTTCAAACCGAAGAAAAGGAAGAAGAATGGCTCAATGAAGAAGCACTCAGATTTTTATTGTCATGTTTCCCAACAAATGTCAGAGTTTATGATAAGAGTGAAGATTCTTTCACTACTGAAGATCTCACAATTCTTCTCAAAAAGTTATTTGAAGTGGGTTCATTAATGAACTATGTTAGCGATAAGCCACTCTTGACAAAGAAATCAGACGAAGAGAGAGAAACTCTCATTAGACACAGATCATACTATGGAAAGGATATTGTTGATTTATCCTCTAATTTGGTAAAACTGATAATTAATAATTTGGCAGTTCAAGAATTTAACTGGATGAGACAACAATTCCACACCAAGGAAGTCAAAGAAACTGAAAAACAACTAACAAGCTCAAAGAGCTGGAGTAATGAACTCTATTCTTATGCTATCAAGTTATTTGGTCTTGAAGAAAAGAGTAAACAAGAGAAGAGAAAGAGAATTTTTGAAACTAAGGATAACAACTCGAACTTTAAAAAACTTCAATCTCTCTTGGGATCTATTCAATCTGATTTGGACAAGTGCAGTATCGGAAGCTCATCAAAAGCTTGTATGGATTGGTCAATCCTTTCATCTCTTGCTATTTATATTAGGCAAGTATTGGTAACTAGTTTCTTCGATCCTTGGATTATTGAATCTGAAGCTCAGGGTCAACCTATGGTTGAAGACTTGGCTAGAGTCTATGGAACCATTTCTAAACTTTCTTCCTCTGATCTTATTCTCATTTGCCAAAAGAAGGAAGATTCAATGCAAGATGAATCTATTCAACCTATGGAAGTGTTGACTGATGTATTGGTTGTAAATATCAACGTTGAACCTAATCTCACTCTTGCTTCTCGTATTGTATTCATGACTATTGCTAAATACCTCAATGAAGAATGCTTGGATATTTTATTCAATTATTTAATGAAAGATGGCGAAGTGCAAGATATTGAGGATGAGAGCGACGAAGAGGAAGAGGAAGAAGAGGATGACGAAAGCGATGATGAAAAAACTGATACCCTTGATGAAGAACCATTAGAAAACGAAACTGAAGGATCAGTCATCATAAGAACTGATGAAGAGGAAGAAGAGGGTGGTATTGACCTTAACAATCCAGGTGATGTTTCCAAAGTATTGGAGATGCTCAAAGCACGTAATGAAGCTAAAAAGAAAAAGTCTGAAGAAAAACAGCAAAAATTGAAGCGTATGGAATTTGCCATGAATATTGTACAAGTATTGGAGGGATTATGTATTAAGAGCATTCCTCAACCAGTACTCATTCTCCTCTTATTCAAATCAACTCAATATATCCTTGAAAAGATTTGGTCCCAAAATGATGAAGAAGTAGCAGAACATTTAAAGAAGGCAACAGGATATGCTGTTAATACTATCTTTAATAAGGTTCTTCAATTAGTCCAAATCTTAACCAGAGAATATCGTCAACAATTACTGACAGATTCAAACTCAAGCATATGTGCTATAGTTTTCGAACAAGAGGCAAAGGATGCATTGTTTGAAACAGCTAGAGTTTTTGCTTTAGAGTTTTCCAAGTATGGTATCTTGTTATCCTCTCTTCAAGGTAAAACCAAAAAGTCTATCACCAATAAGAATTCTCCAAGTTTGAATATGGAACAATCTGCTCACATGTTGAGTATCTTTATTAGACTGATGTATGTATTAAAGAAGAGTGACAACACAGAGATGGACTCTCAAATTGAAAAGATGCTTTTTGGTTCTTCCGATAACGACGAAGAAATGGGAACTTCTATGGAATTATTAATTTCTTTGGCTCAATCAGATTCACACATTGCCAGTACTTTGGGTAGTAAGATTATAATGTTTGCTTTGGATAAGGTTATTAACTCTGGTGATAAGAAATATCGTGATAGAAAATCAGGTCGTGTTCTTGCCCAACAACCATATCAAAGAGAAATGTACGATAGAATTTTAGGAAGCCTAGTTAAACCATTTGTATTGTCATTATCTGGAGAAAATAAGACATCTTCAACTGCTAATGCTGTTCTATTAATGGTTTTAGAATCATATGTGAAAGATATTTGTCCAGCTATGAAACTTATCAAATCAACTTCAATTAAGGCTAAAAATCTCAAGAAGAGTGCTAGTGTACTTTTAACCGTTTTGGAGTATTTAGCAAATCATTCATCAATGCAAAAAGATTTTACCGAGGTTCAATTCAGAGAATTATTAACATGTTTCTACTTTGTATTCCATCAACAAGAAAAGAAACAAGGTGAAGAAAAGAAGGAATCAATTTGGACTCAAGCGTTACCACTGTTTGAAGAATGGAGAAAGAGATGGAATTTAGGCTCAACTCTCGTCCAGGATTTTATTACATCAAACCAAGATTTGGACAAGTCTGCTATTGAAATTATGAAACAAAGAAGAGAGGTTTTCAAAAAGGAAAGAAAGGAACGAGTGAAACAGTCAACCGAGCAAACTCCTGAAGAAAACAAGAAGAAGAGAAAGAGAAATGAAAAGAAGGAGTTAAATGAACCAGTAATCGAGAAGAAGGAAGAGGTCAAGAAGGAAAAGCCAATAGAAGAAGCTCCACAAAAGAAGAGAAAACAAACTCCATCAGCTTTTGTTTTTGAAACTGATGAAAAACCAGTCCAAACAATTGAAGAAATGAAAAAGAAGAGTGGTGATATTCCTGCTTCTAAAAAGGCTACAGCCACCTCTGTCAATCAAACAGATAAGAAGTCTTCCAACAAACAAGAATCTACTCTTTTCAACGAAACAGCTTCAAGTATTGCCAAGAAGAATACAAAGAAACCAACCAAAACAGCAACACAAAAGAAATCCAAACAATAAAAGACTCATTTCACCATTCAAACGTCATCTCTCATCAAAAAAATGAACAAACCACTGGCTTTTGTTTTAGTACTGTTGTTGGTGTGTTGTTTGATGCAATATGTTCAGTCATCATCACTGTCTTCTCTTCTATCCTATTCCGATTCTCTAACACTACATCAGAAAGAAAATACTCTTATTTTGGCTGATGAGGCTAAAGTTGGATCTATTGTGACATTGACTAATGAGGAGTTTGAAGATTTTTCTAATGCTGAAATATTTGGGGAGGATTTACAATTCGTGGAGAATGATGGAGAGTTGACTCTTTCAAATAATAATATACTGTCTGCCGATAAACAGAGTGTTTCTTCCATTACCACATTGAACAAGGAAGAAGAAACCAATGTTTCTTGGTTGGCATAATAATAAACTTTAAAAATGGTTTTTATTTGGCTTTTTGTTTTGAGCAATAACAGCTTGGGAATTGTAAAGGTCAGCTATTTGCTCTGCTGAGGTGGCTTGTTCTGGCTTTTTGTCTTCTCTTGTTCTAACAAATCTTGGAAATCTTAGGGCAATACCTTTAGATTCATCAACTAGTCCTATTGCAGCCATGTGAGCAGGCGAAATGGTAAGATCAGCTGCCTTAATCTCCCAAACAACATTGGCATCAAACCATACATCAGGTCTTTGACTTTCTCTAAAGCTAAAGTAGGATTTTGGTGCAGAAATTATGTGTTCATTCATTTTATCTGCACATTCCTTCAGCATTTCGTCTGAAAATCCTGTTCCTATCTTACATATAGATTGGTATTGGTCGGATTCTGGATCAAAGCATGCAAGTAAAAAGCCACCATAAACACCAGTACGTTTACCTCTTCCCTTGTAGCCTCCGATAACTACCAAGTCAACCGAGTCACCTAACCCTTCAATATAATCCTTCTTAAGCTTTAACCAGTTGAAAGACCTTTTTGAGGGTTCATAAGTGGCATCTACCTCTAAAGTTTTAACCATCAAACCTTCACAGTTACCCTTGATTGAATCTTCCAAAAACACTTGAATGTCATTAAGGTCGTTTGTATCTCTGTGGGATGCAAACATGAATTTATCGTCAGAGGTAGCGAAAGAATCATGAAGTATTCCTCTTCTTTCCTTAAGATTCTTCTTGAGGCATGACTCACCATTAATGTACAGAATATCAAAGGCAAATAGACAAACCTGAACCTTGATATCATTAATATTAATATTTTTTCTTCCTCTTGTGCTTAGTACCTGGAAAGGTTTAATCTTTTTTTCAATAGGATCAAAGGCAACAACCTCACAGTCAATAATGAAACTCTTGACATGTTCTTTAGTAACTTGAGGAAGCATTTGAATCAAGTCAGGATATTTGCTGGTGTGGTTTTCCATATTTCTACTGAAAATTTTGATAGACTTATCTGGAAGCATGTGTATTTGGGCTCTCTCTCCATCATATTTGAATTCACAGGTAAATTCTTTTTCTCCAAACCTGTCAAATAATTCTTGAACACCTTTTGCGCTCTTAGCCAACATTGGACGAACTGGAAATCCAGGTTTCAAATGGCAAATATCATGTAACTTTTCGAAACCATGTTCTAATAAAGCTGGTATAATGTCATCATAACTTGGAAGTTCAGAGTAGACAGATTTAAGAGTTTCCTTAGCAAACTTAAGGTCTGCTTCATCTAGAACTTTTTTACCACCCCTACTCAATAAAATCGCATGGGAAAGAGCAATTAGCACTGTCTCTTCACCAAGTCCTATTCTCAATTTACCTTGTAAGGACCTTATGATAAACATTGGCTCAACATCAACTGAGGAAACGAGCAATAATTTAATCTTCTCTACTTTTGTGTTCATACTCTTCTTACCTTCTGTTGTGGCAATAAATTTGAACGAATCATAAACACTCTTAAGGGTTAATGATTTAGGTTTGAACATGGTTTTTTGTGTACTTCTAGCTACATTTGCCACTAGACCAAGATCACCTTCTTTAACACTCAATTCTTTGATTTTCTTCAATGTCTTTCCGGTTGCCTCTGCTAGAGCTTTCATAATTAAACTTTCACCAACACCCAACTCGATACCAAAGTGGGAAGGCGCTAATTTGTTAATAGATAAATAGACAGAATAAAGCAAATCACTTGGTGATGTAGCAATAATACTTCTAAAACAATTACATAACAGTTCAGTTTTTTTGATAGAAGAACCAATTTTTGAAATTTCATCTAAAGTTTTGGCAAGAAAAAGGTATGGTGCACTTTTAAATTTAGACAAAATTAGAGTAGTAAAAACAAACCTATTTCCAGTCTTCCAGGTTGCAGAGGCGATTGGGTCGTATGAGTTGTATTCATAGTTTGGAGCTTTAGAATTCTTTTTAACACTCGTTGAAACTTTACAAGAAACCGAATCATTTTCTTCTTCAATCTCATCATGATCTTCTTCCTCTTCTTCATCGGAAGAGTATGATGTAGTATCCATTAATGTAGAGGTTTTTTCCTCCTCCTCTTCTTCTATTGTTTCGTCATCAATTTCATCATCTATTATTTTTCTTTTTTTTGTTTCATCGGATTGTTCAACTTTTTCTTTTCTCTCCTCATCGTTTCTTTTTCTTTTCTCTGTTTGTTGCGAATTTTTTGATCCAAAGAATGATCTGTTTTTACGGTAATTATGGCTTTGCTCCAGATTTGTGAAACTTACGTCAAGGAAGATTGTTCTTTTTTCATTTTTTTTTATTTTTAACAACAATTTTTGGCGCGATGTCGTTTCATTAATTCTGGTTGAGACAGTAACATTGTTAACTTGATTCAAACAATCAAAAAGTAAATCCCAAAAGGCTGACACATTCATTTTCATAGTAACATGAACATTCTTTGGAAGATTTGTCATGTGATAAATGTCACACACAGTTCTTCCATCACAAAACCTGGAGTTACATTCAATATCAACCCTCATCAATTCACATTCAAAGAGGGATGGATTAATGAGATAGGCTATTGTGCATGGATCGTGGAGTGGGGGATTTCTTTTGATTTTGTATTAATATAGAGTATTTGAAATACTTACTCCATGTAAAACACTCTCTTATAAGTTTGCTTGAAAAAGAGCAACAACTGTTTACAAATAGTTCCAAAATTTGAGTTCATATCTTCACATCTTTTGATAATTTCTGGTGTGGCTAAGGCTGTGTGAGTAACTTCCAATGGTACCATTACAACTTTCAAGCCTGATTCAAATAGGACTTGGGCAGCTTCTGGATCTCCTTCCACATTAAATTCAGCAGCCCTACCAGTATTTCCAAAATTAATGGCTCCTCCCATAACAATAATTTGTGAAATGTATTGTTTAACTTCTGGATATAATATCAATAAAAGAGCAGCATTGGTAAATTGACCTGTACATACAAGATTGACAGGTCTTTTTTGAGATGAAATAACCTTGTACATATAGTTGACTGCTTTTTCATCAGCTATTGGGCTCTTATTTGGGATAGGAAATGTTGGTCCATCAAAGTCTAAACCAGACTCACCATGAATTTCCGCACAACTTTAAATAAATCAAAATAAATAATCATAATTTCAATTTTCATAAATAAACATTGTGAAAACCTACTGCTTGGCAGGTCGAATGATCGGTTTGCTTTGTCCTCTAACAACAGGGATGTCAGCAAAATTTGGTCCCATAGATGATATGGCCTTCAAACAATTGATTGTAGTCTTGTCAACAGATTGATTACCTCCTACTGATGAAATTCCTAACAATTTAATGGATGGATGAATACACATCAAAATAGCAAAAAAATCATCGTGACCAGGGTCACAGTCAAGCCTTAACTTGTTCAAAATACATCGGACAATGTCAAATACATACCACACGAGTGAAGGATCTTCATAGGTAGCCATTTTTTAAATAATTAATTTTTTAAATATTAATTTTTTAATGACCTTGGATCTCCTACCAATAGAACAAAAACGTCTCCTTTCGTTGATTAGATTGATAAAAAAAAGTAATGGTACAACAACCCTCTTCCTTTGATAGAACATTTAACGCTTGTGGAATTTTGTGTGTGACACAAACTAGCCGCCCAAAAACAGGGGCACCTTTTACTGTTCAAGTCAAAATTTATTCAAAAAGAAAATCCAAACACCACGTAACTATTTTTTGAAGGAGTGTTTAGGTGGCAAGATGAAGCAATATTTGTTAAATGTGGCGCTTTTGTTATTAATTTTCTGTGTTTGTGTTTCTTCTTCGGTTGCTACAAGAAGCAGTACAGAGATTTGTGGATTATTAAGAAGTTTTTCATCGTTCAAGCCTAATGCAGATCCAGATTACTTGGTCGGATTAGATGATTTATCTTGGGTGAGCACAGCTTGCCAATCCTTAAATACCAACGATACGGAGTGGACTTTCAGTACAGGATGGTTGGAATCTAAAACCATCAAGCCAACTTTTCTGCCTTCCCAACTCTCTACAATTAACACCAATATATTAAGAAACACTACATTTTCCTACAATATGGAAAATGATACCATCTATTTGGAGGTTACCTTTTCGATCAATTCAATTGTGAAGGGAAAAGTTGATGTTATCAATGTGGATGCAGAAGAATTGATCTATACATTTAAGAAATCTACCAGGGATTACATCGATTTTTCTTCCCTTTCCTTTTCCCCAATTTCTTGGGAGGGAAGCTTAACTTCAAATTCTTGCAACGCTTCAAATATTAATTCCTTCACGAGAACTATATGTTTTTTCGATTCAAACCTCTTTGATGGCTCTAAGCCTGTTATTTTGGCCATAGGTAATTCTACTAATGATGTTGAGAATGGACTCAGCCAAGAAATTACTTCAAGTTTCATGTATTTGGCGACTCAATTTGGTGTCAACACACACTTTACTCAAATATCTCCATATAGTTTTAGTTCACCTTCGGTGAGAGGGGTTTTTTTGGATAGCTCCATGATGTTGAGGCACTTTACAAATGCTACCTACATTCCAAAATCAAAACTTTTTGATTATGAGAAAAACGTCTTCTTTTCAAATCAAGGAGAACTTTATCAATTATCTGTAGAATGTATAGCAGAAAACTGTTTAGGATCAACCATTGAAGCTCTTAAAGAACTTTTAGAAGAGTCAACTAGAGCTACAAACTGCTCTATTTCATTCGAAAGAGCTAAATCAAGTTTGACAGCAGCTATTTTTATTACTGATACATCCATCCACCCTCTTGCTTACTCTGGATATAGTGAAGGATTCGCATTTTGTAGAAATATCAATGATAGTGCGGTTAGTGTTAGAATCGCTGTTAGGGCAACACCAGTAAATGAAATATGGCCTGTCAAACTATATACCCAAAACGCAAAGAGTGCTTCTACCTTATTACGTTCTATACCTCTATCTTTGAATGGGTATATTTCAGGAAAAATACATTATAATGGTGATTTGTACTATTCTTATCCATCAAACATTTATTCCAGTTTGCCTAATAGTGGAGTTTTTATAAGAGATTTGTCCATCAATACCAAATTGATTCATAACGTTATGGGAAAGGTTAGAAATTCATTATTTACAAACGTATCTGTTCTTGATCAATATGTACTTGGTTTAATGAGTGAAACAAATGTAGATTCAATAATTGCAGATTATTCGAGTGGCACAATGTTTCCAACCTTTATTGGATTTTTTAAACATTTTTCTGAGAAATATTATGATAGTATCAGATTCTTGATTAAGAATGACACTGAGTCAACTGTTGAAGTTTCCATAATTTGCTCCAACAAAGAGTCAATTAATATTACTGATTATGGCATTTCTTCCATAAATTCTCAATTAGAAATCTTTAGAACCAAGGTGTTAGAAAAATATCCAGAATTATCAAACCTTAAAACCAATACTATTTCCGAAGTTACCCTACTTTCAAAACAACTCTTTACTGGTGCTGTTACTTCCATGATCCACATTACTGGCTTTTCAACAGAAGATGTATCAGTTTTTGTTGGTTCTCAATTGGATTATTCTGCATCTTTATATTTGAAGGCAAACTTTGAGCAAAGCTTATTTTCGGAAATTTACGCCTCCCATGATTACAAGACTAATAGTAGTGCGATAAAAGGAAAAATCACAAGAAATGGAGAAGCATTTTTTGTTGGATTGAGTGAAGGAAATGTAATAGTGGGATCCTCCCCTGCAGGTGTTTCTTTCATGAAGTATTCTGACGCAATTTCTATTCTTTCTAGTAGAGTAGATTCTATTCCTAACATTAACAGAACAATACCCCTCATTTCAAACGTTCTAACTCTAGTAACGGACAAGTTCAGTATTGAAAATATGCTAATCGTTTTAGCAGCCAAATTGAGATCTACACAACAAGCTAATACTATTGAAGTTTCTGCAGTAATAGAAGAATTTTTATACTCATTCTGCTTTGATTATGGTTGTAGTGGTTCTATCACAGCCAATGTTTCTCCAAAAGATGGTTCTAATTTGGGAATGTCACTGTCTATTGTGAAAATGCAACATCTGCACATTGTTGAAAATAATTTGGAGATGTTGCCAATAACTCCTACAGTAGGTGTATCTTCATTAATTAGAATGGATACGTTTATCCATTTATCCTTAATTAATCCTTCATTCGAGTCATTCACTATTAAAGGGAAAGGAGAATTAGATAATTGGGCAGTTCCCTTCAGATATAATATGCAATCAGGAAGAGTTTTACAAAGTTTTATATCATTTGATATTAATATGCCATCTTATGTTAATTTTGAAATTATTATGGGAATAGAAATTGAACATAACAATGAATCAATCTTTTTCAATTTTAAATCAGGAAATTTGCTGTTATCAAATAACATTCCATCTATTCAATTTTCAGGTGATGGCCAAGATAGCTTTGTTCCACCTCAAAATGTGATGTACACGCTTAAGGATGTGTTTAAAGTTTTAACACCAATCAAGAATGGTCCTCTTAATTTTAAAGTTCCGTTTTTAACTGACGATTTCAACCAGTTTGTTGAATGGGATGGTTATGTTGATACACTCACAGACATGTTACTTTATCCTAAAATGTTGAGAGGGTCAGACCCACTAGTTTCATTTACTTTAGCAGAAGAGCAGACCCTACTAGATGATTTGAATATCACTATTAATGGTATTATATATCACTGTGCTGGATTTAGTATTGATAACAATTCCACAAATACCACTATTAATAGTTTTAACAGAGGTTTGGAAAAGTGTAATTTAGGCTCTATTTTATGTGCCAAAGAGTTTAAAAATGAAGTGTCTGATTTTTTAATTGGTATTTTCCCTTTCAATCATTATGGAATCTATCAAATGGAACTAAAGTTTTCTTCCAATATAAGGGCACCTCAATTTTTTGAATACCAAGTTCCATTTTATCCAATATTCTCTTCATGGAGTGAATTAAGTTGGTTACTCCACATTACCACAAATGAGGTTCTCAAAAAACCAGTTGTTTCTACAGTAGATAGGAAATTCCTTCCTATCCCAGAAGAGATGCAAAATGTTTACCCAGCTCAATTTAAAACAATATCAGTAGATTTTACATTGAAAAATAATGTTATGAAACCTTCTACATTTGTAAAATTTTTGGAGGACTCTGGAAGTAAGATTTCTTTAGAAACTACTGGTACAGCCAATGTGCACAATAATATCCAATTTAACGGAAAGTATGGTTACGTTTTTTCCATTCCTGGTTTATATAATATTACACTACTTACTAACGCTGATTCTAATTTTACAATTTATAAGAACATTACAGAGTTAGGTTCTTCATTCTCAATGTCCATTAAGGCACAATTAAGGACAGCCACTGAAACAAAGACAGTAACATCTAATTTACATATTAGTCTTCCAATTGGAAGAAATTTCTCAGATATCATGATGAATTGGTTACCTGAGCAAGTAGACTACGATATCAGACCAATGTTTTTTGTTGATGTTAATACAGGTAGCGAAATTTTAGGGACACAAGATCAAATTCAAATAACCCTTAGAAGAGTTATGCTAGAAACTGACAAATTCCTTGTACCTCTATCATTATTTATTTATGATAGCAATGTACCAATTATTTCAATGACATCACAAATACCTCCAACATCTTTACCAATTTCTTCAGAAATTTCTATCACTTCACTGCTGAATTTAACTTCTAATGACGATCTTTCATTAAAATCTGGTTCATTGGGTTTATTTGGAGTGAAACCTACTTCAGAGATGGATGGGTCTGGAATTATCACACTTGCTTTGAACTTACCTGATGAACACGTTCCTTTGTACAAGTTAATGAGGGCAACTACTGACATTTCATTATTATTTGATCTCTTTGACATTACCATAGCAACAGATAACAGTCTTTCTGTACAAAATCCAACAATGAATATCAACAGTTCAATTCCAAGGTTGAACACTATGTCAGTAGTTTCAAAAAAGAGTTGGAAAATCAACTCTCAAAGCATTCTTGATAATATTGCTTCTGTAATCCACAATCTAGAGGCTAAATTTGATTCTGTTGAGGATACTGTAAAAGAAACATATTATGGACTTTCCCAAACAAACGCAAGTTCATTATGTTCTTTCCTTGACGAAATTATGAAATCAACCAATGACCTTGGAAGGAAATCTGTCCTTCAAACACCGTTACCATTCGTAAAGAAGACATTTAAACATTTACTTGAAAGGGCTATAGTTGATAAGTTCCAGTCAGCAAAACAAAGCGTTTGCAATGGTATTGTTGAATTTTCTTTGGAAAAGTTTTGCGATTTATTAGAGCATAGATGGGGTCAAAAAGTTTGCTACGATTCTCTAATAGCTGACAAGAGTTTTATTGTAACCTTAAAGCTTATGAACTATGAGTTAGTTTCGAATGAAGAGCTTTTTGTTGAACCAAATATTTTCGGTACTACCAAAATACCTGCCATAATGGGAATGGAAGATTCTGTTTCACTTAATTCTAATGCAAATTTTGAAATTAGAATTAAGTGTTCTTGGAAAGATGGCTTTGTGTTTGATATCCTTGATGGAACAACATTTTATATTAGTTCTGACTTTGCTGTAAATGGAAATATGAAAGCTTCTCTAGGGCCTATTAATTTAATGCTTGGAAGTGCAAACGTTTTTGTTGGTAAACCAGCAGTTCTTTCAGCAACACTTGTAAATGGGCTTATTGATCTTTCGCTCACTGGCAATGCTGGTTTCAATTCATTGATATCATTTTTCGATCTATCATCTTGCCAATTATCAATCGATATACCTGATATAGCCAAATTTTTGGGTGGTAGTTCAAATTCTCTAGTGATAGACCAACATACATGTAAAGGAGGGTCTTTTGTAAATTCTGTTACACAAATATTGAAAGACCATACCTTACTAGATTTCTTCAAAGATCCTAGTACTTTCCTTAATCAATTCCAAAATCATTTTTCTGACTTGTTAAAGAAAATCTTTGATGGACCAAATGGTTTATTGAATAATGTTGTAGTACCAGTTGTGGATAAAGAAATCCAAAAGATATTACAAAAAGAATTAGGGTCAATAATTGGCCCAGAAATGACCAATGATTTGACAAATTCTATCACAGTTATGGTAAATAGTGTAATCTCTGGAAAGTCAGTCACTGGAGATGAGCTTACTAGAGTTATTTTAACAGAATTTACTCAAATAATGTGTCAGAAGTTTAAACCTGTTGAATGTCCAAAAGTACCAGATATCCACAGTGCCGAATATGTTTGGGGATTTGAGCTCAAGAGGGTACTGAAACATGGAGTTGCCAATCTTGGTTTTGATATGGGTTCCTCTGCAAAAGGTACTCACTTAACTTCTGAGGTTGAATTAGATTTTGAAATGGACTATAAACTCAGATTTAATTTGGTATTTTCAAAATCAAATGGTGCTAGTATTACTTTCAATGAAGGTTATGTCTTGGAAGGAATTACTGACTTGAAATTGGATGGAACTCAAAAAGTTGAGGGTGAGATTGGTTTTTTAGGAGCAGAAATTATTTTAGATCCTACAAGTTCCTTCCACGCAGAGTTTGGTGTAGATAATCAGTGGAAAGCATTCATGAAAGCAAACTCAATTTTAACAGGAAAAGCAGAAATGGGATTTGCTGGAATTATTACTAAATTATTGAAAAATGTTGAAGACCCTCTTGATGCTCTTCCTCATTTTGAATCAATTATTGAATTCAAATGGAATTGGGAAATGGGAACTTCATCATCCACTACTCCTGAATTCTCTCTATCAGAACCTAGTTTATGTATTGGTACTCTTTTATCTAGAATGGCAGAAGGGGTAAGAAAACAAGCAGAAAAGGTTATTGGAAATTTAGATAAGATTGTTGGTCCTGCTTCATTCCTTACAAAGGATGTGGGAGTACTATCTAGAATATTTGGTAGAGAAATGTCTATTGCAGAGCTAGGAATATTTTTGGCTAGACACTATTGTTCTGGTGAATGTGATGCGGTTAATGTTGAGGAATTAATTAGTGCCTACAAAAAATTGCACATTCTAATGAACAAGCTTCAAGTTGTCCGTAACTTTTTATCAACAATGAATGGGTGTGGAATTAGAAGAAAATTCAGCAAATTCGTTGTTGATTTGCAAAAATCGGACGATCCCATTATTCATGATGTTCCTGACCAAGCATTGATTTTTGAACAAGATATTCCTCCAAGTATGAAGCCAGAAATTGAACAAACATTTTCTATGATTCAATCAAGAACTTACAACTTACATATTCCTTTATTTGAGGAACCAAAGAAAATACCATCAGCTCTTATTGGCTTAATGCTAGGAAAAGACTTCAATTTAGTTGAAATTGAAATGCCAAAAATGGTACTTTCATTTTCAGCTCATTTTGGATTCCCTATTTGGGCATTCCCTTACGTAGAACTTTACATTCAAGCTTCTGCTGGTCTTGTTGTAGATTTACCAACAATTGCTTATACTACTAAAGGTATACGAGATGCTGTGCAAACAAAGAAAATAACTAATTTATTTAAAGGTGTTGGAATGATCACTAGAAAACCAGACGGATCTCCTATTTGGATTGTATCTGGTTATGTTAGATTAACAGGTGGAGTTTCTGTCAGTGTGGTAAGTTGTAATTAATTTGTGCTCTATTTTTTTACTTACAATATTTAGTTTATTTTCAGTGGAAATGCATATGCATTCTTGGAAGCAGAGGCAAGAGTTACTGTATTAGATATAAATGGAAATCAAGTGGTTACTTTTGATGAATTGTTCTATTTAATTCAAAAGAATGGAATTCAAAACACCGTAACATTTGAAATGCAATTATCTGCAGGATTTGGATTTAATATCAAAGCTTGCATTAAAGTTTGGTTTGCAAAGAAATGTTGGACCATTGTAAGCCAAGAGATTAAGGTTCCAATTTTCCCTAAACTTACTTTTGGAGGCAAAAGAATTGCACCAGTAGCAGATAGAAATAGTAATTTGAATTTAGATTATGTGAATGAATTTGGTTCATCAAATTCTGACAAACCAGTTTTCATAGTTTATCCTTCAACGAGTAATGCCGATAGACACACTATTGGCTTCAGTCCATCCAGCAGTATGACAACAAATCTTCCACCACTTTCTTTTCCTAATCAAGGAACAAATTCTGTTGCTTTTTATGGCAATGCAGGAGGAAAACCTTTCGAAATTAAATCTTTAGGTTATCAAGGGCTTGTTACAGTTCCACCTCTAAACACTGTAACATCCAGAATCCCATGTGATTCTTATAGAAATACTGATTCTTTTACCATATCCCCAACCTTCATTACACCAAACAATTATTTAGGACTACAATACACACCTGGTATGTGTTCTCAAGCAATTCTAGAGAATGTAAAATATGGAACAAAGTTTAACTTGCAAGGAACACCATGTCATGTTGTACTAAATGCAGCTTACAAGTCACAAATAGAAATTGGTACTGATTCTCAAAATTACAAAGGACCAGTTACAATTAATGGACCTGGAGAACTGACATTTAGTGTTCCTTCTCCAAAATATCATGTTACATCATCATCTATTTCAATTGATGGTTCAAGTAATTTACTTAGACTTGAAAATGATATGCCATCTATCACAGTAGTAGGTGACAACCAACCAACAAGTTTTTCTTTCAGTAATATTGTCAAAACATCAGCTATTACTGCTCTAGGTAGTGAGTCAGATGATGAATTCTTGGTATCTGATGTTACATCAGTTTATGGAGGTTTAATGTTGAATGGTGGTAGTGGTATCAATAGAGGTACTTTTATTATTCCTGCTTCTAGTGATAATATGAATATTATGATCACTAGCTCATCATTATCTATTGACAACACCAATACAATCAGATGGGCAAATCTTGACCACAGAAGCTATAGAGTTTTGAACAGAAATAATCATACAAATATCAAGGTTTCATATTTCTCTCCAGATGATTTTAATTCATTCCATGTGGAGACTGAAAATAATCCTACAGGTGTTATTTACCATAATATCTCTTCTTGTTCAACACGAAATGAAATTAGACTTGATCTCAAAGGAGGAGGTGAACAAGTGGTGTTACTTTCTCAAAATGGTGAATTCTCTCCTCTTCAATGTTCAATGTACATCCAAGGTGTAGATGGACAAAATAGTGGATATACTATTCTTATTGACGCAACAAACGAAAAAAGAAATCTCAGATATTCAATAGAAAATGGAAGAGTTACAGTGGATGATCCTGATAACACTGATTTTATGACAAACCTTTATATACGTCAGATCTCAAGAGTTAAACTCATTGTTTCAGAAAAGCAATACTCTGATATAAAATTGGTACAAGGAGCTCCAAACACTGAATACCATTTCCAATTTGCGGAAAATACTACAGATTATGGAGTTAAAAAGCCAACTTTGACTTTGTGTAACTTACCTTCAAAATCAACAACTCTTGTTACTGGAAGTGCTGATATCAATCTAGGTCCAAAAACAGGCATTTGTAGTAATAAGTTTATTAATCCTTTGGAAAATTTGAGAAGTTTGATTGTGGTTGCTGGCCAAAATTCAAAGGTCACAATGAATTCTGGAAATGATGGGTCACAACACTTTAATATGACCGATAGATGTTTATTTGCCACAGATGACAGAGGTGTTAGTTTGGTTGATGTTGACACACCAACCCCATGGATGCAACAATTATTGTTAGAATATGGATTTAATCGTTCTGATTGTCATATTGCTTACTACCCTCAAAGAACATCATTTGAAATAACAACAGGAAAGGGGGATGATTCATTCTATGGAAGATATGTTACTGCCTCTAGCATTGATATTAATTTGGGTGAAGGAAGAGACACCATATTTTATGGAGAAACAGCTACCCCCGCAAACTTTAAAACAGAAAGAGGAGCCAGCAAGTTTGTCCAAGTCAGTCCAACAGGCCCTATCAATCTGTCAATGAAAAGTAGTACAACAGAAAGAAATATTATTGATTTCTTTACTGGTGATTTAGTTTCTTCCATGACTGGAAATACAGTTATTTATCCAACAGGGCCTAACCCATATGATTATTCCACAATCTCTTGCTCTAGTAGTGACCTCATAACGTTGCATCATTCTTTCCCTCTTAATTATGATCACAGTACCAAGATGTCACTGTTTACAACAAGAGCAATCAACCAGGATATTGTTTATATTAATGTCACTGAAATTTCTACCTCCAGACAAGTGGAATTAAGATCGGATACTAAATTTATTGTTTCTCTCCTTGGCTGGGATTCAACAATTGTATTCTTAGGAACAAATCAACAAGGTGAATATGCTAAGAACTTTGTTATTGAATTGAATTTGGATATTTCTTCACCTGGCAGAATATTTATTGATACAATATCCAGTACAAACGGTGAATTAGTAGTTAATGTTCCAAATTATGATGCTCAGTCATTCCCACTCCGTATTGCATCACTAGGACCTGTCAGCTATGGATTCCTTTCTATAGGTGTATTAAGAGTTGAAACTTTAGGAATGAATCATGTTACTGTTAATAGCCCTTCAACCCGTGTGAGTGCAGTTATTGAAAATACTCCATCCACTATGGAAGTTGTTTTGAATTTGAGACCACTTTCTACAGTAGATTTGCAAGGGTTGGGTGGTTTAATGATAATATCAAATGCAGCAGTTACAGTTAGCAGAAATTATTTTATCAAACCAAGTTCTGTTATGGTTGTTGGTAGTTCTTCTGTTACTGTTGTTCTTGAATCTGACACTTCTTATTTAAATGACAGGTGTATGAATATTCAAGGAATACTTAATACAAGAGTAGTTGCCAGTGAGTGGTTCGCACAGATTATGCAAGGATTTAATATTCCTTCCACTGCAGTATCTTGTCCATTGTATCTTTTTAGAATTCCATCATTAGATTTTACTGGTCCATTCTTTATTGTTTCTAACTTGGATAGCTCATCCAATGTTAGAGCATTATCCATGAAAAATGGTGATCTTTTCCTATCTGACACTATCAGAGATTGGACCAATACTGCAGTATCTGGCGGTGTTTTAGGTGTGGACGGTAGGTTTGAAGTCCATCTCACAAAATCCAATCTAATTGTTGCCAATAGATTTTCCTCTCCATCTAGTCTTACACATTCTACTTCTAATCCAGGTACAATCACAAGTATCAGATTTAATCATAATAACTTTAAAGACAAGCCTGTTTATTATTGGGAAACCGACACCTACAACACCTATTTGAATCCCTCTCCATCAAATATGAATATTCCAGTAATTTATGTAGACAGTGTACCAATTAACAAATTGAATGTTGATTTTTCAAGCTTACCCTTTAATAACTTTAATGTCAACCTCGAAAAGAATCAGTTTTTAACTACTGATAATAATGGCATTCAAAAACTAAAAATTTTATGGACCAATCATCCTTTGGACATGGATATTAATCTTAACGGTAAACAAAACTCTATTGTTCAACTAACAGAAGAAATAAGTGAAGAGAGAACATATAATATTAGGTCAACAAAAAATTCCAATACCATTATCACTTTGAAAGAGTCATCCCCTTATCCAACTTATTCCATTTTTACTAACAGTGAGAGAATACAATTTGGTAATTCTACAATAACTTGCACACCTGATAGAATAGTTTTGGACCTATTGAGTCAAGTTCACATTGATGTTAATGAGATACCAGGATCCGCAGAAAGTATATTCTTAACCAAGACTACTAGCTCAATGACCATTCAAAAATCTTCCGGAAATATGATAGTCTCTAACTACTTGATAGATGTTGTTGATAACTATCTAATTAATCATCAATTCCTTCTTTTTGTTACTGGCGACTCAGTCGTCACTAAATTGAGAACCAACCAAGCAATCACCTATGATGGTGGATGCTTAGTAAGATCTTCTGGGCTTAACGCTTTGATATCAACATGGTTCCATGACTCTCTTACCAAATATTATCCTTCTGAAATTAATTTCCTTTATCCGTGCTCCCTGTTTTCATTCAATACCAAGAGATTAGATGTATTAAACTCTCCATACAGTTATCTGAAAAATCTTAATTTAATTAACAATATGGAACTACATGTAAACACTGGTATTGTGAAACTTTTGGACAACAAGGTGAGATGGAAATCAGTATCACTTCTTCCATCCTCTCTAAGAGTAGATTCATTATTCTACTTAACTATTAAGGACGGGCTCGAAGTTTTTGTGGACACCACCTATCATAATGACAGTCAGATACTTTATAGAGGTAACAATGTAAATGAATCATCTGTTTGGCATTTTGGATGTCCAGACAATAGCACCAAACCGTTATTGAACATAACTGCACATCAAGAATCCAATATCAAATTCTGTTTAGATTATATTCAACTCTCAACCCCGTCACTTTCACTCAATACTCGTAGAGTAGTTGATGTTGGAATATTGTCGACTGATCAAACATTACCTACTGACAATACCACAATTTTATTGAATTCTAATAATTTGACTTTATCACAAGCCAACCCGCTCATAGTAAGTTGGACCAACAACACTCTTGTTTCAGTAGAAATATTTGTTTCAGTGCTACCTCATTTAGTAATTGTTGAAAGTATTGAAGGAATGAATAATATTCCAATTCTCCATGACCTCAATAATACAATAATTAGTCTTTTAATTCCACACGATGAGGGTGTCAGCATGATAAACACAGCTCTCTCGTTCTATTCAAAGACTAGAACAATAACAACACGTACATCCAAAAGAAACACTTGCTTCTTACCAGAAATCCAATGCACAAATCAGTTCTGGGAAGATGTGAACGTTCTAGGAAAGGATGCTTTTATGACTAAACCTTTGAGAGAAGAATGTGAGGAAGACACTATATTACTGTTAGACACAAGAAATTCATTCTCTTGCGGTTTGAATCATGATTTTGCTAGTCTTAGTTTACCAAGCAATCAATATCAAGTTCAATATCCAGAATATTTAGAAAATATTATTTACGCATGGTACTCTCTTACTTTGGTACTGTCCTCAGTGTTGTTTGTATTATTTGGCATGTTGGATCCAGGATTATCTAATTTCTTAAACTTGGCAATGTTGGATAAAGTGTCTCCAAGCCCTGTTGTTTGGAGTTGGGATACTAGAGCTCTTATTACTGCATGTAGAAATGCTGTTCAACACATTAGTACAGGTTGGGTGAAATATGACATGAATGATAAGCATCAAATTCCCCATGTTTTGCTATATGTTGTAACATTCTTTGCTGTTTGCATTGCAATACCGTTTGTACTAACAAGAAACAAGAAGAAAGGAAGAGCCAGACCAGTTCTTATGGTATTGTACAAAATCTTCCAAATTTGTATATGTCTTTTGTTTTTACCAATGTTTTCTCAAACAACTGAGATAGCATATTTTGTTCCAACCCTCTTGTGTTACTTGATTGTACTTACCCTAACAATTTCTTTCAATATTTGGAGTCCATCATATCTGATTGCCAATCAATCCGTTACAAAATATTTGAGAGTTTTCAGTAACATTTATTTAATAGTAATTGTTTCCATTGTAATGATACAAACAGGAGTTACATACTTTGATTTTAACATATTTGGAGTTGAAGTGTGGGTAATTGATCTTCTGTCTGTAATAGTGCAGCAAGTACTTAGACTTGTTTACATAGTACCATTGTTTGTGATTTCAGGTAAAAGATGGTTCCATTATTTCTTCCTTATATTATCTGTATTACTTTGGATTGCCTCATTTGTTATTGGATTAGTTTCCTTGGTGTTCAATCCACTATTCTATGACATTGATTTATTCCCATATTGGATCACTTTTAACTGTACATGTATTGTATATTCAGTTCTTGTTTGCTTCATTTGGCCTAAAATGATTCCACCAAGAAAATCATCTATTATTAACTCTCTAAATAGTAATACATTAGGTATTAGAAGAAGCTTAGGTATTGATGGAAACAGAAACAGTCTTAATGCTTCACAAGAAGAATATGAGGAGTCAATTAAGCTTATTAAATCTGACAGACAGAACCAAGGTTACGAAAATATCTCCAACTCTCTGTTGAAACAACCATTAGTTAGTCATGATGATTATGAGGAATATAATGATTCTGGATATACTAATTTTGTAGAAATGGAAAATATGAAAAATGAAAACTACGCCCAACAAGACTATCATCATGCACCAGAATCAGATAAACAAAAATATGAAGAAAGACAAGAAGGAACAGCAACAGGTTCTGTTTATTATACCAATGAAGAAGTGAACGAAAATAATAATCAACAAACAGATTATTACGAGGAGAGTTATGATAATTATGAAAATGACCAACCAAACCTCACTCTTAATCGACAAGTTAATGAACCACAATCATTCCCAATTATTCCACCTCCACCTGCTTATGAAGAACCTACCTATTACACAAACGATGAATATCGCTCCACCTCACCAACTAGCAACAATAACAACAGAAGTGATTACAAGTATGACGAAGATGAAGAAGAAACCAATGAAGAACGAAAGTATTACAAGGAAATGCTCAGAAAAATTATTGTTGAATCTACGGATCCAAGCACATCAATTGAACCTGGTTCCTTCAATCAAGTTTAAGTAATAAATACCAATATTGATTGAAAAAATGAGAACAAGCGTAAAAGCAGACCTTTCAAAAATCTTTCACAATGCTATTTTAAATTCACCTCTGCAAAAATTCATCGGAACCAACAATACATCTTCCCTTCAATGTATTAGCAATGGCCGTATTCCATTTCAACCAGTGCCATCTCAAAATAAGACAAAAAAAACAACTTTTTTAGGTGACTATCAAACACCTATTGCCATGCAGTTGGGAAATCAATTGAAACAATCACCAATTGATGTAGCAAAATCGCTTGGAGAATCAATTCTAAATAATAGTGAAATTGTTGAAAAAATTGATATTATTAATAATGGAGTCATTTCTCTCTCCCTTTGTGATGAATATGTGAAACGTAAAATTTCTGAAATATTCAATCAACAACCTTTAAATGTAAAGGATAAAATCAGAGTCATTGTTGACTTTTCAAGTCCAAACATGGCCAAGAGAATGCATGTTGGACATTTACGCTCAACAATTATTGGTGATTGCATTTGTAGAATTTTAGAGTATGATGGAAGGTTTGAAGTGGAAAGAATTAATCATGTTGGAGATTTTGGTACACAATTTGGAATGTTGTTAGCTTTTATTGAAAGAAATTCAATAGATTTGGAAAAATTACAAACACAAAACCCTCCTGAACAGCTAGAAACTGTTGAAAAATACTATAAGGACTCAAAGAAACTTTTTGATAGTGATCCCTTATTCAAAGATCTTGCACACCAAAAAGTGATTGCACTCCAACAGGGAAATGATGAATCTATACACAAAATATGGAAGTATCTGTTAGAATGCAGTAGATATGAATTCGATTCCATATACGAAAGGTTAGATGTTCGATTAGTTGAAAAGGGCGAATCATACTACAGGGATTTTATTCCAAAAACATTAGAAATTTTAAATCCACTGATACAGGAGAGTAATGGTGCCAAGTGTATTTTCACAGAAAAAGAACAAGAAACAATAACTGAAGACCAAAAAGAACCCCCTCTCATGGTACAAAAGGCAGATGGAGGTTATACATACGATACCACTGATCTGGCAACATTGTGGTATAGACTTTTTGTTTCAAAGGGAAAATGGCTTATTTATGTTACTGATTTTGGCCAAGCCTCTCACTTTAACAAAGTCTTTAAGGTTGGAGAAATGATGAAATGGATTGATCCTCTCGAAAATAGTAGGGATCTAGTGTGGAGTGAAAATGCTACTAGTTTAACCTCATCCAAAGTTAGAATAGATCACGTTGGATTTGGTGTGGTACTCGATGAAGAAAAAAAGAAATTTAGAACTAGATCTGGTGATACAGTGAAATTACATGATTTATTAGATGAAGCTATCAAAAGATCTTACGAAATCATAAAGCTGAAGAGTAAGTATTTTTTCATATTTTTGGAGAATTGTTGAATTTTATAGATGATGAAAGATGCAAAGAAAATGAGGAAATATCCAGTTTAACTGATGAACAAATTATGGCAGCTTCTAAAATTGTTGGATACGGTGCTGTTAAGTATGCCGACCTGAGAACTAATAGAACAACCAATTACACCTTTTCATTTGATAAAATGTTGGACTTTAGAGGAAACACTGCTGTATATTTACTTTATGCATATGCTAGAATTTCCTCAATCATTGAAAAATCAGGTGAAAGAGAACTAATGAAAGAATACAAGGATCAAGTTGCAAAGGGTGATTTGTCTCTTTTTACTAATTTAAAACAATCAGAATCAGAATGGAGACTTGCACTTAAAATTATTGAATTTAAGGATGTGTTAAATTTGGTAATGGACAAACTGGAACCACATTATCTTTGTGAGTACCTATTTGATTTATCGAATAACTTTAGCGCCTTTTTCCGTGACTGTAAAGTTATTCAAGAAGACAAACAACTCCAAAGAAGTAGATTACTTTTGTGTGAAGCAACTGCACAAACTATGAAGCAATGTTTTGATTTACTTGGTCTAAAAACATTGAATAGGCTTTAGCTTTTATTTACAAATAAAGGGAACTACTGAAAACAATGTCACGTCTCATTTTCTCCAAACCAATCAATAATTTCTTTTCAATAGTTTCTTCACCTATGGCCTTAGCAGCAGCACACATTTGTCTTACAATTTCTTCACATCGTCTCATTGATCTTACAATAGATCCTTCAAAAATCTCTGTCATTTTACAAATATCTACAAACTTGGCACCGTTGCACCAGGCAAATGTTAAATTCATCATATTACAAGGGAACGATTGTAAATACTTGTCGGTATCCAACTCTAATTTTGACTCGATTGATACTTCAGCAACTCTTCTAGCTGCTTTTTCTAACTCTTCATAAGGTTTTTTCAATTCATCAACTAGGGCGTCTTTATCATCTTGTCTGTTTTGAGAGGATGTAACTTCAGAAGCAAAACATGATAAGACTGCAATACATTGTTCTGGAGTTAAATCAGAAAATGCACCATTATAAATCATTTCAGTAATAACTAAACTATCTGCGCTGCTCAATTCGCAGGCAACTCTACCTTTTGCTGTAATTACGTTATCTTCCGTGGCAAAACCTAACCTTCTTAATACACGCATCATATTCTTGAGTTCCTCCTTCATAACCACTTGACCAGTTGTTTTAATTTGTTTCTTAAGAGCTTCAATTTCATTTTCGATTTCTAATTTGCTTTCAAAGAGAGCAATTTGATTCTTGTAATTAATATCATCTTTTGAAGCATTTCCATTTGAAGCATTAAGTTCATATTGATAAAATGGACTATAGGATAATCTTGATTCCAATTGTTGAATGGTATCTACTACATTTTTAACCTGAGCTCTTGCAATACCCATTTCTTCAACCAAATCTAGTCTTGGTACGTCTCCATACTTGTAAACAGACAATTTATCAATACTCATCATACCATCAGTCGTTTCGGTGGTAGGTTGAGATTTGAATCTTGAAATTGTTTCCAAAAGCTTTAAAATAGTAGATTTAGCTTCTCCAGAGTTTGCATCTGGCCTGGACTTCATTTCCTTAGACAAGTAAACTTTAACAGAGCTGTAACATTCAATCAAGTCAACTGATAATGTCTTGATTATTGGCTTTGGCTCTAAAGACTTTTTGTATTCCTTAACAGGGTATGGCTCATTTGGCTTATCTGGATGTGATGGCAGTAAAATATCAATCAAGTAGTCTGAAGATTTAGTTTGGTTAATTTGCAATTTTTCTGCGTGTTTCTTCTTGGTAAACTTGATCAAAATACCCCAACCAAAGCCATTAATTCTTAAAAGGCGACCTGCACTAAGTACAGGAATTGAATATTTAGGTGTTGTAATGAGTTTTCTCAAATTATTGTACTCGTTTTCCAATTCTTTTTTCATGTTATAGTAGGATGATAATTGTGGCTCATTTTCAATCTTCATTGAATCTCTCTTTACAATTGTTTCATTCAATGTTTGTTCAAAAGCAAGTCGTTTCTTTTCAGATTGGTATTGGAAAAATGATCTTTCCATAATATACTCCGGAGTAATTTCTTCTACTCTCAACAAGTTAAGCACCATGTAATAGCTCAAATGGAATGAAGAGTTTAAGCAATCAGCAATACCATTCATAAGTTGTTTGGCATCTTCCTCTCTCAAATCTGGATCGTCCATAATTAAAATAACAATACCTTTGTCATCCAAACCTCTACGACCAGCACGGCCACTCATCTGAATATATTCACCTGAAGTTAAACGTCTGGTGATTTGACCATCATACTTTTCAATACCTGTAAACAAAACAGTTTTTGCAGGCATGTTCAATCCCATAGCAAATGTCTCTGTGGCAAATAAAACTTTGATTAAACCTTCCTGGAATAGAATTTCAATAACTTCCTTCATAATTGGTAACAATCCAGAATGGTGAACTCCAATACCTTTCTGTAATAGTGGTAACATTGTTTCTACTTGTGGTAATTTACGATCTTCATCAGATAAAGAATCAATAGCATTATTAAATACCTCTGCAACCAAACTCATTTCTTCCTCGTCATTGAAATTGGACTTGGAGAGAGAGACAGCTCTTGTTTCACATTCTTTTCTGGAAAAACTGAAAACAATGACTGGTTGGAAATTTCTCTTCATAATCATATTTACCAATTTAACAAGAGATGTGTCGACTCTCTTTTTACGATCTCCACCACTCACTTTTCCTGAACTGTTTACATTTCCTGACCCTGATCCACCAGATGTCACATTTTTTGATGCATTATTCAATTCTTCAACTGCCTTTTTCCAATTATCTTGTTTGAATGTATGTTTATCTACAACCAAGTGTATTCCCTGTCCACCAACAGGATAAATATAATGTTGTAATGGTGTTGGTCTGTAGTCTGTGTAAACCACATGAACTGGTTGTCCTTTCAATTTTGCAATCCAACCAGCAAATTCTGTTGCGTTTGGCATTGTAGCAGATAAGAAGACATATTTAACAGAATTTGGAAGTAAAATTAAAGTTTCTTCCCAAACTACACCTCTCTCCTTATCACGCATATAGTGAACTTCATCGAAAATAACCCATTGCACTTCATTCAAAATTTCAGATCCTCTATAGAGCATACTTCTCAAAATTTCTGTTGTCATAACTATACAACTAGAGTTAGGATTGATAGTAACGTCACCAGTCATAAGTCCAACATCTGTAAATTCTTCTTGTAATTCTCTGAATTTCTGATTTGATAAAGCTTTAATAGGTGATGTATAGATGACTCTGCTTCCATCCTTTAATGACTTTGCAATAGCATATTCGGCTACTGCTGTTTTACCAGCACTAGTGTGGGCACTGACAAGAACACTTTGTGATAATTCAATGGCACGAACGGCTTGTCTTTGAAATGCATCAAGAGTAAATGGGTATTCCTTTGCAGCTTGTTTTAATCCTAATTCAACCTGTGTTTTTTGTTCCATCATAAAATTAACAATTTCGCTTGGATTCGATAAAACATTACTTGAAACTTCCGAACCATCAACACTACCCACTCCTGTCTGGGAATTAATAGAATAATTTGGAGGTAGAGCAATTTCGTGTAAACAATCGTTCTTCTCACCTAATTTACCAATAGATTTTGATGCAGAATTATTCACAGAAACAATTGTTGGTGTACTTGTGGTTCTTGTAAGTTGTGTAGAATCATCAATAATTGTTGGTGTTGGTATGTATAAAGCTTCTTCAGGTAATGATGTTTCCGAAGTTTCCTCCGATGAAGTGATATCAACAATGACAGGCTTTAATTTCTTATTTTCTCTCAGTTCAACATCACGCTCAGCAATTTTTATTGATTCTTCTAGTGTTCTCTTTTTTGATTGTTGTTGATTGGTGGATGTTCCAAACACATTGAACAAGTCATCTTGTGAGAATGGATCCATGACGATGAAATTTTTTTTTCAATTTAAATGTTGATAACAAGGTAAAGTTTTGCAACTTCGAAAAAGTTGATGATGATTGTTGTGCACATGAAATACTTTCTTATTTACATTGAAAATTTTGGCTGTTATTTGTTTGGCAACATAGCCATGGCAGAGTGCTTGATGATATTGAAAGGAAATATTGTGCAACAAGACAAAAATAGGTTTGTAAACTTTTGTGTTGGGAAACAAAAAATTAACGACTTGTTTGATTGGTTGGGCTTGTTTGTGGCAGACACAAATCAAAAAAAAATATGAGTGTGTTAGACCTGCTTGGTGATGAAATCAACAATGCAGACGGAGAGGAGGTAAGTACCTCTGTCTCCAATATTATAGGGGAGCAAGGCAGTACAAACATCGTTTCCACAACTTCATCTTTGGCCACATCATCTACTCCACAACAATCATCTTCTGGTAATAGTACCACCATCCAACGACCTCCCTCCACCACTGCTAGCACCACTAAACCTTGGGGAAGATTAGTACTGGTAAGCACCGGATGTTCTGATATTCCAAAAGAATTCTTCCTCTCCGAAGATGTTATTAATATTGGCAGAATGCAAACCAACAATGTGAGAATTTTTTCGAAACAACAATCCAAATTTGTTTCAAGAAACCATGCCCAAATTAAAAAAATCAATGCTTTCACTTTTGAAATCGAAGATAAAGGGAGCATGAACGGTACACTGGTGAACGGCAAAAAGATTCAAACCTCCAAATTAAAGTAAGTACTACTTTTAATTCTCAATAATAACTATGCGCAGACATGGAGACTTGATTATTATTACTGGAGGACCAACAGCCAATGTCAATGATTACATTACAGTTAATGACAAGAGGAGAGAAATGTTTCAAAACGAACAAGATTGGAAATATGAACTCACTACCCAACTCAAACAAGCCTTTATCTATAGATTTGAACTTTTAGATCAGAATGCTATAATGAAAAGTTTAAGCTCTGTTATCTCAGAGCCTGTTTCAAAACAAGAAGAAAAATCTGTAGAGAATATTAGTCGAGATATTTCTATAACACAAACACAAAAACCACTTCCAGATAATAAGAGAAAGATTGACGACACTGATTTAGCAACTAGTGAAACTGGAAAGAAATTTAAAGCACTTTCTGATTCTTGCACAAGCGAACTCACTTGTTGTATTTGTTATAATCTTTTCGTGGAACCAACAGTTCTTGAATGTGGTCATAATTTTTGTAAACGTTGCTTGTATGAATGGCTAGCAAAGAATCACTCTTGTCCACTATGTAGAAAGAAGCTATCAAAGGGGTCATACCCTAACAGATCTATAGAAACTATTCTAAATTCTTACGTTCAACATGTTTCCTGTACTGACGAACAAAAGCTAAGAGAAGACAGAATTAAACTCATTCAACAGAAATTCGATGAAGATTTAGCTAAATTACACGGAATGATTGAGAATGCCAAGGCTAAAAAGATTAAATTTTTAAATATTAAGGACAGATGGAAACTAGAAGAAAAGAGAACCTTCAAGAATGGTGTAAAACAGTACTTTGGAAAATGCAGAGAAGATTTTTGTAATTTAGTTGGTATGACTGAAAATTTTGTCAATAATTGCACCAACGAGGAATTAATAATTGCATGTGATAATTTGGAAATACCTGTTGCTTACATGATTGTTGGACAAGAAATTAAAACAATGAGGCGAGTTGTTGACTTTGATCAGACTAGACAAAGATTGTTGAACTTTTGGAATGCTGCAGATAATTTATTTTTCATTTAATTACTTTTTTTCCTTTTTCTTTTTTGCTTTCTTTTTAGGTTTGTTTTTTTGTATGTGTGCTTTTAGGTTGGAGACCATTTGAGTGGTTAGAATCTTGTAAGCTGCCTTATCAACACGTTCGTACAATCTTATCCTAATTAAATTTTCCTTGGTTTTGGCTAGCTCTGCAAACATTAGCACCGCATTAGAGTCAACTACAATGTAATTTAAATCAATATTTTGTAAAGCATTAAATGTGTTTTGAGTGATCGATTCACAAAACTTGGCAACAATGTCAGTCCTTAGAGGTGTTCCTTCTCCACACCCTGATAAATTAAGTTGTTGAAGTTTTTGAGATGATAACAATGCAGTTGCAATTGCTTCAAATCCCCTTTCTCCAAATGTATTTCCTTGTAATTCAAGATTTTGAAGAGAGGGAGATTTGCTGATTGCCTCTGATGCAAGTGCTACAGCTCCTTCATCCTGAATTCCACAATAATTTAGAGATAATTTAGACAGTGAAGGGCTCCAAGCTATTCCGACTGCTAAAAGACAAGCTCCTTCATCTCCAATTTCATTATGATCCAAAATTAACGTTGTAAGAGTTTCATTGTTTTGTAAAGCACGTGATAGAGCACTACAACCCTTGGAACTAACTCGATTGTCAATTAATTCCAATTCTTTAAGTTTTGGATGAGGTTGTAACCACTTTTTGAAATGATAAGCATTGCCATTTTCCAACATACCTTTCCGATTAATTGTACAGTTTTATCATTCATATTGTTTCTCCAAAACGACATTTTTTCATATCCTGGCATATTTACATCTAAATTTTCCAATAATATTTGTATTGCTTCTGTAGAACATTCTTCCGTAATAAGGAATGGAATGTTTAATGTTGGAGGACCTTCCTCCGATTTTGATAGACGATTTAGTTTTTGAACAATAGAAGGGAGGGGCACAAGACTTTTATCTTGGCAGGCCTTTTCGTAGGATTTCAAAAACTTTTTAATTGCTTTTCTATTATTTTCAATTTCATCTCCTTCCTTTGCTGATGATGATTTTTTGGCACTTGAGCTAGGTTTTGGAGGCATTAAGGGCAGTTTTTTTTCGGTTGAAAATTTGTATTTTACTGATTACTTTTCCATTAATTTACGGTAACATTATTAGACCGCTTATTCCAATAACAAAAGAAATACAAACAAGGGTAAGCACGAATCAGAGGATGGGCGAAGTTGTCAATGAAAAAGTCTCGTATTTACATTATTTCATAACAGTTTCGATTTACTTTTGAAAAATAAAAAAAAATGGAACAGCTCTTAACGGCTAGGTGGGCTCAACAATCTAACTCTCCCCTAGAGTCAGCACCATCATCACCGTTAAAAACAAGATTGAGCGTTTCCAAAACAACTCTATCAACAACAATTAAAAATTTTGATGCTGTCGCTAGGATTAATCAAGAAAAAACTAGCAGCCTTAATGGATTGAATTACTTGTATGATACCGATGATAGTGAATCTGATTCGGGATCTTCATCAGACTCTGAACAAAGTGAAGCTACAGAAAAACGGTATCCATTCACTAATGCTGTCGAAGAATACAAAAAGAAAACAATCCTTTTAGGCTCATCAAGAAAAAGCAATATTTCATCTCCTCAAAATCTGCCCTCATCTCACAGAGTCGCTTCTCCAAGAAATGATACTGGCTATCAAAGTGTAAAAACAACGAAGAAAATACTTGGAAAAAATCATATCGATGAGTTAAAATCTCAAGTAGTTGATGACACATGTTTTATTGCTAATATAATCAAGGGAAGCCCAACATCAAAGAAGGAAAACTCATCAAAGACTCCAACGATTCTAAAAAAGGAGAATGAATCAAAAAATGTTACTCCAAGTGTTAAAGAAGGTAAGTGAAACATTAAACTTATTTTAACTTTGCATTTCACAAGATGGGCTAAAATCTATTTTGGACGAACATAAATTAGACATTGAAGAATTGGAGTTTTTAGAGGTTACTTCTTCTGAAGATGATGAAATTGAGATAACAAAAGAAAAAGTTGAAATAATTTCAGGAGAAGATTCTATCAGAATTGAAAAAGAATCTGCTCGTGAATATTTTGAACGACTGTTACAGGATGCCAAAAAGAAAGAGCCAAAGGAAGTTAGAGATTACGAGAGAATGGCAGACTATGCCCTGGAAAAGTCATTGGAATCTTTGAAAAAAACTATTGACGATGTTGATATCACAAAAACTGAGACCTTCCAACATGTTTCACAGAGAAGAAGAATGTACGACTCTCTCAAGAGAGGACTAGGTGCTAGAGATTTCATGGTGGGAGTAGCAGGATCAAGCGAAGCAGCTGATGAGTTGCTCTCTAAAATTGGGTTATCACCAATCGCACCCAAGACACCTTCCTCTCCTCATCCACCTAATTCTCCAAGTAGTACTCCTCAAACATCGTCACCAGTAAAGGATAAAAAATCTAAAAGAACTAAGGAAGAGGAAGATAAAGTTCTTGACAGATTATCAAAACCGAGAAGCCATCATTTGTACAGAAAAAATGATGAAAATAATAAGAGTATTACTCATTCAGTGGCCACATTAAGCGAAAAGTTTTTGGATAGGATGAAAAATTATGAAGAAATGAAGAAATTGAAACTTGAAGAGTTACGATCTCAAATGAATCAAAAAAGAAATCAAGATATTAGCTTTTCTCCTAGGATTAACAATAATTCGAAATCAATACATAGAAATATTAACTCTCTTCTCTCATGGCACAAAGAAAAGAGCATGAAACATGAAAAGTTGCTCTTGAAGAAACAAGAAACCGATTCAATAATTGATTGTACTTTTTCTCCTGAAATTAGTGAGCGATCTCAACGATTGGCAAAAAGAAAACCAAACATTCCTTTATCATTGCGCGATTAAAATGTATATTAATTTCCAATAAATCAATTATTTACAATTAATCATCTTGCTCATCTTCTTCATTAATGGAAACTCTCCTATTTGATTTGGGTTTTACAACAGAAAAGTCAGAAAAATCTGATCTACCTTCAAGCTCCAGATTCTGCTCATTACAAATATGAAGCATGCAAATAAAGCAAAAAGGAATAGAAGCTTCAGAAAAATCTGGTTTTCTTTCTCCTTCTTTTGGTTTTGTTGTATTAACAGTCGAGACAACGGAAGAGAAGTCAAGTTTCTTATCATCAGATGACCTTATTTCTTTCCATAAATGTTCTTTGAGAGCTCTGACGTCAACCTGTTTGGCTTTGGATTCGTACTTGATATTTAATTTTGAGACCTTCTTTGGAGCTTCTATTAGCTTTTCACCTCCAACTGTATTTGCTGTAGAATTGAGATTTTGAGTAGCTACTTGAATTTCTTTTTCATCCAAAAGTGAGGCTGAATCATTGAGTTTGATAGTATCATATTGGAAAGTGTCTTGTTGTGTTTGATATGTTAAATTTGGATCTTGCATTATGATCTCTGTTGTCGGCTCAATAGTAGGCTCAATATTGGGTTGAGTGAGATCATCTGTAATCATATCAAATCCACCCAAATCCATATCAAACCCACCAATTTCTGTCATTGGTTGATCGTTCTCATCATCACTTTCATCATAAAGCTGACTTGAATGAATTACCTTCATTCCTCCTTCAGTGGTTTTCTGCCTTTTGCTCGTATCTATCACTACAGGTTGTTTAGATTTTTCAAAATTAAATCTTTGAGATCCTAATTCATTAATAGAAACAGCTTTCAACGATCTGTTTGTGAATATTGGTGGGAGTTTGAAAGGTTTCAGTAGGGTCGCCAGATCGTAGTGAAAATCTTCTGGTAAAAGTGTAGTCTTTTGAGCATTAATGGATTTTTCTGCCATTTGGTTCTTTTCTGGTTTACTACTAATTTTAAAATCTGTTGCAAAATCAATCTTGTCACAATCTGTTAAAAAGTCAAATTTGAAAGCTTCTTTTTGAGTTCTCTTTTTTGTAGTCTTTTTGTTGGTATGAGTTGTGGATTTTACTGTTGGTTTCCAATGGTCAATACCCGACCAATGTCTAATTTTTGTAACATCAAAGTATGCATAATCATCGTCAACAGTTAAAGATTCTGGATCCTTTTGCAACATATCAAGGAATGAGAGTTGTTTGTCATTTTCAGATTCTTTTTGTTTTTCTTCTATTGTAACAATTTCTTCACCTGAATCTGAAGTTTGGGTTTCAATAGGCTCAGGATTGGCAAAATCAGTATCAAAAAGACCTCCCTCATCGTCATCATCATCTTCATGATCAACATTTTCAAAGTGGTCAGGAGCAAGTCCTCCAACTTCGTGTACTGCATTAATTAAGGCTGCTCCTTCACAGCCGATGGATATTTTGTGAGGAATTTCTTGTGTCATATTGAGACCAGCAATTTCATCAGGTACCATTGATTGAATATCATCAATACCTGTTTCCAATCCCCCAAGCTCAATATCGAAATGTTGGTTTGGATTGATTTCTAGCTGTTGGAGTTGATCGGATTCCCCAACGAGAGATGTTTTCTCCTCAGATTGAAGAGGTGGAGGTTGTTCATGATTGACTTCTTCCTCATCCTCCATCATTGATGAGTTATTAAAAGATTTAATGGTGCTCTTATCTAGCGTAATATTATTTGCATGTTCTTCCACTTCTTCTTCTACCTGGAATGGAATTGGTTGCACAGATTGTTGTGGAATATTCTCAATAATTTTAGAATATTTGTAGTCCCAACTCTTTGAATCTATAATCACCTCACAACCTAACCCTAAACCCAAATTATTCAATAATAATGAGTGAGCACTCCCAACATCAAAATTATTTGAAGAACCAGTAGAGTTATGGTATAGTGGCTCGATCATATAGTTGAGATCTAATTTTTTAACAGTAATATTGTTCACGTTTGTTTCTAATGTATTGACTCCATATCTTACACGTTTTTTCTTTGTTTTTTCCTCTGACTTATCAGAATCCTTTCCTTCTTGGTTATTTTCTGTTTCGTCTGCTTTTCCTTTCTCCTGTGTTCGGGCAAAGCTGCCCAATACTTTATACGTCTCAGAGTGAATAGAATCCACACGAGTAGAGTAAATTTTAACGCCTGCATCCAAAGTGCAACTAGCTGTTTGAAATGTACCACCACCCAAGTTAGATCCTAATACTTCACCAATATAGTCAAGCAAGTTCAACTCCCAAGCATTTTTTGTAGTAATCTTATTCTCTGTTGAGAGTTTAATACAATTCATAAATAATTCTTCCAATTCTGAAGGAGAAACATGTCTGGAAGTTGTTGATGGTCTGTGTACTCCACTTTTCCGACTTGTTGCTCCTGCTAAAAATTTAGAAGATGCAGGAACAACACTTTTACGCTTCCTCCTATTATTCATCTTTTCTTCATCGTCATTGTTAATATCTAAATTAGCAGTTGGAGCAAATAATGTAGATTTTCTTCTGGACGATTGATTTTGTCGTACAGGAGCAGGACTTTCAATAGTGATCGATCCTGTTGAATTTCGTTTACTAGATTTTGGTGATAACGTTTCCTCTTCTTCATCTTCCTCATCTAAAAGATTATTGTCCTCTTCACTGCTATCTTGTCTTGGCATTCTTTTTTAATAAACTTTTTCAAACAAAAAATGGCGGGAAAACAAATATGCTTGTTCACAACTTTAATTTATTATTACTATGTGTTCTTTGAAATAATATTTGCTATCAGAGAAATATAAGATTTAGTTCAGTATTATTTGGAATAATTTATGAAGATTTTTAGATAGAATTACTGTTTTATTTAATAATGTTATTATTATTAGATTAATAATTATCATAATAAATTTTGAAATTGAAATTTAAAAAAATAAAATCCAACATCAATACTCTTCCTCTATTAAATGTCTGAAGAAACAATTCACGACTCACCAGCCATCTGTACTGATGAAGACGGAAACAAGGAACTTTTAACAACAACACCACCATTGAACGTTATTTTCCTTGGACACGTTGATGCTGGTAAATCAACACTTTCAGGTCGTATTTTGTTGGATACCGGAATGATTGATGATAGAGTTATCGAAAAATTCAAGATGGAAGCCAAAGAAAATAACAGAGAATCTTGGTATATCGCTTATATTATGGATTGTAGTGAAGATGAAAAAGCTAAAGGTAAAACAATTGAAGTAGGTCGTGCTCACTTTGAAACACAAAAGAAGCGTTACACAATTTTGGATGCTCCTGGTCACAAGGCCTATGTCCCAAACATGATTTCTGCTACTACCCAAGCTGATGTTGGTATTCTTGTTATTTCTGCAAGAAAGGGTGAATTCGAAGCTGGTCTTGAAAAAGGAGGTCAAACTATGGAACATACTGTTTTATCAAAGACTTTGGGTGTTGATCAATTGATTGTTGTTGTAAACAAGATTGACGATCCTTCTGTTGCTAAAGATAAGGTCAGATATGATGAAATTGTCACAAAAGTTAGTGCAACTTTGAAGGGTGTTGGTTGGAATTTAAAGACTCAAGTTCAATTTATTCCAATTGATGCATTGACTGGGCAAAATATTTCATCAAGAAATTTGAATGTTCCATGGTATTCTGGTCCATCTTTGATTGAAGCTTTGGATGATATTAAACTCACAGCTGTGCATGATGTCAATGCTCCTTTGCGTTTACCTATTATTGATAGATATAGAGATAAGGGTTGTACAGTAGTTTTGGGAAAAGTATTGAGTGGACAAATCAAAATTGGACAAAAGGTTGTTGTCATGCCTAATAAGTGTGTTTGTGAAGTTATTGCTTTAAAGAGTCACGAAATTAATATTCACGGTGGTGTTGTTTCTGCAGGTGAAAATGTTGAATTATATTTGAAGGGTGATGATGATAATATTGCTTCCGGACACACTGTTTGTGATCCTGAACACTTATTGGAACCAGTTCAAGAATTTATTGGATCTTTCCACATTTTGGATAGCTCTGAACATGTCGATATTATTTCATCTGGTTTTAGTACAAATATGCACATTCACACAGCCATGGAAACTATTACCCTTACAAAATTGATAAGCAAGATGGATAAAAAGACAGGCAAACCACTCGCACAAGTTCCAAAGTTTGTTCAAAACAAGGATACTGCTGAAGGAGTTTTCAGATTAGAAAAACCAATCTGTATTGAAAAGTTTGAATCTTTGAATGCTATGGGTAGATTTGTTTTACGTTCCGATAGAACTATTGCTGTTGGTAGAGTGAAGAAGGTAAAACCATTGAAGTAAATTTGGTCAAACCATTAAACTTTTTGTAAATTGAGCTGTTGATAGGTTTAAATCTTATTAATTCCATATAGCTTCAACATTCACATAGCTCATGAAAAAACTTTTACTTTCGAATGAATTATTCTTAACCAATCTACGCATGCTTGTTATGAGAATCTGAGCTATGTTTTTTATTGTGGATCTACAATAGTTAGAATTTGGAAACCCCAAATGACAAAATCTCATTAGTCCAATCACTCAAAACGTGTACAGAACATAAAGAAATAAAAGTAATGAACAATACAAAGATCATTAGGTACTTTTTGTGATAAAGTCTGGAGAACACATTCCCATTGTATTCTTGAATTAAACTCATATTTTCCTCTTCGGAAACTCCATTGATTCTTCTTGATTTTCTTCTCTTAATTCTATCAGATTGAGAGGAACGAATTCCATCCCCTTGTTGAAGATCTGATACCAACTCATTAATTTGTGCAATTCAGAAAAAAAAACTTACCTTCCATTTGTTTTTCAAATGATGAAAAGTTTTGGTTATCTGGTAATAATTTCATATTCATAAACTGAATATCTTTTGGTGAGAGACGATAGAGTGACCACTTAAGCAAAATTCTTTTGAGAAAGGCCATCGAAAAACAAAGAACAAACATAACCACACAAAATAATTGATAAATAATTCCTTCCCAAAAATAAGAAGTATAGGCAAAGTCAACTGTAATATAGAAATGTTTTGCAACAAACAAAGCCACAATACCACCAACAAGAGTTACCATAAAGTCCAAACTTCTCATAATCATTGGAGTTCTTGTTGAATAAAAATGATAAATCAATCCAATAGCAAGAGATGTGATCATTTGTCCCACACTTGATTCACCTGCAAGAATGGCAGTACTATTTTTGTAAATTGTTGTTTGAATTAATTATTTCAATAACTCACCATGGTAACAATAAGAGAGCAGGAAGTCCTACAAATACTGAATATCTTTCCAAAACATGCAAAATTAAGACAGTTCCCATTAAAACTTCTTCTGAAGGCATACACCAACCAAGAGAATTTCCAAGAACAAATGTTGTTCCAGTTGTTACATTCATTGGATTGAATGGCTCTTCCATAATATATTGTGTAGAAATGTCACTTTCATGTCTTAAACTACCTGAGCCTACAAATCTACAAGAGCAAGGACATGGCTGTCTAATTGCCAATAAAAGTACCATGTTGAAAGATTGAACAATTGCAAGTCTGAAAAATAGGGAAAGAATTTGAAGAACATAATAAGCAAAGCTAGAGGCCAGCTCTTCTGTATAATGCTCCTCATCATAAACACTCAATACAAATGGGAGAATAAAACATAAAGCGAATAATAAAGGATTAACAAATTTGAACATATCAAACCATTGAAGAACATATTGAGAAAGTCTATAGAGAGCTTGTTTGGTATTTGATGGAATATAGGTTGAAGTTGGATCACTGCATTATTCAACGCATTTACAATAACATTTTCAAATTTAAAACCTACAAATGACAACCATTCATGAACCATAAAAATCCTGTTGTTGGATCTCCATTTGTTGGAAATTGACTATCTTGCAAACTTGGATTTGTAGCACATTGAAGTGTTAAAAACGTATTATTTGTATTATCTGTTTGTCCCATCAGAGAATTAAATCCATCTAAAATTGAAAATGCTTGTTGATTTTTCATTCCGATAATATTTGATCTTCCAAAGGTTGTTGATGAAAATAATAACACCAACAAAATGGTGCAATAAATGAATACAATTTGCTTCATTTTTTTAAAGATTTTTTCAACAACTATTTCATAAACTCCGTGCTTTCATCACACAATTTAATAAATTAATAATTTTATAATAAATTAATTTATTTAAAGGAAATAATAACAATTATAAATGATAAATAAAATCAGAGAGAGGATTAATTAATGTAGATTCTTCATAAAATGAAATGGAATTTGCTCGAAGTTTTGGGTTGATTGTAAAAAGGGAAAAGCATTTGGAAAGATTATATTCCAGTTCCTTATTGGTTTTTACAATATCACTCTTTCCAATACCTATAGAAAAGTTAAAACCATGACATTTCTTACTTGTAATTCTTTTTAAAAATTGTTCTAAATTATCAAATATTACTCTGTCATTAAACGTAATACCACTATTATTTGATCTATCGTTAGAGGTTATTGGAACAGAAAGTATTCCCAAATCATATCTATTGGTTATTTTTAATATATCTACATGGAGTGAATATGGTGATGAATTTAGTATTAGTTTTTCTAATTCATAGAGAAGGTGGTGAGATATGGAAAATCTAGTCTTGTCCTTTTCAATAAATGATGAAATAATATTTAGATCTGAAAGTAGTATATTTTGCAAAATGTATTGTGCAAATATATCCAAATTGATAATATCTTGATTTTCTTCATAAGGATTAGAATTCATAAGAAAATTGGAATTATTATTTAAATATTCACAACAATCGATAACTTGTTTTACACCGAGTAGGTAGGAAGGATTTCTTTTCAAATTTTGGTCATCCAATCTGATAAATCCCTGTCTTTGATGTAAATCTAGAATTTTTTCATTTTCTGAACTCCATACGGGAAGAATGCTTGAACGATTCATTCCCATTATTGACAATGTTACAATATTCGCAATATTATTTTCAGAGCCATTATTATCATTTGAAAAATTCCAAGATGATTGATTCTTTGCGTGAATATATGAAACATGAGCTTTCTTTACAATATTATACAAATCTTCAGTTTCCATAAATGAAAAATCAACAATAAATACATATTTTTCTACAGACGACAATCTAGTCTTATATGAAGCTGCCAATAAATCTTCTAATTGTAATGTCAATGAGTGAGCTGGCTGAGGTTTTTTTTGGAAGGATATCGAGGAAGGAGAAGTAGCATTTCTAGGAGATGAATCTGTTGTTCTACTTCTTGGTGATGTAGAAGAAGAAGTTGAAACTCCAGATGGAAGGGGAACAAGATTTATACTAGTATTCTGTTGGGAATTTACGGTGGTAGAATTTCCAAGAATGTGCCGCTTGAAAGAGAGTCTCCTTGGTTTTGTATCAACAGTTTGTTGTTGTTGATCAGTTGATACTGTAGGTTCCGAATTGTTTGTTTGTTTAATTTCAAAACTAGCATCATACTTGGTGGATGTATTTTCTTCCGAAATGATTGTGGTGTTGGTAGGGTTGATTACAAATCCTCCTGATGGTGGTTGACCAATATGAGGATTGTCTAAGTGTTTGGAAGATTTTCTCTTGAAGAGCGATTTCATTTTTTTTTAATTAATAAAAGGTGAGATTTAAGAGAAACTTTACAAGGATCAAACAAAGATATTAGAAGGTTTTGATTGAGAAAAGAAATTTAATAATTAACAACCTAAACATGTGGTGATAAACTAATAGCATTCCAACCATATGGACTCTTTACAGGGCTATCTTCCAAACTTCCAGAGCCAACAGACATTCCCAAAATGCTACTATTATTTCTTCCACAGCTTCCTCCTGATTCTCTCCTTTTCTTAATATTAATAGCTTTTGGAGGAGATCTTCCTCGTTGACCAATCATCATACCTGGATGAGAACCTTCATAGTATTCATCATCATCCAATTCAAATTGTTCCTCATCCCCACTATCCAGGCTGCTATCATCATTATATTCTTCCTGTTCGTCTTCTGAGAGATCGAAAATTCCATTATCATCATCCATCATTTCATCCTCGTCATAAGATTCTGGTCTTTTTTTCATCATGGCATGTAGTGGAGATTTTGATTGAGGAGAGTGTAGAGATTCAAAGAGAAAATTGTTTGCCTCCGAATTTCTGTGGTTATTGGTTTTTGACATATTCCTCAATCTGTCCCATTCGTCCATCATACCAGAATTACCAGCAGATCCACAATAGAAATCTTGTCTTTGTGAATTGGAAGAAAATTGTGAGTTAGTTCCAAAATCACTCGAATCATACCCAGTTGTTGGATTGATATTTGGATATTCCCATTTTTGATAGATTGGCAAAATATATTTTTCAGATTTTCTTAACAAATATGGATCGAATGGGAAAAAGTTATTCTCAAGATAATTCACACCTCCATATCCACCACGAAGAGGAACAACAATGTTTTGGTTTTCCTCCAGAACATGATGGAAATCAAAGAGGTAGAAACGAGAAAAGGCATTAACAACTTCTTCAGCAACATCAGAAGCTACAATCTGTTGAAATGCACAATAGGTTTTGTTTGGAAATAATTTTCGTGTTGGGTAGGGAGAATGACATGTTGGAACCATTTGATTAACCAATCATTAACCAATTGGTACAGTCATTTGCAATACCGCAATTGGTTTATTCGAAGCAAGACACATCAAATCATTATGGTCGTAATGTTTGAATGTGATCGTGTAATAATAATATGTTTGACAAGAATTATTCACAAATAAAAGCAATACCACCAATGGCGTTCGGTTGTTCATTGCATTCGTGAAAATTAATGTCAATTAAAAATTGATACAATAAATTTGAATTGTAACAATGTTAAATCCATTCCATTTAAAATTATTTTGAATTTAAGATAAAGTAAATCTTGGTTGGATAGATTGTCATACTTACCTTAAGAGGATTAAATTTAGAATAAATAATACGTTTGATAGGACTTTGGGAGAAAAATTGTCTACCTTCTGCCATTAGTTGTTTGACATCCTTTCTAATAGGTGAGGTTTCACCTCCTTCCCCATCTTCTGGTTTGAGCAATTGTTGTATTTTGAAACATAACACATAGAAAACTCCTTGGCAAATAGAATAAAACAAACTATGAGTTTCTACATCTAAGTATTGTAAACTTTGCTCAAAAGTTATAATATACTTTTCTGACCAGGCTAATAATTGACCCAAAGTTCTTAAAACAATGGTATTAGTAACATATTTTGCTCTTGATAAAAGACCGGATAAATAAGCAGCACAACATTTTCTAACCTCAACATGAAGTTGACTGTTGAATATATTTCCAAGTAAAAAACTGATAAATCTTTCCATATAATTAACGTGAAAACTGCAAACGTAAAACATTAAAAATTGAATAGAGTGAAGTTGATATTGGTTAAGTACAAAGCTTCTGAATAAAACCATCATGGAGTGGAATATGGAATCAAGAAATTCATTTTTTCCCTTAATTTCGCTATTGCCACTTTCTAGATACTTGTTATTTTGTCTTGGTGGATGTAAATGTACAGGAGAAGAAGGTGGAGCATTGGCACGTTCATTGATATATTCAAATAGAATGGTAACAATGGAATCAAGTTTTTCAGCACAGTAAATACGCATCTCTTCAGCATTGGATTCATCAAATTCAAAATCAAATACAGCGTTTTCTAGATGTTTAACATCTGATGCTTCATTATTCATATTTCCAATATGCTTATTGGTTTGTGATGAGAAGGTATCATTTTGTGAATTCATTGCAACAAGTTGGGCATCCATTTCAATTAGACTTTGTACAACCGAGGAGAAACAGAAGCTAGTAAGTGAGGGAATATATCTATCCAAACTTAAAGCATTATCAACAAATGCTCTATGAATTGAAAGTGAGTGTGAGGCATGAGGATAAACCTGTCTAATTCTATCTTTAAGTTGAGTAATGAACAAGTGTTGGTTGGTAGCTTTTTTTTGTATTTTGTAGAGGAGATTATGTACATTTTGTTTTCTTGTTCTTTCGAGCGTTTCTATGAGTTCTGCTGTTAATTTTAATCCACCATTATTTTCTTCAATTCTCTTCAGCTCGAAATCTGGTATCGGAAGGAAATGTTCAACAAGGCAGGAAATTATCATTTCGTGAATACTTGTAGCAGTAGTATTGTTATTTGTTGTTGTTATGAGAGTACTATTAGTAGACGAAGATGTGGTATAAAGAGCCAAACACAATGTATCGAAACTAATTTGTAAATCCTTGTTATTAGAACACATTACTTTTGTGCTAGTGGAGAGGATGGCATGAATTAAATCTTTACAATTTGAATATTGACTATTATTGAGGGATCTTGAATGTACAATTTCGTTGGTTATCCTTGAGAGTGCTTTGAAAGTGAGTACAAGTTGGAGAGGACTGAGTTGATGGAATTTTTGTACGACACTCACATATTTTCGTGGATCATTATTTTCAAATAACTCTCGTAGCGCTGTTGAAAAAGCTTGTTTAATTACATTAATTTGTTGTTCTTGTTGGAGTTGTTGTGGATTTTGTTGCATCATTTTTAAAGGGAAGGAGTGAGAGGTTATTTTGGCAATTTTTTTATTTCGTTAAATTGTTTGATGATGGCTTGTTTAGATTCAATGCCACAATTTAACTTGTGCATAATAAAAAACAATTCATTTCTTTTAAAAATTTGAAAACTTTGGAATTGCACATGCCTTGCTACAAAATGTTTTTCGAATATGATTTCAATTTTAAATGAAGGACATATGATGTCGATACTTGAACCGCAATAATTCGCACAAAAGTCCACCATAAAAGCCTGGTTCAAGTTGATCCAGTTGAGCTCTTCAAAAAAAAGCCAGTACTTCATTCTATCCACAAACTTTGGTTTTTCTCATCAACTATGGCCGAAACACAAGAAATACCACTAGAAATGATGAGTTATTGTCAATGTACATGCTGATCAGCATGGTCAACAAGAGGGATTTCACTTTAGAGAGGTTCCAAAAGTATTATTGGAATGGAAAAATTTGAGCTATGAAGTAAAAGTTAAAAAGTCACTTCCACCCTCTAAAACTACAACATCCAAAGAAAGAATAACCTTTCATTTAAAAAATTTATTTAAAAAAGTCCCAAAAACTATTCTTCATTCAATGAGTGGATTTGTAAAGCCAGGTGAGGTATTAGCAATTATGGGACCATCTGGAGCTGTAAGTTTTTTTGGAAGGTTGACATTTTAATGACATTTGTTCGTTAAGGGAAAAACCTCACTCCTCAACATTCTCTCTCAAAGAGTTAAAGCTTCTGGAGGTGAAATTTTAGCCAATGGACAACATGTTGGAAAGGCATTCAAAAGCATTAGTGCATTCGTTCAACAGGATGATGTACTTTTAGGTAATTTAACTGTAAGTGTCTAATTTTAATTATTGGAAAACAATAATGAAATAAGGTGAGAGAAACTTTGAGATATACAGCAATGCTTCGTTTAGGCAACGTTTCAATGAAGGAGAGAATGAAAAGAGTTGACAGTTTAATCCAAGAACTTGGTCTTTCTCGAGTTGCTGATACTCTGGTAGGTAGTCCAGGTTTGGTAAAGGGAATTTCTGGAGGTGAAAGAAAACGTCTGTGTATTGCTATTGAACTTCTTACACAACCATCCGTATTATTTTTGGATGAGGTGAGAATAATTTAATAATTTCATTGAACGAGACATTAACAAAACCAGCCAACAACAGGCCTCGATGCAAAAACAAGTTTAAGTGTGATTAATACCATTAACAAACTAGCCCAGAATGGTAGAACAGTCGTATTGACTATTCATCAACCTAGATCAGATATTTTCCAATCATTTGATAGATTGCTCCTATTAGCAAGAGGAAAAATTGCTTATTTTGGTAATGCTAAAAGTGTCATACCATACTTTTTAAAGCTTGGATATGATTGTCCAGAAGCATTCAACCCAGCTGACTTTTTTATGGATCTTGTAACAGAAAATCCTGCTCTAGTAGAAGAGGGAAAAACAACAAAAGTAGAACAAAATCAAAGAATTGAAACAATACTTTCAAACTATTCTGAAAACTTTGAAGAGTTGGCCTCTGCAAAAAGAGATGGGGTCAATATGGAACACTTGACAAGAAAAAACAAGTATACATCGGGTTGGTTTTCTCAATTTTTTGTGGTTTTGATGAGATCTTTTCTCAATACCATAAGAAATAAGGCTGTTACAATGGCTAGATTATTTCAGCAGGTTTCAACTGCTTTCTTACTTGGCTTAATTTATTTGAGGCTGAAAAATGATCAGACTGGTGTTCAAGATAGGCTTGGTGTATTATTCTTTTCTGTTTCCAATATGTTTTTTGGAAGTTTATCGAGCTCCCTAAATGTATTACTTGGAGACAAGCCTGTGTTTAATAGAGAGAGAGGTGCTAAACTGTATAGAGTTAGTAGTTGGTATGTTGCAAAGGTTATTGCAGACATCCCAAGTGTACTGTTTTTCCCTCTTCTTTTTGGTTGCATCTTATATTTTTGGATAGGGCTTAATGGAAGTATTGATAGATTCTTAATGTTTCTATTGATTCAAGCGATTTTAGGCTTGACCGGGCAAGGTCTCGGTATTGCTATAGCGAGCATTTCACCAAACGCTTCTGTGGCATTTTCAATTATGCCAGTAATCAGTACCATTTTAATGTTATTTGGAGGGTTCTACTTGAATTTAGACAATGTACCAGTGTACTTTGTTTGGATTTACTGGTAAGTTATCGAAATAGAACACATTTCATCCTTATCTATTCTAATTATTATTAACAAACAGGACTAGTATCTTTCATTTTGCATTTGAGGCATTTTGTATTAATGAATTTACGTCCTCAACATTTGAATGCACTTCCTCAAGCTATTGTCCATTTCCAAATGGCGCAGCCGTGTTAGAAAATTTGGCAATGGATTCTTCAATGTCATCAACTTGGATTAACATTGGTTTATCATGTGCCCTTATTCTTGTTTATCATATTTTTGCTTATTTATGTTTGAGATTTTTCTCTAAACCGAGAGGTGGCTAATTTTTACAATAATTTTAATTTATAGTTTACAAATATTTAATAAATAAGTGGATTCAATTACATATAAAAGTGAGAAAAATCCTCATCGTCATCATCTAAATCTCTTGGAACTCGGTGATGGTCTGGATTTGGTTGACCACCTCCTCTACCTTGACCTCCAAAAGGTGCATTAGGATAGATTGGATCAAATCTAGCACCTGGAATAAAGCCTGGGTTAGGTCTTCTATTATTATTTGAACCTGGAAAGAATAATGGATTGTTTGGACCAACCTGGCTGCCTCCACCAAATGGAAAACCAGATCCCCTTCCTCCAAAAGGTTGTGGTAAATGACCCAAACCAGGATACAAATCTTCATCACCAATACGATAAGGTCTACCACCAATAGGTGGTTGAATATATCCTCCTCTTCTTGGAGGGCCAATTCGTAGTGGATCAAAATCGTCATCATCTTCATCATACATACTTCTACTTGGTGGAATGTATTGTCTTGGTTGACGATCTTCTAATAGAGATGAGGAAACGTTAGTCGTAGTTGCATTATTGGATGATTGTGTGGATGACATGCTAATTGTTTCAAATCCCTCTTTTGGAACCAGTTTGTTTTGAATTTGAGTTTTAAATTGATATTCCAAGTCTTGTAAATTCTTAAAAACAGAAATAAAATCAATATTATCGTTACTTTGGTTGATAACTTCATTAAACTTTTCTCTGTCAATAAACTCAAAAAGATTATTAAACTCCAACTGATAGACTTGTTCTTCTTCTTGTTGTTTGGCATATTGTGACATGTTCAAGTTTGAATTCTCATTGATATCAATATTTGGGAAAAGTAAAATGGTTGAAAATACTAATAATTTAGTTTGTCCCATCATTAATACTTTTAGAGTAAAATTAAATGTTCTTTGTGTGTGTTTGTACTTGAGAGAGAACATTTCCACGTTTGAATCAAAGTTGTTCGGAGGAAGAATTTGTCCCTCTGGTAATTCTACACATTGATCAGTTTCATTCAATCCAACACATCTAAATCCATGTTTTAACATTAAAAAGTGTAATACTAATACAAGCCAAGTTTGAGGTTTTGTTTTTTTTAATTTGTTTTGTAATTCTATATTATTAGTTAGTTGTGGATCGGTTAAATATTCTAAAATATTTGATCGGATCAAAGAACTAGATGATGAAGAATTGTCTTCTCCGCTGCTGCTGGCGTGGTTATCTGATGATGAAGACATTTTTTATTGTTTATTATTAGATTGATTTTTGTTCATTCCAGAAACTGATGGATGCGTTATTTTAAAATTTAAAAAAAAAATCCCTTCTGTTTATTCAGGTTGAACAATAAAAAACTCTCTCCGAATTGACTCGAATGGACAAACAATAACATTGTAACAATTCCAAATTATATCACATTCAACACATATGAAAATTTTTAATATTCATCATGGCACGGTTACCAAACACTCCGATCATTGTTGATGAATTTAAATACATTCCCGGATGTTTCATTTATCTATTAACCCATCTTCATACGGATCACACTGGTGGTCTTACTCCAAGTTGGAATAATGGAATAATATTTTGTAGTGAAATAACCAAAAGATTACTCTTGAAAAAGTTTCAATTACAAGAACCAGAGAGAATAATTGCTTTAGAGGAGGGACCAACCTATTACATTCCTCTTGTACCACCCAGTCCAATGCAGGATCACACAGACACGAATTTAAATATTCATCATGATGTTAATATTTGGAGGGATCCATCCTATTGGGTCAAGTTTAACAATAATCCTTCTTCCTCTCAAAACAATAGCAGTAACTTGTCACAATCAATGTCAGTTGGTATGAATCAAGCCTTGACTGTTTATGATAAGGATACATCTTATATGCAAGTCAATATCATTGATGCTAATCACTGTCCAGGAAGTATTATGTTTTTATTGGAAGGCTATTTTGGAAATGTTTTATTTACAGGAGATTTCAGATATGATGCAAGAATTCTGCAAGCTCCTTGCTTTAGAGACAAGAAAATTGACCACCTCTACCTTGATGACACATTTCTGGATAAAATGTATGATTTTCCAACGAGACAAGAGGCTGGTAAACAAGTAATAAGTGTTATCAAGTCACTACCAGATACAACTCATATTCTGATTGCGGTTGACCATTTGGGTAAAGAGGAGTTAATGTTGGCTTTAGCAACTACTTTTCAAACTTTAATAGTTGTGCCCGAAGAAAGATATGAACTATTAGAATGTATGAATGATATTATCCCAATAGATTTATTTACCTGTGATCCTAAACAAGGTAGAATTTTTGTAAAATCAAAGAAGGAAGTCAATATGCGGTCAATAATTGAGCACAAAAGAATTTTTGGAGCAACTACTGTTGGTATTATTCCATCTGGATGGTCTTCTGCCCAACTCAAAGATCCAACCTCACAATTAATTTATAGAGTACCCTACTCACTCCATTCATCCTATTCGGAAATAATAGAATTTGTATCCACATTGAAGCCAAAAAATGTGTACAGTACTTCAAAAGATGAAAATTTAGAATTGAGAGATCAAGTTGGAAAATATTGTGATTATAATACACCCCTAAAACCTGTAATTGTTCCACGTTCTGTACTCTCACACATGGAAAGGTCATCCAATATGATTGATCATAAGAAAATTACAAGTGTTTCAAATATTTCCCCATCATCATCAATAACTAAAGTGTACAGAAAAAGAAAATCATACCCTCCTTCCCATAAGAAGTTTCTAAAAATTATTCCCCAAAATACACAAACCCAAAATACCAGTATTATTGACCTAACAGACACTGTGAATACATCCCAAATCAATTTAGAAGATACCCAAGATTTACTCTCCCATATGTACAATAGATCAGAAACAAGCTTTTCATTGCCATCCACCCCAAATAAGAAGAAGGAGTCCCAAAGAATTGTGGGATCATTAGAAGTTTTAGATGTTTTGGACAATTTTGTAAATATTTCTCCTATACCTAGTCCAAAAATTATTAAGCATTCCCCTCACAGAAAACAACTTGCCTCTAAACATTCAATAGAGCAAGTGTTGGTGGACAATAATGGAATACCAATTCTGGTACCAAAAGATACAAACTTGGAATCTGATGAAATATATAACTTATCACTTTCTCCCCACAGTGGGGATGAAAATGCTTTTGATGAAAGTGAGATTTTGAATAATATTGATTTAGAACAATCACCAGAGGAAAGTATTATTATTAAAACTGCTAACAATCAGCAGTTGCCATCAAAGAAAAGAAAGCATGTTGAAACAAGACAAATTTTAGAATTAAGCGATGATGACGAAATAGTACTCAAACCAGCAACCAACAAGACAACATCTCATTATGAATCCAATACAAAAAAGTTGAAACTTGCGACAAATCTTTCACAGATAGAATTCTCACTAGAGGCTAATCCTGTTGTTGCTCAAGACGAAATTGACAAGAACGAGCCCTATCCACAAGGTTACTCACAAATTTCTTGGGATGATTCAGATGAAGATGTAAAATTAATACCACACCAGAAAAACAAAACAAGCCAAACACTCCATAAAACTACAAAACCAACCAAACAATCCAGTTCCCTCAGTTTGACAGACATTTTCTTTCCTAAAGCGACAAGGCATTAATAAAATCTTTACTTATTAAAATATGGAAAATGGTTTATAAATCTTCATTTAGATATGGATTCACAACGCTCTTTTTTTCATTCTTTTTAAAGGTCTCTGTTTGTTTAAATCTCCAATAGACTCCCATCAACTGTTCGGTTGTTTCTACTTTGAGAATTGTGATAAGGTCTTCCAGTTCTTGTGCAGTTATAGCCTCATCTTGCTCCTTTCTAATGTGAAACATTCTCATCGTTTTCCTGCTGATAGAGAGAGGAAAAGGACTGTACTTTTTAAGGAATCTTTTGTAAATCTTCCTCACATGTTGGGATCTCTCAAACATACTGTGATGGAAATTACCTTCAAAGGAATAAATGTCAATCAATTGACGATATAAATATACTAGTGGAAGGGTAAATTCTTTCATTGCATAAAATTCAAACAATGGACCCAATACCGGATCATTTACAACATCTAATAATTCACTGTCAGAAGTATTTTGTGTTTCAGATCCTCTAGTGCAACAAAATGTGTGTTTTCTAGCTGTCATACAAGCTACAAATCCTCCATAAACCAAGAGAATTAATAGCTTAACCATAAAAAGTAAAATAATTGGAGCAATTTCAAGCATGTGTATGTGAGCTTGTCTGCTGTAGAGTTGGAAAGCAAGAGAACCCTCATTAAAAGTATTGCTATACAGATTTGGATACATTACGTTCATTACATCATAACCTTCTGCTAGAACAAGTAAACTAGCCATGAACATATAAGCTATCCATTCAATTTTGAAAAGGAAAACATCTCCATTAAAAGTACCTTCAAATTTCAAAAAGTTGTCAGTCTTTACATCATTGAAATTTAACATTTTCTTCATGAATATTTCCATAAAAATAATAATAGAGAAGCTAACTATTACACTCAATGTAATTAAGCAAGCCCTTATTAAACTAAATACTGTAAATACTAATTTAAAGTTAAGAACTGAAACTGAAGCCAGTACTAGTAATATGATATATGTAACCAGTTGGGCAGCATAAAGAGTCAAACATGGCATAACTAAATAGGATCTGGAAGTGAATTTAACATATCTACGAATTGAATATTTTTCATCTTTCTCTTGATACTTTTTCATCAAGAATTGGAATCTTTCCTTGTGGTAGTATTGCCAAATATTCAACATGTAGAGAACTAGCATGGCACAATATAATGGATCGATAACAGTTCTCAAGGCTCCATCTATTGTATCCATGAAAGGTATTTCAACACCTGTCAAGAAAATATTCATAATCATTCCATCTCTAGTCAAATTGATAAGTGCTTCGAGTATCAGGACTAGAATTCCAAAAAATGGAATAAAACCTCTAAACTTTAGCGAAATATTGTGTGGTGTCCTTATACTAAGTAGAAAAATAGCTTGTCCAACAGAGAAAATTAAAATTAAAATACAGGATGTAATATCTCCCCAAACCTTATTGGTAAAATCTTGGATAAGTTCAACATCTGATGTGTTTGCCTTCAATACAGCAAAAAGGGTGGTATGATTACAAGAGCAATAAATTCTATTTAGTCCAGGATTGGAATCATCAGTAATCAAACTATCCTTTGGCTTGGAATTACCGAGGAATGAATAAGATGCCACAGTGGTGCATCCCTCCTTTGACCATTCTTCTGTAGTTTCATTCCAAAAATGGCATCCACCCCCCATCCACAAGTAAGTAGGTAGGTAGACACTTTGATCAGCAAAGAATACCATCTCTATTGGTGACTTTAAATTTCTCAATTTCAATGATTGTTGATTGTAGAGTAATTCTACACTTATCATTACGTTTCCAAGTATTTTGGAATTGCCTTCTGTATTTTTAAAAGTTACAATCTTGAACCCAACAAATTGATCTGTAATGTTCAAAGGAAGTGGAGATATGATGGATGCATCCAACGAGTTGGCCAATGTGCTTCTTTCTGTATTAGAATGGATAATCTCATCAGAATTCAACTCAATATCAGAAATGAATAGACTTTGTTGTCTAATTTCAGGTGGAAGTTGGATAAGAAGTAAATTATTGTTCACTTTCCATTCTCTAGTGTCGTTGGAGTAATCAACAGAAACAGAGGCCCCTTCTCCAAATCCAGCACCAATCAGACTACTCAACAAATCTCTCTTGTAGCTTATTTCTACGTTATTGTTTGTAATGGTTACAGCAGTTGAAGGCGCCGACTCCTCTAAAAGTCTAATAGACAACTGGTGAATCCATTTTTGGCAAAAACCAGCAAGAACTTGTGATTTAACAATTATTGTGTTGGCGTTTGCTGTTGACAGTAACGAGTCAAGAATAGTAAGGAAAGAATTAGAATATGTAGAGAATAGAGATGAAAATTCTACTTTAGGATTGTTGACTTCACTAGTTGGTCTCATATCTATGACATCTATTGTTCTGGTGATGAATAAATTTCGTTCCTTCAAAAAATTTACAAGCAATGGGTGTAAAAGAGAGTCAACTATGAGCGATATAGATCTAGATGATAGATGTGATGGTTTTTTGGTGAGAGAGGAAATTAGTTGAATTAAATTAATATCCATTCTGAATAGATCAAATAATGAAAGTGCAAAAGTGTTAGAACTATTAAGTGTTTTCAGTTGTTCTCGAGCCGAGATGGCTGCACTAGCTATTTGTTCTCTAATTATTCCTTCTTCATCAGAATTATTAAAGGCTGCATACTCATTTAGAGTAGTGCACAATTTGTCCAAGTCTAGATAAATATCTTGAATAATTTTTGGTTCGAAAACTGTTACATTATTTTTCTTCATTAAATCTGTGATGTTTGGCAAAATGTCAATGACTTGCTGTTGAATGTTTTGAATTTTGGATTTGGTCGCCTTGAGATAATTGTGATCAGTGCTAGTGTTGTTTAGTTTGATATTTCTAGTTCCAATCCAATATCTAAAGTTGTATGATTCCTTTGATGGATCATTAATTTGTAAAAATATATGGATATCAACTTGATTTGTGTGAGAGTAGGGTAACCAAGTTGTTAACTTGTTCATATGTGTGGAAGTGGTCAAGAGCTTCATTGTATCACCTTCAATAGAGTAATAAATCTCATATATTGCAGAGACGCTGGAAGAAGTAATACCAGGAAATTCAATAACAAATTTGTCTAATAATGGCCTATTAAATCCATCAAGTAATGGATAAATAGAAATTGAACTGCTATCTATAATACTATCTTGTTGCTTTGAAGCAACCTTTCTCCTAAATGTTGAATTAACAATGTATATTTGATTGATAATAGCCTTAACGGAGAACTCATAAATATTAGGACTGGAAGAGTATGCCTTCTCATTGCTCAAAAGAGTTCTAGGTTCTAAATAGAGTACTGAATTAGAGGAAGTCTTTACAATGGTTGGTGTTTCTTGTTGATCTTCACGTCCTAAATAACTCACAGTCCACTCCCATTTCAATGAGGTTACACCAGAAAGTAAAACTCCACCCGGAAAAATTTCACCACTCAATACTATTGCCTTTGTTGGATCCATGAATGTGGTGTCGATACTTGGGAAAATTCTAACTGCCCAATATTCATTGGCATTTAATGTTCGAAGTATGATAAAAGTGGTGTCAGATCTTGAACCAACACTATAATCAAGGCAAATCACATAGGTATTAAAATATTCAAGATTTTCTGTAGGAATATTATAATTTGATTCAAATGTGTTTACAGGTGTTTCAAATGTACAAGGTAGTAATACTGATGAGGAAATGTCAGATTTCAATTGAGATTTTCCACTCAGCTTGTAGGAATGGCCTTTTATGTAAAAGCATGACCAAATAAAAGACTCTTTAACAAAATCCACTAGTGGTAAGTTTTCAGGATCATAACTTGTTGAAAAAAGTTGTAAGGACCCATCTGATTGAATTATACTACCAAAATCAGATTCTTTTGGATATAAATTGGAACGAGTATTATAAGAGTAAATTGGTAAATACTCTTCATACAATCCTCCATTGATTTGAGCTATAACATTGGATTTTGGCAATCTTTCTACACTAAATGAGAAGGAAATATACTCCATAGTAATGTTGCTGTTAGAGGAGTTGTATTCACCAATAAAATCAAAATTATAAGGGATGGAAGGCAGTAAATCATTAGTATTGACTTTAAGTAAAAGTCCTCGAGTAATAGAATGCGTTAAAGGGTTGGATGTTAATAAACTCAATAAAGAATTGCCATTGCTAATCTTCCAAAAGTAGTTTCGTTCATTATTTGAAAATCCTGTAGCAGAAGCATTAAAAATTATCTCCTCATGGCTTGAAACTGAAACTAATTGTTGAGAGTGTATTGCCACATTGTTCATGTAAATTGTCAAATTGTTCAAGCTTGACTGTTCGTTTGCGTTCACAAAAAATCTGCCAGTTGTCACTGTATCCTCCAAAGCATGATAGTAATGGTGGTAAATATTGGAAATGTTTTTTTGTTGAACACCAAAAGATTTGAAAAAGTAAGAATTCACTTGTATATCATGAATGTAAGAACTTTTAACTGCGTTTGATACACAAAGCATGGTTGATAATATCAAGACCAAATGAATCCAAGAAACAATCATGTGCCATATGCCCTTTCCGAATTGCATACTACTATGTATTCTTTTAGGAATTGATGAAGACATTTTTAAATTCGTAATATTTAATAGTGATTTCTTGTTAAATAATTCTTGTTTAGTCATTTGTTGTTGATGATGTGAGTTCGGAGGACTTTTTACATAGTAATTTTTTTGCAAATCTTTGGGTGTTTGGTTTTGCATTTTTTTTAAATTTATTATTGATTTTGAATGGGCTCTTTACAGTGGTAATTGATGATTTTTTTATCAATTAACAACTGGAGCTTAGAATTATCTAGAGTTTCTTTGTTTTCCTCTCCACCTTTGGAATTTTCCTCTATAATGTGTTTGAATTGATTGTGATCTACTCCAAAACTTTTCCATTGCTCAATATCAGCCAGGAATACTTTTTTGCAAGGTTGTTTGGTTGTTTTGGCCGCTCCAGCAAACAACCAATTTGGTTGTCCATAACTTGGGATTTAACTTTTTTGAGTGACACACTACCAAAGTTCCACTATCAATGTCCATAAGCTCCTTTCTTTGGATGGGGGCTGATGTACAACTTTGGAGGACATAGCTCAATATCCTTACCATTTTCTTTCTTACTGTATCGGTGCAATGTTATTGATCTTGGTTGATGGCTGCCACCAACAAAAAATAACTCTAAAGCCCTTCCCTTTGTACTGTTATCCTCTGCTAGAAATTATCTTCCTAAATCTCAAAATCCAATACTTGAAATGTTCAAATTGCTTTCTCCAAGAAACCATTGAATCACATTGTTATTCCATCTCCAGTCCAGAACTTTTGCAAACAGGTATCAAGAGTGCAAAATCTGAGAAATCATACCAAACACTCTATAATGATTTGAATAATCTTCACAAGTCCTGCTTTGCTCACTTGTCCCTCAATGATATTAATCACCAATTTTTGAAAAACTGCTGGTATAGAAGCGGCAACAAAGGCTATAGAATTAACTGTTTGTTCCCTTAAAAAAGAGCTTACTCTGTCCCTATGTAGGAAACGGCATTTGTTGAAAAGTTTTGCATATCTATTTTTCCATTATTAAATGTGTAAGAAAGAAGTCTTGGAATATTATATAATACATCCTGTTTCTCTTTTCAATTCTTTCACTGTTAAGGAGTCCTTTTGTGTTTTTATCCAAATATGTGACATGAAAGCATCGTCAGAAAATGATGGAACAATATATCTATACTGGTTCTTGGAAGCATCTCTAAAAGCTGTAGACGGCAAGGTTGAGTGAGCCTGCGAAGAAAGGGCAGCAAAAAAGATGCTTAATATTAATATATAAAAAAAATATATTGCAACTAAATACTAACAGATTCGTAAATGTATCCAATACTTCACCATTGTGTGTTTGACTATTTGGCTTCCATTGGCAAGCTTAGGTTCGGGCGGTTGTAGTACCCAATCTTTGAAAGAAAAATCTAATCATATCGAGAGTAAAGTGCCAATGTTTTCAAAAGTGATATTAAATGCTTTCATAAATTTCAAATTTAAGGGACATATTGATGAAATAAAGCCTTTGGAGAAAATAGAAAAATTGAAGTCTGTAACCATTTCAAGACTAAATTCGAACCATCAAAGTCAATTTGAATTATTATTCTACAGAACTTCTTCTTCTTTCATGCCGAACATTATGGTCAATCCACTCTTGTTCTTATCAAAGTGGCAAGATATTTTTGACTGGCAAAAGTTGTTTGACCAATACGTATTTTGTTTTGATACATATTCAGAGTTGTCACTGATTTCTTACTATTATTTTTACAACATGTAACACTATTGCATCTTGAACGGGTGTTTTTTAACAATAGGTTTTAAGTGTTGTTTCTTGAAGAACATACTGCTAAGAATATTTTCTCATTAAATTGAAATTTCTCAAAAAAACAAAAAAACAACCCATTCAAAATGAATCCACCAACAGAACAAATCGAATCTGTATTGCAACCACATCAAATGGTGTATCCTTACAGAAAACGAGCAACACAAACCATCAACACATCTACCATCAACAACAAACAACAAACATCTCCTGAGGAAGACATTGTTCCTCCCTTATTAATGAATTTCATACCACCTCCTTGTCCAGTTGATAATATTACAAATCCTTCCTTAGCAGCTTTGAAAAGAAATTGTTATTGGAGAAGGAGATTGTTCTTGCACAATGGATAAAGAAGGAACAACTTATACTGTTCGAACAGTAGATAAGCATGAACGATCGTTAAACAGTAGTCATGATAACGCAACTAGTATAACTCGAAGCTCAATTCCGCCCCAAACAACCGCCACCACACAACCACAAATTCACTCTTCAACAACAACATCACCAACAATTTCTCCAACCTTTGCAACCCTTTATCGAAGTGCCTCCTCATATCGTGCGCATGTTTCAGGCACACCTCAATACGTACAAACATCACCTGCCCAAGTGGTTAGGTCTTCATCATTTGATAGCCATTTGCCAATTTTCTCACACATTCCCTCCACCAATATCACACATGCAAACACTTTATCCTCTCCTTCTCTGTCACCTAATCATGCTTATTTTCTTAGCTCAACACCAACCCAATTTCTCTCCACTAGTATTCCAACAATTCAGTATTCATCATCACCAAATTATTGCCCCATTCCAAATACAACCTTCTCTCATGTTCCTCTTTTTGTTTCTACACAGCCTGTGACTGTAGTTCCCTCAAATATTCAAAAACCAAACATTTCAAAGAAAAAGGTAAAGACACCTTCTTCCCCAGTGGCTTCATCTTCATCATCTTCCAGTCAATCATCGCAACATTTACAAATAGTAAGCCAGGAGCATCCTTCTGCTCAAGAAAGAAAACGATCAATCTCACCAGCATTTGGAGAGCAAGTCAAGTTAACCCCCCCTGAAAAGAAAACAAAAACCATCGAAATTCCAAAGTCTACACAAGCTTTGAAAATTCCAAGAGCAGAAATAGCAGAAGCAAAACAACATTCTAAAGACTCACTAAAGGGGAAAAAAACCATTGTGGCTAGATTTCTTTGCCCAAACAATTGCGAAATTCAAGGCACCCCAATTGTTTCACTAGATTCCTCATCTCACAGTGTAATTATTCAAGGTGTCAGTTTAGTTTATAATCCTCCAGAGTTTGCTCAGTTGGATAAAACAGTGGTAGTGAAAGGAGAGAACGGATCTCTAGAAGTAAGATTGCCACTTTTAGAGTAGAATGTTATAGAATAATAACATGAACCATTGTACAGTAATATTTATTGAGATAAAGATCCTCTTACAATTTCTACCAAAGATGTCAATAATTGGAAAACAACAGTAGTTTGAGGATTGATTAAAATCTTAAACAGAGCATTTCTTAAATTTTGGCTATCAGCTTGCTCATTATCTGAGGCAATGTCATTAACATCAACTACCTTATTAATAAGTTCCATTTGTTGTGCTAGGAAAGAAGAAATTAGAGGATGAGATTTGATAGGTTCTTCCATTAATTTTGCCAATAAGTCTAATACCTTCTTTTCATTCTCATCAATGACTTGTTCATTCTTAATAAGTTCACCCTTTTCGTAGAGTTGAGAAAACTTTCTACCCTGTGCATCTGTGTAGTGAGTTTCCCCTTCAATTTGTCCGTCAACCCAATATCCCTCAAGAGATTCTTTACTGTCCAAAAGAACAAATCTTCCTCTCCCATCAAATTTACCTCTTTTCCAATAACCAACATATGTGTATCCAGATGATGAAAAAGTTCCATAACCATCAGAGAAATCACCAAGCCATTCACCTTCATAAACATCACCATTAGGATAGGATTGTTTGCCAAAACCTTCTCTCTTATCATTGTTCCATTCCCCATCATAATGGGACTGATTTGCAGCAAATTTCATTTTACCCCTTCCAGATTTGATTGAATTTATAAAGTGGCCTTCGTAGACATCTCCTGAGGCATATTTATAAATACCTTTACCTGTTATGGAATCTTTTGAGAATTCACCTTCGTATTTGGATCCATCTGTAAACACCATCTTACCTGCTCCATCTCTCATATCATCAATAAAATAGCCTTCATATACACCTCCATCGTTGTACATTAAAATACCAAAACCGTGCTTTTGTCCATTTGTGTTTGTGTCACCTTTATAAAATGGTTGGTTGCAATCCATATTAAGATTATCACCAAGTCCACTACCAATCGAAATATTATGTGGTAATGTGGCTATATCAATTGAACTTTCAGATTCAACCGATGTTATGGAAGACAGATTATTCTCTACTTCTAAAACCATCTTAACAGACACTTGCCTTTTGTGATACACTCGGCTTAATGTAGCAGTATTATTAACAACAGTAGGGGTTGTACTGGCACCAATACTATTCAAATCTTCATCCTCAGTTTGATCATTGCATGTTTGAGAGGTTGCTGTATTTTCATCATTTGTCTGAATGTCTGAAACACCATCCTCAAATATTTGAGGAGCATTGACTATTAATGACTTGATGACGTTGGTTGCATTGGAAATATCTCTAATAGTTAGCATGGGATCTTGATCTTTCAGATATAATATATTAGGTTGAATTACAATAGCAATATTTTCAGGACTCATTAAATTCTAAAATTCAAACAAATTGAAATAACAATAAATAAAATATTAACAAACATTAATAATAAAATAAAAATTAGTTCAATATTTTTGAAATTATTACATACCACTTGTTGTTTTTTCGAAACAGTATTTAAAAATAGGCAAAGTTTTTTTAGCAGTACATAATTTGCTCTGGGCAAAAGACCACAAATTTGTTGTAATAATTGACATTTACGACTAGTTTCCAATTCCTCAAGTTCTGAAGGTGATAAATTATTTGTATCATTATTTGATATTGAAGTGGTATTAATCATTTTTGAAGTTGCAAGAAATGATTCGTATAGTTTGTTTGTTAATAGTGGTTCTCTCAGTTTCCTCAAATAAACCTTAATGAGAGAGGCTGCTAAATGTACATCTGCATATTCATTAAAATCAACTGTAGCCATTTTAGCTCCACCACTTTTAAATAATTCATCAATTTCTTTCATTACCTTTTCTTCTCTACTCTTCGATGTAGAATGTCTGAAAATACCTTGAGTTTCCAAGCCATGTTTCTCCAAATAGTCCATGGCATGAAATAGGAATTGGGGAATGTGTTCAGGTGAATTGGAAGGAAATTCATGGCCCCAAATGGTATCCTGATTCAAAATTTTAGAAAGTCCACCATTGATACCAGTACTACTACTACCCTTTGAATTTTCACCACCATTCAATATTTGTGATGATGAGGATGTTGAAGAGGAACGAGTGGAATTCTTTTTTCTTTTACTTCTTGTGGTGGTGGTGGAACCGTTATTATTACTACTACATGAGGATTCATCATCATCATGTTGCTGCTGTTGCTTGTCATGTTCATTAATCATTCCTTGTAACTGATCGTAGAGTGCAGTGGATTTTTGACCGTCAGTGTTTTTGAAGAGTGCCACAGATGCTCTGGGCTCTAATTTGATACGGGAAAATAGTCTTCTCATAATTGTTGAATTAAAGTGTTGATGATAAAGGTGAATTTTGTGGTTTCAAAAAATGTCAAGAGCTGTCACACACCAACAATTTTTGACAACACGGTTTTATGGTGTGGTAATGGTGCCCTTTTTTTTTTAATTGTTTTAATTTCCTCAAAACGACATTAGACGGATTTGAAAAGAATTAACGACATGAGAAATTTAAGGTAACGAAGAATAAATTTATTAACTTGTCACATATTACCTGAATGGTATTGTAATTGATGGTTGTGAGTTAAATAGTAGTAAAAACTCATTGTTACCATTTAATTCTCAAGTGCCAATCTAACATAAGTATCATATCTCTTAGATCTAATGGACTCATTTCTGTTCAATTGATCTCTTAAGAGATCGAGAATTAAAAAAAGAATATCCATCCTTGCCTCACAGGGGTTGTCAGACGATTGGTGTTTTTCTTGTTGTTTGGTGTGTCTAATGAGGAGAGATAGACCTGAATATTGTTGAGTGAATTAATTTAGTCTAACTAATAACTTACAGTCATTCAAAATACTTTCAAGATCACATCTATTGCTTATTAAAGCTATAAGGAATTTGAGAAATGATTTACAAGTGTTAAGATCGGGAAAATGTTGTTTTGCATGCTTTCTCTTTTTCAATGGAGGTTGGATTTGAGCTTGATTGTTATTTTGAATGAAAATTGTTACAGACCTCCACAATAACTGCTTTTTCAATGTTTGAACAGTTTCGATCAATGATGAGTACACTAAGTTTTCCTCCGATATTGCATCGAAAATTGTTTCAATGAGTGTTTCTAATCTTCTTCTTGAAATAGGAGAGAAAATTGTTTCAGCTGTAAATCTGGCCTCAATACACAAGGCTAAATATTCTAATTTGATTTGAGAAGTTTTACAATTTTCAACAATACTTGTTACAATTTTCAATATACTAGAATCAGCTTGTTCCATTATTTCCTCTGATGATTTAAAGTATGAATCAAATACAAGTCTCATCACAAAATCCTTATCAAAATCAGGATTAATGAAATTTTCCAAAACCAACTCTGATAACAATTTAATGTCGAATTGAGGAAAATAGAAAGGAAGATTTAAAATATGTACAAGAAGAGTACATGTAATCTTTCCCATATTTTCAAATAATACAACATGATCATATCTGCAATAAAATCGAATTAGGTTCTCTATTGTAAAATAAATAAATACCTAAATTCTTGAGGAGGATGTCTAGTAATTTCAACAAGATACATCAAAATTTTGATTATATAATCATTGATATTCAAGTCTTTTCTGTTCGAATAGTTGCACAACATTTCAAATACAGCCTCATCTTGTATTCCTTTCAATAAGAAAGTGATAATTTCCTCCAAAGAATCATAATTAATGTTTCCATTTTCAATCATATCTTTTAATATTGAATGTATTGTTTTAAAACATTGATTCATTTCAGTGAACTTATTTGCATCCCTAGCTTGTAAAATTTCCAAAGCCTTTTTGATTGACTCCATCTTGTTTAATAATTAATATTTTTTTTTGTTTTAAAAAATGTCAGCAACAAGAGAAACTAGCAACATCACACAACAAGCATCATCAGCTAATAATAGTAGTAGTAGTAAGGAGGGTGTTGTTAAATATCCAAACAAGTACACTACGGATCCAATTAATTTAAATGATTTTTATTCGTCATTACATTTCTCGGAGGAAACATTAACACAAGAACAAAGAGACATTTATAAGGAGATGGAAATTTTTGACTATTGCAATCAACAAGCAATTAAAATTGTTGGAGATCCAAAGGTTGGTCAAGCACATTATATTGAAAGATTATGCTCTATGAAATACTTGAAAGGTTCTTCTTGCTTGGATAAATACGTCTCTTTTAATGCCGAAGAAACACCAGGAAGACTAAACTCATCAACAAAGGATTACGCCCAATTTTATTATAATTTAATGCACTGTCAGGAACGAGATGAAGATTCAAGTGCCAAGTATAAAGTATTATTAGAAGAAAGAGAAGATTTCTCAAATGTCAAATCGCACCAATTGAAAGATGTATTTCCAATTATTCATGATAATTTACTTTTGAAAAATAGTGATTCCTTAAAGGAAATTTTTTCTAAAATTGATCCTAATAGCGAAGATCGTTCAAAACAACTTTTTGAACATTTAACCAATAGAACTGCATTGCCTCAATATGAAAATTTGAGGAAATGTGCCAAGGAACGATATGTTAAATCTGTTCATGACGATGATACTTTTGGATTAAACCAAAATAATGTCAACGAACTAGCTCATAAGTGTTTTGTTCCTTATTTTGAATTTTTCACAAGGATTGGAACTGTCCTTTGTAGAAGGCAAATTGAAAACTGCTTGGCTCTTGGTTTGAAGAAACAACGTACAACTGTTCCAGAGGCCAATGTTTTCTACCTTAACACATGCTTTTCAGATGATTCACTCGTGGCTGATTGTATGAAATATACAGAGAAGTATTTTATTGATAAGTTAGAAGAATAAATACTTGTCGATTCATAATATCATTGATACAGTTGTTATTTTCAAAGTTTGGTTTAATATAATCATTTATGGCAAGAATTTCAAAATATGATCTATTTGTGTCTAATGGAATGAACGTGACTTGCATGAGTTCTCTAATTCAAGCAAAAATATTTTTGTTTCAATTAAAAAGGCTCTATTAAGTTTTCTTATATTTTAGCCAAGTTAAAGCTGCAACAAGAATCAGACAACCAGCCATCCACATTTTTTGCTTTTCCTTCTCATATTCAAAATAGTGTATTGTATGTTGAATAATTTCTAAATATTCCCACAAGTGATATTGATTTCGAATTGGAAATTTTGTTGACCTTATTTCTATCTTGGCTGGATTTTCATTGTAAAGTATTGATTCATCTTTCTTCCAATCTAATAAACAAGCACTTGTATGATAATCATATGGATTCAACTCTATCAAAATTAAATCATCCTGGTTCAACATGACATCAAATATATATGACTCGTAATACTTGGACAGTATTGATACTTTTTCATTAAAAAAATTTACAATTTTTCTTGAAGATAATTCAATGTCAATATCTTGATGGAATACATGCTGATCATATTGAGAAATTGCAACTAATTTACCTTTAAAAACAAAGCATCTGAACTCATTTTTGAAATCAACATTTTCACACCATTCTCTCAATATGATATGAGAATGGGAATAAGTGGGATCCTTGTGATAGTAATTATTTGTCAAAATCCATTCAAAACCTCTCCTAATATGCAAATTGTTTAAAAGTTAAAAAATAAGTAAATACCTTATTCTCTTACTCAGCAAAATTAAAATCACTCCATACATTAGATTATTTTCTGATATTCTCATTAAATTAGTATATGACTTTCTTATTATTTTAAATATTTCATTTTGATTATTGTAAAATTGATCCAGCTCATTTTCAGTGTGGGAATGTTTTTGAAAATTGTTAAGAAAATTGATGTATTCCTCAATCGTTGATAATTGATTTCCCAATGTGTTTACCATATAATCTCTATTCCTTCCTAAATTGAAACTCTCAATACTGTCTTTTGGTGAATTTGATGATGTTCTCAAAAATACTCCACTACTAGATGGATGTGTTGAAAAATAATTTTCCAATTCTTGTAGTATGTATTTAACAGTTGATATGCAACAAGTGAATAAATCTTTTAGATCATCAAAAGAATCCATTTTTATGCTAATCCTCCTTTTAAATTCACTCATGGTTTTTTTATCTGTCATAAATTCGTATAATTGTGTAATTTGGTCAATTGTTAACGGAATAAAAAAAGTAGGAAATGTAACGTTGGAACAATGTTGATACCAACATTCCACATCATAGGATTTCCAAAATTTAATTTCTTCGGCTGAACGGCATTGAATCATTTTTTTAAAAAAGAAAATATTTTATTTAAAACGTTTCATCATCAGATGAATCAAGCAAATCATCAAGATTAGGTAAAATGCTATTCCCTCCTTGTTCTTGTACAAGTGTTGAAATGAAGGTTTGTAAAATATCTCTAAAGATGTGTTCGTTTTCAGGACTTACAACAAGCTGATTCATGGCCATTCCTAGACCCATATTTTCATTCTCATTGTTGAGACTGTTGGAGTGGTATAAATTTAGAATTTGATCACCATGTTGTCTCATTACTCTCTCTAAAATACTCCTTTCAAAGCTATCATCTATTTCAGTATCCATTTTAATATTGACCTTTTGTGTTGATGTTTCCCAGAAGAATAATCTTGAACTTTCAATAGAGTTGGTAAGTAATCTGTTGTCATTAATGTTGAGAATTAAATGTACAACACCTTCATGGCCATTCAATGTGCGGAGAAGTTTTCCAGAATCCTTTTCATAAATGTAAACCTTATTATCCTCACTTCCTGTCAGTACATATTTTTCATTATCAAAGAAACAGCTACTGACATTATAACTCTTACATTTGTGATCTTGATACTTTTGAATAACACTAGAGTCCAAATTACTAATTTGATCAGATGTACCTGTAGGTAATTTTCTAACATCGAACAACCGTATTACACTATCTCTACCACTAGAAAGAAGGTGATGGTCATCTTTGGTAATTTGTAATTGATTCATTTTTCCTTCATGAGCTTTGATTTTGAAAATTGGTTTGACAGTATTGGAACCTGTATTAGAGTTGAAAACTAAATTTCTAGAGTCGTACAGTCTAATATATCCATCACGAGATCCTGTATAGAACATGCTAGGTGAATGATTTGTACAAAGTATGGAATTAATAGTATTTAATCCACCTAGAATATTTTGAGGGTCATTTTGAATTTGGAACAAAATTTGGTGTTCCTTATTAATATCATATCCGAATATTCTACCTGAAATACAACCAGAAAGAAGAGTCGAATTATCACAAGATGTATCCAAACACCGAATCCAATCTTTGTGATCCTTTAGTGTTTGAATATTATTTTCTCCGTGCCAAACTTTGATTGTTTTGTCCAAAGATGATGTGTAGAAAAATTCGTCATCAATTGCATGACTAGTTGATGTTTTTCTATTATCATTTTCAAGTCTATGCTTGTTGTTATCCATAAAATGTATTTGAGTGACAATTTCTCTGTGTTGTGTTTTAAATTGTTTAGTTTTTTGTCCATCTTCATTCAATAAAAGAAGTTCTGATTTTCCATTCGCAACTGCAATAACATTCTTTCTTTCATTCATAGAGACAGAGAAACAACAATCCTCTCCTCCTCCATTACCATTTCCCTTTCCGATTGTAGCAACTTGTGCTGTTTCTAGTTTATCTATTAAAGCAACCTTTTTAATACGTTCTCTCATAGATTGTTGAACGCTATTTGTTGATCCACGATTTCTTGAAGAACTTGAGAGGAATGCTCTATTGTTTACATATTTAAATAAACTTTTTCTTGTCTCTTCAAAATATTTGTCATCATGTGCCATCATTTTTTTAATAATAATTAAATTTGATTGGTACAAATTATTGATAGTTAATATTATATTAATATTACACTATTGTTATCAATCACATAAAATTCTATTGAAACAATACTAGTCAATAAACAAATACAATTATTAAAAATTAAAGCATCCGCCATGTCGCCGATAATAAATAATAGACCTTCCTTTCCTATCACAAATAAATAGAAGAAATGTGAAGCAGGAGATCCATTCAACAACACATTTCAAAAAAAATCAAATATCATGGTCCTTCTTAAAAACGTAAAGAATTTTACCAAACATTACGATATTATTGTAATTGGTGCTGGTGCTGGTCTTGGTAAATTGGGTCGTCCAGCAACAGAATACGGTTATTCTGTTGCCTTGTGCGAGAATGATAAATTGGGAGGAACTTGTTTGAACAGAGGATGTATTCCAAGTGTATGTTTTTCAAAATTATTCTTTTTGATCCGATCCAATTTTAATGGAAATATAGAAAATGTTGATCCATCCAGCAGAAGTTGCAAACAATATTGAAGAAGCACATCGTTTTGAAATTGACGTAAAAAAGAAGGAAAATTCTGATGATTTAGATTATGACATTAGATTTTCAGAAATGGTTTCAAGAGTTTGTAAGACTATTGATGAAGAAAGTGATTCAATCATTCCAAGAGTTGAAGCTAATCAAAAATTAGATTGGTTTGTTGGACAAACTGGTAGATTTGTTGGAGAAAGAACTGTTCAAGTTGGAAGTCCAGAAGACAATGTTGTCATTACAGGTAAGATATTAATGTCTATAGTGGATTCTAATAATTAAATAGCTGATAGAGTTTTTGTAGCTTGTGGAGCAAGAGCATTAGACTTGTCAAAGGAAATTGAAGGATTGGACAAGACCCCATACATGACATATAGAGAGGCTTTGAGAAATCAAAAGCGATTCAAATCATTGATTGTTATTGGAGCTGGTTATATTGCTACCGAACTTGCACATTTCTTTGCAAGTACTGGAACAAAGACTAATATTTTTGTAAGAAGTGGATTCTTAAAACACGAGGATGAAGAAGTTCAAAAAGAATTTGACCGAGTCTTTTCTAAAAAGAAGAATATTAATGTAATTAAGGGAATGAAAATTTTGAAGGCACGATATGAAAATGACGAATTTGTTTTAACTTATTCCAATCCAAGTGATGAATCATCTGGTACTATTGAAGTAAGAGCCGAAGGTTTATTGGTTGCTGCTGGTGTTGTTCCAAACACTGACATTTTACAATGTGACAAGGCTGGTATTCAAACAAGTAAGGATGGATTCATTATTGTAGACAAATTCTTAAAGTCTGTAAACGCACCTAATGTTTGGGCATTTGGTGATGTTGCTGGTAATTATCTTTTCAGACACAATGCCAATTTTGAATCTGAATATCTCATGGAAACAGTAATTTCAAAGATGAGTGAGCCTTATCCAATTGACCATACAGGAATGCGTAAGTATCACACTTTATGTTAGACAATTACTAATCCATTACTATAGCTCATGCTGTCTTTTCTCAACCACAAATTGCTGGTGTTGGTTTGACTGAGCAAGAATGTAGAAAACAAGGATTGAAATATGTTTCTGTTAAGAATAATTACTCAGCTTCAGCTATGGGTATGGCTCTGTTATCGCAAGAAGGTTTTGTAAAGATCATTGTTGAAAGAGAAACTAGAAAGATTTTAGGTTGTCACATAGTGGGGCATGAAGCCTCTACTCTCATCCACCAAGTCATTGTTCTTTTCAGACTTCCTGGAGGACCAAAGTTGGACGATTTATTGAACTGTATCTATATTCACCCAGCTTTATCTGAAATTGTAAGAAATGCTGCCAGAAAGGCTAAGCAAGCTCTTATCGATGCCGGTGAAACTGTGCCAGCAAGCCTCTATTTCAGATAAATTAAAGTAAAAAATAACCCTTTTATCTTGGTACGGTGGCTAATCCCTTTTTCAGTAAATTGGTGACTTGTTCCTTGCTGAAATTGAAGGCAATCCCTACTAGTCTGAAAAATTCTTTAGGTGTTTCCTGCAAGGCAGCTGTTAGCACCTTACCATCAATCTTTTGTGCTCCTTGTTTTTTCAATACGTACAAGTAGAAAAGTGCTGCAAGAATTGCAATACCTCCAACTACTCCAACAACCACACCAACAATTATACCAATAGATTCCTCTGTGGACAGGGCAGAAAACTTCACAATAATATCCATGGTTGCTTGATTGATACCATCAGGAGGATTTATCTCAAAATCAATTGTTTTTCCATTAGAAGTACTAGCTTTGATAGGAATACTAAGCTTCATTGATTTGTCAGTGTCCAGATATTGTTTTTGATCTAAAGCAACCTCTTTGGAACCGCCATTCTCATCACTAACTGAAACAAGTATAGATGATGTCACAGTGACAGTGAATAATCCTTGCTTATCAGAGTTGGTAGGCTTGATTTCAATTTCCACTGTTTTATCCTCACTTGTTGATATTGTGTATACCAGATATTTCTTTGAGGGGTTAGTCATTGTTACCCTAGTTGAACCTTCCATTACTTTATCAACTTGATTAATTTTTCTAAGTTTCCCTATTGAAAGTGTTGCATTAATAATTGATGCCGAGAGGAAAACCGTAAGGATGAACAGTTGTAGATGATGTTTGTTCATTTTATTTGATTTTACTGAGTGAACTTGTAGGGAGTACGAAAATTTCTGGCGCCATTTTTGAGCCCTTACATGAGACCACTCAATGACTTTCAACATGTTGATAAACCAGCAGTTGACCATATATTTACAATAAAAATTGATAAGTTTTTCATTAAAGACATGAAGTAGCTGTTAACTTCTGCCTCTTCTCACTTAAAAAATCATTGAGGAAATTAGAGCTTACTTTCTTTTGGTATTTATTTTGGGAAGCCTAAAATTTTCACCTGAGTCAGTACTTCTAGAGGAGATGGATCTCAAATCCATATCACTTTCAATTTGGGCCGTGTGTGTGACCAGATTTTGTTTGGTATTGGTTTTTGGTTTTGAAGGTGTTGGAGCGCTGCTTCCTGAGTTCTTTTTAAACATTTCCAACCTTTTCATTGGGTCTTTTCTTTCTTCTTTCAATTTTTTTTGCATTTTCAACTTGTTCATTCTCTTGTTTTTGGCGAACAAATCTTTAGCTGTTTCAATATTCTTAAAGTTCCAATTATTTTTTAAGGCTTCAAGATTTGGGTTCGTTCCATTTTGGCTATCAGAAATGGAATTTTTCAAAATACTATTTGAACTGATTCTAATGGAGTCATCTACATCCTCGTCTTCAACATTTTCTGAGGTATTGATTGTTGATGTATTCACCTCGTCATCCTCATTAGATATCCATTTCTGATTTTTGGAAAGAGTTGAACTTGATGGTTGAGTAGGGAAAAAGTGTTCCTTGATATTTTCATCACCTCCATGACTTGTTTTGGTATTTACATCATAATAGTACACTTCGAATTTTCTATTCTTTCTTTTTTCTGGAATTTTTACATCTATTAAATCAGTATCCACACCTGTATATTCCAAATCGTCAACTGCATTTTCCAACTCAAATATTTCATCAGCTTCGAATTGTCTAGCCCTTTTTAAAATAGTTCTAACTCTGTATCCTTTCCAAACAGATTGAATCTTGGTTGCAGCTAGGTGTCTCGTATGAAGAGCCTTAAGAATCCAAGGGAGGTTCTTTTTTCTGGAAATGTAGCCCTTCCACACCTTTTGAATTTTAACCGCTGCCTCATTCTTAAGTTGATCGTTGTGTTTTCTTTTTGCTACTCGCCAGAATCTGAACCATCTCTGGATTAGACATACCGAGTGTATTTTGTTAACCTTTTCCTGGTATTCAGTATTTTGACTGAAATGGTTTTGGTGTTTTTTAGGATTAAAGTTCAAGTGCTCCTCAAAGTGCTTTGATTTTTGTTCTGACTTTTGCTCATACTGGGATAAACGGGTGTCCAATCTCTTTGAGAAACGTTGCTGAACCTTTTGAAAGCTCCTCTCATCAAATCTCTCAGCACTAAGGCATTGATGGTAATTATTGAATTGAGATCGCTCAATAACTTGTTTGGAACACATATAATAGTAGGTGGTTTTTGTATTCCACTCTGTTATTGGAAGGGCTTGTAAACTCCTTTGGGACTTGTCCAAGGTGATGGCATCTCTCATAAATTTATATGAATTTTCTCTCAATTGATTTGCCTCAATTGACGGAACGCAGATTTTTAGTGAATGATTGATAAATGACACCAAATGGCCCACCAATCTTGGAGAATAGTGAACAAGATGAGAAACTACACTAAATCTTGAATTCATGCTTACAGGCTCACCATCAAGATTGTTCAAATTTGGGAGAATTCCAATCAATAATTCTCTATATAAAACACCCTTACATATTGGGTTGTCATTGATTTTAACTTCCTCAATGTTTCTACAATATTTTAGGTGTAATATCTCATCTATTGATTGTATATTGTTGAAAGATAAATTAACATTCCTCAACATGATACAATTTGAGAGTGGTGATATGTGTTCAATCTTGTTATTGCTCAAGTTCAAATATTGCAAAAGAGGGGAAAATAAAAATTGGTTAGGAAGCTGAACAATTTGGTTGGTATTCAAATACAAACTCTTTAAAAGTACTTGATGAAAGGATGGAACTTGCATTATTTTGTTTTGGTACAGTATTAAATCCTCTAACAATAGGTTATACCTCAAGAAATTGTGAAGAGATTCTAATTCGTTGTATCCACAATCCAAGTATTGTAAATTTGAAAATCCATCCAACACTCTTAAATCTGATATTTGATTAATATCCACTCGTAAATATTGTAAATTTCTATTATTTTGTAATCCACTCAAGTCTTGAATTTTGTTATTACACATATTAATACCTCTTAATTGGCAAGTATTTCTTAAAGAACCAAGAGAAGTAATATTATTTCCTATGGCATACAATTCTTTGAGTTTTGAAGCTATTTCTCTGTTCATTTGAATTGAGGTTAACCTGTTATCATTTAGTGATAAGCACTCAAGTTGATTCAAATTTTTAAGCGTACCCAAAGATTGAAGAACGTTGGTATCAAGAAAAAGTGCTCTCAAATTATAGAATGGCTCGAAAACTCTTTCTTTGATTGAAGATATTTCTTCTCCTCTAATATTGATCAATACGACTGTGTTGTCATCCTTTTCAAAAGGCATGTTGTTCTCCAGTTTTTCTTCATCAAGAATTGAAAAAGGCTTTGAAAGAGATGAAGAGGAACTGTCTTTCACAAGTGTTGGTGTTGGGAGTGGGGGAGGTTTTGAGAAATTTTTGATTGTTGCTCTCCACCTTTCAAAGTCCTGGAATAGAGTCCAACATTTTGACTTTCTAGAATTCTCTACTGACTCTAATATACATTTGATAATGTACAGTCTTTTGATAGATTTTAAACGATCTCTTTCCCTCTTCTTTTCTTCTTCAATCCTCTTTTGTTCCATATCTCTTTTGAGCTTTTCCTCCTCTTGTTGTTTCCTTCTCTTATCCTCTTCTATTCTCTTAATTTCCTGCTCTTTTCTTATTCTTTCTTCTTCTTCTTTTTTTTTCTTTTCCACTTCCTTGAGTTTTTTGTCATTGTCAATTTTTTTCTTTCTTTGAAGAGCTTTTTCTGTTTTTAATGCTTCGATTTGTTTCCTTTCTTGTTCTTCCTTGAGTCTTTGCTCTTCTTGTTTCTTGAGCATTAACTTTTCTAGGATCTCTTGTTTTTCAATTTCCTGCTGCAGTTCTTCTTCTTTTTTTTTCTGGGCTGCTACAATTTGTCTCTCTATTTCAGCTTGCTGTTTCTTGAATAAGATTTCTTGTTGCTCCAACTGTTTCTTGACTTTTTCATTCTCTTGTCTTTCTTCATCATCTCTTTTTCTCTTCTCTTCTTGATATTTTCTTTGTTTTTCCCTAAGTTCAAACTCTTGCTTTTTCCTTTCTATTTCTCGTTCTCTTTCTTCCTCCTCGAATTTCTTTTTTAAAAGCTCTGAAGAAGAATTGTCAATGGCTTCTTCTGAAATTGTGATAATATCTACTGTAGTATTCGCTGGTTTGAAATTATTTTGAGATTTCTCTGTGTTGGGATTGATGGATGTCTTGGCAGGGGTGATAATTTTTGGTACAATTTGAACTTTTTCTTCAACCTATAATCCAATAACTGTTTGTTTCATTAGGATTCCAATTAAATCTACTTACAGCAATGGTAACAGATTCTTTGAGTTCTTTTACGGAAGTCAAATAATTTTCAATAAAATCATCCTCATCCAACATTTTTCTCACCTCATCAATGTCTTCTCCAAAATTAAAATCCTGTTTTGATTCAAATGTTGTTAAGAAAGCTCCATCACCTGATTGCAACTCATTTCTCTTATTCACCAACGATTCAAACTCATCCACATATCTGTTGTAATCATCATAGGAAGAGCGAAGAGAAGAAATATCTGTTAATGTGGCCATTACTACAATACCGAAGAAAAAATACTTACCATCTCTATAATTTTGTTGTTTGAAACTAAATGTACTTGTATTATCGTCACTCTCTTCCTCCTCCTCCAATTCCAAGTTATAATAACTTAAAAGATCTTTTAGAACAGAATTTGCCCTTGAGGAATCTCTTGGACTACTTATCATGTCATCCATTGTACCTTTAAAACGATCTAAATCCTTCCATAGAATTATTGTTATCATTAGATAAGTTCGGAACTAGTGGGCTGCTGTTGTTTTTGGCTTGAGCCACATTAATCATCAAATCTATTTATTTTTTTGGTGTTGGTTTGTACTTGAAAATGGCGGGATAGTTTGTAGTGGGTAAAGGATCCATCAATATTTGCTAGAATAATTTGTAAATGGCTCTACAATCTCATATTCCTCTTCAAAGGTCTTTTCTTCTGTTGGTTGTGTGGCCGAGTCATTATTGATAATAGTAAGAGCCTTTTCGATTTCCTTAAACCAGTCCAAGCATTCTTCTTTGGTCTCACAAATAAAGCCAAGCGGAATTCGTTTAGATGGGGTATTAATGATGAGTGTAAACTGGCGTTCTCCTTTATACTTATCATTAATACTCCATTTTTCTTTTTCTTCCTTATCTGCTATACTTTGGTCTATTTCAATTGGAGGAAAATCTCTTCCAGGAGATAATTGGTCCATTTCGAACGCAGCTTCATCAGTACCCATTACAACAGAGGCACCCTTCAAAGGATAGAGGTTGAATCTGGAGACTAGTTTCTGTACAAAGTTTGTTTCCTTAATTATAACAACGTCACTCATTAAATAAACTTGGACATAAAGTTCTGTAAATCTAAGTTCTAAAAGGTCTTCAATTGTTTTGTTTTTTACAGCATCCCAATAAGGTGTAACTTGTCCTCTTATTTCAGATATAGTTCCCTTATTATACAGCTTGTTCATTACATCTTTCTTAAAGTTGTTGATGCCCTTGTTTTGACCTAGAATCAATCTACCCTCTTTCAAAAAGAATCTACCTGGCTTGAGTAAGGATTCGTTCATCTTTAGTTTTTTTTCAATTTCCAATACCTTATATTTGTTATTAATTCTATAAATGTATTCCTCTTGCTCTTGTACTATATGTCTAAGTTCTCTTACAACAATTCTAAGGTTTTTAAAATCTGGATGAGAATCTGGTGTATATCTCAATATCTTTTGTAAAAACTTTAGGTAAATGAATAATCTAGTTACAGGAAGAAGAAGGTATGCATCATAGATATGTCCACTACAAATTGGTAACCTCTTTCTTAGTTTGATATACTTGTCAAATTCTTCATTTGTTTTTCTCAGTTTGTTTAATACTGCTGCTGCATTTTCGTAAACACTTGGATACTTAACATATAATTGTCTAAATTCTTCCAAACGAGTTTCGAAAACTTTTGAAATTTCTATGGAATCCTCATTTTTCATAGATCGTGCTTGTGTCAGTGGTAAAAGCTTTGATTTGAGGTCAATATATAATCCTCTAGCATTTCCTATTATGTCTAGAATAACTGAAGGAAGTACACAATCTCTCTCTGAATTTGAAATATTGAATTCATTTCTATTCTTACAAATATCAAGTAAAGGTTCGAAAAGTATATCATTAAATACATTCATATGGCTTATATATTCTGTTTCACTATTTAATAATTGCAATAGTAAAACTTGTCGGTTAGGTATGTTCTTTTGATATTGTTCATTGATTTTCTTAATTTCTGGGCTATCTTCTTCGCCTAAACTCTCACTAACACCTCCTCCAAATAGATAATTGGTAGCTTTTACAGACTTTCTTCTATTTTTTGATTTAATACGCAAATCTTCCTCAGTGTTCAATTTGGAAAGTATAAGGGAAGTTGTATAGTAGAATAAATCATTATCATTGTACTTGAAATATTTCAACTTCTTAAGTTGTCTTATATCGTCAGGAACCTCTCTAAGTTCATTTCCTGAAATATTCAGATCCGTTAACGTATTTTTAAGTAGTGATATATCATTAGGGAAAATAAGAAGTGAATTTCCACTGAGGTCCAATGTTAAAATATTTGGAAGCTTGAGAATACATCCCGGTACATATTCAAAATTATTGTTACTTAAATCTAATTCTTTTAACTTTTTCATTTCACAAAAGTTTTCAGGTAATTCATAAAGATAATTATATGGTAAAAATAAATAAGTCAATGACTTTAAAGTAGTTGCAAACCAGGTAGGTATGGAAGATATGTAGTTATTCGAAATATCCAGAAGTGTAATATTTCCTCCTTCCACGAGGGATTGTATAGGAACTTGTGAGAGTATGTTGTATCGAAAGTAAACAGCTTGTGTTTTAGAACTTATTGGGGTTGGATTGTGATTTTGTCTGAATGCTCCTTCCCTATCAGTTATTCCATCAAATATTTGTTTAAGATTTTTGTGAACAGCAATAGGTTGGTCAATAGAGTGAGACTCAGCTGCCAGCTGTTTGTAATCTAAATCTCCAGAACTTGGTCTCCTAGATTCCTTATTTGCCTCCTCATTTGCAGTCTCAGATTCCCCATAGTTTACTATCTGTGTTTCTGTGTCAGAATCAGATTCACTATCAGAATAATTTATACTATCAGTTGCTGTGCTATCAAAGTCATCTACATTTGCTGTCAAGTTGCCATAACTGATGGATAATCTTTTCCAAGTATTTTTACCTCCATCTATTAAATCATTGTCAGAATTTTTAAATTCTGATTTTTCAGTCTTTGCCACTTCTGGAATCGTATCTAATTTTTCTTCTTCTACTGGTTGCTTCAATTCTTTATACATTTCTCTTAATTCTTTAGTATCCGTAATATCATACTTATTTTTGTTAATATACATTCTTTGCTTTTTTTGTTCCTTCTTATTTGTTTTATATTGTTTTAATGCTCTTGGTACAGTTGATGTGTTGATTGAGTTTACAAATTCGTATGGTCTGGGCACTGAATAATGATCATCATCAGTTTGGTTGACTGAATCAGTGGTATCAAAATCTTTCCTGATTGATCTTCTCGGATTACCAAAAGGACCGTTCCTCATTTCTAATGTTTCAAAATCCAATTCATCTATTTGTGTACTAATTTCAAATCTTACTTTTTTTCTGGAAAGATTGGATGAGCTGGTATTATTTTTGAGCATGTTGAAATTATAGGTTTGTTGTGATTTGGATGCTTGTGTTTTAGAAGGGTGAGATATGTTTGTGTTGTAAGACTCATCTAAAAGTTGTACCAAATTTAAAAATGTAATAATGTTCGTTTTAAATGTAATGACTATCGATTGAAGAGCGTATTGAAGTGGCTTGATGAGTGTTGGACATATTATGAGTATTGCTGCAATTATTAAACAAAGAATAACGATATCCGAAGCTATTCGCCCAAAAAATGTTAATATCAAGTACGGAAAGTTTGAAGTATTTGGTGTTGTGGTATTCGCTGAAGTGATTATTTCGGAAATGTTCTCAGAGAGAACCGAAATTACTTGTGTCAGTTTTTCTTGATGATCATCAAGAGGTGTTGATGAAGTGATATTAAAATAGTTGGCTTGACCATCCATTTTTTTAAAGTATTTTTAGGTAACTTCAAGAGGAATCCCGCCAATTTTAACAACCGCGCCATAAATTTAAAAAAAATAAACCAAAAAATGAATCCGCCAGAAGATGTTGAAACACAAGAGTACGAAGAGGAAATTCCATTTGATGAAGAGGAGGAGGAAGGTGAAGATTTATTTGCGGATGACGTATTAGAGGAGGACTATACAAAAGGACCAACAGAAGAAGACTTTTATGATGAGCAATATATTGACAATACTACATACCATCCTATGAGCTATCATGATCGTTTGAACGTTGAAAATTTAATGAATTCTAGAGATGAAGAAGAAGAGGATGAAATAGATCAAGCCATTAGACGGAGTGAAAACAAACGTAAGAGTTTGCCTTCTTCCGATGATGCAATTCTACATTTATTGGGAGATGACAATACAGATGAATCTCATTCCTTTGAAGAGGACGAAGAAGATGATGGACAAACTTCGTTTGATGAGATTTTTACAGGTGACATTAGAGAAAAAATTGCTATGGAGAGAACAAGAGCTCTCATATTAAAGGGTTTTAGAAGGTTTTTCACAGAGGAAAAAAGAGAAGTTTATATGGAAGCCATCAAACATGCTGTAGCTAATAATAAGAAATCGATAGTTGTCAATTTCACTGATCTTTCAGTTGCTCCTCATCTACTTTTATTATTGACAGATTTACCTGATGCTACCATTGAATTAATGGAAGAAGCTGTAAATAGAATTGTAGAATTACAATATCCGAATTATGTGGGAGATGATTTTCATATCAGAATCAAAAACTTGCCAACTGTGGAATCAATTCGTGATTTGAGACATTCCAGTTTAAATCAGTTGATATCTGTAAGAGGAGTAGTGACAAGAAGAACTGCCATGTTTCCTCAACTTAAATTTGTAAAGTATGATTGTGTTAAATGTGGAGAAAGCTTGAGTCCAATAATAGTGAGAAATGCATCAGATGTTTCTAAACCTTCTAGCTGTCCTGGTTGTGCTGGAAAAAACTGTTTCATTATTAATGAAGCTAAAACTATTTATTCTAATTACCAAAAGATAACAATTCAAGAGCCTCCTGGAACAGTTCCAGCAGGTAGAATACCAAGATCCAAAGATGTGATTCTTGTTGATGACTTGATTGATTGCACCAGACCTGGAGAGGAAGTTATTGTCACAGGAGTTTATAAACAAAATTATGATGCATTCCTCAATGTGAAACAAGGATTCCCAGTGTTTGCCACAATAATAGAAGCCAACTATGTGGAGAAAATATTCGACAAACGAAGTGAAGCCATCACCAAAGAAGATGAAAGAAAGATTCAACAATTAGCAAAAAATCCACATATTCAGGAAAAGATTATCAAATCAATAGCACCTTCAATTTTTGGACATGAAGATATTAAGAAGGGTATAGCTTTATCTTTATTTGGAGGTGTAAGAAGAGTATCTGAAGAACATACTACAAGAGGTGATATCAATGTTTTACTATTAGGTGATCCAGGTACAGCAAAATCTCAAATCCTTAAATACATCGAAAAGACAGCAACCAGAGCAGTTTTTACAACTGGTAAAGGTTCTTCTGCAGTTGGTTTAACTGCATCTGTTAAAAAAGATCCAATTAATGGAGAATGGACTTTGGAAGGAGGTGCTTTAGTGTTGGCAGATGAGGGAGTATGTATGATTGACGAATTTGATAAAATGAACGATCAGGACAGAACTTCTATACACGAAGCTATGGAACAACAAAGTATTTCAATTTCAAAAGCTGGTATTGTAACTACTCTTCAAGCAAGATGTGCAGTTATTGCTGCAGCCAATCCAATTAGAGGCAGATATGATCCCTCTAAAACATTCCATCAAAATGTGGAACTTTCAGAACCAATTTTATCACGTTTTGATATTTTATTTATTGTAAGAGATACTGTCGATGAAAAGATAGATGAAAATCTTGCTAAATTTGTTGTAAATAGTCATTTCAATAGTCATCCTAAACAAACCCTGTTACGAAAGGTTCAAGAACAAGAAGCAGCACGTAGAGAGCTATTAGAAGAAAAGAATGAAGCAACAGAAGAAGATTTTCTTTTCAATAAGGAAGGAATACCACAGGATATGTTTAAAAAATATTTAATGATGGCCAAGAGAATAAGACCGAACCTATCTGGTATAAACAAGGAAAGATTGACCAAATTTTATTCTGAACTGAGAAAACACTCTGAGGAAGGTAGTGGTTTAACAATTACAGCAAGACATTTGGAGTCTATTATCAGAATGTCTGAGGCTAGTGCTAAAATGCATCTCAGATCCACCGTTAATGATAGTGACGTGAATACTGCCATCTCTGTAATGCTTGAAAGCTTTATTTCTACACAAAAATACTCTGTAGCTGGTTCTCTTAAGAGAAAGTTCAAAAGATATCTTCAATCCCCAACCGATGATCACCAATTATTACTGCATATTCTCAATGAAATGGTTAAAACAAAAATTTCTTCCATGGCTGATGAAGATGAGGAAGAAGAAGAATTATCAATCTCAATTAAGGAATTCAAAAATGAGGTGGCCAAGAATAGAATATTTGACATTTCCACTTTCCTAGACAATGAGGAAGCACTTGCAAAGAAAGGATTTACAGTATCAGATGGAACAATATTTTGGAAACCCCAACAATAAACTTCAAACTTTTACATTTATTAATCATGGGACATTAAGATATTTAAAATAATAACCCGCCACCCGCTGTGTTGCAACAGAGTAATTACCGTTAAAAAAAACAGACAACATGATTTCGGAAAGGGATGTTCGTGCTAAGGATCAACAAGAAAAAGGGAAAATGATGGTTTCTTTCCGAGAGGATAAGAATATCATGCATTCACCTCCAACAAGCTTAAATAATGAGAGTACAATTATCACTCCCCCTCAAAAATCCTCCAATCAATTAAATCAATTACCACCCACATCACCTTCAAGAAAGAATCATTTGAACATTAGTACCAGTATTAATAATTCATCACCATCACCCTCAAATGCATCTCAACAATTCTTGGTCATTCAACAACAACAAAAATTGAAGGAAAAGGATTTAAGCTTGAAAACTAACTCACCTCTTCTTGGAAGTAGTATTATTACATTTGACGAATTGATGGAATTTATAAAGAAGATTGTTGCTTTGAGTGACACAATCAAGGAAACAAAATTAAAAAAGAATGGATCTATCATTCATGTTAGACTTTTAAATATTGAGGTAAGATTTATAATTGAACTTTTTTTACATTTTTGCATATTAAGGATGAAATAATTCACTGGGGAAAGGAACTTATTAAACAATCCAATGACAAACAAATAGGGAAGGCTCTTCAATTACTGTATCAACACCTGACAAAGGTTTTCTCTTTGCTATCAAAAATTCAAAGATGTAAATGGTTCATTGATATGAGATTTTCGAAAAAAGCTAAAAAATTAACCGAAGAATTGGACAATGTTACAACCATACTTGGTGTTAGTATAACCTATTTCAAAGCTCAATCAGCTTATTCAAATGTGCATAAATTAGGAATTGTGTCTGGATATCCAGATATAGATATTTTCGATATGGATGACAAGAACAATTTAGCATTAGCAGCTGATAGATTTTATATTGGTCATGGTGTAACTCAGAATTTTGAAATGGCTTTTAGATTATATCTTCATGCGGCACGTTTGGGAGAAGCTCGATCCCAATATGTGGTGGGAACAATGCTAATTGAAGGGGTTGGTGTTGAAAAAGATACAAGACAAGGTGTAAAATGGACTCTAAAATCAGCAGCCCAAGATTATCCAGATTCTCTAAATCAAATGGGTATCTTTTATGAAAAAGGGTTTGTGGTGGAGGAGAATCCAACTTTTGCTGCAAAATTCTATCTAAGAGCTACACATATGGCACACTTGGATGGAATGACAAATTATGCATCACTGCTCCTCCATGGAAATGGGGTTGAAAAGAATGAACAAAAGGCTGCTTGGTTATTGAGAAAAGCTTGTGAAAGAAATTATGCCAAAGCACAAAATGAACTAGGTGTCATGTTTTACAAAGGATTAGGTATTGAAGAAAACCCAGATAAGGCAGTTGAACTGTTTACATTAAGTGCAGACAGAGGTAATGTCTATGCTTTAAATAATCTTGGAATTGCCTACGAAGAAGGAAAGGGAGTAGTTAGAGATTATGCTAAGGCCACTCTTTGCTATGAAAAGTCCTCGAAACTGGGAAACATAAATGCACTTAACAATCTGGGATACATCAAGCTGCTTCAAAAGCAATATGACGAAGCATTAGAGCTTCTCCATCAAGCTGCTGATAGAGGAAGCATTGATGCCATGTACAATATTGGAAATGTATACAGGATAGGACTAGGTGTAAATGCAGAACCAAGCCTATCCTTAAAGTTTTTATATCGAGCAGCCAACTTGGGCCACCATAAAGCTCAGAAACTTGTGGGTGATATTTTGTATTCTGGTGTTGGAGAAGCAATACCTTCCAATAGAAAAGAAGCTGCCTCGTTTTACTACAAAGCTGCTCTCAATGGAGATGCAGATGCATGCAACAATTTGGGAATAATGTATGAGGATGGAAGTAGTGGCGTTGAAAAGGATGAAGAAAAGGCAGTTCTATGGTTCAGAAAAGCATCTAATCTTGGTTCAGATAATGGAATGTTCAACTTGGCAGCCATTTATGAAAGAAGAAACAAGAAGGAAGAAGCAACAACACTACTCAGAAAAGCAAGCATGTTAGGAAACATTAAGGCTAGAGAAAGGGTTGGACCAGTCGCAGAAATAATTTAAAAAGTGAAACTTTACAATGTACTCTTTAATGGATAATCATAATTTAAAAAATGGAGAAAAGTGGGTGTTGTTGTGAAGGCACACTTTGCAAGAGAGGAAAAATAAAAAAATCGAATGATATTAGGTTGGATTACCTGAATGTGGATCCACAAATTCCGATACCACATTTTAAATTCTGGCCAGGAAATAATCCAATAGGATGCAACGGAAGAATTGTTAATGGAAAAGATCAACTGAATTACGCAATTTCTTGGCTCTTGATATTAATTCCTTCTATTGGTTTTTTTTCGTTTGTGTACGTTTTTAATATTTTGAAAAACATATATGTAATGATTTCCGAATAACAAATTATCTAGTTGTGTGGATTATTTTAGATTTATTAGTATTTTCGCAGGAATACCAATTACATTGATAGGATTAATTCTCTTTTTATTAATTGTTTTTTATTTGTATAAAGTTGGAACCATTGATCCAGGTTATTTACCTAAATCAAGCCAAGTTTATCAAGAAAAATTCAAACACGATAGAAAACTATTGAGAAAATTAAGAAGAAAGGAGGGAGCTGTCATGTCATCTATAGAAGAATCGACTCTTCACTCTACGGAAGGTGATGAAGATGATGGCACTGAAAAAGATGGTCTGAGTGATGAGGAAATGAGTGATGAGGACCCACTTGGAGGAAATAAGGAGGAACACTCTAGTGTTCCAGAATTTAAAATAATTACTTTTAATGGTTGTCAAATCAAGCTGAAATATTGCAAAACTTGTAAAATATTTAGATTGCCAAGAGCTAGTCATTGCAGAAGATGCAATAGTTGTGGTAAGTAATAGAAAAATGGATAATTAGACAAAAATAGTTTCTAGATTTGATCATCACTGCCCTTGGACTGGAACTTGTATTGGAGAACGAAATTACAAATACTTTTACGGATTTTTATTCTTTTTGACAAGTGGAATAGTATATGCAGGAGTAGCTAGTTTAATTGAAATTATTTTATTTGTCTTCTTCGCAACTCGAGAGAGTTCTAATTTGGAATATAGTAATGAAACAGTCCAAAAGGCAGTCTTACTTTGCCTCATGTCTTCCCCAGTTTCGTAAGTTGAGAGTCAAAGATAACATAATTCTAATATTTTAGATTTTTGATTGTTGTTTTTGCTGCCATAATGAGTCTATCTGTTGGTTCATTAGGTTGTTTTCATACCTATCTATCATTCACAAACCAGACAACATACGAAAATGTAAGTTTATTCATTTCCATTCTAATTTGCAAATTCAAAAAGATCAATAGAGTTTACAACAAGACAGGAAATCCATTCAGCAAAGGCTTGCTTTCAAACCTAAAAGAAACTCTCTTTTATAAAGTACCTTTTAGTCAAGTGGCTCTAAATAAGAAGTACTCTATTGCTCAAATTGATGCCATGCAACCTAATGAGTTAGTTGGAGAACCTAGTCATTCAGTACTCGAGCTTCAAATGGAAGCCGAAACAAGCCATGAAATAATCTCATCAGAGAATACTTCACTTGAATCCTCTTATCCTTACTACTCTCGGCAAGAAGTGGTATAATTATTTGAAATAAATTTTATATTGTCTTAATGCTATTGTAATGTTCACCCAAGGCATAATATCTCTTGTGATAGGATACAAAAAGGATGGAGCTGCTTGGGTGAGGTGTCATTGAATTGTCTCCCATAAGTACAATTCCACTATCTTGCACAATTTTTAAAATGAATTGTTTACCACACAAGTCAAGAAAAGCTTGAATTTCCACTTGTCCTCCCCATTCACTACTAGATTCTACAATGTTCGCATATTCATCCATAGTTTCACAAACATCCATAACAAATGGAAAATATTCATCAGATTTTCTCCTCAATTGGTTAGCAATCAAACTTCTCAAATGAAGATATGTAAAAAGTCCATTAGAAGTGGTTAAACTTTTTAGCTCTCTCTTATTTTTTTCAGATAGCTCACTATTAGCTCTTTCCAATAATTGTTTGGTGAATGAATTATTCAAATTGGTATTTAATTGATCAGCAAGAGATCTATATAAACAATGACCGTCGGAATCAATTTCAAAAATACTTTGATTTGGTTCCAAATATTGTTTGATTCTTTCAATCTCAACATCTCTCTGTGTTACACCTCCACTATCCATAAATTCTTGATGTGCCTGTTGTCTGGCATCTGTTTGTTTTTGTACTTTTTTTTGTTTTTTTTTAGCATTTTTCAACTTTCGTTGTTCTGCCTTCTTCTTTTCCTCCCCGTCTTTGGATATTGTTTGTTTAGGTGTTGATTCTTTTTCATCCTCTTCATCATCAACAGTGGAAGACATTTTAGCTTCCCATAGTTCTGTCTCATGACGTTGTTCCACTTCCTTCAACTTTTCCTTCCACTTGTTTTCAAACTTTTTCTTTGTTGCAGCACCAGAGTTGGCAATTTTTTCAAACTCTTTAGCTTTTTCTTCTGCCAGATTTTGCAATTCCTGTTCATGGAGTGCTTCAAGTTCTTTAACTGACGACATTTTTTTTGTATTTAAATGTAAAAAAACTAATTAAACAGACTATTCCGAAAAGTATTTTTAATTATTTATAATTAAAATTTTTATTATTAATAACCAAGTTAATTTCTTCTTATTGATTTAAAAAGTATGTATAATCTAATTCGAGAGTCTTTTTTGTTATTGCGAAAAAACCAACACTCAATTGTCCTCTGTGATGGGTTGCATGATTAAAAACATGAAACAGAGAATCGGAGAGATATTGTTCCATCAACTCATTAGTCGTAGAAAAATAGTGTATTTTCATTGATTCGAATACTTTTGGTTCATAATTAGTCAATATTGATTCAACAAATTCTTTCCACCTCTCACATTGCTTTAATAATAATTGACAAACCACTTCAGTATCTTCCACAACACTTGTCCACTCATTAGCTTGATCGTTACCCCAAAATTTGTGTAATTCATCTCTAGTAAATTTGAGTGTGTAATTTTGAGTTGAAATTTCTATCATTGGATCCTCATTGGGTTGTTGTTCTGGTGATGAAGATGGTGTATATTTTAAACCAGAAACAACTCTATCAAACCATAACAGTTCCGCTAACAAGCAATGAGTTAACACTGAATGCACATTTTTAAAGAAAAGTCCTTGAATTGGTTGTTTCCACAAATTAGTATCATTCTTTTCGTTTCGGATTTCATTTACAACACGTTGATAGGCCCACTCATGATATCTAAAAATTGTAATACAATTTAATAAACACTCCTTTATTTTTAGTATTACAATTTATTCCTTACCTAACAAAAGAATTGAGTTGTCTTGATAGACTCATTTTTATTTTATTTATATTATTTTTTTATTCTAAAATACATACCAGTATACCGTGCATGTGGCGTTGTAATTTTATTAATATTTATTTTACAAGTTTTTAACAATCTTACTACAGTAAAAGGTTCTGGCATGCCATTGTTTCACCAATTTCACTTTTTTTGGCGTATAAAAACAATCTAATAATAGCATTTTCCAACAAGAAAAAAATGCCTTCTTCATCAACAGAAGGAAAGGACAGAAAAAAGAAAGACTCGTCCTCTTCAAAAAAGAAGGAATCAAAAGACAAATCAGAATCTAAAAAATCATCTTCCTCAAGTAAAACTAAAAGCACACCAAATACTACAACAACGTCAAAGGATAATGATGACGATTTTGAAGAAAAACAATTCGTCTTGAGAGTTCCCGAAGACATCGCAGAAAAAATCCGGGAACGTATTCGTAAAGAAAGTAAATCATCATCAGAGAAAGCTCAACGAGTAGGATTGGATATGAGCATCAAATTTGGTGACGATGTGGATGTTTTACAATTCCTGCAAGCAGCTAGATTGACAGAAGAAGATGTTAAAGTTAACACTGCAAGAAAAGAAGACCTAGCTAATGGGTACCTAAGTGATATCGAGTATGGTATTGATAAGAATAGAAGAGGAAGGTTTCAATTTGGTGACAAAATTCTTCCTTGTGTACTAGTAGATATGCCAACACATGTAGAGGCATATAAATCTATTGATTGCCAAACATATTACAAATGTGGAGATGTCAGCCAAATGATCCTTGTACAAAAACCATCTGATTTGGAAGCTGATATTCAAAAGTCAAGAGTTAAAAGAAACAAATGTTATCAAAAGAATTCGAATAACAAAACCCACCATCATCATCATCATGATTCGAAAAAGAGAAAAACTAAGGACTTGTTAACAAGCTACCTCTTTGAAGATGGTCTTACTTCTCCGATGGAAAGAGTTTTAAGACATTGGAATTCTCAAAAATTGGAAATTACTAGAAAAGACATTAAAAAACTCAAGGAAAAATATATTCAAATGTTGGAAGAAGAGGATCCAACAAAAGTAAAGATTGAGTTTGTAGAATATGCTTCAGAGCAAGAGAGATTAGCAGCTTTGCACGAGGAAATGAGTAGCTCATCTTCATCTGATTCGAGTGAATCAGACGAAGACTCTGATGATTCTGACAACCTTTTTGATGAATTGAGTGCTAACAGAAAAGATGTAGATAGTGTAAATGGTGACAATGGTACCAACAATCTAGGATCTTCAACACCACTCAGTCAAGGAAGCTCTAATCCACTAGGCTTTACACCATTCTCGAACACTCCAAACATTCCTAAACATAACCCTACATATATGAGTGAAGATAACATGTCTGATGGAGGAGAATCTCAAATTTCTACAATGAGCAAACAGTCTTTGAAACAAAATCCAACACCAAGCCAAATTTCTGATCAGGAAATGAAAGATGAAGACTCAAGTTCAGAAGATGAATCAGATGACAATGATATGTTTGATGAGGTATCAGCAGCTCCCCAACCATCAGTAGATGTTCGCACAACTCCTCAATATCAAGAATTAATTATGAAAAAAGAGTCCTGTGAAAGAATTATTTTTGAAAACGAGTCAAAAATCAAACTGGTGCAAACCAATATAGGAAAAGCTAAAAATGATATTCAAAAACAAAGAGCTAATGCTGCTATTGCTAGTCTTGGAGATATAGTACAAGATCACAAACAAAAACTTCAAGACATCATTAATGAAATGGATCAATTACTTCGAAGATAAAGTATTTAATTTTTTAATATTTTTGCGCAAAATCATTAAAAAAAATGAAGAAACTCGCAAAAAGTGTACTGCTCCAATCTAAGGTTCTTCGTCATCAATATAACAAAGGACCAAAATTATGTGGCATTAGTAGTTTAAATAATTTTAAAACTTTTAGTTCAAACTCAGGAGTATTTAACAAAGAGAATGATATTATTGAAAGTGATGAAATGGATGAGGATTTAAAACTTTCCCTCTTTGGTGATTCTAGAGGTTCTGATGAATCTAGTTCGAGGTCAAACTATGTTTCCAGATTGGGCAATGATACTAATGGTGTTTCCTATACAACATATCTTGAAAAAGACAAACACTTCCGAAGACTCACTGAAGAAGAAGTTTCAACTTTAAAACAAAAATACAGTGATGTAATGAACCCTCCAACAATAATAACACAATATCCATTCGATTTGAAAACAACACAATCAACCAACTCTACTAAACCACTCGTTTCACCTATTAACCATCACGAGTATTTTGCTGTTCTTGATAAAATCAATGCTAGAGTTCTTCAAAGAGGTACCACTGTCACTAAAGTTGGTGTAGCTGTGAGTGGAGGAGGTGATTCTATGGGTACTGCTATTCTTGTTAAAAAGTGGGCAGACTATTTGAAACAAAAAAAAGGTATCGATATGGAAGTGGTTGCTTTGATTGTTGACCATCAAATCAGAGAAGAATCAGAACATGAAATGTTATATGTTCATGAAGTGTTAACAAAAACAGTAGGGTACAAAAACGTATTTTGCTTCCAATGCTTATGGCCAGATAACCAAAAAAAACAACAAAGAATTGCTAGATTGAAGAGACAATTAATTATGTCAAGTGAATGTGTTTCTCAAAAAATTGATCTTCTCATTTCAGGTCACCACAAACAAGACAATATCGAAACCATGATTCATAGAGTTGCCTTTTCGAGTGGAATTAATGGCCTTAATGGTATACCTTTGATTTACTCATATTGTGTAGCAGATGCCACAATAATGCTTGCAAGACCTGGCTTGGTATTTGATTGTAATGAACTTAAAGCAGTTTGTACTCAATACAATATCAAATGGGTTGAAGATCCAAAAAATAGTGATGAAAGAGAATTCAGATCAATTATTAGATCTAGGTTGGGACTTTTATATCAGTCTGGAGTATCACCTAGTAATTTTTATAATTTCTTATTGACATTGGGTGCCATTCGTCACATTATGCTTCGTGAATCACTTAACTTTTATAATAGGTATGTGAGGTTTGATGATGAATTGGGTTTTGCTGGAATTTATTTCTACAGTCTTGAAAAGACTGCCGAGTTTGTTGCTTCAAATGCTCTCAATTCATTAATACAATACGTTACAAATAGAGAATTTCCAGTAACATTGGGTTCTATTAAGAATGTTGTCAGATATTTACCATCAACGAAACGTTCTCTTGGTGGTTGCTTATTGGTTCCTGATAAGAAGGTTCTCTATGTTATTCGTGATACTGGTCCTCTCAGAAGAAAAAAGAATCACACAACCATTAGATTCACTGATAAGGGCATTGTGTGGGATAATAGATTTTTCATTCAAATTTTCCAATATAACAAAATGAATATTCCAGAGGAAAATATAACTTATTCAAAAAAGCTTAGCTTGGAAAAACAACCAGAGTATGATAATATTTTAATTCCAAATTATGATGGAAAGGTTGACACAGATCCAAATGGTATTTACAAAATTAGACCATTTACTGAAACTGACCATAAATACTTTGGTGAACATTATCCACTCATGATGAAAGCTGCAAAGCAGTACCCTAATTATTTAACGAGAAGCTTCCCTGTTATTGAGGATAGTAAAGGTACTCTTGGTATTCCTTTCCTTGGTTGGAAGAGATGCGTCAACATTTTCTGGTACATTAAATTCCTTCCATCTCGTCAAAAGTTTGTGCCAGGTGAAGCTGACAGTTTGTACGATTTTGTTAAACTCTTTTCAAAGAATAAATAGGTTTATTAGTGGTTTTTTAGTTGAATCAAAAATTCAATTCTGTTACTTTACAAAATCTGTTACAATTGTAAACTCGGTTGGCTTGATTGAGATTACTGAAAAGCCTTTTCAATTGATTAGTTTTGAAATTGAAGCGTTTCTGTTTGGGTATGATACAGTAAAATGACATGAGAACTTTGTTTATTCTTCTTCATCATCATCAGCCAGATTGTGCTTTCGTTTTGTTCCTCTTTTACCCACCAATTGGGGAGCAGGAGTATACGAAGAAGCAGCAGAGGTTTCTTCTTCCTCTACTGCTGAAGTGTGATTCGTTACTCGAGCAACAGTTGAAGAGCCATTAACAAACTTGGTCTTGAAAAGCACATTAGCATTTTGAAACATTCCTTCCTTGAGAGAAACAACAATAAATTGAGAATTTGTAAAATGTTGCTTGAGCATTCTACCAATGTTCTGGGTATGAGAGGGATCCAAGGCAGCATCTATTTCATCCAAAATATAAACAGGAGCTGGTTTAAATCTAAGCAAAGATAAAATAAGTGATAGGGCAAGAAGAGATCTCTGCCCACCACTCAACTCTGTTAGAGACTCTTTCCATGCACCATTAAAAGCCACTTTTACCTCCAAACCGTCAAGAGGTCCATTAACTGCATCAGATGGAGGTTCTAATTTGGCTGAGGCACCAACCAAAAGCATTGAAAATATTGATCTGAAATATTCATCAACTTTCTTCCAAGTATCCTCTATAGTTTTCTTTTTCTTTTCATCTAATTCCTCAATAACTTCCCCAATTTTTTTCTTATCTGCTTCCACAATATCCTTTTTTTTCACTAGTTCTGTATATTCATCCTCTGTTTTTTCATAAAGTGCCATAGCCTTTTTGTTTATGGTCTTTGAGAGATTTTCACAAGATTCTTTCATTTCGGCCAATCTTTGCTTACAAGCTGGTAGTGTTTCCTTATCCTTACTAAAATGAAATTCACTTCCTTCCTCATTGAAACTTTCTTCTTCCTTCTTTATCCACTTATTCGCAGTTAAAAGCTTCTTCATTTCTGATGAATGCGTCTCTTGGGATTTTGTCAAATTGGATAACTGATGTTCTAAGCTTTTGATTGAGAGCTTGGCCTCATGTGATTTCTTAGAAATGTCTTCCTTCTTGGTATGGAGTTTGTTTATCTCTTCATCTGACTTTGAGAGGGTGGCTGTGGATTCATTTAGTTTGATATTATTCTCTTTTAAGTCTTGTTCTAGTAAAGTTACATTATTCTGGAGCTCCTTGTTTTCTTGTTCAAGGATGGATACTGACTTCTTCTTCTCATCTCTTTGATTCTCCAATTCGAGTATGTCTTTTTCTGTTTGTTGTAATCGGTGAGCAATCTTATCTGCTTCTATCTGTTTCAATGATTGCTTGTAATTAGCAAAATCTGATTTGGCTCTTTTAATATTAGTCTCTATATTTTCCAAATTGTGTTTCTTACGAGATTCTTCATCGTTACCAAGTTTACTGAAAGCTTCTTGTTGTTTTTCTAGTTCCATTTTATCTTTTTCTCTTGTCTTTAATTCATCACTACAAGACTCTTGATTCTGTTGCAATGACTCAATTTCACTTTTGATGTTTTCAATTAATTTCTTGGTTTCATTAAAGCTCTTATAACTAATTCTTTTTTCAGTATTGGTATACTCTCTCTGTTTCATTGATAATTCATCCTTAAGAGAATAATACTTTTCTCTCTTATTTTTATCTATTTTAGATTCTAGTTGTTGCTTCTTTTTGTCCAGTGTATTGATTTCCTCCTCTAATGATAGCAATTTCTCGACTCTATTAAGTGTGGATTGATCTATGTTGAATTTTCTTGCACCTCCGGTTAATGTTCCTGCAGGTTCAAAAACGTCACCATCCCATGTTACAGTTTTGGCAAGTATGTGTTGATCAAAAGCAACTTGCTTGGCTGTCTCCATATTTTCAGCAACTAGAGTATTACCAAAACAATATTTCATTGCGTTTTCTACCTTCTTGTCGTAGCTTATTAAATTTAAAGCAAGTTGAGCACCACGTTTCTCAGCAAGAGCTAAGATTTCACTTTTTTCAAACTTTCTGCTGTAAGAAATGGTATTCAGAGGTACAGTTGTAACACGTCTATTTAAATCACCTTTTTTGATAACATCTTTTGCTGTTTGTTGATTATCTACTACTAATTGACCAAGTTTTGCACTGGCACATACTTCAAGTGCACAAATGTGTTTTTTTTCCTTTGCCCTAAATAAATTTGCAATAATTCCCATTACTTCACCAGAAATATGTTTCTTGTTGTAGTCAATATAAATATGTGATAATTCACTTTTCAATTTTACAATTTCATTTTTCTTTTCTTGAATCTTTGTTTCTATTTGTTCAATTTCTTCTTCAGTCTGCTTGTATATTATTTCATTAAAGTTTAAATCTTCCAATTTTTTTTTAATTTCTTCCAAACTCTCATTCAGTTGTTGTAAATGTTGCTTGATGTTAGTATCTTCATTGGATTGAGTTTTAAGCAACGATGTCTTTTCTTCTAGACCCTTTTTTAAATAAGTGAGTGTAACAGTGTTTTGATTAATTTTAACTTTCAAGGAGGTAATTTGTTTTTCACAGTCCATTATTTGTTCTGTAAGAGTTTTGCCGTTACCATCGTTAACATTGACAGCAATACCTGCAGAGACTGCCTCTTGTTGCTTTTTCAAATTTTCCATTCTATTAGTACAATCTTCCATCTTCTTTTTCAATTCTTCTGATTTAATTTTGGCTTCTGCATGCTTTTTCGACAATACCTCTCTTGATGCAGTCTCTTCTTCTAATTGCTTCTCCAATTCGTTCAACTTTTCGTTTTCTCTGTTTAGTTCTTTAATTTTACTCTCCAATTCTGGTTTCCTTTTACTCAAATCCTTATTGATGGAAGATAAAGAGTTGTGTAAAGTATTTAAATCTTGTTTCATTCTATTTTGTTTTTGATTCTTCATAGAGTCTATCTTTTTTTGGATTTCATCTTCTTCGGTGATATACTTTTCGATTTGTTCTCTGACCCCCTCAATTTTATCTTTAAGCGTCTTTTCTTCTTTTTCAAGTTTTTTCAATTGGTTCTTGTGTGAATAGTACTCGTATGCTGTATAATATCTTTCTAAATTCTTTAGCTGTACTAATGCAGTTTCATGTTGTAAGCATTTTGCTCTTTCACTCTTTAATTTTTCTAATTTTGGTGTAATTTCTTCTGATAGGATTCTTTCAATTTCTTCTAGTTTCTTATCCTTTTTAATGATGGTTTTTTGGGCACTACTTTTCTTTAGCTCAAACATTCTTGTTCCTGAAGCTTCTTCTATCATACCAAGAATTTCTATTGGTTTCATATTTAATACTTTGGTGATTCTCCCTTGCATAATAAGAAAGTGTGGGTTATTTACATTGAGTTGAACAGAGTGAAACAAATTTTGCACTCTATTCAGTTGAGCATTACGACCGTTGATCATATATTTGTTTTTACCTCCTATCATTATTTGTCTTTGAACAGTTATTGTTGATTGATCTTCATATCCTACGGGAGAATTTGCACTATCCGAATTATCGAATACTACACTAACACTTGCTTTTGTTATTCCTGCTTGTCCTTGTTTGTAAATTAGCTCGGTGAGGTTGTTTGCTCTCACTTGAGAAAGATTGGAAATACCAAGAACAAAACAAATAGCATCAAGAATATTCGATTTTCCGGAACCATTCAAACCAGTGATGGCGTTAAAAGATTTATCAAAACCATTCAACACCGTACGAGAAGCATATGATTTGAAACCATCAATATAAACTTCTTTGATGTACATTGTTACTTTTTTTTTAATTTTTAACTTTCCAAATAATAAAAAATGGCGGGAAGGTTAACTTTGAAAATTTATGCAACAAAACCAATTAATTTGTAGTAAAATATTATTTGTAATACTCTTGGCACAACAATAACACATGGATAATTTTATTAGGAAATTTCATCAATTTGTTTCTTCTTCCCTCCAATTCCATCCGTTTTATAATTAGTTTATTAAATTCAAAAAAAATGCCATCCAGTGGAAAGTCTGCATCCACTCGAACACCTAAAAAGCAAGCTACTCTCTCCAACAAGAAGGCTCTAAATTTAAAAGTTGTTGATGAAAAAATCGGAGATGTGTTATCGCCACCAATAACTGTGAACAATATTGAAAACATAAATGATGACTGCGAACAAGAAAATGTAGCAAAACAACTGACAGAATCCCCTATCACTTCTTCGCAAACAGTTGATCTAACACAACCAAAGGCAACATTAACAATCAAACAAAAACAATCCTCTCCCAAAACACCAAAATCTGTAAAAACTCTCAAAATGAAAGACGACACTAAATCCTCTAAAAAAAAGAAAACAGAATCAGTAAAAAGGAAGAGAACGAATGATAATTGTGAAGAAGTTGTTGATGTAGATGAGTCCCATTTTATCTCAACAAAGGGAAAGCAAACTGATGAAATAATTGGATCAGTTGCATCTATTTTTTTAACAAAAGAGCAAAGACAAAGAAAGAAAGAAATGGAAACACTTACTGAGCAGCAAAAAACACAGGAAAAAAGAAAGGAAATCAACTCTATTTTTTGCGTTCAAGGTGGAGAGCATCCTCTCATGAAAATTAGTAAGGAGAAGAAAAAAGAAATCCAAAAAGAATCCAAACCCCAAAAAGATGTGGATTTTCAGTCATGGCAAGGCGTGGAACCTTTGTCATGCAAAATTACAACAGACAGTTTAAGAGAATTTGGTTTCTGCCAAAATATAGGATTTTCTCAATTACCTAAATATGATCAGCAGCAATCTAAAATGAATATTGAGGATTTACTTTTACCTGACGTTGTTGAGGATGTTGAATATTCGAAATCATACGAAAACCATCCAAACACACCATCAATTTTACACAAACTAACACAATACAATGAAAATCTCAAAAAAAATGAAAAATATATCAAGTCTGAGAGATTTAATCATTCTACTGAAAGATTTGCATTTGAAGAATATTGTACGAATTTACTGGAAGAATCTATCGAAAGTGTTTATCCTCAATCTATGTGGAATGAGTCTAAAAGAAAAGAAAAGCAACTGCTGAAAAAATCACTCGATAGAAAATATCTCTCATTATCAGGGGAGATTGGTTCAAAAATAGTTGATTTGGATCGTGAAACCTCATTAGAAAGTACTAATAGTATGGATGGCACAGTTTCTAAGAAAGATACTCTCGATGATTTATGGTCAATCAAGTACAAGCCGAATTGCTATGAACATATTATCACAAAGAATGAAAACTCAAACCAAAAACTAAGAGAATGGTTGGAAAAGTGGAAAAAACCACCATCTTTGAAAAAAACATCCAAAAGAAAAGAACCAAATTCTAAAAAAAGAAAAACTAAAAAGAACGACGATGACCTATTCACAGACGAAGAATATGAGGATGACGAATTAGAAAAATCCATTATACTTTATGGTTCCACGTCTGGAAAGAGTAGTTCACTATGTGCAATAGCAACTCAACTTGGATTTGAAATAATGGAAGTCAATTCTGCGTGCGACAGAAGTAGCAAAAGTATCATGGAACTAAAAGAAACAACACAATCAAAAGGTATTAACTCTATGGGTAAAATTATTGTTTTTGAAGATGCAGATTTGAAATTTCAAGAAGAATCATATCCATCACTCATTAGTGCCATTGAAAAGCTTGAAAAATCAACAAAACGCCCAATAATCTTAATATCAGATAACTTGGAGGAACAAGATTTACTCAATTCTGTAAGCAAGCAAAAAATCGACTATTGTTGCAGGGATCCTTTTATCAAATGCACCACTGAAAAAATTAATCAGCATTGTAAATATATATTTGATGTATGTATTTATGTTAGCTCCATAATGCTCTGTGAAGGGATAAAAATTAATGTAGAAAGAGATTTATTTCCTATGGTGGTTTTCTTTGGAGGAGATTTGAAGAAAATTTTATTACATTTACATTTTTGGTTTTCCAAAACCAACTCAACACCAACACTCCCACATTCGGAATTCAAATCTACAAAATCCTTACTAGAGACAGTTATAGGTCTAGATAGTCTTTACTATGAGAGAACTATTGACAAGTTTAGACATGCAGAAGATGACATTCAACTAATGAGTGAACTTGACCTCCCATTCTATAATTATTTGAATAATCTTGATCGTGTTAATAGTAATTTTATATCAACACTCTCAGAGGCAGATACACTAAGAAGGATTAATAATGAATTATCATGTAAGGTATGTACTAAATTGTTCGTTTTTATTTTATCGTTCGAAAGATATACTCTACAATTGAAATATTGGCCATTTCTACTCATTTATTTGGGAAGGCTACGCCTAGCGATGATAATTGGAAAAAATCACCAATAGATTTCATCAACTGCTCCTCCATTCCTTTAACTAGCGATGGAACAATTTCAAAAAATCAATTACTCAAATTCAAATCTCAACTTTCACGCTCATTCCTCTACACGGTAGTGAAACACATAATCAATAGGCAAGAATATGTGTGCCTACACCCAAGCAATTACCTGTATCAACGCAATATGACTGACATAATTCACCATTTGTTTGGAATGTGTAATTCTGAAAATCAAAGAAGGGAGAATGCTAGTAGAAGAAGATTTTTCCACTATCTCAAAACTCTTGTTGAGGATGAAGAGTTGCAAATGTTGGAAATGCTAGCAAAAAACTTTGAATACAGAGACAGGACATGCTAATTCCATTGAGTCGATTGATAGATTGAAGTATTTTTTGGTACACTAGCTTAGTATTGACACTTATCACCTTTCTTAATTAAGATAACATTTTAAAAATACAATAAATTATTCAACACCAATAGAATGACCATCAAATGATGTTTTATACACTCATTTTACCTTGCATAATTGTGGTTGCATTACCACCAATTGATACTCTTCCACCTTCAATTGGCTCTACAAATAAAATTCCAGTACGTTTAGATGCTTGAAAACATATCAACTTTTTCTTATTTAGCTTGGATGAGTAGTAAAGTGCCATCGATGTTTGACTTGAACCATTTACAGGATCTTCCTTAATTCCATTCCTATCAAGTAAGTACATGTTATTTGCAAATAGTTTGAATTTATGAAAACGTACCATGGAGAAAAATATCTAGTGACATAATCTATTTCATTAACATCTGATGTTGTCATTTTGGTGAAAGTTTTCTTATTTTCCTCACTCATCTCATTTACAGACATACTGACAGAAATACCTCTTATGTTGGCATTCAAATCATCATTCTTAAAGTCCATACTTAACAAAGCTTGCTCATTTGGTTCAGCACAAAGAACTAGATGGAAATCTTTTACAATAATCAATAGTTTTCTTGTTTTTCTACACAAAAGTATTTCTGAAACAATGTCATTGATTGTCTCATTTTCACATGTGATATTGATATTTTTCAATAATTCCACCAAGGTTGATGTTTCAAATAGGCTTGAACCATTTTGATGAACTAATTGTGGATCTCCTTGAGGAAAATTCATTTTCAAAATTCCATTATCCTTTTCTACAGTCAACTCTCCACTTTTTGTTTCAAAAAACAACTTGTCAACTGATTCCAGTCTACCGAACAAAATGTTAGAACAAGCAAGAGTAGCATGCCCACATAAAGAAACCTCAAGTTTGTGAAAATTGAAAAATTCATAATAATAATTCGAAAGAGGAATGACATAAATAAATATGAATTTGATCAAAAGTTATAGTTACCTCAACTGTTGGAGTAAACCAACGTAATTTGTAACGATCAAAACTTGAACCAACTCTCCATAAGAAACAAGTCTCGGATAAGTTCATTTCACGAGCAATTAACTTGTAGAAATTGTCTTTTTCCTCCTCTGAAGGGAAACGTTGATCAATAGATTTAATTTCAGAGTCTTCTAAAATACAGACGCCTGCTGGATTTCCAGAAAAAGGGCTCTTAGTAAAAGCGTCAACAGTAAAAATTTCAATATTGATCCTTGACATTTTTTTTCAATTCAGATTTAATTAGCTTGATTACTCAATAAATAAAAATTTAATATTAAAATTTTGTTCTTTCTAGTGCAGTTGTTGTATAACAAAATTTTCTTATCAAATTCTTGTATGAAAGGCCAAAACATAATGTTGAAAACATCCATCATACAAAACTCATCATGTCAATTATTGTTGTATTATTGATAAGCAAGACGGAAGGCCTTTCCGTATTTTATTAAAAAAATTACAAAAAAAATTCTGCTCATCATCTACCGGCAGCTAGTATCATCAAAATACACAACAAGAGTATACAAAAATGTCGAAAGGAGCCTCCCTCAACTTTAAACAACATGATTTGACTTCATACCTCAAATCAGGATCTACACACTTCTCTGGTATGCACGCCGTTACCTTGAGAAATATTGAAGCCTGCCAAAATTTGAGCAAGATTGTTAGAACATCTATGGGACCAAATGGTATGAATAAGATTGTAGTAAATCACTTGGAAAAACTCTTCATTTCTAAAGACACAGCCACAATTATGAAGGAATTGGAAGTTATTCACCCAGCTGCAAAGATTATCGTATTAGCTACCCAAGCACAAGAACAAGAAGCTGGAGACGGAACAAACTTTGTTTGTTGTTTTACTGGAGAATTATTAGCCCAATCTGAAACCCTTATCAGAATGGGTTTGCACATTCCTGATATTCTTCTTGGTTATAAAAAAGCTGGTGCTAAAGCTCTCCAAGTTTTGGAAACTCTCGGAGTAAAAGAAGTATCTGACATTAGAAATCTTGATGAAGTAACAAAATCCATTGGTGCCACAATTGGAAGTAAGGTTTTGGGTATGGAAGATTTCTTGGCTCCATTGATTGCTGAAGCTTGTATTTCTGTTTGTCCAAAGACTGCCTCTAGATTTAATATTGACAACATTAGAACTGCTAAAATACCAGGTGGTAGTGTTTATGATTCAAAGGTTTTGAAAGGATTTGCTTTTGTTAGAGATTCCGAAGGATCAATCAAACATGTTAAAAATTGTAAGGTTGCTGTCTACACTTGTAACATTGACCAAACTTCTACAGAAACTAAGAATAGTGTAGTTATCAGAAGCTCAGAAGAACTTCTCAATTATAACCTTTCAGAAGAAAAGGCTATGGAAGAAGAAATCAAGGCTATTGCCGATTCAGGTGTTAAAGTTATTGTGTCTCAAGGTGGATTTGGTGAAATGGCTCTTCACTTTATTGAACAACACGGAATGATGGCTATTAAATGTCCATCTAAATTCCAAGTTCAAAGATTGTGTCAAGCTATTGGTGCCAGAATGTTAGTTAAATTGGTTCCTCCAACACCTGATGATATGGGTACTGCTTCTGCTGTTGATATCACTGAAATTGGTGACAAGAAAGTTGCTCTTTTCCAACAAGCCGAAGATGTTGATGTTTCAGGAATTGCCACAATTATTATTCGTGGTGCTACAGCAAATGTTATGGATGAAGTTGAACGTGCTGTTGATGATGGTGTTAATGCTTTCAAATCATTAGCAAAGGATGCAAGACTTTTGGCAGGTGCAGGTGCTGTTGAAGTTGCTTTATATAATGAACTTTCCAAGTATGCTGATGAAACACCAGGTTTAGAACAATATGCTATCCGTAAATTTGCTGAAGCTTTCCTTGTTGTTCCAAGAACTCTTGCTGAAAGTGCTGGTTTAGATTCATCAATAGCAATTTCCAACTTGACAGCTGCTCATGCTGAAGGAAAGACAACTTGGGGTATTGATATTTCTGATATTTCTGGCTTGGATGCTAAGGAAAATAATATTTTCGATCTTTTAAGTACCAAATATTGGGGTGTTAAACTTTGCACAGATGCTGCTATCAATATTTTGAGTGTTGATCAAATTATTATGGCCAGACCAGCAGGTGGACCAAAGATGAAGAATCCAAATGGAAACCAACATTGGGATGAACAAGGAGAAGGTCTCTAAGAATCTTATTTATAAAAACAAACATCAAAAATCTTAATATTATTTCAGTTATAATAATTTTTTAGAAAGATCACTTTATCAAAAAAAACGTTACTGTTGAAACTCTTCTTTTACTCTATTGGTAATGAAATTCTATCAAGCATTACTGTTGTGTATTGTTATTGTTGGTTGTTTGTCATTTACAACAATGATAAATTGTGACCAATCACCAAATCAATTCAATGTAAAAAAGATTCCGATCACATCAAATAATGAAACAACACTTTGTGAAGGATGTTTAATATTTGCAAAATTAATTGATGACATGATTGAATCAAACTATACAGCAACAAAGGTAATCGAAATTGTTAATAATATTGTATGTAGAAATTTATTAGAACACAACCTTTAATCTTTTTCAAAGTGTCCATACCTTTCTCCTGAAATCAAACAAGTATGTCCTCTATTTATCAAACAATATGCTCCAGTGGTTTTGGAAATTATTGTTGCACGTGAAAATCCACATGTACTTTGTAGCTTTATTGGTGCATGTTAAGTTTACTCCAAACTTGAAGAAATCTGACTTTAGTTTAATGCACTGGTGACGTGTTTAATAAAAGTAAGGTTTTCTACGTAAAACACGTAGTAATGCTAGTGGTGATGATGAAAACACCAATATGTGTTCAAGATTGAAATTAAGCATACAATCGTATTTCATAAGTCAGTCCATAGACGACACATTATAATTTAAAATTCATCAAAAAAAACAAATTAAAGCATACAACAAAATTTCTCTCATATCTTGTGAGCACAAATACTGTCGAGAACATTTTTGGTCCCACAGTTAGTCATCCATTCATCATCCCTCCTAAATATATATTTATTATTCATACAATAATTTTAATTAATCATTTGATTATTGTATAAAAACTCAGTTGTAGAATATAATACTAGTAACAACAATATTTTCCCATAATTATAATACGCCCAATAACATTATTGATCATACCCTGACAATGAAAAGAACAATACTCTTTGCATTGGTGTTATGTATGATTCTTTGTATGTACACTGTTTCAGCAAACAATGCCGATGAATCAAAAGTTCCACCAGTAACAACACCTCCTCAAGAAGGTTTGGTTTCAACTACTCCTCCTACTCATCACGATGAAGAAAATGATGGGGAAACAACAACCATCACAGCATCTGTAACAGTCAAGGAGGAAGACAGTAATCAATCATCAAATGCTTCAACTTCCGCATCAAATATTTCATCCCCTCAAAATAGTTCCTCTTCCCAAAAACAAGTTACTACTGGTAAACCAAAAAACAAGTCCAAGAGAACAATTCAAATAACTATTCCAAAAGATTATGAAAAGTATCAACTTAAACCACGTGTCATTGGCGAAGATCAAAAGATTAGATTTTACAATGCACAAAATACTACATTTTATCAAAGAAAGTTGAAGAATCCAATTCTTAAATTATGGATTTTGATTGTTGGTAGAAAGATGAAGAACAACTTGCCATACTTTACATACTCTGCAAGACGTTTCTTTGAAACTGCTTGGAGAAGAAATATTCAAGTGGAATTGATGGAAATTCAAAAGTTTGATTTACTCGTTTCACATGATGGTTCTAATTCTCTCATTTATGATGGTGAAGTTGTACCAAGAGATGAATTCCCAGATGTTGTTTTACCTAGATTGGGTGCACAGTACGTTTTTTAATTATTTATTTAAATAACCTTGTTCAATAGTATTGATTATTGGGGATTGGCAGTAGTTAGACAATTTGAAAAGATGGATGTTTTGGTTCTTAATGGATTTGATTCCCTTGAAATGACTCGTGATAAGCTTCAAACATTACAGCAATTGGCTAAAGATCAAATTCCAATTCCAAAAACAATGATTGCTCGTTTCCCATTAGAAACCTCAATTATTTCACGTCATTTTACATATCCAATCATTTTAAAGAAATCTTCTGGTTCTCAAGGAAAAGGTGTAATGCTTATCGAAAGTGAAAACCAAATTAAGGGATTGGATGATATGTTGGATGTTTCCAAATCAATGATCATTCAAGAGTTTATTCAAGCAAGCAAAGGAAGAGATATTCGTGTAATTGTTGTTGGTGGTAAGGCCATTGGTGCCATGATGAGAGTCGCTAAATCAGGATTTAAATCTAATTTCCATCAAGGTGGTTGGGTTAAACCAGTCAAACTTTCTAGTTCTTTGGAATGGTTGGCTATCACTGCTGCTCAAAGTGTTGACTTGGACTTTGCTGGTGTTGATATTTTAATTGATAAGGATACTTACAAGATTTGTGAAATTAACTCTTCACCAGGTTTTGAAGGATTTGAGTTAGCAACCGGTCTCAATGTTCCTGAGCAATTTTTGAATTTTGTGGAATTAAGAACAAGTATTTGGAGAAAAATGGATAAGAAAAAGAAGAAGGGAAAGAATCCACCTGTAAGAATTCCAGTTGAAGCTGAACATGTTGTTGCCTCAAAGCCAACCAGCGATTCTCCAAAACACATTCAAGTTGGTTTGACAGGAAATCAACTTTAATATTAAAATATAATTTATCAGATATTCTTTATTCTTTGGATAAAACCTGTTCCAATTGTTTTAGAATAGCAGCAATATCGTGCTTTTTTGAAATTTCTTTTGGTTTTTCTTTCTTGTGGGCAGATCTTTTTTCAACCTTTATCCTGTCCATATTACTCAAATAAACATCATAGAGAAAATCAAAATCCTTAACTGGTTTCATACTGGAGAGAATTGTTTTTTGTTGTCTAATCTTTTTTCTTGTAATATATCCTCTGAATACTCGTTGAATCTCAGTTGCCTTATGATGTAGTTCATTAAGCTTGTTATGAATTTCTAAGTTTCCTTCCGTCAATTCAATCACTCTTTCTGTTGTTGGGGAAGTTTTTTTATAGGCACGTCTAAACGAATTGGATGATCCTGGATTCGAGGATGGAGGAGGAACTGTTGGGAGAGATTTTGAAGTAGGTGGAATGTTACTATTATTTACATTTCTCTGAAAAGTTGCAGAACTTGACTGAGGTTTTCTATTTCTAGTATCGTTTAATTCTCCAGAAGCCCTCATTTCTTGGGCAGTTTTAAACTTTCGTATTGTACTGTCAGATGGAGTGGTTTTTTGTTTTTGCTTTACGTCTGGAGAAGAAAATGATTTGTTCATCCAATTCTTTGTCCTCACTTTTTCTAAAGAATCTTTAAACCGTTTGGTTGTGGGGTGATCTGCTCCAAGAGTTTCTAAGGAAAGACTGAATCCTTTTGAGTAATAATCCATTGCTGCAAGAGTTTGACTCAAATGTTCATATTCTACAGCAACATTATAAAAAGCAACAGTTAAAGTTTCATTACAGGTTGCAATATTATTCTTAATATGATTTAGTTTTTTGTAAATTTCTAATTGTCGCAAAGCTTCCGTTCCATGCTCCAGAGCTTCTTCATGCCTTCCCATTTGAGATAAGACAGCACAAAAATTCAACTCCAAACTTGCATTAAAGTGCTTCTCATGTTTTTGAGCTTCTTGAAGAGATTCAAGTGACGATTCCAAATCACCACATCTGTAAAGGTTGGATTAAATGAATTTTCAATACTTACTCTTTGTAATAAACTGAACAGTTATTAAGTGTAGAAACGAGTAACTTAACTCGCTTCTCATCTTCATCGTGGAAAACAATGCCTCCATATAAGTCTATTATGTTTTTAGCTTTTTGAAGGCAATTTTTGCATGATTGTTTGTTTTTTTGTTTAGTTAGAAGATCCATAGCCACTACGTTGCATTTAACGATGAATTTTTCGGTTGTTTTCCTTAATTTTTCAAGCTCATCCTCATTAGGGATACTCTTCATAGCAACATGAAGGTATTCTTCTAAAAATTGTAAACTCTTATTCATATTTCCTTTTTGTTTTTCCTTCTCATAGAGATCCAAAAGCATGGAAAGGTCTTTTTTTCTTTGTTTGAACTGATCGCTTAATTTTGAGGATGAAGAATTTCTTGTTATTGGTTGGTTTTCCGTCGGTTGATATGAATCTTGATTTATTCTTCCCTCCCTCAATATGTTATTTTGTTTATAATTTTCTTCAACTGTAGTCGTTATCGGATGATAGCCACAGTTTCCTAGGGTTTCTGACATTCTCGTATTAAATAATTGATGTTCCTCATTTATTGTATTTTGTTGGGTTATTCCAATGGGCGGGCAATAGAGAGAAGATGATCTCGAGTCCATCATTAATTTTGTCGTTGAGGTGTTTTAATTTTTTATGTCTATTCCCGCTCATTTTTGTTGACGCTTGTTTTGACGATTTTATAGTCATGAATGACGCCTTTGTTTATGCTTGTTAAGGTGTCATTGGGACGGTGTTGTGGACGTCAAAATGACGTTTTTTTTCGTCATTTTGACGGTGTCAATTTGGGAGTCATTAAGACGTCACAAAAAGCGTCCTCAATGACGTCTCAAAGTGTGTCTCCAATGACGTTACAGAATGATCATTAATTTTTGATAAATTGAAATTTTATTGAACTATTCATAATTCTTACAAGTCGAAAATCTTTCATCTTGAACCATTTCACATTGAGTGAAACCCAATGCTTTCACACTGTGTGAATTAGCATTGTAAAAGATTTCACACCAAAGATGACAAGGAAATTGACAAGAGTTTCTTATAAAAATATGAAATAAAAATTTGAAATTGATGTAAACGAATAGAAATGATATATTATATTATATAATTGATAACTGATACGACTTACTAGTATGTTGAGGTATTTTTTTTGAAAAATATTTTAAACTGGTTGCAAAAATAGAAAGTGTTTATTTTAGAGATGAAGCCAAATATGGAAAGACATTTAATATAATGTAAAGGCCATTTTGTGAATTGGTTTGAAGTGAAAAGAGCCATGCTGGCATATTGCTGGTATGAAATCTTGTTTGATCGTGTCTTTGAATCTCAATTTGTGAATAATCTGGAGAAAATGAATTGACTTGATAAATTTTTAGCTGTTTCTGTAATAATGGAAGATCTTCTAATTGAAATGAATCCATTAACTTGTCAATTATTCTCACATATTGAATAATGTGTTGAACTATTTCTTGAATTTCACAATAGCTGGGAATTTCCTGAAATAATTCGAGATAATAACGACAGAATGTGATCTTCAATGGATTTCAGGGGATTGATATTCTTTGCAATGGATTTTGGGTGCTTGTGAAAAAAGGATGAAATCAAATTCTTTCCAACGTCGGTCATCAATTAAATTGAGAAATTTCACCAAAATACCTTCATAATTGTAATACATGTTACCATATGAACAGATAGGATTGAATGGTTGCAATAGAATTGGAGAAACACTATCCATTCCGAGTGGTAGTTCTTGAACTTTACTGTTGGTGCTTACGAATCTGGCTTAATTTTGAATATGAATCCATGGATGCATTTGCTCGTCTTTGGTGGTTGTATGATTGGAAGAAACATGATCACTAGATCTCTCGATGTGAATACTGATAGTGAATTGAAGCATACCATGTTGACTGCCTTCAACGGAATTGTTGGTTTGTCACTCTGTTATGTTGGTTTAATGTATAGACCAGAAATTGGTATCTTTGGTGCCTTGTCCTATGTTGCCATCAATGCTGAATAAGACAAGTTCCTTTCTATTGTCTTTGTCAAGCTTGGCTCCATTGGTTCCCCAGCCACAATGACTAGAACTGTGCAAGCTGCTGAAGCTATTGCTCTCTATGGTTTGTTGTTGTTCCAATTCTGATGTATTACCATATCTTCTGATAGCTTAGGTTCATTCATAGTCTTGTTGAAAAGGTAACCAGTACCACTACCGTAAATGGTATTATTCAATTCCTCTAGACATTGTCAAAATGCTCATTGGTAAAGTGACTAAAAAACAGTGCTTGGAATCCTGTATGAGAACTGTAGAAAGTTCTTTGAAGCAGGGGATAAAGAAAGTGTTTGGAAGGCAGTTGATGAAGATGTTAAGCTTTATTTTTTTAGTAAAAATTTTCAAAAATATTCACAAGTCTGAAATACGTCACCTCCTCCTTCACTGATTTTCATCATCAAAACAACACAAAACAAACAACAACAAATAAACAACACATTACAACATCAAGTAGAACACAACAGAATATCGATAATTAACTTTGGAGTAACTTTATGTAAAAACGTCAGTGATGACGTCAAAAAAAGCGTCAATCCACCATCAGGAATGACGAAATAAAATGAGCGGGTTCTTTGGAGGCAAAAAAAACACTTCCTCAATTGGAACTAGAGACTGTCACAACAAACTCCAGGTCTGCTCTCCAAAGTTTAAAAAATGTTTTGAAATATGTAAACGATAATTGTAATATTATTATGATTTCTTTGAAATAATTGACAAAAAGCACCCCATCAATCAAACATTTTAAAAATTTTGAAATAATTTTATTAAATATTTTAAAAAAAAATAAGAGGGAACCGCTTTTGCAACAATCACCCAGGAGTTGCCACATTTTTTGATTTGACCAAATTTTTATTATAGTTATCGTCATGGGTGTATTGTGTCTTTTTGTTCAAGAACAAAGAGAACCTAAATTAAATCTCTTCCTTCATTCGTAAGTTTGTGATCATAGTATTTTAATGACACAAAAAGTCATCACGAAATTTCCCAAAACCAAGCTATAACAATATCAGATCATTTCGCAAAACTTATCTCTACTAATACATCAGCCAGAGGTGAAGTGTTTATTGCTAAAAAATTCAGAGCTGTTTTTATTCTATTGAATGAAGTTTATGTAGTGACTGTTTGTCATAAATCCGACTATCCATATGATGCACTCAGATGTGCAAACAATGCCAAGTTATTAATGTTTGAGGCTTGTAAAGGAGTGGAAGTGACTGTCATTAATTTGTATAAAAAGTTTGGACAAATAATGTTAGCCCTTGAGGAATTAATCAATGAAACAAATACATTTAAACCACCATCAACAAGTTTGGAGATGGTTGGAAAATCAAAATTAGGAGAAGCACATCATGTCTCTGCTCAGTACAACGGAACTTCACATATTCAAACTAGTAAGACTCTCAATTCTGGTTCTTCTTTTATAGGTTCTCAAGATACACCAAAAAAAGCAAGAAGAGGCACCATTAAACAAATGGAAAAGCTTATATCATATACTGCTGATGAAATGTGGAAGGAAAAGCAAAAGCAAATGGAATCACATCAAAAGAGATTCCAAATTTTAGATAAATTCCAAGCACCAATTAGTAATGAACAAATTGAAGACAAGACAGTGACAGTGACAGATGATATGCTTCCAGATCCTACTGACATTATCAATTTTCAATTTGGTTTTGATTTTACTGCACCAGATGAAGAAGATGCTCTTCCAAGTTTCAACCACAAAAGAGCCAAGTCAACCAACATTTCTACAGGATCTGAGAGTAATGGTATTTCAAGTTTTAGAAAACGACAAATGGAACACATTGCTCTTGGACAACAAATGTTTCCTCTTAGTGAAGAGGAATGGCACTCCCTTAAAGTACCATCTCTTCCTGAAAATTTAAAACCTGTATTTATTCCTCCACCAACAACCAATCTTCCTCCTCTTCCACAATCATTCGTTACTTTACAACCTCAAAAATTACCACCAAAGGTTGGTACTGCATTTGATCGTGGTGATAGCAAACTTATCAGCTTTGAGCCTTTTGATTTACATGGAAGTACTACAAGTAGCAAAATGGAAGGTGAGGACACTGAAGTCGACATGTCGGATGAAGATTACACTTTCAGATCAGACAAACAAGACAAATTAAGTGACTCCATCTATGACTATAATCCACCAAAAGTTTCCACACAAAATTCTTTATCAAATATTCTTTTACCAACAAATTTACCTCCTCTACCTTCTACTTTGATAACCAACCAAGGAAGTGTGGCAAATAACACTGGCAATACCACATCAACAAACTTTTTGGATGCTTTCCTCGGACCAACCGATCCAATTCCAACAAAAACTCAAAACTCATTATTGTTGGTTGACAGTTTAATGACCCCATCATTGGATCTAAATTCAACCCTTGTTCAACCTTCCGTCATATCAGGTGCTAATCTTGGTAATAACAATTTTATCCCACCAATACCTACAACAATCACTACTAACACCACACCAAATGGTAAAAATGTTAGTAGTAATGAAAATATTCCTACTGTTCCACCATTGAATACTACTATCAAACCAGTTTCCACAAATATTACAACTCCTAAAATTACTCCAAATGAGCCTACCAATTTCCTCACAGAAATTCAAAACAAGCAACTCAATCCAATTGCTCAAAATTCTCCATCCACCCCAATGTTTGATCCTAATGAACTCAAGAAATCCATAGAACAATCTCAACAAAAGAGAGCAGCTGTATTGCCATTCAAAGTACTTGTCACAGAAACTGTTGTCAAGAACATGTCAGGTCTCACTGAGGAGGAGTACAACTTTATGGGTCAAATTGAACTAATTCTATTCAATCATGAAAGTTATCGTTCTTCGGATTCGTACAAGTTTATTCTGTCTCTTATTAATGATCAATTTAACAATTCAGAAAACTTTACCAAAATTGCTAAAATTGTTTGTAATCCAAAAATTGCTAATGAATTGAGCAATAGTGGTGATGTAACAAGTCATGCTTTTGAATGTAATGTAACTGGTCAAGAAATTAACCCAAAGTCTCAAAATGCAGTCATTCTCAAATACAAACTAAAGGAGCATTTGAATCTAGTTCCATTCAAATTAAGGCCTCTCTACTTTATGGCAACCAAGGATGGACAAACAATGCTAAATATTTCAATCGATTATATTGTAAATCCTGCTACCCCCCTGGACAAGCTCTCTTTCCTTATTCGCATTTGTACATCAAGTGAACAAATTACGCTAAAATCTCAATCTAAACCTGAAGGTCGTTGGAATGCTACTAGACAAGAACTATTAGTGAATGTGGATCAACCAGGACCAAAAGGAAGTGTTATTGCTAAATTTTTACTCAATCGTGAAGTGAAAGATATTGCTGAACTGCAAACAGAATTCTTATGTAAATTTAATGCAAAAGGTCTCCTTGCTGGATTTACTGTGGAAGGAGGTGAGAGCAAGAGAAGTGCCCACAATCAAGTATTTTTGGGTGGTTGTGAATATTCAATCACCACACCATCTTGGAGGTATAAACTTACCTCGGAGAACTTGAACCCACAATTTGCCAACAAGTAAATTCCTTGTTCAATATTTAACTTTGCTTTTATTTTTTTTCAACGAGAGGAATTATTGAGCTACCAAAATAAACTTATTTACTCCAACTAAAGTATTGAACCTCTTCAAAGGGATCTTGGGTTGTTAAGGTATCATCAAAAACTCCAGGAAGAGTCAAATTCCAAGCGTGTAACATCATCCTATGAACACCTTCTTCTCCATCTCTTCCCAATAGACTATAGGTAGCATCACCAAGTATTGGAAATCCTAGCAACTGGGTATGTAGTCTGAGTTGATGCCTCCTTCCTGTTTTTGGTCTTAGTAAAACTTTTGTAACTGGTATTGTATCATTATCTTTATGGTAAAACCCTCTGCATAAAACAGATCCAAATGTTAGACTTTCCCTACTCTTTTTCGCCTCTTGAATTTCTTCCTCAGTATTTAATTCAGATAGTAATGTCTTTTCCCTTCCAAGATAAAAATTCCTCATTCTAAATTTTCTTTCATCTGATGGATCTTCCCCAATGAATGTCAAAATTTCAAAATCATTAATTAATACATGTCCTCTCAAAACAGCAAGATATTGTTTTTGAGCTGTTCTCTGTTGAAAAGGGTAGGTAATCTTGGCACAACTCTCTCTTGTAAATGCCAAACATAATATTCCAGAAGTGGCGTAATCAAGTTGGTGACAAAATTTTAATTTTCTTCTTGATGGGGTGTGCCCGGGTTTATGTTGAATTTCTTCTAGTGGATTTTCCATTTCCGGATAGTAGTTATTAATTAATTTTTCCACAGTTAATTCATAATCTCCATCGATATGTAAATCGTTTGGTTTATCAATAACAAGTACATCTCTACTTTTAAAAATAATTGGAATGTTTGGCAGGGACTGGTTCATAAATGAAGTCATCATTTTTTTGAGTTTAAAAATCAGTTGGCTGCTGTTTGGAAAATGTGGAATTTATCTTAGAGATTTAACATCTCATTAATTTTATTTAACTAGTTGAGGAATGACAAAAGACTGGCACCAATAGTTTCATTTTTAAGGAATGGTGATTGATTACTTTGCATGTTAGGCGTACTGGCAGAATTTCTTTGGGTGGTTGGTTTGAGGAGAGAAGAGAAATTATTTGGGGAAAAGTGATTATTGTTTGTAGTGACTGTGAGTATTTTCTGGGCTGTATGAGGCGGTAACACAGGATAAAAAGTCATGAATTCTGAACATTTACAATCACAACCAGCAGGACAAGTAGAATGATTTTGGAACCAATTTTGCAAGTGCTCCACATGCCCACCATGGTTACAGTTAGGGCAATACGAAACAACACCTCTTACTGGAGACCTACAGAGGGAACAATGAATATACTTCTTTGGTAACTGTTGTTGATGTTGTTGCAAAGATAAATTTCGTCTATACTGCTCGTTAAGTATTGGAACACTTTCAATATCTATTGAGCATTCAGAAGTTCCGTTCATAAATCTTTGAGTTGTTTGAGTCGAGACATTATACTTCATTATTTCACATCTTTGAAGATGTAAACCCCAACTTTGAAGTAGTTTTGCATAGCATTGTCTTACATGAGACATAATAGGTCTCATTTCCTTTTCGATTAGATCGCAACTCTCATATACTTCTAGTTTTCTATTCAAAGAGACATCTTGATTAATTGGAATAAATTCGTGTGGTTTGTGTTTTGGATTAAATTCCAGTGCTAGGTCATCACTCTCTGTATTTCGTAAATTGAAATTAGAAATCTCCAATGAAATATCCTTCAATGCTTGTTGTAACACACAAGATATTACTGCACAGGTTTGAATATCGTGTTTGCTCAGAAAATGTGTTAATATTTTCTTGACAAATCTTCTTCCCAATGCATGGTGAGTCCACACTGGTGATGGCTTGGCCACATTGTTCTTTGTTTCATAATAGAGGCGTGGTTCAATTATCTGAGAAAGTATAACCCACATTTTGGAGAGATCTTTTCTTCCCTCCATCAGACAGATTTTAGAATTTTCCCTACAAACCTCCACAGCATTAATTCCTACAACCCTGTATTGTTGTGCAAGGGAATACGAAACAGGTAATAAGTACTTGCTATCATAGATGTGTATTCTTGGGTCAGTTCTTGTATCATTGAATGAAATAAAACGTTGCTTTTGTTCGTTGGCAATATAGTGTTGGTCTTCTCCATGCTCGTAAATTTCACCAATATAACCGTTATGATTTCCATAATATTGATTAACATCTTCTCCATACTCATCTTCATATTCTGAATAGTATGTATCATCCTCTGAAGACTCATCATGATATTCATTATAAACAGATGAAAAGTAGTTATTATCTTGCTCCTTATTTGATAACTCATCAATTTCTTTCATATTATTTGGTGTCAATTCATCAGTAATGTCAGTAACATATTGTTTTGAGCTAGTATCGAGAGAATTTGTTTGAGTCTCAGCAGACATGTTAGAACTAACTTTAGAAGCTTCTTTCTTTTCCTTTTTCTGCTTCTTTTTTCTCTTGTCATTGTGATCTTCATTAAAATCTTTGTTTCTATTTCGTATAGTCATTTCAAATGGTGTCTTTAAATCGTTGACCATATCAACATAGTACCTATATCCAAAATCAGAGTCATTCTTTTTCTTTTCACTTTTTTGTTTTGATTCTATTGACTCTTTAGGCTTTTTCATTGATCGTAAGCTAAATGAGTTGAAATAAATTAAATCTCCAGAAGGAGAGAATCTTGCACCACTGATTGGATGAGCAATAAAAGATCCTTCGTCAACAGTTGTTTTTTTTAACACTTGAGCAACATTGTCATTGACTGAATCAACATTATTTTTTGTATCCTGAGATTGAGGCTGGTCTTCAACCGTATTGCTGGAAGACATTGTAGCTAAATTTATACTACTTAAAACCTTTGGCATTCCAACGCTTGTTGGAGAGTTAAAAGTACTGGATTGACCTCCGATTATTGCAACACCATCTTGTTCGTTTTCCTTCCTTTCACGCCATCTTGTTTTACCAAGAATAGAAATGATAGCTCTCAAACAGCTCAACATGCAATTTCTGTGTTTGAGTACATCTTCATGAGCTGCAGATGTGAGGGCTTGTTTGATAATTTTTAAATCATTCACTGATATGAATGATCTCGACTGAATAAATTCAAATGATGGAGGAGCACCAACTGGATATAATTTTGGGAAAGTAATCTTCAATTTGAGCTCATTAATAGTTGGAGGAGTATTTGGAACTGAGACAGATTTGATGATAAGTATTATATTCAATATACAAGATCTTGCCTGTTCACGCTTATCTATTTTTTCAATATTGAGTTTTAACTCGCATTCATTATTTTCTGGTTTTTCAGTTGCTCCAGTCTTAACTCGTGTACAAAACTTTAGATTATTAAGTATGGATTCTAATTTTTCAACCTCGCTATCAAAGGACAAGCTGACTACTGGACTTCCCATTCCACCATTATTAGAACTAGGTTGATCACCAAGACCTGCAAATAATGCAGATGGATCTGTCTCAAAAATATGATCCGGAATGCTAGTAATACTCCATTCATTTCCTAATAAATGATTACTCATCATTCCTATTGGAGATCTTGATAGTAAAAATCCCTTATCCAAGCTACCAGAAAGATTTTCCTTACTATTTGAAGGAGATGTCATCATCTCTGTTGATTTTAAATCATCTATTAATTGAGGAGAGAAGTTCCAAAATCTTATACTCATATCTTTGGACCAGGTTAGAAGTTGATTTCCTATATTATCTGTTACCCTAAAATCAAGACACCTAATTTCGTCGGTATGCCCTGAAAATAGACTAATATTTTCTATTGGCTCAATGCCTGTGGTTGGATTTGATGGACTTCCCATTGGTCTGTTTGATGCTTTCTGTGAAGGATAGTTCAATTTCCAAACTCTTACTTGATGTTCCTTCTTTGATATTGAAACCAAACCCTTTCCAAATGGTGTATATCTAATTTTTGATACTGGGAAAGCCACTCGTTGTGTCATTATTAATTTTTGTTCGGTATAGTCCCATATCTTTACTAATTTATCCATTGATCCTGCTGTCACAATTTCATGTGCATTTGTTGGACTCCAATCCATAGAAGAAATGAGAGGATGGTGAGCAGAAATAAATGTAGTAAACTTGTTGGATGGTGTTGAAGAGGAAGAACAATTTCTAATATCCCAAATTCTTAAATCTACATTATGTGCAGAGGCGATTATATTGGAATCTATTGGATTCCAACAAACAATACTTGGAAAATCTGTATAGGAAATAAAACTTGCCACTTTACATTGGTTTCTTTCAAATTAAATCATTTGTAAATATGAGATTGGAAAAACTTACGAAGGTAATCTGGTATCCCAAATATTAACGAATCCATCACCACTACAAGTTGCAATTTTACTGTTCGTTAAATCATGTGGAGACCAAGAGATTGAATTGATGCTTCTTTGATGAGCTTGGAAAGATCTATCCCTATCCGTATCATTGGATGTGAATGATGTTATAGACCCAATAGTTGAAGTATTAGATGATGTACGGCCTCTGACACCAGAACTTCCTCCAGCAATTGATGATATCGAAGAATTAGGAATGGTACTAGATGTTACTCCCTTTGATAAATCTAAAATTTGAAGACTATCAGATGTTGTATAGGCCAATATTGGTTTTGCAATGTCATGACTAAATTGAACACAAGAAACTTCATTCTTTTTACTTTTGTGTAATAAAAGGGATGGTTGGGAGGAGGTTGATGAAATGTTTGTTGCTGAAGAAATGTGTGAAGAAGTGCTATTTAATGATGATGAAAGAGTTGAAGAGGTATTTGTTGATGAACCTGTAGGTGTGATATTGTTTGGATTTGGCAATCTAAATACTATTAGACCATTCCGACTAGAAAATAATTTTTACTAACAATAATAATTGATCAACCTACCTCCCCAATGCCATCAGTTCTCCACTCGTGTCTACAGACAAGTCGTTAACACTTTGTACTTGTCTTAGTGTAAATTTGTTACTTTCCTCATTCCGAATGGAAGAGGTATTTACTCTTTGTTGGTTTGAAGAAAATATTGCTGATAACATTTTAAAGTGATGTTTTGATCAACATTAAATTTTACTGATGTTATTTGGTGGATATTTTTTGTGGTAAGTCCTTGAAAGATACTGCACTATGTGCTTTAAAACCACTGAAACATCAATAGTTTTAATAACGTTAATTTTGTACTAATATACTGTCATTTAGGAATGTTATCAAATTCTTAACTACCCGCCAAAAGTTGTAATAATAGATCCATCATTCTACAGAAAACAAAGTTGGCGCTCAAAGTAGTGAGAACAACAACTTTATTAAAAAAATGAGCAACAAGGTAATTAAGGTCATTCTTCTTGGGGATTCTGCAGTTGGAAAATCAAAGTTAGTTGAAAGATTCATGATTGATGGATTTCGAGAGCAACAACAATCTACGTTTGCAGTAAACATCTTCCCATACAAAGCCAAAATTGATGGTGAAGACTGCGATGTTGAATTCTGGGTAAGTGTTCCGATTTGATCATTTATGATAGAAAATCATTAAAGGATACAGCTGGTCAGGAGAGGTTTAATAATGTGCATCCATCTTACTATGACAGAGCCCATGCTTGTATTTTCGTTTTTGATGATAGACAAATTACATACAAGAATTTAGAAAAGTGGTACAACGAATTGCAAACTTATCGAAAGGGTATTCCTTCGATAGTGATCTGTAACAAGATAGATTGTAGGTTTTCTGATTTGAATTAATAATGAATAACAACTAATTTTCTTGGAATAGTAAACATGGAGGCAACAAAAACCACTTTCAATTTTGCCTCAAAGAGAGAACTTCCATTATATTATGCCTCTGCTGCTGATGGAACCAATGTAGTTAAGGCTTTTACAGATGCCCTCAAACTAGCAAAGAAATGTAGAGACAACCCAGAAAAGGAATTTGTGGATGATGTTCTAGAATTACTAAATTAAATATTTTTACATTTCTGTTCAACATTTTTTAAATATTTTACAACTTTAATAAATTTAGAATAATAGCAATTATTAAAAAATGAGTTTGTTGACACAAGATTTGAGTAAAAAATCCGTTTTTAATCTGCATAGTTTGAACAAAATTGATGGTCAAATAGGTTATGGAGTAATAGAGTGTACCAGTGGAATTATTCAACATGTAGGTATTTAAAAGAATAATTAATGATAAATCAAACGATCGGAAAAGAATGAAGGAAAATTTAAAGATCAACCTGAATTATTGGAACACGTACATGGCATGTTGCAGGATATTAATGGACTGTTTACTTCATCCTCCAATGATGAATCAATTAAAAAATTAACTGTCCGTATTGAAAATGACTCTCAAAGTGGAAAAAATTTACTCTACCATATTTCCATATCTAAGAGCAATGTATTTGTTGTTCTAACAACATGCTAAATTCCTGTAAATAAAATTAAATTATAATACATTAAATAATTATTAAATTTAAATTAAAAATTATTAGCAAACAAAAAAAAATGAGACTATCAAAGAAACTTTTGAGCGTAGCAAGAATGCACGCCCAAGCTACATTACCAATCAACAGATGTTTCAATTCTTCTCGATACTATCAAATTGGTAGGTTTATAAAAAACTAAAAAAGCTAACATTCCGAAAGATATTGGAAAAGTATCTTCAACTTTCCAAATTCCTTCACTTTCTGCTCTTCAAAGTAAAACATTGGAGGTTGTATCAAAGGATAATAGTAAGGATGTCTTCATTGAAGCACCAATTTTTTCTGGTAAGACTTTGGCCTATCTTGTTCCAACCTTTGAATTAGTTTCTCAAGCAATCAAATCAGAGAGATGGGCAGAAAGACCAGGCTTCCGTGCCCTCATTGTTGTTCCAACTCGTGAAGCAGCTATTGCTGTTGGTTTCCAAATTGACAAATATATTTCATCACTCCCTGTTGAAGAACGTCCTTTGGCTCCTGTAACTAAAGGAAATACAGACACTTACACATTCAAGTCAACAAAGAAGGAAGGACACGAAATTATTGAAGACCACCAAGGATATTCCGCTTATGAAAAGTCTATTACTCGTAGAGAAAATGTTTATGGACTTTCATATGCTGTTATTTGCGGAGGAAAGAGTATGGAACAAGAAATTACTATGCTTGATGCAAGCGAGCCAGAAATTATTGTTGCAACACCAGGCAGACTTTTGGACCACATGAAGAATTCTGATTACTTCCGTAATTGTAAGATTGTTGTTGTTGATGATTGTCAACTCTTCAAGGGTGATGTCGAAGGAGTTATGGATAAGGTTTTTGAAAATATTCCACAAACAACCCAAAGAGTTTTTGTTGGAACCGCCGAACCTTTCAAGAAATATTTGAGAAATAGTGATAATGTAGAACTCATCTCATCTACTGAATCAGTTTCAAAGAGTGACGTTAAACAATCAATCATCAAGACACAAAATACTGCTGAATCTTTGAAAGTTTTACACCAAATTTTGTCTCAAAACAAGCACAAGAAGGTTGCTGTTTTTGGTGAAAACTCTCAAATTATTCACACACATTACTTGATGGCTGAAAATGGAATCTTTTCTCTCCTAATTGCTAGTAAGATTGCTCCTTCCAGATCATTGACAAGTTTTAGTAATTTTAATCAACAACAAAATGGTATTGCATTCTGTTCAAATATTGCCTGCCAAATGACTCCTGATGTGGATTTGGTCATTCATTTAGGAGCTCCAGAAACTCAAGAAAAGTACGAAAGTAGACTTTCTCGAACCTATTCTAAGAATCAATCTCAATCTATTGTCTTGGCCTCCCAAATTCCAGACTTTTTGAGCAATGTACAAATTGTTCAAACACCATCTGCATCTTCTGATTTTATTGCTAAACAACTCAGAGTTCCTTCAATCCAAAAAGTTAACGGTGAGAATTTGTTGATCTCTTTAATTTTGAGAAGACAAACTACTACACCAGAAGAAAAGAAACAAGCTGTAGAGCAAGCTATTAAGGATTTGAAAGATTTTGGTTTTGTGGAATTACCTAAATTGCCAAAACAACAAGCTATCAAACTTGGTTTTGAAAAAGAATTGCTTGACGCAGGATTGCTGGAATAAATGACCATTTATTTTTTCTGCACACCTCCATTGTTGTGTCTAACCAAGTATTTGAATAATTTGATTTTTTCTGAATAATTAAGGCAGTTTATATTAAAAAAGGAATGTTAAAATATAATGTTACAACTGTTTTTATTAAAATAATTTAGATGATACCTTTGTACTTCATGTCAGATCCCTTAATATGATCAACCAACCATTGCCTTATGAATTGCTTTCAGCATCACCAACTGAGGTCAAACCTAAAGCATCTTTAACGAATTTGTCGTGAATTTCCATGTGAGCAGCTGATTCAGACCATGCTTTGCGAACAAATCTTCTTCAGTCTTGAAGTGCATAACAACATAGTCCAACAAGTGGTACACACAAGTTCTGTTGGCATCCAAAGCATTGATCAATTCAAAGAGCTTCTCAATGAAGTTTCATGAACTAGAGTTTATTGTTTTGTCTTGAGAATGTATCTCTAATATCAAGCTCTAGCATTAAATTTGAAAATGAGGGTAATACAAGATCGTTTGATTGGGGTTCACTAATTTTTTGTTCGCTTCGTAAATAGTTTCCTGCACTGGATACACTTGAGATTTGAGAATTAAAACTAGATCCAATAGAATCTGAAATGGATGATGTATTAGAAATTGGTGTTGCACCGAAAGAGGAGACACTCGATTGAGAACCAATTGAAGCCAAAGATATTTTCAAAAGAGATGATGGTGAACTGTTGGAGGATACTGATGAAACTACACTACTTGGGGTAGCCGAACTGAGAGTATTATTCATTTGTCTAACCTTATCAATTTTCTTTGGTCTACCTCTCTTCTTTTCTGGAAGGTCAACACATTTCTTTCCCAATCTTACACATCTCAAACAGGGCCTTTCCTTAGAGCATCTCTTGTGAACTCTTCTACATTCAGAGCATGATCTTTTCCCTTCACTAGTTGAGGGTTGATCATAATCATCACCAGCTTCTTTTGAACTTGAAGGATAATAGTTAAAGTCCATGGTTTCAGCACTCTCATCCTTTTCAACCATTCCACTTTGGGAATCAAGTGCCATCTTTAACTTTGATGCACTTATTTCAGGAGCATTGGGTTTTGCAAATATTTCTGTATTCTTAATTGTAGATGGAAGTGGCTTAAAAGATTTATCCTCTAAACTCTTTTCGTCTAATCTCATTCTTTGGAAGGTGGTTGAAAACGATGGTTGGTGAGGAGACTCGAATTCTTCTGTTGACAGAGGAGTTAGTGGGGAAATTGTGTCCTGAGAACTATTTTCCCTGCAAATTGTATAGACTGAGAGCCTGTTTGGCTGATTCAAAGGTGTATTGCTTGGTTGGTTGGTAACATATAGAGGTTGGTGCAGAGTGGTAACAAACTGCTTATCTTCTTCGACTTTGTAGGAATGAATTTGGTGAGGAGAATTGAGAACGGGTGAGAAGGTTGTTTGTTGAGTGATTGGTGTTTTAAGAGAAGTAAGAACTGGAACATATTTTACATCTTCTCTTTGGAAGTGGAGAGATCCTCTTGTTTGAGGATGATAGATTGTTCTTGGATCATTGGTTGGAATTATTCTATTGTGGTGAACAGGGTGATTGGAAGGTGTATTGGAGTGGACCACCTGTATAGTTTGGGTTGGGACAGAGTGATGAAAATGATGAGCCTGAGCTGGCACCTGAGATACAGTAGTGGTTGGTTGCGAGTATGCCACGTGGGTTTGATGAAGTACAGTTGCTCCTTGTGGCAAGTTGGTGTAATAAGGCTGGTTCTGCTGAAGAGTAACATGTCCGTTTTCCAATGAATAAGCATTACTTGCTGAAGAAACAATGATTGGTTGTGGAGAGACTTGTACTCGTTGAGGGTGAATAGAATTTTGAGGTGTTGTGGTGCCATTTTCAATGAACCTAGTCGTGCCATTAATGGATGCGCTCAACAAGGATGAATTACTTTGCGTTCTAGTAGTTGGGTGGGCAATGAGAGATTGGCCACTTTGAATAGGTGTTGCTGAAGAGTAGATAGGAGAGCTAATATTGGATTGACTTTGAGGTTGGATTAATTGTTGATGTGTAATTATTTGAGGTTGGTAATGGTGATGTGCAGGAATAACATGAATATTAGTTGGTGTGTGACTGATAACCTGTCCAGAATTTGGTAATTGATGAGAAGGAATAATACCTGTTGATGATGATTGTGTTGAATAAACAGTACCCGGTTGTTGAAAACCACTGTTTGATGTTGCCATTCTTGTGTGAGCATTTTGAGAATAATAATATTGAGAAGACATTTTTCATCACCAAGTACTTGTGCTCCACAAGATAATGACTGTAAGCGTATTAAGGGTGATTTTTTGAACGAACAATGTATTATGAGGCAAATACGTTGCGTCTTTTTTTCGCAGAATAAAGTACAGTATTACGCTGTAATAGGTTGTTCTTTTACAGCTCTAACTATTTTTCTCCCTTTCTCCTTTGAAAATTTTCAACTCCACAACTTTCCATAACCTAAAGCTTATAACATGTTTTAGTGAGGTATCGAGCACACAGTAGTAGGTATCTTGATCTGTGTCAAAATTTTACAAGCTGTCATAACAGGAAATAGTTATTTGATACAAATTGAAAGAGAATGATAATGGAATTTTAAAATTTTAAAAAAAATGCAAAAATCTGTTGGTGTAGGAAGAAAAGTGTTGGTAACTTCCGGTTTAACAAGACTACTCCAACAACCAAAACATGCCAACTATTCAACCAATAGCAAAAGTTGTAATAGTAGATGGTTTGATCCTAAAGACTCACAACATATAACAACCCCGGTTGCTCTTTATAACACTCTCTCCAAGAGTAAAGTATCATTAAAAATTGCTAAGCGATTATCGGATGTGCCAGTTATAAATTGGTATTCTTGTGGACCAACAGTTTATGATGATACACATTTGGGTCATGCTCGTAATTATGTTTGTCTTGACATTATTTATAGAATTTTAGCCCATTATTTTAACTATCCTGTATTACATGTTATGGGAATTACAGATGTTGATGATAAAATACTTAAAAGAGCAGCTGAGCTTGGAAAACAACCTTCGGAAATTTCTCGTAAATATGAATTTGATTTTATTGAGGATATGAAAAAATTGAATGTAATTCAACCTTATGTGTACACAAGAGTAACAGAACACATTGAAGAAATTAAACAGTTTGTTGAAGAAATGGAAAAAAATGGTTTTACCTATACTACTGCAAATGGTGGTGTTTATTTCGATTCTAAGAAGTTTGAACAAAATGATCATTACTATGGAAAACTTTCTCCAAATAATGCACAAGAATCAATTCAACAGGAACACATTGAACATAGGGAGGAGAAAAAGGATCCTAGAGATTTTGCACTTTGGAAATTCACATCTAGGGATTATTTGGGTTGGGAAAGCAAATGGGGATATGGTAGACCAGGATGGCATATTGAGTGTAGTGCCATGATTGACCATATTTTTAATAATAAGAGTGGTGCTGCAACTATTGATATTCACTCTGGTGGAATTGATTTGGCTTTTCCACATCATAACAATGAAATAGCCCAGAGTGAAGCAAAGAATCATGCTCATTTTTGTTGCAGTAGAGAAACAAATTGGTGTAATTATTTTATTCATGTTGGACACTTACACATTAAGGGACTCAAAATGTCAAAATCTTTAAAAAATTTTATTACTATTAAGGACTTTTTGAAAAGGTATAGCCCAGACCAATTTAGAATATTCTGTTTGCTACATCAATATAATCAAACTTTGGATTATAATGAAGATGCCATTGGAGAAGCAATTAAGGTTGAAAAGAGAATACTTGATTTTTTACATAATGTTTCATTTTATAAGCAAGAATGTGAGGAAAGTAATACTATTATAAGAAAATGGAATACCGAGATTATCAATTATATGGAGAAACTAGCTATTTTAAAGCAAGAAATACACAATGCTATTTGTGATGATTTTAATACTCCTACAATAATGTCAAAAATATGTGAAATAATTAACATTACTAATGCCCTTTTTTTCACAAATAACAATATTCAAAAAGATTTCAAAGCTGCTGAACTTCTCGAAAACACCTCTTCATACATTATTAATTTATTAAATATGTTGGGATTACAGATATCAACCATCAAAACAATCCCTTCTAAAATTGAATCAGAAGAACAGGTGGCTAACCATCCATTCACTTCTAGAATCATTGATACGCTAATGGAGTTTAGAGCTACAATAAGAAAAGAGGCTCTGCTCTCAGATCCAAAACAGACAAAAATCTTACAACTCATTGACGATTTGAGGGATCACAAGTTGAGAGAATTGGGTATAAGGATAGACGACAGAAGTGGAGAGAAAAGTGTTTGGAGGTTTGATGTCAGTAATCAAGATATTGGCTCAAATGTTGCCGACCATCACACCCTCAAATTAGCTCAGAGACAACAAGAGGTTGAACTAAAACTCTCCATTTCAGTTTCTGACTATTTCAAGAAAATACCCCAACACAAAGACAAGCATTATTCTCAATATGACCAAAACGGTATTCCCACACATGATGCTGAAGGACAACCACTCTCCAAGTCTGCTCTCAAAAAGTTACATAAGGAAGTAGAAAAACATGCAGAATTTTTAGCCAAACACAAAAATTAATCTCTTTCTGTAATGCCATTCCTAATAAATTTGCTAACAACGGCAGCAGAAGGATTGAAATTTTCCTGGTCTTGTTTCATATTTACAAGTAAATCACGAAGCTTTGAGGTAACACTCTTTTGCTCAAGCAATTTTTCCAAATCTTGTTCTAGTTTGATATTGGTTCGTTTAAGCTTGTCGTTTTCTTTTTTAAAATGTTTCAAGTCCTTTTCAATAACTTTGAATTCCTTTCTCATCAACTCTACTTCTCTGTCTTTGTCTTCAAGAGAAGTGACGAGATAGTTGTATGGTTTTGATGAGGTTTCAAATTGTTTTTTCATTTTGTTCAATCTTTCAGTGAGCATTGAAATAGTTGATTGGTCTTTCTTCTCTTTCTCTCTTTTTTCTGTTAATTGTTTCTCCAAGTCAGAAACTTTTCTGGCCAGGTAAAGACTGTACTTTACTCTTCTTCCCATATTTGTTGGTACTAGCGCAGTTAACTCACTAAGTATTCTTTCATGACCATCTTTTTCTTGATAATCTGGAGAGTATGTTTCAATAACTTTGTCCAAATCTCTTTCAAGGTCTCTGTATTGGTTCAATTCCTTAGTTACAGCACTGAGAGTTGTTTCCAGCTCTGTTATTTTTTTTCCAGTTGAATTCTGCAAAGAATAATATTCTGTTTTGAGAACATCTAATTTTTTCTTCATAATCTCACTTTCAATCTTTGATTGCTTCAGATTTTCTGCATGTTCCATAAGAGACACTTGCAATCTTTCATTATCAAAAATTTTAAGGTTTGCTTGTGTCCTAATCTCACTGATTTGCTTTTCCAGGGTACTTTGGAGGGTTCTAAACTCCATCATAACATTAGTATTAGTTTCCTTTAGGTCTTCCACTTGTCTCTTTAACTTTTCTACTTGAGCTTCGGCCCCATCTTTTGATTCTTTTAACATTCTATTCTCTCTTTCATAATTTTCTTGTGAGTTTTGCTTGATAATATCCAAATCTTTTTGAGTTTTTTCCTTTAGCTTTTGAATTTCTTCTTGAAGACTTCTTTCATATTCAGTTTTAGACTCCTCTCTTGTTGATAATAGTTTATCATAAAGTGTCTTTTTTTCTTTTCTCATTTCTTTCAACTTATTTTCTAATCTCAAAATGTCATCCTCATTCTTACTCGATTTGTTTGAGTTATTTTCAATTTCTTTTGTTAGATACATTTTATCATTCTTAAGTAGTTCAACTTGTTGTTTAAGGTTTGTAAGCTCCAAATTAAGTGTTTCTTTTTCCTCTCTTGCAATATCAAGGGATCTCTTTACCAATTCTAATTCTGATTGACATTTTCTGGCTTCTTCTTCATAGTTTGAGGCTTTTAGCTTTACTGCATCAAACATTTCACTTTTGGTTTTAATTTCTTCCACCATTACAGTTTTTCCATTTAGTTCATCCAATAACTTTTGGCATTTTGTTTCAAGCATATCTATTTGAATCAAATAATCTCTTTTCATATCGTCATTCAATCTTTTTTGGTGATCAGAATCTCGCACGATTTTCTCGTACTTTTCATTAATTAATCTAAGATTATCATGAAGTATCTCATTCTCTTCTTGATATTTCGAAATACTTTCTCTTGTTTCTCTCCTGACTTGATCTATAATCTTTGTATTTGCATCTGTAACCTCATTACTTTTTTGATTTAACAAAACCTGATATTGATTTTGGAGTTGAACAAGTTTTTTTTCATTTCTACAAGGGTTATTAATCAAAGTTGTTCTGCTACTTACTGTTCGAGTTGAGTTTTAAATTTGAGAATTTCCATTTCTAAAAAATGTTTTTCGTTTTCCTTCTCCTGCTCTAATTGGGCTAATTGCATTTGAGCTTCTCTCCTTATTCTCTCACATTCTAATTTTTTCTTTTGTAATTCTAATTTAAGAGATGACACATTGGATTGAACCTCTCTTGTGTGGTAAGAGTTGATGGATGTGATATCAGTACTAATTGATATTTCCTCTTCTGATAAAAGAGGTGATGACAATAAACTAGTATCTACAGTTTTCGCTCTCTTTTTCTTTGGACTTGGTGTTGAAAGTAAATTTGATGAAATTGGACTACTAATTGTTGAAATTTCACTCGCTAGTTTATCTAATTCATCATCATCAAAACAAGTATTAAGGTTTGCTTTTTTCATCATTTTTCCTAAAAGTCTCTTCCCTTGATCTTTGGGAGAGGAAGTACTATCCGAAGAACATCCGGTAATTGGTGATGAAAAATAAGAAGGGACATTAAAGTAATTTGTATCGGTTTTTGAATAGTTATTCTTGATTGGGGTCCGAAGAATATCTTCTCCAAACAACCCACCTTCAAATTCTGACATTTTTTTTTGTTTGCAAAAAGTACAAAATTTGGCGGGAGAATACATAGTTGAGTTTTATTTGGTATTTAAACTTAACCATACAACTTTGCCTGAATTGGTACCAATAGCAAGATAACCAGTTGATTCCTTTGGCTGTGTTGGATCTTTTAGATCTGGACAATAAGATATACAGGTAGCATAGTCATTCGAAAGGGTGGTCAAGGTACTTCTTGGTAACAAGTTTGGAGTGGTAACAACCTGTATTTCACCATTCGTCTTACCATAAAATATATATGATCCATCATGGCTGAAACAAATGCATGTTAAATCTGGAATATCTTTGGAGTGTTGTTTCGAAAACTGAACTACTCCAGCATTTGGTTTTTTTCCACATGTAATTATTTGAATGGAATTACCACATCTAAGAACTAGCTCTGTCTTCTTGTCAGGATTAATGTGCAGTTCTGGAATTTCATTTCCTTGACAAATGTTTGAGTCATACTTCACCACTGTATTTGGTAGAACCTCCCCTTTGGCATTAATATCAACCCTATAAATGCACCCATTTCTTGCAAGAGCATACTTAAGATTAAGATCACCCTCAGAACAATCTAGTAATCTAATGATTGGACTATCTCCAAGTTTAATCAAAGAAGTGAATTCGTGTTCGTACTTCATATATGCCAATCTACCATCAAATGTTCCAACAAGAGGCTTGCTTGTATCTTTTTCTACTAAAATTGATGTCATGTTAACATCAACCATTTGTGCATCCCATAAAAAGTACTTGTCTGTTTCCAATTTAAATAATAAAAATTTGTCATCCTTCACTGCTTCCATAAACACTGTATTGACACCAAATGTGTAGGCTGGAAGTAAATCATTCTTGGTTTGTAAAAAGTTAGCATATTTTGCATCCAGTAGATAATTTGGAACATCCTGTAATTTTTCATTTGCTGTCTTGAAGGTCTTTGCAGACAAGTTATTTCCTTGCTTTGATAAGAACATTAACCTAGAATTTGATTTTGGTGGTTTTTGAGGAGGTGCATAAATAATAGTATGCACAGGTGCTTTGAACACCTCAGCAGTATCCAAAATGGAGATAGAGTATTTGTGCTTTTGTTGATTTAAGGAAGGAGTTGACGGTTCTGGAATATTAGCAACAATATTTCCTGGATTTTCGGTGGCATATTCATAATAAGATCTCTTCTTTTTAGTAGAAGATCTATCAGTACGAGAATAGTCACTCCAAATACTGGAAGGTTGATTGTCAACTACCATTTGATATGTATTGCCTGTTTGTGTGAAAGAGGGAGGCTCTGCGTTGAATACATTACTCATATTTAAGATTAATGAAGTAGGATCTAGTTTCTCATATTTTGTTGGAATGTCTTGGTTTTCTGCTCCGTAATGATCTTCAATATTTTCCAAATCTTTTGTGACAACCTCTGCACATTTACTGATTACCATTTCTCTTGAGATCACATTCGAAAGTTTTTCGAATTTTAACAAATCTCCATACTTGAGTTTAGCTTCCTGATCATAAAGACCCATATTTTCCATGTCAGTAATCAACTTCATAGCTCTGGCAGTCTCTCCTTTTAACATTAAACACGGAAAGTATGCATAGAGAATTCTACGCATAACAGTGTTAAATTCAGCATCTCGTATAAATTTTTTGCATTGGTTAAGGTAATTAATAGCCTTTTCAAAATCACCACCTTGGATAAATCGGATCAATCTTCTCTTATTGAACAAGTTTAACGCTACTTCCAGACTAACTGAATTATTATTTTCAATGGTTAAAACAACATACCTTTCAATTACGTTATGAAAGCCTCTTTCGTGGAGATAGTGGAACATGAATGTGTCTATTTGATCGATAACTTCAGGGTTCGGATTTTGCACCAATCTCTTTCTGATGTCTTCTCTTATCAGCCTGCGTGATGGACGATTGTCTGTGCTCATTTTTTTTGTTTTTAATTTTTAAATTATTTTTGAAAATTTATTTTATTTTAAAACGAACAAATAAATTTGTGAATCAAAAGAGTTTGTTTATTCAACAAATATGATGTCAGAAAAGACTAAAAATCAAGGGAGGACTTAAAACTCTTGGAAAGTGACTGTACGTGTTCCTTGAAAATCTTTACACTGTCACTAAACTTATTCTTGTCATTATTTGAGAGAAGATCATGTAAACGTGCTCCATGAGTATCTGGATAGAAATTATAGTGTTGATGCTTGATAGGAACACAAATATTACCTGTATCTGGGTGAACACAAAAAGGACTTTTTAACAAGTGATTAAAACCCTTTGATACGTTAACATCCAAACGAGGGTAAACAAATGAATAAACTATTTCCCATAAAAAGTGTTTGTTTTTCTTGTCACGTAATAACTTGTCTCTGATTTGAGAATAAATATCAGTACCACTCTTTCCAGATTCTAGTATTTCTTGTATCATTGTCTTTACCTCGCTGATATATATGAGATTCAATAAATAAGGTATTGATTGTTGCATGATCAATTCATCGTCAAAAATTCCCATATCATTAATAAATATCTCAATGAAATATTTTTCACAGGTGGTGAAAACAATAGAATCAATATCAAAGGAAGGATGAGCATTTCCAGTTAGATTGACTCTTCTTGATTGTTTTTCTCCTGCGATAGAGCTACTTTGATAAATGTGTATAAACCTAGAAATTGAAGATCTGCCTTCGTTATTCATTTTCTTAAGAAGTTCATCACTTGCCCAACAGTGAATACCTCTTCTACCACTGTAAACCCAAATCAAATGTTTAGTACCAAATACATCAACTAGCAAATGATCCAAAATTTCCATAGCACAATTCATCAATCTCCAACATTGTTTACAATACTTTCCTCCTGTGCAACCACAAAATCTAACGTCATCATAGTCGGAAATATCAATATCAATACAATATTCTTTTTCTACAGGTATCAAAACAGTTTGGTTTTGGTTTTTTTTGGCTACTGGCAGATTGTAGACAGGACCAATGTCCAGCTTTACAGGTACATTAGAATACTTTGTAACCTGCTCTTTTAAATCGGTGGCATTCTTTATGCTTTTATATCTTGAAAATATGGTATCCATTTGATTGGTTTTGGGATTCACAACTTTAAACGAGTAGGACATTTCTCTGTTCACTATTTGATTACCATCCGGATGGAGCCATTGTACAAGCAAATCAAAAGGAAAGTGTTTCTCTGTTTGGTCAATATTTAAATATTGTTGATAAATTAATTTCATCAAAACCTACCATAATACTGTTTGAGTTGATCGTTGGTAACTGAAGCCATTTTTTTTTTAATTTTTTAAATGTGATAAAGTTGGCGGGTGATGACTGGCGGGAGATGAAAGAATGATTTATTAAAGATTTTTAATGTACAACAAATTAGCTTCCGGCAATCTATGTATTGAACTAGAGCCTTGATCACTTGCTGGGTGTGATGAACATTTCCATCTTACTCTTATATTGTATTTTATTAATGATTACTTCATTAACTGTACTCTAATATTTTCTATATTTTTAAATATTATACTTGTAAAACATGTTAAAGTGTACAATCAACCTTCTTTAATTATTTAACCAAATAATATCTATGCATTCTAAAATTTACTTCTAATAATATTTCCTTGAATTATAAAAACAAGATTGACAATAATAAAATATTAAAACGTTTATTAATTAAAAATGCAACAAACACAAAACGCTCCAGAGGAAGGCGACAATTCGGAAGGTAGAACAATGACTGCCGACGAAAAGAAAAAACAAAGAGAAGCTAAAAAGATGGAAAAGAAACAAGCAAAGGAACAAAAAGGTGGATTGTCTAAAGAGGAAAGAAAGAAATTGTTTGAAACAAACGAAAATAATAAGAGACAAGAACGATTAAAAGCCAAAGAAGAAGCAGAAAATATCACCACTCCGACAATGCCATCAAATGTTACGAATAATAGTACCAACCCAACAACAAGTCAACAAACAAACGCTTCCGATCAAAGGTTGAGAGAAGAAAACGAGAGATTAAAGAAGGAATTGTTACAAAGAGACAAACTTTATCTAGATTTGAAGAAGAAATATCAGGAAAATAGAATTTCTTCTCACTTGCCAGAATATCAACCTCCAAAACAAACAGAAATCAACACTGGAAAACTTCATCCTCAAGTGATTCAACTCGGAATTCAATATGCAAGTGGTCAAATTACTGGATGCAATGCTAGAACTCTTGCTATGTTCACTGTTTTGAAACAGCTTGTTAATGATACTGAAATTCCTGAAGATAAGCAATTCAGTAGATGTTTGGATCCGCTTGTTTCTTCTGTAATTGACCACTTAAAACAATGTAGACCAATGAGCGTGGGAATGAAAAATGCTTTGAGAAGATTTAAATATTGTTTGCATCAAATTGACAAGGAATCTTACATTCGTACACATCAACAGAGAAAAGAAGCTCTTTCAGAATATGTTGATAGATATATTGAAGAACGTATTTCAGTTCCTGAAAAAGAAATTGTTAAGAAAGGAGTTAATGGTATTAAGGATGGTGATACAATTTTAACATATGCACTAAGTGAGGTTTTAGAAAAAATGATTATAGAGGCTGCTCAAAGCAAGAAAATATCTGTAATTGTTGTTGATAGCAGACCAAAGAATGAAGGTAAAGAGCTCGTAAAACGTTTGACAAGAGCTGGTGTGAAATGTTCGATTGTTCTCGTTAATGCTGTTACATATGTCATGAAGGATGTTTCAAAGGTGTTCTTGGGTGCAAATTCAATTTTGTCCAATGGTAATGTTTATTCACGTGTAGGTACAGCTGTTGTTGCCATGACTGCAAAGGCTTTTAATATTCCAGTGGTTGTTTGTTGTGAGACATACAAATTTAGTGCTCATTCTCAATTGGATTCCATTACAACTAACGAGTTGGGAGATCCATATGATTTAGTAGATTTAAGTACAACACCTCAAAGACACCACACTGTTAATTATTTGTCTAGTAATGAAATTGGACAATTGGAGGTTGAAGGAGTAACCAAGTTTGATGACAAGGAAACAGTGTATAACATGGAAAATTTTGAATCTATTCCTAACCTTCATATCGTAAATTTAACTTATGACCTTACTCCTTGTCATTATGTAGATATGGTTTTGTGTGAATTTGGTGCTATTCCACCAACATCTGTTTCAGTCATTTTGAGAGAGTACGTCGATTATCAATAAATTATTATTATTTTTATAAAATTCTCATTCTAGATTATATTACTTTCTTGTTTGGTGGTACCATTCTGGAATTAACCAAACCTTTGAGAACGAAAATCCTTTTCACCCACCAACCCAAATACCAAATTAGAGGCAAAAAGGCCACATATTGAATCCAAGCAAACTTTGCTTTTTCAAACCATTCCACCTCATACAAATAGCTCTGAATTGGAATTTTAATATTAATATTAATTTCCAAAGAATCTGTCGAAGTGTCTGGTCCTTTCTTGCAAAACGATGATTCTTGAGAAAATACTCCAGCAACTTATCAACTTAATGAATTGACTAGTTTCCAAAAACTTACTGTCTCTGTCATGTAATGTTTGAATAAAATTTGAAATAGATAATTCATCCATAGAATTAATTTGAGAAAAGTCAATAATAGGATCAGCATATGTTAAAACTTGATCAGTTCCATGAAAAGCATAATTTTGTCTCAATTTTAATGCTCCATTGATGAGTATTTGAGAACATCTTGTTGTGTCTGTCTTGATATGAGCTAGACCGGTGACATTTAAATTTTTGTATCTCTTTTGGGATTGTATTTCCAAAGAAAAAGAGAACTTACAGCCAGAAGTATTCCAAATTCCATCAAAATGTCAATACTAGAAAAAGAGTCAGAAGACAACCTAGGTATTTGAAATTGGTATTGAAAAGTTTCTACATCGTCTGGATAATAATCTCCATATCTTATGTGTAATTTAGTAAGATCCACTAAACGATCCGCCAAACTAATGTGAGTTGAAGTAAATACAGGAAATACGAAATTATTGTTAGGTATTAATGAATTAGCATTTTTGTTGCTAGTCCATAACTTGTAACCTGAGTTAAAACTTGATGGTGAAAGGAAGGTAATCACTCTCTGCGTAAAGGTGACTCTAGGTCTTTCAACAATATTGGAGTAATCAATCCACAATTCTGCACAAACTTATTCTGAAATCTGTTCCGAAATAAGTTACTTACTGTTTGTCAATAACGGAACAACATAGGGCATCACTAAAACAAAAATTGCATACAATATTATTAAAATAATAGAACCCTTCGATCCATAACTAGAGAACTTGGTTGTCACATACTCTTCGTGAATTACTGGCATTTTTTTGTATGTTGTTTGAGCGGGAAAGTCTAAAAATATTCATCGAAAAGAATGCCATTATCAAATAAGCGGGGATCAGGCACCCTTGATTACTATGTTTCGATGGCCACAAAAGGAGGAGAGGATGCAAAGCTTGAAAGTAGTAAAATTTTTCTTGAACTTTCGGAGGAGAGTAAGTATGAAATTAACATTTACTAATTTAAAATAGAGAAATTTGCACTTGTTGTTGATGCAGTAGATGCCCTCTTTCATCTAATTGAAACAAGTGAAAATGTGGAAATTATTAAAAATTCGTTGATGACAATGGTAAATCTTTGCAAAGAAAAGGCTCAGGTTGATTACTTGATTGCTGAAAAAAATTGTTTCAGACGTCTGGCATCTGCAGTATCTTTCCATAATGTTCCTTGTCAAATTCTTGCAACAAGATGCATTGGATTATTAGCAAAATATCCTACAAGTGGAATCAGATTTGTAAGTGATGGAGGGTTGTTACCTATATTATGTTCCCTTAAACCAGACCAAAATACGGAAATGTTAATAGAAATTTGTAAAACTCTAGCTACATGTAATATAAGAGGTGAGTTTTAAACAATTTAAAGGTTTTTAACAATATGTAGGAGAATGTGCAACAAGAATTGTGGAAGTTTGGGGATTGGAGTCTCTGGGAGAGCTAATTTCAAAATTTATCAGAGGAAAGGATTCAAAATCAGTAAAGATACTAACCCACCTTTCGTTGGTATTGTCTAACCTATCTCGTTTTAAAAGTATTGGGGCGAACATGTTTAAAAATGAAAAACTTCAATTAATTAATATTCTAACAAATATTTTGAGTGCATCTCATGTCACTATGGAAGCTAAGAGGGCCGCAGCAAAAACTTGCTACAATCTTGTAAATAATCAATATATTAATGACAGTATTGTTGTAGATGAAGTACTGATATCACTATTAATGAGAAAGCATTTTGAAACGGATTATCTGTTCAAACATACTGTTGTAAAGACTCTCGATTGTGCTGTGAAGGAATGTATTGAATTGAAGAAGGAGGAATTAATGATTAGGATTATAAAAAAGTATCAAAGTTTGAGCTTTACAGAATGGATAATCAACTCTATTGGATGTGATAACGTTCAAATTATAGTACTAAAAGTTTTTATTGCAAGTAAGTGGGCAGTACATGATAATGAAAATATGTTCAGTAATACCTTTCTCCACTCTCTATTAGTTTGTATGCGAGAAACTATTAGTACAACAGTAAGGAGGGTTTGTGATGAAGTTCTCTATCAGTTTTGCAATATGGAAAGGTTTAAAAAAGAGATTATTGAATATAGAGGTGTAGATATTCTAATTCCCCAATTGACCTTTAAGGAAATCAAATCAAAGCTTTGGGGAGTTAAGGCATTAGCTAGGATAATGACAAATAGAGATTATGCTTTGAGTTTCGTAAAAAATTATGGTATTGTTAAACCAGCTGTAAAATGTTTCATGATAACTCCAGCAAAATCACTAGAATATCAAGATATTTTTATGAGTACCCTACTAATAATATCTGCTATTTCTGAAACAACAGAATTTAGAGAACATTTTCTTCAATCTGGTGCTATCAACAAACTACTGGATATATTGGAAAGAGCCGATCGATCTGAGCATAGGACATTAATCTATTGCCTTAATATTATTATTGCGTATGTAAATAGTGGTAAGTTATTATTGGAAAATCATTAAAAATTTAACTTGAATGATAGCAAACTACGAAAGCTCTGGTAATGCAAACTTGAAAATTGTAAGTGAGAAGAGATTATGTAGGGTTATTGAAAATGTTACCTCAAACGATTTTTCATTATCTGGACGAGTGGTCTTGTTAATTCAAGCCTACTCACAGCATTGTATGTTTTGATTTTGATTTTTTGAATTAATTATTTAATTAGCCAATTCTCCAATATTCGATTTTTGGAATATACTCTACAACAAAGCTCTTGAGGTAATTAGATGCAATGAAGATTACAACAGCTATTTATATCAGAGAATAACTTGTTTTCAAATGCTTACATCTATTCTTTGTAAACCATATATTTTTTCAAATTTAAACCCAGAAATAATCATTAATCATTATCTCAATATTTTTTCAAAGAGTAATCCTTTGAGTTATTTGAAAGAAACATCAGCTAAAGGACTTCTCTACTTTTGTAAGCAAACACCGTCAGTATTTAGATCTATTCTTTTGGAATATGAGGAAGATTTAGTAGCTAGTCATAAGGAATTTTCATTTGGAAACAATACTTGTTTCTCCAATGTTGGGTCATTCAGAGAATTTTTAACTAGATATCTTATCTTTTTTAAAAAGGAAAAGGCAAAGAAAATAAGACGATATTTAATTTTGACTAGAATTCAGAGATTTCTATTGTTTCTTCTAGCATTTGTTAGAAGTAAGAATGAAAATGCACAATTTGTGGACACGCTAATTAGTCAAGCTAGTTCAAAATATTTGAAGATGGAAGGGGAAAAGAGAACTATAAATCCTTTGATGTATATACCTCTTGCCCACAAGCATCACTATGATATTGACACAGCTTTGATTGGACAAACCATACCATTCCAACCATCCAGCAATGATACACAAAAACGATTGAAAGAATTGGTTCTCCAAAAGTACTCTAATACTACCCCTTCAAATAGTCCCCTTAATAGAAGAAGATCAAATTCAGGATTCAGTTTTGGAACAAGAAGTTCTTCGATGTGCTCGACCCATAGTCCAGTTATTCTCATGGGTGACAAGTTTAGCTCAAATAATTGTATTACGGATGAATCAATATTCTCACTAGGCAGTACTGGAGAGTTTGGCTTAACGGTCCAAAGTAATATCAAAAAAACTCAAAAGAAAGATTCAAGTCATTCCCCTACACCTACTGTATCGCTATTAGAAATGTGGCAAGATGAATACGGAACTAAAGAGATTCTTCGGGAAACAAACTTTAAGAGTTTTAGAACTGGTTCAAGCTCTTCAACATTGCCACATATAAACTCGATGAGTACATCGACAACACCAATCCCTCACCAAACCAACAACAACAGATCACATGCTCAACGGCCAGCATCTGCTCTCTCATACAGCAAGCCAAGGAAAGAAGTGACCGATTTGAATCCAGAATTGGAACGAAGATATCTGAACAAGAGCAAAGAAATGGGAATCATTAAGCAGGGTACTACTTTCCCTTTCGAAAATCTTCTTTCTTCCAAATACAAGCAGATATTAAAATAGTTCCTATTAATAAAACTATGTACAAGGTTTGGCGGGAAATAAAAAAAGAAAAAAATGGACACTATAAAGATTGAGCCAAAGCTCATAGATATCAATTCTGAAACGTATTGGGGTATGATAGATAGGTTGTATGCTCAATGTGAGAGAGCTATGGTAAGTAAATTACATAATTATAAGATTCCGAATGGTTTTATCATTACAGGATAACGGTTATATTGAAGAAAACAAAGCTGGTAGTTTTGAAGACTTTTTTCCAAAGCTGCTGCAACTCCAAGTTCCTGTTCTTGAGGGAACATCAATTGATGACCTTATAAAATTATTCTACGTTACACAAATGTCATTGGAGTAGGTATTCAAAAATTATTGAGTGATAATTATGTAAAAGAATTTCGCAGGATAGGGAGAAATCTTCAGAAGGGGAAATAATGGAGTTGGAAAAACAAAGTAAGAAAATACAAAAAGAATTGGAAAATGAAGTGAGGAGTCATCAAGATACAAAATCGTTACAGGAACAACAAACAGTTACAATTTCTAACATGGAAAGAAGTGTTAGAGAAGCTAATGAAAAAATCAAACGACTACAAAGTGAAGTAAATGAACTCAATGTGCAAAATAAGGATTTGGATTTGAGACTTAAAACTGACATGGATCAAAATGTAAAAAGTAAAAAGGGAATTGAACGAGCTCAAGAAGAAAGACAAAATTTACTATATGAAATCAAAGCGTTAGATGAAAAATTAAGAAATGCAACAAAGGTTAACGAGAGAAAAACTAAAGATATGGAAGAAATGACAACAAAAATAACAAAGTAAGTGATTTTAGAAATGTGAATTGTTCAAACCAATCTAGTTTCGAGAGAGACCTCCAAGAAAGTAAGATTCTCACAAGAGAAATGAGTAGAACAAACAAGAAATTAGAGGAAGAATTGGACATTTTAAGATCAAACATTGTTGAGCTTGAAAAGGAGAAACAATCCATCACTTCAGCAGTACAGAAAAAAGTTAAAACTTTGGAAGAACACTCTTCAAATAGTACTAATGAAATCAAAGAGCTTCAGACATATATTTCCCAACTCGAAAGAGATTTGAATATTGAGAAGGAGAAATTTGAAAAAGTTCAACTGCTGTCATCAGATAATGAATCCAGGATTACAGAACTAGAAGAAAAGATCTATCAAAAGGAAGCAATTATTTACAAGTTAGAAAACGAAATTGAGGAGATTCATCATCAGCACCAAGTTCAGAGTCAAGGAAAAGTTGATTCGGATGGAAGAAGCGAGGGTGAAAACACCTCTATTAATCAGATCAACACATATCAGGAGCAAATACGAAAACTCAATTCACAATTAGAAGCTATCACCTCGACTCTGGACGAAACAGTTTCTGAAAGTGCAAGAAAATCTAAAACTGTTGAAGAGTTGACAAAGAGTGTGTCCGACAGAGAGAATGAGGTGGCCACAATCAAAGCAAAATTACGTGAATATGAAAAAGGTGTTTCAGGTCTAGATCAAGCCTTGAAAGAAATTAGATATTTACGAGAGCAAATATCTCTAAGAGATAAGGATATAGAGGAGTATAAAACTAAGCTTAACACTTATATTATGGGAATACAAGAATACGAAGAAGACAACAAGTATTTGAGGAACAAGCTGGGAATACCACTGAATGAAAATTTGAAAAAGTATGCTCTTAAAAACTTTGCTGAAATTCAAATACAGACAGATACTATACCTCCCGAAATTATTGAAAAAGAGGTTGTGAAAGAAGTTATTAAGGAAGTCCCAGTTGTAAAGTATGTTCAAAAGGATGCTCATAAACCAAAGGCAATTGATAAATCGGTACAGGTACAGATAGTACTACACCCAACAACCCCACCACCACCAATACAGAAAGTTGAAACCGTAACCAGCCAAAGAAATGTAGAAACAAATAATACCGAATCTCAAACTGAAAATAACTATAGAAACTCTCAGACGCAAACATTAATTGTAAATGATACCCAAAATGAAGATCTTATTGCAAATTTGAGAAGAAAGATTGCCTATCTGGAATCACTATTATCTGCTACTGCTAACACAAGAGAAAATTGTTGCCAGACTATTCAATACGAGGAAGAGCCTCGAATTAATCATGAAGCTCTCGAATTGAGGAAAATTATTTTGGAGAGAGAAGAATACTATAAAAATATTATCAAAAAATTGAATGAGGCCATCGAGAAACTTAAATCCAACAATGAATCCCTCATAGAAGATGCAACAAAAATACAGACATATTATCATGGAGAGCATTCAGTCTTGGAAAGTACAATAGATGTAGTGAAAAGAGAGTCAGAAAAACGAATGGCGGATATGAATGAGGAAATACAATTCCTCAATAATGAGATTTCAAGGTTGCAATCTGCGCTTAAAAGTGAAATTTTAGAAAAGAGAAGTTTACAAGATGAGAAAAAACAAACGGATGTTGTAATTTCACAACTTCAATCTTCAAATTCAGACAAGGATTCTCAACTTGGAAAGTTACAACATCGTTTGGAGAGTTATAGAGTTTCTTGCAAATCAATGGAAAGAAGTTTGGAAGAAAAAATAGACACCATCGAGGAATTAACACTAGCTAAACTCAAACTTGAAAATAAGATCAAGAGTTTGGAATCAAAATTAAAAGAAACTGAAGAAAAATTAGAAGCATTTACCGACCATACAAGATTACTTCTAGAAAAGGAAGCTATTATAGAGAATTTAATCCTAGATAAGGACCAGATTGTGCATGAACATGAGGTTGACCTTGAATCAATTAACAAGTTCTCTGAAAATATGAAAAAAACAATAGAAAATTTGAATGAAATGCTTGACCAAAAAGAGACCACCATACGGGAGTATGAGCAGAAAATAAATGAAATAAGAGAAGAACACATGAAAGACAAGTTTGAATCACAACAAGAATTGTCTAGACTCCAATCAAGACTTAATAATGACAACAGTGATCTCTTGCAAAACTTGAAGAAGAATATTAAGAAAATAGAAAATCAGGAAGAACCTGAAATTCCACCAGAGGCTGGGTAAGTTGTTTGCTTTCTTTTAAATTTCAATTATTAAGAGTTCGTATTGAGGAGGTGGAGGAAATGATTGCAGCAAAGACAAATGATATTAAAATATTAACAGGAAGAATTTCAAGATTAGAGAATCTACTCAAGGAAAAAGATGTAATGCTACATGAGGCTATGAAGACTGTAAGTACATAATTACTAATTAAGAACTTAACATTTTCCAGTTTGATGAGATGAAGTCAAGACTAGATCAAGAAATTGAGGAGCACAAACAAGCAGCAAATGAAATGCATATTCAGCTCATCTCAGAACGAGACGAGTGCCAAAAACTTAAGAGACAACTCTCTGAACATGCAATGAAAAAGCAGCTCACTCTCCAACAAAAAAAGATGGAAAAACTCAACCAACAAAAGGAAAATCTTGAACAAACTGTTAAAAACATTTCCAACAAGCTAGTCAAGGCAGAAGAAAAAATAATGGCTTTCGAACTCCACAAAACTAATGTGGATAAATTTGAAATAGAGAGACTCAAAAGAAAAGAGGAAAAACTCCAAGAAAAGCTCCAAGACCAACTCAAAACCAGCATCAACCAAAATACGCACTACCAAGTTGTAACCGAGAATCAAAAACTGAAAAGCAAGTTAGAAGAACTTTCAAAGAAAGAAGAAATTTTAAACAAAGATAGGCAGGAATGGACCAAAAAGTTAGAGGAAATAGGAAAGGAACTTGATGAAACAAAAAAGGGTAGACAAGAAAAAGCAAACAAGATCATTGACCTTCAAAAAGAAATACAGGTCCATATCAAAGCAAAAAAAGCCCTAAAAATTGAACTTGAAAAACTACAAAAGGAGAATGAAGAGCTCTCAAAAACAAAAGTTGGATTCCACGAAGAAAAGAAATTGCATAGCCAACAAGTATCTAAATTAATGAAAAAGTATAGTGAACTTCAAGAGGAAAAAAACAGAATATCTGATGAACTAGGAAATGTAAAGAAAGAACTTTCAGAGCTTTCAAGTGATAAAGAAATAGAGAAGAGACATGCAATTGAAAAGGTGAGAGTTGAATATCAGAAAATGTTGAATAATGCCAATTCTGAAATTGATAGATTGAGAAAAGAAAAAGAAGTAGTTGAATTGGATAATAATGAAAACAAAGAGTTCCTCGAGAAGAAACAACAAGAAATGTATGGAAACATCTCCAAAGCACTCAAGGAGAAAGATGACGCTCTTAAAGAAAAAAACAAGCTTGTAGGTGAAACAAAGGAGCTTCGAAAAGAAAATGAGGAGCTAAAGAATGCTCTCACTACACTGCAGCAAGAAATATCTGAAATAAGTAAGGAGAAAGATTTAGAAAGAAAAAGAGCAGTAGAAAAAGTTAAACAAGAATACCAAAAACAATTACTTCAAACTAATTCAGAAATTGATAAGATGAAAAAAGAAAAAGAAGTAAGTGAACAAGAGGAACAAAAATCATCTGCCAAACTGAAAAGTCAACAATATTTTGAAAGAAAACAACAGGAAATGTCTTTAAATTTATCCAAAGCTCTTAGAGAAAAGGAGGAAGCTATCAAGGAGAGAAACAAGCTTCTCAATGAAGCTAAGGAGTTGAGAACCGAAAATGAAGAATTGAAAAACGAGTTGAATGCATTTGATCCAGAATTTTTCGAAGACATTGAAGATCTAAAATATAATTATGTTCAAGCATTAGAAGAGAACAAATTGTTCAGGAAGAAACTCCAAGAATTAAATGTTTCAATAGAGGAGGATATTCCCAAAAGAAGAGGAAGATAATCATTACCAATTAAATTACTTTCTTTCTATCTCTATTTTAATATCCCAAAATGCCTTAATAAGTGAATCAAGAGCTTTCTTTTCTCTATCGTTCAATCTATCGATAAGAGGTTTGAATTTTTCTGGATGTTTCTTATAGACTTTAAAGTGTGTCAAAATTTCTTTAAATACATGGGCAACGAGATCATCATCAAAAACCTGCATTTCCTTCTCTTTTTCCTTTTTGTGGTCCTCTCTTTCTCTGTCTTTGAGTCTTTTAGTCATTTTGTCTGGGGTGTAATCTCTAAATAAAATATCAAGAAATAGAGATTGGTCCGATTCTGATAACTTTTCACATAATTGCAGTAATTGTTGAGGATTTTGGGTGTAGTGAATTAAATTACCCTCAAAAATTTGCAGAGCCTCTTTCACAGAATCTGAAGCATTTTCTAATAACTTTTTTGTTACACTCTCATCACCAATATTATCCAAATCATCTTCCAGATCATCTTCAGTCAAGTTTTTCCATATTTTAGAATTAATATCACTCCCAATCATGGCTGTATTTTTTACAGCTTCTATAACTTGAGGATCATTGTTAAAATATTTAATTGCATCATCAGGTTCTTTTTGTAATAAATCCATCAATGAAGACAACTCGTTTGGAAGTAATTTTGATATGAAATGGTCGGCTGCGTTCTTGTCTGTAATCATGGATTGTCCTGATTTTAATAATTCAATATAAATTTGTTTCAGTTTAGATTTGGTCACATTTTGTTTGTCTTGTGTGAGAGTATTTAAATTTTTGAATTCTTGAAGTAATTGTTGTTTAAATTCTTCATCATCTGATAAATCATCAAATACATCATCCGAGTCATCGGAATCATTTAAAAATCCTTTTGAAGAAAGATCCTTAGCAAGTTTTTGTGTAAGTAAATCAACAGTTTTAGTGTCAATTTCGGAAATTTCTTCATCATCAAATTTTAGAGTGCTACTTGTTGATTTTGATCCTAAAGATTTTTTTTCTGCGTTTGAATCTCTATTCTTCTCCTTGTTGAGTGATTCCATCAGATTTTGCATAAAAGAATCCGAAGGATTGTTGTTCAACCTTTTGCTCATTTTTTTGGTTCGTTTTCCCGCCTTGTTTTTTCGTTTTCATTTTTTGATTCTTTTGCAGCAGTTACCTGAAAACTACAGCAAAAATCCAGATTAAAAAAAATGAGCTTAGAAGCCTCCCTACTCTCTAAGAAGATTACTCTTTCTCCGAGAGTAAATTCTGATGAGAAGGATTTCTTTTCGGAAGATTATGGAGAGGAATTCGAAAAGCCAATTATTATGCAAGAGGAGATATTATTGGATGGGAATAATAGTAATTTTTTTGATTTTAAACCAAATCAAGAAGAGGATCAAGTTCTAATTCCAAAATATAAAAAAAACAGAAATGCAATACCAGGCAAATCAATTGAGTTACAAGGAGTAGATAATAGTAAACTAGTCAGGGGTAAGGATACCATTGAAAAAATTAAACGAAAGCACAATATTGCAAAAAATACTTCTCCCCTTAGGCCTAGAGTCACTTCTCAAACACCTGATCCTATTCCCCAACAAAATTCAATTGTACATGTCCCATTGAGTGAATTTTCAGCAACACGGTTAGAAGTTCATTTGCCACAGTCACTAAATCAAAAAACTAAACCTGTCAAACATCTTATAAATAACCAAGAAGAAATGATTAGTATTGAGGTTGTTAAAGATGTTTATGCATCCTATATGAGTGAATCAAATTACGAAAACGATGATGAATATGTTATTAATATTACTAAGGACGATAGTTCCACAGTTTCAAGTGGTAGTGAAGTTGGAGGTGACAACTTTGAAATAATCAAAAGCAAAGTGTCAATCCAACCAGATTATTCGACTGTAAAAATGGAAACAAAACAGATTATGGAGGAGGAAATTAAAACTATGAAAAATATGAAAAAAAAGGTACCCTCAATTGCAACTCAACAATTGGATTTTTTTAAACGAAAGAGCAGAGATCTTTTTACAGACAACTTTAAAGACTCATCATTCAAGAAAAAGAATTATTCCCAGGTAAAGAGCAAGGTAAATTCAATGTTATATACTTCTGACGAGGAAAACGAGGATATAGATATAGAAAGAAGAGATGACTCCCAACTTTCAATTAAACTGCCTTTTCTTGACAAGAAGAAAAAGAAGAGAAAGACAAAGACAGATTTGACTCCAGAAAAAGTACCAAAACCAGAACTCACAACAACATTCAGTGTTCAATCATTTTCAGAGTTTGAAGAAGTTGATTTTTTCGATGGAAACGAGGATATGGGAATTGTTGACGATGTCATTAAAGCAGCAAGTGCTCGAGGGTGTTCCAATCTCCCAAAAACAAAAATCCCAAAAAAATATCACATCATTGAAACAACCCCAATAGCTACAAGAGATGAATTAGACAAGAATTCACAATATAATATCGAGAAAAAACTATGGGAAACAACTTTATTTCCCTCCAACAAACCAACATCTAGAATTGAGGTTGTTCAACTGGCTAGAACTTTTGAACAGATGCTTTCTGAATTGAAAGAAAAGAAGAAGGATGAGGCATCAGAAGTTAACGAGGAAATAACGATATTGGATGTGATAGCATCAGAAATATCAAGACAAATAAGTGGACAATGTGCTGAAAGAGGTATTCTTCTGGATAAACTCGTTTCGAGATTCAAAAGATTAACTTCAAAATCAACAAAGATAAGCAAAGAAGCTGCTAGTAAACTAGAAGATATACAAGCTAGAGAAAAGCAAGTTAATTCTATGGTTGATTTTTATACAGATTTGGCTAAATCGAAAGAAGACCAATTAGCAAAGAAGGAAGAAGAAATAATAGAACTATTGGATCAAATTGAGCGCCTTAAATCACAACTAAGACAAACAAAAAAGGGAATACATGCAATGACAAGTGAATATTTTCAAGAAAGAATTCGACAAGAAATGGTATCCAAAAGTTTGCAGGTAACTCCAAGAGAAAACCCTAACTATATCATGGAACCAATTAAGATACCAACACCAAGAATAATAGAAGAAGAACTGAAAGAAAGTCTTTCTCATTCAAATATTGAAAAGAAAAAAATTCAAACTGAAGAAAGATCTGTAAATACCCCAACAATTGAGGGAATCAGTTTGGATAGCATTAAGGAGATTGAGAGATTTAATTCTCTATTTGTTAAAACCCAAGTTGAAGAGGATGAAGTAGATATTTTCCAAAGGCACAAACCTAAACCAAAACCAGAACCAAAACCACCTCAAGAAGTACTCAAAGCAAAAACAAAAGAAAAGGAAACTCAAACAGCCCCCGTTATCATGAAAAAACCAGAAGCTGAAAAACCCGTTCATTCACCTCGTACTGTTTATGAAACAAAGTACAAACAAGGATCCATTAGAGACAAAGCAGTGCAGGTAATAACAGCAATTAAACCACCTACACCTCCACCTCCACCTGTAGTTGTTGTTCAACCAAAACCTGTTCAAATACTCCCTCCTCAACCTCCACCTGTTGTTGTTGCAAGTGTATCAACCCAAACATTCCTTGCAGGAGAGGTAATTAAACCCTCTACAGAACGTCAGAAATCTGAATCTGAAAGAAATCCATCTCCAACAACTATCAGATCTGTTTCACCTGTTATCTCCCAAATGAGGTCAAGTTTGGACAAAAATGAGGTTATCAAGAAGAGAATAGATAGTAACGTAAATTCGCAACCAGAATCAAGAAATAGTAAGAGAGATAGCATCGACTTTTTAAAGTACAAGATGAAACTTGTAAAGCCAGAAGATATCTATAGTCTTTTCAAGGAAATCTTAAGCTCTGATAAGAGTGTGAGAAAACAAACATTGAGATGGATGAACAAGATGATTTTGGATATTTTTTTGGAATTATCAGCTAGTGATTTTTTATTCCATAATAATGAGCTAGTTCTGATTAGAAAATTTGTTTATGATTTCTTCCTTCTAAAATTTGGTTTACCCACAATTGCTTTAAATGTAAGTTAAATATTTTAGTCACATTCACAAAGGATTAATTAGCATTTGGCAGAGTTTTTGATTAATATTAAAAGCAAATTTAGGGAGAGTATTAGAGTTCAAATGTTTACGCAGTATTGTGTATTATCTGAATGGATTGGTAAAAATATTTCACCAGAATATACAATTCCTACTCTCCAATTTTACTTGTAAGTATACATGATGCTTTCTACAAACTAACTTGCAAACAGAAAGGTATTAAATTTTACCAGAGGTGTTCTCAACAAGAGAGCTTTACACGAGTTAGAAGATGGTTCGCTTTTTGTTTCACTTTCTTTTGTACATAATTTAATGGAACGAATGCAACTACCTCTTCAAATGGACGAATTGCAAGAATTTATTATCCAAATCAAGGAACAATCTGAAGATAATTTGTAAGTTTTATGAATAGTTTTATTGATTATTATATATAGCGTGTATTTTGATTATTTGCTTAAATTATTGATTGAGTTATATCACAATAAGGTGATTATTAAAAAACGAAAATTGGCACCAGCAGCACATGACTCTATTGGAAACAAACAGGCTGCAAAACCACAAAACCAACAAATATCGATAACAATTTCTTCCTTTAAGAAAATGCTTAAAACTTATTTCAAAAAACTCTACATAGTACGAGATAGAATTGCAGGTCCAAACGAATTTATTACAAAGAATGAAAAAATATCAAAGTCCAATCTATTAGAAGTTTATCACCAAACAACAACTATTTTCCATGAATTGATTGAAAAACGAGTGAAAGAAGAAGAAAGATTCAGAGTATTACAATCACACAATAATCTTTGGTCAACTTTGGAAAGACAAAACTTAGAGGATGGCATGAATTCATATAGAATGTTTGTCATAGATGCACTTTCCAATATGCACGATGAAACCTTCAAAGTGTTTGCGATTATGATTCAAAAACTTGTTCCTGTTGTTGGTAAATAAATAATCCTTTGAGTTATTTGAAACATCAGCTGGGGACTTCTCTACGTCAGTATTTAGATATCTATTCTTTTGGAATATGAGGAAGATTTAGTATGAGTTGTTTCATCAAAATACAATTTTTTATTTAGATTTTACATTTGCTAACAGAAACAAGTTGCTTAACAACCTTCTTTCCGAGAGTAGTGACAGTATCCTTATTTCTAATTGGACATTTTCCTGCAAGCTTCAATTTTCTTACCAACTTGAGAATTCGTTTAGGAAGGTGCTTCTTTGGATCAAACTTTCTGCCCAATCTTCTCTTTAATCTGAGGACACGTCTCAACATTCTCTTGATTCTCTTAACAGTCTTCTTCTTTACAACAACAGCGGAAGCTCTCTTGATAGCAATGGTCAACCTACGTGGGGTTGGTTTCAATGCTCTCTTCAAAGTCTTCTTTTGGGCCTTCTTGGCAGCTTTGTTGGCAGACTTCTTAGCCTTCTTGACAAGTTTGTTAATCTTTTTAGCTTTCTTGTTGACTCTATTGCAAGCTCTTTTGGCAGCTCTTCTAGCACGTCTAGCATTCTTTTTAGCAAGTTTATAAGCACGAATATCACTCTTCTTACCAGTCTTTTCAGCACGTCTCAAGAGTTTCTTGACAAGTTTTCTGGCCTTTCTAGCTTGCTTCTTCAATCTTCTAGCAATTCTTCTCAATTTTCTGATAAATCTCTTTTGCTTCTTGATGGCAGCACGTTTCTTCTTCAAAACAGCCTTCTTAGCTTGCTTGGCAGCCTTCTTTGCCTTCTTAATAGCAGCACGTCTCTTCTTTTGTTGAGAACGTTTAAGTGCCTTCTTGGCCTTTCTAACTCTTCTCTTTTGCTTTCTTTCAGAACGCTTGATTGACTTCTTTTGAGACTTTTTAACTACACGCTTCTTTTGTTGTTTCTTTTGAGAATTCTTCTTAGCAGCTCTTCTGGCAAGTCTAGCAGCTTTTCTAGCAATTCTTCTTTGTCTGACAAGTCTTCTCTTAGCCTCTCTTCTAGCACGTCTAGCAGCTCTTTCAGCATTTCTTCTACGAAGTCTAGCAGCTCTCTTGGCTTGTCTAGCACGTCTTCTAGCAATTCTTATGGCACGTCTAGAAGCTTGATCACCAGTTGGCTTTTGTTTCTTTTGTTTCTTTTGTTTCTTTTGAGCCTTCTTGGCGGCCTTCTTAGCCTTCTTTTCAGCCTTTTTAATCTTCTTTGTCCATTTCTTGGTCTTCTTATCATGGAGTTTTTCAAGTTTAGCAATAACCTTAGCAATCTTCTTACCAATCTTATCACCAGTTTGAACTTGATCAGCAACACAAGCTCTGAAAGCCAATGGATGGAGTCTGGCAGAAATACCAGCCTTCTTACAAGTCTTGGTGGCCTTCTTCACAGCTTTCTTAGTGGCCTTCTTTGGTTTAGTATTTCTTTCAATTTGTCTATTAATATGATCATGTAAAACACCAGTAGCTGATTTTTCAATAAAAGCCTTACTGACACACAAACCAGATTCAAATTCAACATCCTTTGGTGAGTCAACAATCAAAGAAATATGACCAAATGAACCCATAGATTGTTTCCATGAAGGAGCTCTATACCAAGTAGCAGTCAAGTGAACATCATTGAGAGAAACAATCATTGAAGTTTGAGAAACTCTCTTGAATGAAGCACCATTACCCAAGTCATTGACCTTACCTACTTCAACAACAGCTTCCTTACCATCAACATAGAATTTGTCATCTTCAACATTATATTCAACAATTCTATCGTTATTGAGTTTAACAGCAACAGCAGTATTGACACTGACAGCACCCCATCTACCAGTTCTAGAGTGAGCAACAAATTTACCATCTTTAGTAGCAGCCAAAACGTAATCACCCTTTCCGTAGAAATCGTATGCACGTCCTCTGAAGTCGACATAATGTGGATCTCCTTCTGATTTACACTTTACAAATACTTGCTTCTTCTTAATCTTCTTTTCCAATTTCTTTTGCTTCTTATCAGCAGCCTTTTCAACCTTCTTAATTACCTTGGCAATAGTTTCACCAATTTTAGTACCAGATTGAATTTGATCAGTGACGCAAGCCTTGTAAGCTCTGGCATGGACAGATTTATGAATACCAACCTTCTTACAGGTTTCCTTAGCTTTTTCAAGTTGTTCTGGTGTAGCCTTTTTTGGTTTCTTACTTCTGACAATTTGTCTTGAAATATGATCATGCAACAAACCATTTGCAGACTTGTTAACATCATTCTTGTTAACACACATGCCTTCAGTGAATTTAACAGTACGTGGAGCTTCAACAACCAAAGAAATATGTCCAAATGAACCCATAGATTGTTTCCAACCTGGATTTCTATACCAGGTAGCAATTAATGAAGCTTGATTCTTAGCAACAACAGTTAATTGAGTTGCAGAATTACGGGTAGCAGAAGCTTCACCACCCAAAGTAACTTTTTCACCAACACCAATATTCATTTCCTTTCCATCAAGATAGAACTTATCATCTTCAACATTGTATTCAATAGTGTTCATATTATTAACACGAACAGCAATAGCAGTATTGACACTAACTCTTCCCCATTGGCCAGTTCTAGAGTGAGCAATAAAATTACCATCTTCAGTTGAAGCTAAAATATAATCTCCCTTTCCATAATGATCATAATAAACACCACCAAAGGTAGTAAGATGTGGATCTCCTTCAGATTTACATTTTTGAATAGATGTTTCAACAATTGGTTGACTTGCTGAAATTTTGGTAGCTCTTTTTCCAATAATTCTTCGTAAAACTTGACCAATTTTACCACCTCTTCTAGATTCAACTTGGTTTGATGAGAAGATAACTAACAAAACCAAGGAAACAAGAAGGAGAGCGGTGACAGTTTTAAAGTTGGCACCTCTCATTGTTTTGTATTGTGTGTATTTTTACGTTTTTTTTAATGATGTTTTTTCTCTCTTGTGAAATGGGCATTTTAACGAAACAAGTGACAAGAAACGAATCCAGTGATTTTAAATAGGGTGACACGACATTTGATTGGGTCAACTGTTGATGATTTTATTGTGGGCTTTTCTTACAATAGTTCAGTATTTTACCAGGATCAATGGATAGTTTGTTGGTCTTACCAGACCATGTTGAAATAATATTAAAATAAATAATTTAAATAATTAATTCTAGTAATTTATTACAAAATGAAATATTTACAAATTATTCTTCAGTAATCTACAAACAGTACTAGTGAATGATGACACTTCTGAACAAACCTAGGTGTTGAAAAAAAATTGGAATTGTTTAAAAGTCATCATCCAATCTGAAAACCTTATCCTTCTTTGAGGACATGATATTTGCCTTGGCATATTCACCAACTTTCTTTTCAAAGAAGTTTGTCTTACCACTAACAGAAATAATGTTCATCCAATCGAATGGATTTGGAGAATTGTAAATCTTATCATAACCAAGGGATACCAAAAGTCTATCAGCAACCATTTCAATGTATTGTTGCATTAAACGAGAGTTCATACCAATCAAATCTACTGGCAAACTTTCACAAATGAATTCCTTTTCAATTTCAACAGCTTCAGAAACTAGTGAGTGAACAACTTGTTGCGGCAATTTGGTAAACTTCAATGTGGAATATAATAAACAGGCAAAATCAGTGTGTAATCCTTCATCACGGGAGATTAATTCATTGGAGAATGCCAAACCAGGCATGAGACCACGTTTCTTCAACCAAAAAATGGAACAGAAAGAACCAGAGAAGAAAATACCTTCAACACAAGCAAAGGCCAATAAACGTTCGGCAAATAAATTCTCATTATTGATCCATTTCATAGCCCAACGTGCCTTCTTTTGTACAGATGGAACAGTATCAATGGCATTGAACAAACGATGTCTTTCTCTTTGATCCTTTATCAAAGTTTCAATGAGTGTACTATACATTTCAGCATGGATATTTTCAATAGCAATTTGGAAACCGTAGAAACATCTCGCTTCTGGTATTTGTACCTCAGCCATAAATTGTTGGCACAAATTTTCATTGACAATACCGTCGGACGCAGCAAAGAAAGCTAAAACACTCTTGATAAAGTGTTGTTCGTTTGGTGTCAAGGTGGTCCATTGTGTAATATCAGTGTGAAGATCAACTTCTTCAGCAGTCCAGAAGGATGCCATGGCCTTCTTATACATTTCCCAAATCTTTGGATATTCGAGAGGGAATAAGACAAAACGGTGTGGATTTTCCTTCAAGAGGGCTTCTTCCTTTTCTAATTGCTTGTATTGGTCAAATAATTTGGGATCCATAAAATTCATCTTGTATGATGCTGGAGTAACTCTATTCGGATATCTTTTGTTTTTTCACCACAAAGTGTTATTGTGTTTTTTTTTTGGATTTTGTTTGTTACGAGTGTAGGCTGGAAGTGTTTTAAAGTTGCAAAGTTTGTAACGGTTTTGTAATGATTAAAAAACTAACCGTTATAAAATTGAATTTCGATACCATCTAAAAATATTTTTCTTTGTCTCAATTTATTGGTGCATATTTTGTTTATCACACCTCATTCCTTTATTATTTGATAAAACTAATAATCTTGTTCATTAATGCCTAAAGCTCTTTGTCAGGATTCTTTGGTATTGTATCAAAAATTGAACTCCATTATTACGTCTGCAAAACACAACAGAATTTCAAAGGTTGCGTGCTGATGTGAACAAGAGAAAACTTTTTCTTTACAGTTATAATACGAAAAAAATTACATCTCTCCTTCGTACTTCAAATTCAAAATCATCTCTGTTGTCTATATGGCAAAAAGCTTTAAGGAAAACTCTTGCTACCAGTAGAAATACTTGTTCTAGTAGTGTAGTAATTTGTATTGTTGCATCGGCTGGGTGATACACAATGGGAGGAGCTCTATTTAGAACATGTGGAGCTCAGGACAATAACATTATAACACACAAACCCTTAGTAAATGTTGATGACTCTCCAAATCTTTCCTCAACAACACCCTTAAAACAACAACGAAAATCTATTGTTGATTCTAGGACATCCCTCCTAAAATCATCTCTTTCATCTCCTTCTAAACTTTCAATAGGGCACTCTACTCACAAACATGACCCTGACCTAAATCCTCTTGTAAATAAGACCTCCAGGCATGATAGGCATCTTGCAGCAATAGCTGCAATTGCAAATAGCACCGAAATGATCTCTAACACCTATCCTCAAATGAATGATGAAGTGCTATCATTCTCTCAATCAAAACAACCGGTTTTGAGAAAGGGAAGAACCCTTTCTATTCTTTCCTCTTCAGTAACTACAGAAACTCTGAAGGATGTATCTCCTCTACTCAACGAGACTACAACAATAGAATTGAATCCAGGAAATAGTTGTTCAAACCATCCAATTTCACAACCAATTCAAATAGTTGCAATTAATCCTAATTTCACCAATCCTTCTGATGTTTCAAGCAATACTAGTGGTGGTGGTACAGGTGGCGGAGGAAAAATAAGAGTTGTAAATTTGACAGACACAGAAGATACTCTAACTGAGGATGGATATGTTTATTACGGAACTCTTAATGACAAGTTTAAAAATTTTAGGGCATCACTAACAAACTCTCATTCCTTTACATTATCATCAAGTATTAATAGGCAATCAATGGGCTCTCTAAAGAGAGGAACCACTCCAACACCCGTTTCGGCTGGCTTGACAATGTTTGTTAATAATCATGAAACTCCTGATGAAGAAGGGTTAGACTTTTCCTCAATAAGTACATCTTCCCTTGTGAGTGATGCTGAAAATGATATTTGTAACTTTGTTCCGTCTTCCTCCTCAAACTCTACATCAGGAACAAGTGACACACCTCTTTTTGAACCTCAATCATCTCAAGAACTTCCAATGTTTAATAGAAAAAGTGTTGATCTAAGGACATCCCAGAAATCTGATACTGTAAGGTCTTCAACTGGAAAAAGAATACCACTAAGTAAGAGATATGGTACAGTTACTGATTTAAATCAGGCGATCATGGAAGAAGAGCAACATATTAGATCTATTTCTGTTACACATTCTCTATCTTTAAAATCAAAACTGAACAAGCTACAAAAAGAAGTACAAACAGTTTCTCAACTCAATCACTCAATGAACGAAGATGCCTCTCTCAAATCTCTAAAAGATTCATCCAACATATCCTCTAAGCGAACAACAACTCCCAACAAAAATAATAGAAGAAAAGCAATGACTCCAAATCCAGAATCTAAACGAATTCCAATGACTGATGAAAAACCGATGGTCATGAGTATGAGTTTAACTAATTTATTCTCCAATACAAAATCAGTTTCCTGTTCTCCTGAGATCAGTCTATCTCCTTCTTTAGACAATCCCAGGGACTCATTCAAGAAAAGATCAATGTTTTATAACAGCACTCAAAACTTTTGGAATGAGAACCATTCCAATGACACATTCAAAGAACCCTCTGTCAAAAAGTCCCTTGATCATTTTAACTCTAATGTTAGGTCATCCGTTTCAATGATAACTACTGGCCCAATAAGACCAACTCTCCCTTCAATAGGAAAAAAGAAAGAACTTCCCCTAATAATTGATACTTTAACTAACAGGATTACAACGTCATCACCCACCCAATTAAGTGTTTTCAAATCATTCAATAATGAAACACCAGAGAGATCGACCGCTCCTACCACAGATACCAATGTTGGAAATTTAGAAGTGAAAATAATAATAGAATCACCAAATGAATCACCCTCTCTACAACCAAATAGAAAAGCTCCTCTTACATTAAAACAATTGAAAAAACAACGTCTTCAACAATTAAAAGAAAAGAAGGAAACAGAGGAAAGAATGATGGAATCTTTGATGGAAGAACAATCTGAAATTAACAACTACCTCAAAGCAATATACAACCATGAATATTACGACATTTCATAAATATGAAGTTGATTTATTGGATCTTATATCTTATAATTAACCCATCTAAAACCACAAAATGGCAATAATGCAGTTCGTACGTTCCAGCAATGAGTTTCAAAAAAAAACGCTCAATAAGCTTCTTCATCTCCTAAGGTTTTTAAAATAATCAGAGAAGATTTTAAAACACCTTTTCAAAATATTAAATATTTAATATGAAAGAAAAATTCTTTCAATTCATCATTTCATAACAGCAAATACATCAAAACATTAATATATTTATCAAACGAGGATTGGGAAAAATTTTAATATGGGTTCTTGCATTTCTTCAACTTCATCAATTGGAAGACAATATAGATCCTCAAAAACCAAGTCACCTTATTTCGAAAAAACCCCTACTAGAGCACCTTCTAAGAAGGGTAGTATGAAAAGAACACTTTCATCTTCAAGGAAGGCTCTCGAATGTTACTTGACGACAAGAAGAGAGGAAACAACAAATGATACACTTCCGGAAACTCTATCAAGAGCCTCTTCAAATATTTCTCCAATTACACCAAGTAGTAATTCTTCTCTTGTGGTATCAAGATTTAATACATTCAACAGCAATGTTGGAGGAAGTGAAATGTCTAGGAAGAGCTCATCAAACACAAAACCTCTTGACATTGATACAAAAAGAGAGGAAACACTTAAAAAAAGGAGAAAATCTACCCTTAATATTGCAGATTCATTCATTACATCATCTTCACCTTTAAATAATAGCTCTGATAAACCTCCAACAATTTTCATTGGAAATAGTAATTCCTTATCGGACACTCCAATGATAAGGGTTGAGTCTGCAGAGAATAATCTAGATGAACCAGAGAGTCCAGAGGAAGAAAACGAAGATTGTTACATCTTTGCAGATTCTTTTTGGTTTAACAGAGAAATTGATCCTGCTGGTGATTTGAGAGGTAGAGCAAAATCAATTGATGAAACTCTACCAAAAATCATACCAGCATTTACATTGAAACATCCTTATATGGATGGAGAAGAGGAATATTATGGAATAGAAGAAGGAGCTTCTGAAATGTCAAAAACATTTTCATTCAATTCTTCAAATAATGAAACATGCTACACTGCAGGTGCTATTGGTGTTTTTGCAACAGAAGATGAACTGAAAAGACACGAAATGGATGAGCTCATTAATTTAAGGACAACAATAGCAAATGAAGAGCTAGAGCAGCTTAAATTGTACGAGTTTCCAACATGGTAAGCAGCCAATTTTAAAGTGCAAAAAAGAAATGCACTGGTTTGGAAAAATCGTGATAGATTTAGAATTGTGGAAATTGAGTCGAAAATACTATAGTTTTTTAACTCAGAACAATTCAAAAAAATTATATTTTTGAATTTTACATTAATGTCATTCATTTCTTTTGATAATGAAATGCTAACTTTCTGCAATTATTCAAATCCAATAAAATTGTAAACACTATCTCTGAGATTAAACTCTTAATTGTAAACTGTTAAATATCGTCATCAGTTGTTTTAGGTTTGGCTGACTCTTCCAATTTTTTAGTTCCTTTAAGTCTAAACCTTCTATCAATAAGAGATCTTTTACATAGGTTTAAACGCTCTCTTTCATTCATACACTCCGATGGAAATAATTCAGGTTTTAAACAATCAGTAAAAGTTGTTCCAGGTTTTCTAATACACTCCGAATATTTTAAAACACAATCAATGAAATCCTGACGAGCTCCAGCACAAGGAACCTTTTCACTGCTCATTTTTTTTATGTGAGAAATTGATTGAGTTTTGTTTTTGGTTTAAGTTGTGTGTCTATTGTTGGGAGGGAAAATGCAGTCTCCAACTTTTAATTTGTTGAATATATAAACTATTTCCAAGTGAAAATTGAAAAACCACTCGTATGAATACTTTGTTGACTAGTTGCAATTCTGTCGGCAATTTTCTTTTTTTCAAATTCCAAAGTGGACATACAATTTTTGTATTCATCGAAGAGAGTAGAGCATTGCCTAGTTGTTCTATTCGCAAAAACTTCATCTTGTTTTGACTGTTCTACACATAATAACGCTCTCTTTCCACTTTCTTCGCATGGATTATTGTTGGTCCATCTACTGATGGATATTGGAGTGAGCGACATTTTTTAATAAATTGTTTGTTAATAAAAACACAATTATTTATTACTCTTGCATTCTAATAATTAACAAACAATAATTAATTAATTATATTTATTCTCTCTTGGGCAGTGCAATTTCTACATAGAAAATTCTGTGGTGCATTAATAATTTTGAATTAAAAAATGAGTGAACCAGAAAAGAAGAAATTAAAACCAAACGATAATTCAGCAGTGGCATCATCAATTGTGTCTGCATTATCATCATCAATTGCAGCATCATCAACAAAAGTAAATACAAGAAATGCCTTGCAAAAAACTGAAGATTTGGAACAAATTAGAAAGACTCTTTTACTTTCACTAGTTCCATCCATGAACGATAAAAGTGACATTTATAATACTAAACAAATTATATCACTAGGAGATAAAAATTCTAATATAATTAGAGAAGGTGATTTGGTTGTTTTCTTTATTAATCATGATATTATGAAGGCCGAAGTAATTAAAAAAGGACATACTTTTGATTGTAGATTTGGATCCTTCTTACATGAAAATATTATTGGTAAACCTTTTGGATCTAAAATTTATAGTCATGCAGAAAAACGCCCAACAAGAAGGAAGAAGGAAGATACTACAATGGATAATGCAGATAAGAAGCCATTTGTTTATGTTCTCAAACCAACACCACATTTGTGGACTCTAGTTTTGAAACATAGAACTCAAATTTTATATCATGCTGATATCAGTTTAATTCTTACACATTTTAAACTTCGTCCAGGAAGTGTAGTTATTGAGGCAGGAACTGGTAGTGGTTCTCTTTCAACAAGTATTTCTAGAGCTATTATGCCTAATGGACATCTTTTCACTTTTGAATATCACAAGGAAAGATATTTACATGCCATGAATGAATTTAAGAATAATGGTTTATATAATATTACAATAACTAATGGAGATGTTTGTCAAAATGGATTTACTCCAAACACTACAACAACTCCAATCATATTGAGTGATACTTTGAGACCAAAATATGAACCATCTCAAATTCTTGGAGAAGACAAGTCAGGCACAGTGGACGGTGTCTTTTTGGATTTACCAAAACCTTGGCTCTGTATTCCAAATGTTTTTAGACTATTAAGAGTTGGTGGTAAATTCTGTGGATTTAGTCCTTGTATTGAACAAATTCAAGAAACTGCAAATGCTCTTAGACAATTTGATTTTGTAGAAATTAAATGTGTTGAATGCCTAGTCAAGGAATATATGAGTAATAATGTTGAGGTTTCCACAGTTGACCATTACTTTAAGAAATCTGATACTACAACTCAACAAACATCAACCACAGAGAAGAGATTATTCAGTGCAGTTCCTGAAATGAAAGGACACACCGGTTATTTGATTTTTGCAACAAAATTCCAACTTAAAGAATAAATCATTCAATCTTTCAAATTTAGATATTTCAATTATTAAAATTCTAATCTAATACAAAAAACATCTAATATCATTCATCATTCTTGCACCACCAATTAAAAAAAGAACAAATTTTAGAAAGAGAGGGATTCTAATTAAAAGGAGGAGTAAGAGAACCGAAAATTTTTCAACGTCTATTCATCAGCAAAAATATGTCATCTGACAACCTAAAGTCCTCCACTAAAAAAATTGAAAAACTATCACTCCTACGAAACATTAGTGAAAACTACGATAATAACATGGGTGCCGATGAAGGTTTAGGTTCAGCTGATGGTTACGTCAGTACTGTAGGATCCATCGATTTATTCAGAACATCACCTGGTATGGCTGATTTATTCCGTCGGTTATATCAAATTAGAATTGATTGTGGAGAAGTTGTTGATAATAATATGGATAAACAAAAGCAAATTGAAATGCAAGAGTTTCAGAAAAAACTTAAAAAGCTAGATAAATTTGAAAGACAAAAAGGTAAGTTTAAAATTATTATTATAATAATATATTTATTTATAATATTATTATTGTATAACCACTACTCGATCATCATTATACTTTCTTCAAATTATTTCTTGGACAATGTGTATATTTAAAAACAATTTTTATTCATTTTGAATAGTTATGGTCAAACAAGCAATTGATCAAGCTGAATCTTTGTTACAACAAAAGAAGAAACAAAGTGGTACTGATGCTCGTTTAAATAATGACATTAACAAGGCAATTTCAAAGATGGATAAAGAAATGAAAGAATTGGATAAAATTCATCAAGAAGCTCTCAATAAGAAATTATTATGGAAGGAAATTCAAATGCCGGTTGAACTGAGAAAACAAAGAGAAAGTGATATTAAAAATTTTAGAGATTATATCAAATTTGTAAAAGCAGAACACAAAAAACTATTAACAGGAATGATGGATGACGATGATGATGACATTCCTAGAAGAGATGTTAAATTTGAATCAATTGATAATTTACAAAAAGCAAAGAATGAAGTTCCAACAGTTGACATCAGTGAAGGTTTAGAACAAATTGAACAAGCAAAGAGACAACAGGAAGAGAAGATTGATATTTTACTTAATCAAATTCAAAAAATTGGTGGAATTGCTAATTCCATTTCTGATGAATTGGATAAGCAGGCTCAATTATTAGACAAGATGAGCTCAGATGTAGACAAATATAACAAACAATTAGATGATACTAACAAAAGAATGGTTGAAGCTATTGAAAAGGCAGGAGGTGCAACTCGTCTCTTAATTATTCTTATTATTTTAATTGTCATAGTTGCCCTTTTAGGTATTGGTTGGTTGTTATTGGAATTATTTGTACCAAATCTTTCAACTATTATTTAAATTATTGTAAATTATTAAAACAGTCTCATTAATTTGTGTTTATTTCAATTATATATTATTAAAAGTTGGTTATTGTTAAATAAAAAATAAATTTCAATCATAAAAAAATGTTATCCAGAAACGAATCTTCATCGGCAGGAATTAATGCATCATCAGGATTGGAATCTAACAATTTTCAAATGGGTCTTGAAGCTGAAGCCATGTCTTTCTTGATAACATTAAAGAAAGGAGTACACTCAACAGTTGTTTCGCAACAAATACAAAGTATTGTTAGATTCACTGATCTTATTACGGAATACCCTCTTCCTATTATTGCAAATACTGCTCTTTTAAAATTAGCTGATGTTTTTCGGGATTGTAATAATAATTTTGTACGATATTGGATCGTGAGTGTGTTCGAGGAGGTAAAGGGTGAATTGTTAAAAGTTTTAAACCATGATGAATTAATCAAAAGATTTTCTGCTGTATTAGGTTCAAATGATCCTATTGCAAGATCATTGGCTCTTAGAATGTTTGGACATATGGCAGATATTCTCTCCGATAGGACAGATCTTCATCATCATATTGAAAAAAATTTATTAACTTGTATTGAAGGATATGAGAGAGAATCATGTATTATTGCTATTGAACAAATATGCTCTACATCAAAGCATTTTGCTTCACAAATTCTCCCTCAACTAGAGACATTACTTTCTGACATTAAAACCCCTCCAAATGCCAAGTTGTCATTGATAAGAGTGTTGAGATACATGCATACTGATGTTAACACAGTTAATAGAACTTTTAAACTTTGTTCAGAAGTATTGTTGAAAACCTATCCTACAACACCTTTTATACTCGTAATACTTGAAACTGTAACACAGCTTACTCAAAATTCTATATTTATTGCTAAAGATACTTTCCAATTATTGTTTAATATATTTAAATATGAATCTAGAAAAAAGGTTAAAATCAGCGCAATTAATAATATTACAAATCTTTCAAAAACGCTCTCTGACACCTACACATTCGAATTTCCCTTTAAGGTACGTATTACTATCATTTTTATTGAATTCTTACAAATTTTAAAGATTCTTCACGATTCACTTAATAATTCTCCGTTCGACTCTGTTAAACTGGCAGTATTGAGACTTTTAGCCTCCCTTTCTTACTCTCCTTTCAATGTCAAGAGATGGTTGAAATACTCTGAAGAGAATAACATTATACATATTGTAGAATTATTGCTATTTTATAGGAACTTACAAATTTCTGATTTGGCTTTTGAAATTCTTATAAATGCGGCAAGACACTCAAATGAATCTGAAGAGGTAATTGAACCATTGTTATCAACTCTTTTAAGAGCATTTTGCTTCTCAGTTACTTATAGAGTATCAAACAATGATAATTTATTATATGTTGTAAGTATTTATTCAATATTGATTGAAAAAATTTCAATTATTTAAGAAAAAACTTTGTGAATATATTGTAAGATTTGTAAAATCATTTTCAAACAAGTCCTCAACCATTACAAAAACTATTATTGGTGATATTGAAAAAATGTGTACCTGTTTAAATTCAAATACTCAACCAGAAAAAATTGAATTTTTCAAAGCTAGTAGTATTTACTTTTCAAAATGTTTACTTAAATATTCTAAATATTGTCCAAACTCAGTTAAGGATCTACTGAAAACAATTTCTAGTATTGCAATGATATCCAATCTACCTGATGATATTGTTGTGAATTTATGTGGAGTTATTTTCCATTCACTCTATATTAATAAGCAAAAAGATTTTAATGTGGACTTTAATACAAAGATTATTGATCTATTATTTGAAAAAAAGAGGTATTGGTGTTTATATTTACTCTCTAGGGAAGCTATGATTTATAGCCATCATTCATTATCTGTAGCTATTTTGAAAAAGATAGAAGACAAGGTTGAATGTGAAACAAACGCCTTCTATCTTAAATCTCTTCGCCTATTGTCAGAATCAGAAAATTCCTTAAATACAGAGGATAAATTCCAAAAAGAAATATCAAGCTCTGCATTGGAAAAATGTAAAAATACTCTAGACGAAACTTTAATGTTTTTAAAAGCTAGTGGAGTTAATAATTGTGGATTCCAAATATCATGGATAACCCTTAGAAAGAAACTTATTGAAACTATTAATAACTTTATTCACCATATGGCAAATCATAACAAACCTACTTCTTTGAATGATACAATTTTTCATCATCAAGCACAATTATTCATTGTTCTCAATGACAAATTTAATGACATGATCAATTCGTTTTTCGATATTGATCATAATAGTGCAAGATTATTGGGCCTTCAAGCATTAATGTGTAGAGTCTTGGCCAAATCTATTTCAACTATTATGGTTGAGCAACACATTCCACATCCAGTTTTTTCCAAGATTATTCAATCTAACACTGATTCTAAATTAGACCCTTTATATGTGCAATGTGAACACATCCTGTCCCAAATTGAAAAATATGAACAAAAGAAATCCATTAATAGCTACCTAGTAATTCATCAAATTTTGAATGCACTTTTAAGAATAAGTACACCAATACCTCAATTCTTCTTCACCACCACTTCAAATACAGCTCTCAAACTAGAAATTGAAATTAATAACAATCACAACATCTTTAACAGACCAATAAGTGGAATTCTGGGTCAAGGGTTGGTTGCCAAATTTTCTGGATACATCACCCAACATAAACACACAAAAAGAAAGGTTAAGGCTATCCATCTAACAATTGAAAAGAGATTAGTTACTTCTGATCTGAATATTTTCCAACCACTCCAACAGGAAAATGTACAAAATTTTATTGTTCCAGTTATTGAGCAATCATTCCAAAAGAAATGTATTTGTCATTTCAACACTGAAGGAAGATATCAATTAGTAATCAAAACTCAAATGATTGATGAAAATGATTGTTATATTTGGTGGTCCAGCAACTTGGCCAACTCTGATTCAACTTCGTATGGAAATGATGAAAGGAAACACATTTCAATCCTAGTTGACGTAAAACCATATCAACCAACAGCTAATAGATCTGTGATGGGTAGTGTTTTGTAATATTTTAATGATATAAATTTTTATTCCTTTCAACGATTTACAGAATCCTTAATGTATTGTAATAATGGTTAATTGTAATGAGAAATAATCAACAAGACAACGATGGTAAATGAGTGACGCTAATTTCCAATTAATTTTAACCAATTAAATTACTCCAATTTACTGTCTGACTTGACACTACTCTCAATGGCAGAAATATTTGCAATAGTTTCATCCTTTGGTGCAATTCCAATAATTCTTTCCAAATCCCTGTCTCTTTGGTCTTCTTCATTATACTCCGACATAATTTCCTTAGCTATTGCTTCTCTTTGTTTCTAATCAATATGATAATAAATAAATCTGCAATACAAATAATTACATACTCTCTTTTCGGACCAAGTTGAGAAGTTTTGAATAAAGTTCTTAGTTTCCCATCCAACAGCAGCAAAACATGCTACAGTAAAACCGACCATAGCAGTGGTAGCAGTTTTCCTAAAATATTTTGTATATTATTCAGCATATTAACACCTTTTTACCTACCAAATAGCATTAAATACTTTATCAAGCTTTGACATTTTTTAATAAAATTAATTACATTTATTAATTTTATTAAAAAACGTTAAATAATTGTGAAAGTAACTTGCTGTTTTAATGAATAATACTAACCTTTGCATTCATGAAGTTAGTAGAATCAACAATAAACTAAATATTTTCAACAGGTTTAAAATTGAATCAAATAAATTGATGATACAATTCCGATAAAACAATCAGAAAAAATAATGAAGAAGGACAATATTCTCAAAAGACACCACAAACAAATTTCCTCCTCCAGCAAGCAAGGAAAAAAGAAGAAGAGGAAACAAGAAAAGGATGACTCATCGGAAATTGTTGAATTTAACAATAATGAAATTTCCGAATTAAACCATGATGAAATTTATCAAGAGGAGGAACCATTTCTTGTTGGGCAGGTCCAACATCATGTTGAAGAAACAATCACAGAACAAATCCATAATGAAACAGAGAATGAAGAGGAGGAAGAAGAATCAGAAAAAGAACAAGAAATAGTAAAATCTAAGGAGAAGTCAAAGAACATATTCCCAAAGCCAAAAACAAATTATAGGATTGATTTGGGAAAAGAATGGAAATCAATGAAGAACCCATCAATTCATCCTGAGTTGCTTTCTGTTATTGAAAATGATTTGAAATTTACACACATGTCTCCTGTACAAGAAAATACAATTCCCTTGTTACTAAATAATAAGGATGTTGTAGTTCAAGCTCTCACTGGTTCAGGAAAAACTCTTGCTTTCATTATTCCAATATTTCAATATATTATCGCAAGGCAATTCGAAGGAAAAATACCTAGTATGGAAGAAATGATGCCAAGAAGAAAGAATGTCTATTCAATTGTGTTATTACCAACAAGAGAGTTGGCAAGACAGGTTTATGATGTTGCTTGTAAATTTGCGCCAAAAACTAATCTCAATGTCAAGTTGTTCATAGGAGGAGAAGAAAGAGAAACTCTGCAACCTGCCACTGGTTTTGATTCCTCAGAAAAGTCAGGTTTAAACGCAAGTGAAAATTTATTTCTGGATTGTAATATTGCCATTGGAACTCCAGGTAGAATTTTGGATTATTTAAACTCTAAACTATTGAAAGTGAGGTGTTTGGAAATTTTAATTATTGATGAAGCTGATATTATTTTAAATATGGGATTTAGACAACAGGTTGACCAAATTTTGTCACATCTTCCAAAACAAAGAAGAACAGGTCTATTTAGTGCAACTCAAACAAGCGAATTAGATGACTTGGTTAGATCTGGATTAAGAAATCCAATGAAAGTTGCCGCAAGTGAACATGCTGAAAATAAGAAAAAGGCAACAGTCCCTTCACAGCTTGCAAACTTTTACATGTATTGCGATTATAGACAAAAACTGAATTATTTGATACATCTTATTAAGAATGATGATCCTATACCGAGTGGTAATTCTGTAATTGTTTATTTTTTGACATGTGCTGCTGTTGATTTTTTTTCCAAATTGTTAAAAGAAGTGTTAGGGAAAAACGAAGAAACTATTCAATTATTTTCTCTTCATGGCCAGATGGTACAAAAGAGAAGAAATGCAGAACATCAATCATTCAAGGAGGCCTGTGAGAATATTGCCAAACAACTCGATCAATCAGTCGTATCAAAGAAAGCAGTCTTGTTTTGTACAGATGTTGCTGCCAGAGGTTTGGATTTCCCAAATATTGCTACCATTGTACAATTTGATGCTCCTACTAATCCAGATCAATTTGTGCATCGTGTTGGAAGAACAGCTAGAATGGGTAAAGAGGGTCAATCCTTACTCTTCTTGTCTAAGCCAGAGCATGACTATATTGATTATTTGACATTCAAAAAGATTAGTATGCACGAATTGGAACCAACAGATGAAATGAAAAAGACCAATTATGTGAATAAGGATGTTCTCAAAAAGATTATCAAAAGTGATCGAGATGTCTTTGAAAAAGGTGAGGAGGCACTCAAGAGCTTTGTTAGATCTTACAAGGAACACCAGTGTTCATATATTTTCAAGTTTGCCAAATTGAGATTTGATCAATTATTAGAAGCCTACTGTATTTTGACAAAGCCAACCATTAGAGAGATTAAACAACAAATGGAATCAATCAAATTACCTTTTGAAGATATTGATATTAATTCTATTCCATACAAAGATGCTAGAAGAGAAAAGGCAAGAAAAGAAAGACTGAAAAAACAAGAAGAGAATGAAAAGATTTGGGAAGAAAAAAGACTTCAAAAAATTGCAGAAAAGAAAGAAGAGAAGAAAAGTTCAGTTAACTATCTAAAAGACAAAGTTAGAAATCGATCAGATATTTCAACCCATGAAAAGAAACGACTGTATAATCAATTAGAAAATCAACAATTCAATGATGAAGCTCTATTACTGAAAAGATTAAAGAGAGGAAAAATTAGTGAAGAAGAATATGAACGTTTATCAGGTGAATCTAAATTGGAAGGAGAAATAATGAAAAAGCTTTCAGAAAGAAAGAGAAAACAACTTCAAAAGAGAAAATAAACTTTCTACACGTTCAAAAAAATGTCCCAACAAGGTACAAACAATAACAGCAGAGGAGGTAATTCTGATAAATCACAAAAAAGACATGCCGTATCTGATCCGTACTATGTTCCATCAACACCTGAAAGAGTAGGATCATCATACAAAAACGATACTGGTTTATTAATATCAAATAACTCTAGGAAAAATAATAGGGAGGAAAATTCTAGGGATTTAATGCCAGCACCTAAAAGTTATAATCACCATAGACAAAACAAATTTCAAACTACAACCAAGAATGAAAATTATCACAATTGGGAAGCAAATATTACACCAATTAGAGATTACGACAGAGATGATAGACGAAAAATATCAACTTCAAGAAGATCCGATTGGGAAAAATCTCCACACAGGGAATCCAACGATTACAGACAATATTCATCATCATCAAATAGATCAAGTAATTCAAGCTTTCGGTCTTCATCTAGCACTCACTCAACTGATATTAAAAAAGTAGAATTGGATTGGAGAAATGAAGAAAATGTACCTGAAGAGGATATTATCGATTTAGAAAGACAATGGTACGCAGAGGATAGTGAAGTTGTAGATTTTTCAGAAGGATCTCTCTACTTGGGTGATGAAAATAAGAATAGAAAAAAGGAGGATGACTATAAAAATAAGAATAGACAATTCAAAAACAAGGAAAAGAGAATGTCTGCCCAAAAGTCACAACAAATGAAAGATAATGATGCATGGGAAAGAAATAGATTACTATTAACTGGAAATGCAAGAACTTTTGATTTTGACAATTTGGATGAATCTAATGAACAAGAACAATCAACTCAAATTATTTACCATGATGTCAAACCTCCATTCCTCGATGGAAATGTTTCATTTACTAAACAAATAGAGCCAGTTTTACCTGTAAAAGACGTGACGAGCGATATTGCTACAGCTTCAAGAAAAGGAAGTGCCCTTCTAAAAGATATGAGATCAAAGAGAGAGAGAATGAGGGCAGTAAAGGACAAATTCAAAAATAAGGGAACACTAGGTAAGATTCTCAATGAAACTACTCAAGAGGATGAAGATGACGAAAGATTAATTCACAAAAAACTACAATCCCAAGAAAGTAATACCAGCAAATTACAAAATACTAAGGAAGAATTAAAACAGGCGGCCAAATTGAAAAGAGAAAAACTTCCGATTTACCATTGCAAAAATGAATTATTACAAATCATTAAGGAACATAACGTGGTAATTATTGTTGGAGAAACAGGTAGTGGTAAAACTACCCAACTTACACAATACCTTTACGAATCAGGATTTGCTCAATATGGAAAAATTGGATGCACACAACCAAGACGTGTTGCTGCAATGTCTGTAGCAAAGAGAGTTGCCGAAGAAATGGGTGTCGATTTGGGAAGTACTGTCGGTTACTCTATTCGTTTTGAAGATGTAACAAGTGACAATACGGTAATCAAGTATATGACTGATGGCGTTTTGTTAAGAGAGTCATTGCATGACACTTATTTGGATCAGTATAGTGCTATTATTATGGACGAAGCTCACGAAAGATCTCTGAACACTGATGTTTTGTTTGGAATATTGAAAAAAGTGGTGGCTAGAAGAAGAGATTTGAAACTTATTGTTACCTCTGCTACTATGGATTCCAATAAGTTTTCTTCATTTTTCGGTAATGTTCCAATCTATACTATTCCTGGTAGAACATTCCCTGTTGATACTCTTTACACAAAGACTCCAGTTCAGGATTATGTTGAAGCGGCAGTTAAACAAGCTATCAATATCCATACTTCAACACCTACAGATGGTGATATTCTAATATTCATGACAGGTCAAGAAGATATTGAAGTAACTTGTTATGCTCTCGAAGATAGAGTAGCAGAGTTAAAAAAGGATGATGAAAATGTTTCTGAAAAGAGCAAAGTTCCCCCACTACTTGTTCTTCCAATCTATTCAATGTTGCCATCTGAACTTCAAGCAAAGATTTTCGAAAGAGCGCCATCAGGACAGAGAAAATGCATTGTTGCTACCAATATTGCAGAAACCTCTCTCACTGTTGATGGAATTTTATATGTTATTGATACAGGCTTTTGTAAATTAAAAGTTTATAATCCAAAAGTAGGTATGGATATGCTTCAGGTTTATCCAGAAAGTCAGGCAGCAGCTGATCAAAGAACTGGTAGAGCTGGTAGAACAGGACCAGGTAAATGCTTTAGATTATTTACTGAGCAACAATACAAGACTGAAATGCTGAAAACAACCATACCAGAAATTCAAAGAACCAATCTTGGTAATGTAGTATTACTTCTCAAGTCTCTAGGAATCAAAAATTTGTTAGAATTTGATTTTATGGACCCACCTCCTCAGGAAAATATGAAAAATTCAATGTATCAACTTTGGGTTCTTGGAGCCATTGGTAATAATGGAGAACTTACAGAGCTGGGAAAGAAAATGGTAGAATTACCTTTGGATCCTCCACTCTCAAAAATGTTAATTTACTCGGAAAAACTGGGTTGTACATCGGAAGTTCTTACAATAGTTTCAATGCTCTCGGTTCCTACAGTATTTTATAGGCCTAAGGACAGAGAGGAGGAGGCTGATGCTGTAAGGGAGAAATTCTTTGTTGCTGAGAGTGATCATCTTACCCTTTTAAATATTTACAATCAGTGGAAAGTTAATGGATATTCTTCATCTTGGTGCTCGGAGCATTTTATCCATTTTAAAGCAATGAGAAAGGTAAAAGAAGTTAGAATTCAAATGGAAGACATAATGAAAAAAAATGGAATTCAAATTATTACCTGTAATAATGAATGGGATGTAGTTAGGAAAGCTATTTGTTCTGGTTACTTCCATCATGCCGCAACTCTCAAAGGGATTGGAGAGTATGTCAACATGATGACAGGCATGCCTTGCAGTTTGCATCCAACTAGTGCATTATATGGAATGGGGTATACTCCCGATTTTGTTGTATATCATGAATTGGTAATGACAACAAAAGAATATATTCTCATTTCTACTGCCGTAGAGGGTAGTTGGTTAGCTGAATTAGCTCCAACCTTCTTCTCCGTAAAGATTCCTCACCAAACAAGAGAAGCAAAAAGAAAGGAAATCAAACAAAAAATCGAGCAAGAATATTTGGATAGTAATAATTTGGAGACGACCTCAATAACTCCAAGTGCCTCAACACAAAGAAGAAAATCTTCCAATATTGTTACGCCTGGTGTTAGTTCAACAAGAAGACCTTCAAGCAATGTTTCCACAACACGAGATTCGCTAGAAGAAAGAAGAAAAACAACACCTAGAAGGATTGGTTTATAAAGAAAATTTATTGATGCATCATGGAATGTTTCTTTACAGTACAATCTGTTGAACCAGAGAATAAATGATACTTGGATTGACCATTTTGACTTTGTTCCTTGATTTGACCTTCAGATGGAGTAAAACCTTCAATAGACAAAACCTTATCTGTGGAAATAGTCTTTCTTTCAGGATTGACAGAGTGTGGAGTACTGTGGATTGGAATACCACTTCTAATATCCCACAATTTGACAACATTATCATCACCACCAGAAATAAATTGAAAATCGCTCACCCACTTGACCTTTCTAACCCAACCTCTGTGGGATCTAAAAAGAGAGGCCTTCTTTGAACCGCCTTGTCTGGCATCCCACATTCTAATCAAAAAGTCAGGATGAGAACTTAAAACAGTAGTACTTTCAGACTTTTCCCTAACAGATATCGAGGTGACAACCTTACTACCATTGAGTGTTATGGAATTGGTTCCTGTTGTAACATCCCAAACACGAATAGTGTGATCAGAACTTCCTGATACAATTCTACCTCCTTCTATCCAGCTAACACAATTGATTCCAAGCAAGTGTCCATTTTGGTTTTCATTCTCATTTCTTTCCAATGTTCCAATGCAAGCATATTGTTGAATTTGAGATGGCATCTTTTTCTTCTTTTTTGATGGTTCCTTATAATCCTCATTATCATCATCTTTAGTTTGTACATGGTTATTTTCGTAGAAGAGGTTTTCCCTAGTTCTAGCCAAATCAACTTCCCACAATTTAAGAGAACGATCTTCTGATGCAGTACAAATCATGGTTCCACGTGGATGCAAGCAAATATCATTAACGTTATCAGTGTGACCATTCAATAACATTTTCATTCTCATCTTTGAATCTGTTGGATTTGAAACCCAAACTCTACCAAATTCATCTTTACCACCACCTGCTATTATTATATCACCGGATGAGTATGTCTTATCAGAATCACTTAAATGTTGGGATGTAACATAACAAGTTGCTAAGGATGTAATTGGTACCTTAGATTGCTTAGTTTGGTGAACAATTTTACCCAAAGAAGTATCAATAACTCTAACAACACCATCATAACATCCTGAAACTAAATATTGATTATCTTTTGAGTTGGAAGAAAGAATATCAGCTCCACTCGGATGTGTTACTAATGAAAGTGCACTAACCCAATCATCATGAGGAATACTATCAACACACTTTGGTGCAGGTTGTGCTTCAATGTATTCTAATGTGATAGATGATTCTGGCCATATTTGAAGTTTAGTAAAAAACTTGGCAAGACTTGTTCTCAAGAAGATTTTCTTTCCTGGTTTATATTCAATCAAGAATTCAAATGGAACATGTTTATGTTCATCATTTTCTTGAGCAATAAGTTGATTAATGACTTCCGACAAACCAAATCTAGTGAAATTTGATGGTACTTTAAAAGCATTTTCAGAAACTTTAATTGGATATTGTTCAGTGGTAAATTTAACTTCCATTTCTGAAGGAAATTGGCTGAGTAAGAATATTGGTTTGTCATCGTCAGTTTTATCTAACATTTCTTTAATGTTATTTTCTGTAGAATTTTGTTGTTCCATTCCATCTTGTTCTTGATCGGAGGAATCATCAAGGTCTGGTTTATTTACACTGGTTGGTTCTTGGTCGTCATCGCTACTGTCCCAAAAATCGTTGTTGCTCATTTTTTTTTCTTCATTCCTTCATATTTTTTGTGGATTGTCTTTTTTTAAATTCAAATAGTTTCGATTGCAAAGTAATATTTAATTCTTTGCATTATGACGGTCTAGTAGTAATACAGTTTGATAATAATACTAATTGGTATTACAAAAAGAGAAAGTAAAACACTCACTAATAATTTTAAAAAATTGAGTCCAAAAATAACCAGCGAACAACACTTCGGAATTAAATGATCACAAAACAATCAACAAACCAACAAGCGCCAAGAAGAAGAACAAGAGCTACGTTGGCCATCAAATCTGTTGATTTTAACAAATTGTGGATATCTTTGGAATACGACTTGGCACAAGTTTTAACTGACCCTTTAAATGCCACACTTAAGAATGACACGGAAAAATTACATAATATTGTTTACAAGTTGAGTACTGGGCAATGTTTTAATTTGCCAGATGGTAGTATTCTCTCCCAAAATCCACACTCACCATCAATACCACAAGATGGAGATATTCAGCCATACACTCTGTATTTCATGTTGAAAAGATTAATTTCCAATCACTTAAAATTGTTCATTTCAAAATTGAACAACTTGACTGGAATTCCTCTCTTGAAACAATATTTTACGTTATGGAATAATTATTTAATCGCTTGCGATTTTATAATGAAGGTTTTTCATTACCTGAATTCAGATTGGATTACAGAACAGGAGATTAAGAGAAAATCAAAAGCTAATCAACCAGAAAAATATACAGAAAGATCTGCAAATCAAATAGTCCATTTCAGTGAGAGTAATCATGTATGCAACACTAAACTGACATGCTTACTATTATGGAGGGAATGGTTTTTTGAAAGATGTGAAAATTTATCAAAACCCCTAGGTTATCAAGAGGCTGATTCTCCACTAATTGAAGAAAAGGAAGTAACTTTTGATAAGTTTGGATTTTATGATGTAATAATGAAAATAATAGAAATGGATAGGAATTACAATAATCCATATTTAAAGAATTCATTTTGTGTGGAGGAATTTTATCCTATTTTAAAAAGTGTAATTGGTTCTCTGCTTTATTTAAGTTTGGACTCGGAAGAGGATTTTTATTTCTCTGTAAAATACAAATACTATCCATCAATGAATTTATTCGAATCTCTCAACGTTCACATTGAGGATTATTATTCAAAAATTTTAGATCAAACCATGACATGGAAATATCCTATTTTTTACCTCTATGATTTTGAAAGAATATTTCTGGAGACTTCTAAAAGGTATTATTGTGCTGAAATTGATTCGCTCCTTATTACATACCTATCAGGAGAAAATCATCATGATTCTGTAAGAAAATACATTCAACATGTATCAGCAAGATTGGATCAAGAAACTAATAAGAATATTCTTCATTATTTACCACAAATTACAAGGGATAATATTCAAAAGATTATGTGTGACCTATTTATTGAGGGTATCAAGGAAAATATGTCATCATTGAATTTTATCTTGTCAGACATAGAGGCTTGGATCAATGAACCAGAGGTATACAAGGATAATTTAGAGCTTTTATACAAAGTAATAACGAAATCAAATAGAAAAATAGCTCTTAATGAGCTTGGAACAAGAATTAGAAATAGAATACTTTTTTCTTTAAATTCCGATATGAGAAAGGTAAAAATGATTTCACAAGACACATATGATCCAATTCAGTTCATTGATGTAATCATTGATAATTATAATATATTTAGCTCTATAATAAGGCAATACTTTTCAAATAATTACGAGTTGAATATTTGTAAAGATAAGACATTTAAGGAGTTTTTCAATAATGCACCGATATTCACTTCAGATCCCAATATGAAGTGTGCTGAATATCTTTCCAGATATATCAACCATCTTCTTAAAGGTTCTAGTAGACCTACACTAAATTGCTATTCAGATAATTTGGATATTGAATCGAGAATGGATTATGCTGTTTATTTGTGCAGATTGTTAAATGATGTCGATGTTTTCATTCAATATTATAAGGTTTTACTCGCTAAACGATTGTTAATTTTTAAATATGAAGGTGAAGCAACACAAGAAGAGCTGGAGTATACAATGATAACTAAACTGAAAAAAGTGTGTACCTTTGGCCACATTTACAAAATCCAAACCATGTTGAATGATTTAAATAATGCAAAATCATTAGCCGAGCGATTTACAAAGTGGAATGAAAATGGAGAGGCAAGAATACAATTCACTGCTAAAGTACTTACGAAAGGGTATTGGCCTCTGAATAATTCATCACTCATTACACCAAGTAATGCTTTTTGTATTCCCACAACAATTAGTGAGAGAATGAATTCATTCACAGAGTATTATTCAAAACTCTATAATGGAAGACATTTAACCTGGTTGAATATTCTTTCAAAAGGTGTTGTAAGAGGTCATTTCACAAACTCTTCAATGCCTTACTATGATATTACTGTTTCCCTTATTCAATTATCTATTTTTTTACAATTTAATAATGGAGAAAATTCTAAAACAATACAAGATTTGAGTCTGGCAGTTGGTATTCCAATAGAAGAGTTGATCCAAACTCTTGTTCCTATTATTAATTTTAAAATATTTACCTCTTCTTCTGCTATTACCAGTTTAGATCAAAGCAGTATCATAACAATCAATGACAGTTTTAACTATCAAAGAAATAAGATTTCTCTTTTCCAACACTCAATCAAGCAATACTATGAAGAGGGAAAATCCAATCCAGCCAACCAAAAAATTCTAGCACAAATCAAGGAGGATAGAAAATATACACTACAGGCTGCAATAGTGCGTATTCTAAAAACTAGAAAACAAATTGAACACAAACAATTGGTGAATCTATTGCTTGCTCAACTCTCTTCAAACTTTAAACCAACAAATAGTGATATTAAGAGAGCTATTGATTCTCTCCTCCAACAAGAATACATCAAAAGAGTCAGTGAGGATTCGAGTTGGTATCAATATATTGCCTAACAAATTGATTTTTTGTCCTACATTATTATTAATCAAACTTAACTTGTTCAAATAAAAACGAAATTCAAAAATATTTTGATATTATTTTTTAATTAAAAAAATGCAAGTTTATTCGGAGAAGGTAAATCATGCTGTTCTGCCTGGTGATGTAATTGGTTCACTCGATGAAAAACTAGCATCAACTCTTCAACAATCATCAATAGTAAAAATCGGACATGGTTTATTACAATTAGAAAGTAATATTATTGCCACTAAAGCTGGTTTATTAAGATTTATACCACCAAACAGATACTTTGTAGAAAATAATCAACACCGTTATGTACCTATGGTTGGAGATATGGTAATTGGTGTTGTTAAAGATAAAGTACCTGTTGAACAATATAGCGTGGATATATTTGCTCATCAAGGATTGGCATTGTTGCCATTCATCGGATTTGATGGTGCTACAAGAAGAAATAGACCAGACTTGGGACCAGGATCACTCGTTTATGGACGTGTCACACTGGCTAACAAGGATTTAGATTTAGAAATTACTTGTGAAAGTTCTCCTGGAATGAAAAAAAAGGATTGGAGTACAGGAAAGTCAGTTTTTGGTGAACTCAAAGGAGGATATGTGACTGAATGTTCTTTGGGAATGGCAAGAAAATTACTTGATCCAAATTGTTACTTACTCAAGTTGCTCAGTGAACATGTTAGCTTTGAAATCGCTATAGGTCTGAATGGAAGAGTATGGATAAACTCTGAAGCACCAAATGATATTGTTCTAATTTGTAATGCTATTCAAAATTCGGAACATTTAACACAAGATCAAGTCCAACAAATGTTAACATTCCTCTTCAAATCAAAGAAAAAGACAAAATAGTTGAGATTTTGATGAAAAAAGTAACTTGGCGAGCAAAAAGAGGTGAAAAGTTTCCTTACAATAGGAATCGAATCACCACACAAGAATCCTCTAATTTATTATTACTGATTATTGATCGAAATAAAATCTATTCCAAAATTAATTAAACAGAAACAATTGTAATAAGGGAATAACTTGAATTACAGTAAAATCTGAGAAAATATCAAAAATCTCTTGCCTGGATGTAACTTTTAGCAGATATTTAGATCTGAAGAGGAATATCGAAACAGCCAACACAGGTATTATGTACAAATTGGAGAAACCAATTATTCTATCCCAGAGCAGTAATAATTGATCTACAGCAAGAAATCCAGAAAAAGCGTGGAAAATCCAATTAAATGCAATGTCGAGAGGTTGAATTTTTAAATGGAGCAAGTGGTAGAATAACTGTGGATCTTTGTCTTGTAGAAGGTCCTCAAAGAGTCTACATAGTGAAATCAGTCCTTCAGGTCTTGATGAAATAGTATTTAGTTTACAAAATAACCTTGTGTACAGATTTCGCCACAAAAAGAATGCCTCTTTTGTATCATTTGTCAAGTAGCATATTGGGGCAGCTAGAGTGGATAAACCCTCAAATGGAATCACTCCACTTGGAGGATAAACTTCACAACTATCCACAAGTGTAATCTCATCCACTCCATTAACAAATTTTGGAGGGTGTTCCATATTTTCTGCTACTTGTGGATCTCTTGAAAATACAATCATCATTTCATCAATAACATCCTCAAAAACGAAAAAATTCTCATCATCCACAGTTTTTTTTACATCATTGTGTACCATATGATCAATTAAAAATTCCCGTCTCCTCACATCTTTTTTGAGTAATTCAAAATAACTTATATCATTTTCGTCCATATTAACTTCAAGTATTTTACCCCATATCTTAGCTCTCATTGAGGTTGGAACCCCTTTTTTTGCAATTTCATACACCATCCTCAAGTTTTTTTGAGACTTTTTTGATTTTTCCAATACCTCCCTAGAAAACTTTTCATCCACAATATCATCGAGACCAACTTGAAAGTTCTCTGGATCTAGCTCTTTAAATATACTTTGTAACTCTTTGATTGTGGGTGTTCTAACTTCAAGTTTGATTTGTCCCCAACCTGCATTTGTAAGTAATTCGCTTGAATTGGGATTTGTAATACTTGTACACATTTCCATCAATTTTTTGCTATCAAAAACTCCAGTGTATCTTGGTTTTACAGTTAATGATGATAATAGAGGGGAATCAGAGTCGTCTATTTCTTCTGGTTTTTTTGTTGTAATTTTCATTCCTGATAATTCATCAAGAATTTCAGAAATATTACTTATAGGACCCTTCACTTTTTCTCTTCTTGGTTTAATAAAACACAAACCAACTTGGGAGGAAATTGTAACAAGTTGATCTTTTAAAAAGTTAGCCCATGAGCTTCTTGCCTCTTGAACAATAGATAACTTTTCTTCCTCATATGGAAGAGGTGGAAGTACAAGACCTGTATCTTCATCTTCTGTTCCTTCAGTTGACGGCACATGCTTTTGTCTAAGTCTGGTATTTCTAGAAGCCTCCATATTTAATTTAAAGATCTCATTATCTAACTCTATATCCCACTCCTCTTGTTCCAATATTTGATTAACAACATTTTTCTCTCCTTTTGATTTAGTGGGAGTAAAACTTGGGGGTAAAGAGGTTGGAGAAAGGAACTGAAATAAATTGCTCCTCACGTCATCAAGAGAATATTTTGATTTTGCAATTTCCGATTTTACTTTTCGTTTAAAGGTCCAATAGAGATGATCGGATTTCAGAGCTTGTTGTATTATTTTAGCTCGTTCTTGAAGGGAACTATTGAGACTAGCTGCAAATTATTCAGAACAATACAATTAACTTCTCAATGACTTACGGTATCTTATTGGATTTATTGAGGCAGGTTCTCTTTCATCTCTGTATCCTGCTAAAATATCAGATGATGTTGTTGATTCTGTTACGGTGGACATTAAACGAGGTTAAATAAACATTATTTTTTTTGTATTGATTGGTATTATTTCCCGCCAGTTTTGTTTCAAGCATAATGGAACAATCAATCACAAATATTATTCACCACAATATTCCAACCCACTAAACGACGAAAAAGCTTGAGTACGGCTGATTATCTAAATAAAGAACCGTAGTGACGTCAACTGTAGTGGTAATTTTTCAATTCAAACACGTACCTTCCACATCAACAATAAGAAGTACCAACATTGAGTAAAATTTGTTTTATTTTGATTTATTCTTCTTTGTTCTCTTATTTGCAGTGTTGTTCAGTTCCTGAGTGCTTTCCTGCTTTCTCTTTTGTTCTTGACGGATTTTCTTCTTGGCCAGTCTTTGTCTTCGTTCGGCTGCC